GAAATTTCGTGGATGAGGCATAATCTCTCTGAGCAATAGGATCGTCAGCCACAAGCTTCGGGTCAGCTCGGTCCATCCACAGGGCATTTACACTCATCCTGTTTGATGACAGAAATTTGTATAATGGGCAAGAGAAAAGTCACACGAGGACAAAGTATTGATCTGTGGCGGAAATGCGAGCCTGCTGTTTTGCCCAGCAGCAAGTGCTATGAGGGCTACTCGATGAGCAGAACACGTCGGGGCAGCAGCTTGGATTCCATACAATGGCTGCTGGCCTTCTTAGGCTGGCAGTCGCCTGTTCGGCCGTCATGGAGATGTGGCCGTCTGGTTCAGAATCGCCATGCTCACATGCGATCCAGTTCGCAAGTGGATGGAGGGGGCCCACACCCCCTTGGGTAATGATAGTCAGGAACCAAAGGGTTGAACGGCCATTCTGGGCCATGTCGCAGGGGTAGGAGGGGTTTGTCTGATCGTCATTGTCTCGTTCAGAAAGCCCGGCTGTCTCATGCGAGCGAGGCACGATGCAAGGACGAAAAACGCGTCTGTCCAAGGGTGCGACAAGGCGCCTGAAGACTCTCGCGCATCTGAAGAGGCTGCAAGCACTTTACGCACCCCGCACGACAATCTCGACGACTTTGGTAGCTTGATCGAGGGTTGCAAGGGGCGCGTCCAGGGTGATCCCGGGGATGTGCAATCAACCCTGAAGGAGATCCCTTGGCAACCACTTTAGGCCCCTGGGCCGCCTCGCCAACTTCGACTTCTGGAGCAAAATCGGCTTGGTATCCATCAGGACTTGTCAGCGCTGTCTGACTCTGCAATCGCCGGCCAACTCGCTCGTGGAATGCCGTGAATTTTGGCATGCAGAACGGGAATCCATTTCAGACGTGGTCGATGGCCACGGCATAACTGCGACGGCATGGCGGAATGTCGTCCCATTCAAATAATGCATACAGGAAAGCCCGTCACGTCCGCTGGCGAAATATCCAGAATGCATCGAACGAACAGTCGTGATTAGACATGCGCAGTGGTCTCCCGGCTCGTAGATGCTAGGCCGCCATTCATCCCCAGTTTTTCGCGGGCCATAGTGCTCTGCCGCTGGGCCATCGCAAGTACTAGCGTGGACTTTGGGTGGAATGCCGAGGAGCAGGGGGCTGTAGGTACAAGAAGGGGTTGCGCATCATTGGCACTGGCGTGCTTGTTCAGACAAAGGGGACCGTGACTCGACTCAGAATCCAGGGGATCTTGCGGGGACTTGGGCAGGCTGCAGGAACAGCCGGCAGGTACCGGCAGGAGCAGAGTCAGGATCGAGATCTCGATGTTGGCGTCAGGGCGAGAGGGGAGTCGGCAGGCTTAAGAGTTGAGTGCAACACGGCGGGCAAGGGAGAAAGGGATGGCCAGGTCCGGCAGCACCTGAGGCAGGCATGCGAGCAAAAGCCAAGGGACGCGAAGGTGGGACCCTGGCATCATGAAAAGAGGACCCTGTGTGGACCCTCTCGGCCGCTGGTGCTTCTTGCATTGAGGGCGGGGGTGGGGCTCTTGTTCTTCTTGATCTCTCTCTCTCTCTCGCTCTTTTTTTTTTTTTTTTTTTTTTGTGTTCTCCTCTCCTCCACGCTTTCTTCGTCCCTTTCTCGCCCTTGGCCTAGGTGGTCTGCCATTGCGGGACTCCATCCATACATCGTCTAATGACAATTCCTTCCCGTCGTCCCGTCCAGGCGGGCAGCCTAGAGCTAGATGCCCCTTGTGCTCCCAACCAACCCCACTAGCTCGGGTTGTCTTGCTATTTGCAGTGCTTGACGATCGGCACCGGGATCCCACTCAGTATTAGGCGACTTTGACCGGCCGGGGCTTGCATTAAGCCAACACTGCTCCGGCCGCCCGAGTCAATGGTGCCAGATTGTCCCTATGCAAAGTCCATTTTGGGTCGGCGCCCGTCTCAGAGACGCAAACCGAGTTCTTCGTCCTCTCCAGCCCCGAGAACCTCGTCGAGTGGACTACGATACCACGACACAGCCCAACGGCTTTCTTGTGCATGCCTCTTCACAGGCCGACCCCCGATGACTGAGCAAGGCTGGTTGTCTCGGCTCAGGAATAGTCTTGGGCCCCCTGTTCCTCTTGTTGAACCCGCCAGGCCGGCCGACTGTTCGCTGGGCGAGATACTCCGTACTTTGCTGTTCTCTACTGCCCTCTGGCCGCCAAAATGTCGTCCGGCGTTTGTTAGACCGAGATGGTGAGGGACGCAGGAGCTCCAAGGCAGCAGCTTGCAGGGCGGTTGAAGCAGCGAAGCCACAGCCGGCGGCCATCTAGAGGTGTTCCAGCATGACTGATTGCCATTGTGACGATGGCCTGGAGCGATGCGATCGTGATGCTGTGCATGAGGTTGACGACAAAGTGGCCGCCCGGACCCCGCCGGGCGACGACGAGCCCGAGTCTGGAACTCGCAGGAATGCCGCCACGATATGGTAGCAGCGTCCAAGTCTGGACGGCGACAACCCCAAAGGGAGGCAGAGGGCCGGCACTGCCGCCCTCAAAGATGCGCGTGTGGGCCCGGAGCCGTCTCCGCAGCGACGTGGCTCGCTCTAGCTAGACGCCGCCAGCAGCTGCCGTACCGACGATGCTGGAGCATGCGTGCCGGGCGGCGGCAGGCGGGCGGAATCGAGCCAACAGGGCTCCTCACTAGCACTGGACCCTCCGGAGTGGAGAGCGGCTAGACATCTGGACGGACTACTGCACACACGCACTCGCCCTGAGGCCAAGCTTGGGAAGGTGAGGTGGGCGAGTGGCCTGCCCCTTCCCCCCTTTGTGCACAAGTGGTGAAACCCGGCGCTCAGCTTTGGCATCACCCCAACATGGCATTCTGCTCCTCCTGCACCTCGAAATCCCCATCCCCAGAGCTCCCGCCGGCCTCTTCGCTCCCGCGCCCTCGAGTGGGGACCCCTCCCATTGCCTTCTTGGGCACCAAGTCTCCCCCTCGTTCGATATTGCTGCCCTTTGCCGGTAGTGCCTGCAGGGCCCTCACCACGCCCCGCTATACTGCCTGTCTTGCCTCCAGTCTCTCCCAAGGATTCATCCAGTCCACGACCCCATCGTTCGCCTAAAGTACCTGCCTGTCCGTCCCTGGCAACAACCTGATAGCCAAGCCCCTCCATAAGCAGCCACCGTATCGCCCAGGGAGCGGCTCCACGACTATAGGGATCTTGGAGGCGGCCACACGCAGAAAAGAGAGCAGCTGCGAGACAGTCCCACACTGCTGTTTCTTCGTCGTCGTCGTCCTCCTCCTCCCGTGGCCCTTGCGATCGCATCTTGGACATGCATGGGACTCCGGAGGCATGTGAGCCGGCCTCGAGCCCAAACCCCCAGAAAGCAGCTGTTGCTGAGCTGTCAGACACCAACCAGCTTAGCTACACGCCGGGTAAGAGCATGACTGCCATGTCCGTGGCGGGCACGGCGACAACGCCAACAAGTATGATATGCTCCGTCCTAGACAACACCATGCACGTTTTCGCACGGCGTCGGGTGGGTGGTGGCTGAATGTTTAGTCATGCCCCTGTCAAACGGTAGGTGATTGTGGAGAGCGGGAACCCCTTCAGTGGACTGGAGCCACAGTACACCCGTATTGCCCGTGGCTCCGGCCTCGAGGGACCGACCGGCATGTACAGCCCTCCCACGCCGACCGAGGGCACTTGGAGCACCCGAGCACGTCCAGTCACCCTCGATCATGTCTCAAGGTCCGCCTGGTGGCTACCTTCACGGCTCCAGCGGGGGAGTACCGAAGCCCCTCTATGAGGTAGAGGGCACTCTTTGGCTGGCTCAACGGCCGGCAAGCTCAACAGTCAATCAACCATGGCGACCTCTCTTCTGCCCAGGTGGTAGTTCGAGGCACAATGTAACCAGGCGCAAGCGACTTGGCTCGCCGTCGCGCGCAGCTGCTCACTATAGACGAAGAGCCCGACGCGCCGCGAATGGCACCACCACCACGGACTGGCCCTCACTGTCTTGCTGGGGACGCGCTCTGATAGAAATCTAGGGGCTTCATTCCTGGGCCGTCCATTCCATACTCCTTGGACGCGACAGCTTTCAAATCCCTAGCCTAGTGGCGACGCCAAATGCCCCAGTATTTCTGAAGGCCTGTCTCGTCTTGCACCGGAGGTACGTACCCTCTAACATGGTGAGGGTCTCATGCTCGGCTGCTTGCTTATTGCAAGCCCCCGACCAGTTTTGGCTGAGGGCTAATGCACGCTGCCTAGTTTGGACTGCTTGCTACACCCATCCAGTTCCGCTGCCCAGCAACACGCAGAGACTCTCTGCGACCCAGCCCGATCGGTCCCCAGCATGCTAGACAGAAATAACCATTGCGTCTTGCAGGACAGGCGGCTCTCGCAACGCTTACCATCGATGCACAGCCTGTTGGTTGCGAAACCGCAACGGCCAGGGTCCAGGATCAGCTCTGTCTGCTCTAGCCCCGGCACTCGGGAAACGCCCAGAGCCTGGTCGATCCTGCTGCGAAGCTCAAGTTTGCTATGGGCATTGACCAATCGTAACCTGATAGAAGGTGATCTGCCTACTCAAGCCAACGGGTGGTTCGTGGGTCCCCAGTGAGACAGTATGGATTGAGAAGTGGACGCGATGGCGAGATGGGGGTGTGGGCACTCGCCGCCTACCTTTGGAAGTTGGCTAGGATCATGGTTGAAGACAATGGCTACCGGCCTCTCCCAGTCACTCCTGCTCGGACGAGACCCTGGCGCTGCCCTGCAGGCGCTGGTAACTTACGCGTCAGTAAGTGCATTCCTGCCAGAGGCTCCTGAACCCACCCCATCGTGGACCTACCCTTGTGCTTGTATTGGACCGGGTGCCCTATCTAGAGGCTCCAGATACAGTCTCAAGCACCCGTGAAGGGAGACCTCTACCCAATAAGTCTCAAATGAATATTGAACTTGCAGGCTTCAGTTATAAATCTTCTCCTCATCCCCTCATTCCTTCCTCACTCCCCTGACCAGGAAGCATCACAACAGCATTCGTTCCCTACCTCAAACAAACAACTGCCCTCGTTTCTTCACAGGACCACTGGCTGGTTACTTGACACGACTTCTACCTTGCCTCCATCGTGTAACCATGGACCCTCGAATGAGCTTCGACGATAGCTTTCACTTTGACGACCAATCCATGTCCTGTACTTCCTCAGCTGGCAGCTTCTCTGCCTCAAACTGCGGCAGCGAGGTCTTCACACCACCTTCAGGTCGCTCAACCCCAGCACAGCGCATCAGGACTTTGAGCTGTGACAACATCCAGTACGCGGGCTCGATTGCATATGACCTGACACCACCAACGTCGGCACTCTCGAGCTACTTCCCCCAGGATATTCTTGAGTCCGACTCGATTTACAACACGCCCAGCCGGAAAACCAGTTTGCAAACCTCTCACAGCATGGAGTTCGAATATCCCCAGATGTACCACATGCCCAGCGTGGACTCGACCAACTCCCAGCTGCTTGTTCAGTTTCCCTACGCCGACCAGTACAATGCCACGCCGTTCACTCAAAACCCTGCCTTCTCGCTTGATGTCCTCGCCTGTCATGATGCGGCCGTGTGGCCCAGCTGCCAGGATGATAGCCCTGCTGCTTTCTTTGGCGGCCTGCCCTCTCCAGTCGGGCCCATGACACCGCACCACCATCACCACCAACACGGCCACCTCCACAACAAGAGGCGTCTCCACCTTGAAGATATCCAGCAGAAGACGTCAGCTCTCCACCGCGTGCAGCAGGGCAGACTCGGCAAGCGCGACAGGTTGATGGACTTCACCCGGATACCTCAGGGCATGTACCGCTGTGATTTCCCAGAGTGTGCCAACAGAAGGCCCTTCAAGAGACAAGAGCACCTGAAGCGGCACAAGGAGACGTAAGTCCAAGCACCTTGTTACGAATGGAACCACACGAACTCTCGCTAACTTGACACCACGCAGTAAGCACAAGCTTGACGGCGTCATCTTCTCGTGTCCCTTTTGCTCAAAGACGTTCAACCGGAGAGACAACTACCGGTCACATCTACTTCTCCACACAAAGAAGGACCGCACCATCTCACGGACAAGATATGATCCTCGGGCCTTGCCTCTCTACGAGGAAGAGATGCGGAACACCAAGCACCGGAATTTCCTCAAGAAGAAGAAGGTCAACAGCCACGGAATCGAGATTGACGAGTGACTTCACACCACAAGCTCTCTACGTTCCATAGGTCCGCAATCTTTTCGATCAACCCTTGATGGCTGTGCTGTATGACTATCATCGTCAAGGAGGGAGGAAAATGGCAGGGGCGAAGATAGAATAGCGGCGGTATCGTCTTTTTTTCTTATCAAGCCCACTCTGATATCCGTATTGGATTCAGGAAAGACAGGGCAGGGGCGGCCCTTTTGGTTAAAGGCAACATCAAAATTTTGCATTGGGTGTTTTTACAAGGCGTCAAGATTCCCGGGGTTGGGATGGTATTTTGTGTCATTATTATCAGGTCGGAGTTTCTGGCGTAGACTTTTTTTGATTTTGCCCTGCTTAAACGATATCTCTGAATACGAAGTAAACACTTTGACAAGATTCTACCGATCCACCCTGACTGCCATGTGACGACGCAGCCACTTGTCCAAAGTGCAAGACCGAAAGAAACTCGTGGAACGGCTTCCTTGTGCCGATGCCACGAGTCACAAATGATGATACGCGTCGTTTCGTGACCGCGAGCCTGCATTCCAGCAGAACCCCAGTTAGTGCCTCTGGCAGGCACTCTAAGAGCTCTGGGTTGAATGATGAATGGCTCACGACGCCAAGATGACGGTCACAAGGCGGATGAGAACTGGTCATCCACGTTCCTGGCAAGAAGAAGTGGTCGAATGGCCAGGCCGCGGGGGGCTGCGTGTTTCTCTGTCTGTAACGTACGTGTGTGATATGGTGACAGGTGTGGCAAAGACAGAGCATTACACGGCACGCAAATGGTGGCTTCCGAGTGGCAAGGCAGAGAAGCGTGAAGAATGCAGCCCTGCGATAAAGGCGAGTGGGCGGCGCTCGTGCGCGCGTTGGGGCGGACATGCCAGTCGGGACTAGCTGCCGATCACGCCGCTGGTGCGCGGCGAATGTGTAAGTGCTGCCGGCTCCTATTGCTCTTACTACCACTTGGCCTGTTCTGTTGACGGCAGTGCCGAGTGAATACGGGTAGAGCAGGTCGGCCGGTACGGACGGGGTGCGCCTGGACCCCGAAAGAGCGTCGTAATCTGGGGAGGGGGAGCGGAGCATTGTATGATGCCGTGATCGGCAGCGCGCATGAGACCCAAGGCGACCGTGACTGGGCGAGCTTGTATGATACTGGCATGTTTTCTTGCCAGGCGATGACGGGATCAAACAGACGGGCGGACTGAGCCGTCAGTGTGAGTTGGTGGACTCGGCACGAGACAGGAGAAAAGAGACAGAGACACATCTTCCATGCATACACAGACACTCGCTCTCATGCGCGCAAATACCGCAGCGGAATCAGGTCCCATCACGTTGCTCAGAGGCAACCGGCCGGTTGTGATAAGAGAGGCCAGACATGCATGACATGAACCACTTGGGGGCCTTGCAGTGGAGCGCGCCCTCCACTTGCTTGCTTCCCCATCTCGCCAGCAACAAGTGCATGAAGCTTCCCCGGGCTCGTCTCTCCGGGAAAGTGCGGGAGAGTCGGGATGCTCTTGTTTTCACGGCTGAGAGCTGAGCCGTGAGTTGGATGGATCAAGCGGGATGCATGCGAAGCCACTCTGAGCTGCTGCTCTTTTACAACTACATGGGGAGCTTCATCTCGGGGCCCAGTCGGGCCAGGTGGAGAGGAGAATGGGAAGCTAACAGGCGAGGGTGAGATGGCGCTATTTTAGCTGCCGTGACTTACAGGCGATGGGCTCACTTGGAATATTCTCGACTAGGATGGCTTCACAGTAATGGAGTTTGGGTTTGGTTTTCTCATTCGTCGAAATTGCCGAGCGGAGTGCTCAAGCACCCCACAGACAAAAGAAAAGTCGGACGAGGCACCAACTCGTGAAGGCGAGCTGCGCAAAAGCATCACGTTCTCAGCGATGCCTTTCTGGCCCGTAGGCTAAGCCCAGACGATGATGTGACGATGTGGACTGCGAATAAGCAAGCAAGAAAACCTTGGCACTTGCGCCAACGCTTCTCCATATTTCCCAAGTGGTCTTGTGGAGAGACGACGGGTCCATGAACACTGATCAATTGTACCCTGCATTTCGCCGCGGAGGATGTTCATCCAAGGTTCTACTTCATTGTTTTGTTGGCCTTTGTCCCTTGATCATTATCCATTTCCTGGACCCCGCAGACTCGGGGTTTCGGCCCCTTCCTGTGCCCATCAGTGTAAATGCGTTCCCCGTGCATGAGATGGTCTGTTGGTCTGTGTTGACTTGGAGTCGTGTGTCTCAGATGGCATGCATGAGGCTTGGGCGGCTCCAGGTGACGTGAGCAGGCCGTCATCAGTCACGCCCAGCCGCGAATTCGTGCATAGGTCCACGCATGGTCGGCTATCGAGTCCCTGAAAACTCAATTGTGAGGTTTATTCTGCTAAGATCAGTCAATCAACGGGACTCTAGACTTTGGGCCCATGTACGGACAGCGCTCCTTCCTCTCCGCTTTTACTAATAACCATCACGGGTACCTTCCGCTCTGCTTTAGCTGCGGCCCAGCCCGCACTATCTGTGGGCTGTTCCGATGTGGACTGGGTCGAGTGTGGCCTAGCCGATAGCCGGGCAATGACACTTCTGCCAGAAGTCCTACTCTGTCGAGACACCCGGAGCTAAGTTGAGCCCAGCCTGTCAAAGTTGTCTCTGGACCTAAGACACATGCCCAAGCCCAATGTGGAAGTACCGCCCATTGTCTCTCAAAGGCAGCAACTTGCTGGGAGCTCTGCCTGTGCTTATGTTGGTGTCGACTCTGTCCAGGCGCCTGCACATTCTTGAGCTCAGTTTCTCTGCTCGGCTACTTTCTCAGCCTCAACCACTGCCTGTCACCACGGCGGTATCGTTGCCCTAGCCACTTACTCCCACAGGCTGTTTTCCCGTCCAAGAATGCCCTCTTGACTGGACGCCACCGCGATCCACTCGCGCAGTTCCTTACCACCGTCCCAACCACAGCCGCCCCGCAGCTCAGCGGCGGTTCCATTCTTCGTCTCGCCGGCTGATGTCGTTGCGGCCTCACGCCAACATGGGCTAATCCTGATAGGACGTCTCTGATCCTTAGGCTGTGTAGAAATGCATTCTGGGAGCCCCATACACGATTGTCCCCGCGGAGAAGTGCCACAATGGGAGAAAGGGCACAGAGGGCTTTCTATGCAACGCCTGCCTTTCCGCATCCCTCTTGTTACTCATCCAAGACATCAAGCTCAGGGACTGCTTGCCAAAGCAGCGCAAGCTTCGTCGTGACTAACATTACAACTCGCCACTGCTAACGACGCTTGCTAGAGCTTACTTGTCTCGTGTGCTACCCTCCTTACACTAGCAAAAGCGGCTTGCTGTGCCTTTCGTCTGGCCGAGATTTCGACTCCTGGCTTGCACGAGCTAAAAAGTTCGTCTCATCTCTCTGCGAGCATTTGCACCGCAGAAGGGTGCCGCCCCTGAAGGGATGCGAGACAGGGCAGCCCGCATGAACGGTTGTTCTTGTGCCTTGCAATGCTCAGACAGACGCAGTGAGATTCGGCGGGGAGAAAACCCCGAAAAGGATACACCCCTCCATTCGTGTCGTGGGCATGCGCCAATTCCCGAGGAGGCGCCCAGCACCAGCTCGATCAAGTGATACATGCATGCGCCTAGTGGTATCAGCCCCGGAATTCTGTGCGCAGGAGGATCTGCGTTCCTGCATTGCCATCTCACAAGGTTAGTCAGTGTGGTTCATGCGTGCGTGCTGTGGGCAAATCTCCGCATGTGATGGGAGTCAAAGGGCAGCAATATGTGGTGTGACGGCAAAGACAATGATAACGACCGCGTCGGTCTTTGAAGCCAACCGGAGCTATTCTGGTGCGCCGGGTGAGGTCGTATGGGGGACCATTGGGGAGTGGCACAGTTGCTTTTAGCTGAGATGCGTGGCATGGCAACCCACGGATCCAAGCCGCACGTAGCAGCAATAGTATCAGAGTGGCTCCATGTCGGGTGAGGGAGATTTACAGGTGCTTTAGCAAGAATAAGGTCTGCCACGTCGTATGTCCCACCTGGCAAGCCGGCATAGCTAAACAATGGAAACTCTGTACATCCCCTAAGGTACTCGGCTGAAGTTGCGCCTGAAGCCGTGCCTGAAGCTGCGGATAGCCCCTCGCGATTAGCACGGGTAATACCCCGTCCCTTCGGAAGTGATATCCCTACACGCCGTCATTGGTCTTTCTGGGTGGCCTGGCCCGGTTCGACCGAAGCATGTGTCGCACAGAAATAGTCCCACATGTGGCCTTTCGCAGGCCTGGCCCTTGATGGGGAGCAGCAGGGTGCGGGATGCCTCCAGATCTGGCTTTCCACCCAGCCTGTACAGGGTCTTTCGGGGGTCCTTGCTGGTCCCGAAGGGTCTATGGCCCTTCTTGCTTCTAGACCAGTGTTCTCGCCGGACAGGATCGCTGATGACCTCTCTGACTCCGATCTCCATGTGCCACAGACAACGGGTCTGCAGCACGAAAAGATGGGGAAATGAGGGTCGTCTCGTTCTCGATGTCAGCAAGGGGCAGTAAAGCACGCGATAGTCGGATCTGCCTTTAGTCATGTCGAAACATGTTTCCGTGCTCCCAACCACCTCGGGTGAGGACGACGGGGTGCCCAGTCACTATGGCCAGTAACTGGTTTCCCCCCCGGAGCGAAGTCCGATCCAGCCGATCGCATTCAAGATACGGCAAAAGCGGAGTGCAGGGGAGCCCTTGCACTCTTTGCCATTTGGTACCCTGGTCCTGTCATCAGCCATAAAAAGAGGATCAAGCAGGGGTCAGCCCAGGAGGCATGGACCAGGACTCAGGAGCCGGTTGTCTTCTCCATCGGGTTGGGGCTTGGTCCAAAGCCACATCCTAGCTGCATGTCGGCCAAGCTCAAAGTAGCAAACACATGCTCCTTTGAGGTTGGAAGACATGGATCTTGCCAACCATGCACACAAATGGTCTGGCAGCTGTACCCACAAGAACACACCCGGGAACCTCTCCCATCAGGGAAGTCTGGGGACGTACGTTTTGTCTTGCCGCCCCGATCTGAGTTCATGGCGGCAATCTCCGTATCGATGGGTCCAGCATCGAGCAGGACGATACTACCCAGGGCGAGCTGCGCGCTGGATTGTGCATTCCCCTAGCCGCCTTTAACTAGCGTGATGACGGTGGGGATCAGGCACAACAGAGGCATGCATGCGCGTCACACGAGTGTATGCTCACCCAGGGACTGGCATAATTGTCGCGCCTCGTTCCGCACGAGGAAGAAATCCGGGGGCCTTGCGAGATGCACGGCCAGGCTTGGCCATTTGAAACACAGGAGCTTTCCTCGGGCATTATTCCCGTGTTACTTCCATTTCCCTGCTGTCTGGTTGGCACGCAGTCTGTGCTGTAATTGATGGTGTCTCTTCGCGGATACGTTCATCCTTCTAGGAAGACCTTGCGAGGCGAAGCAGCGCAACACTGGCAATGATGTGGCTACTACATACATCAACACACCATAGTCGCAGAGTTTAAATCGCAGAAATGATATCGCAGCTGGACGATCTAGGCGATGTTCTTCACTCCCGGAATTGCTCACGGCTGGGCACGGGACCCTCGCGACTGCGGCTCATCATGAACTGGAATCTGACATCACAAACAGAGGCTCAGATCGTACTGGAGGCGGGTTTGAGCGGTGACATTGCCCGCCCCGTCCGTGTTCTTCTCGCTGTTCGCCTTGTGTCCGGACAAGATGACGGGGTGCCATGGTGACGCAATCAACGCTGTGGTTTCGCGACAGATGATCCTGCGGGCACATACGTGTATGCCATGACTTCTCTCCAGGCCTACCGGTTAGTTTTCACGCCACTCGCTCATTCAGCGTGCTTTGTTTGTTTGCGAACTGTACGGTTTTGCTTTTTCCGTGCTCCTGTCACGCCACCCCGAAACCAACACGGACGTCCTAAAGGTGGTCGGACCTATGGTCTGCAGGTGGAGAGCGTTCTGATCAGCGCCGTCGACGAGCTGGAGTGCTTATGGCAGAACACAACACGCAGCCAAGGCCATGCGATGCAGCTTTATGCCGGGGTTTGTGGAGGGTACTGCTTGATCTGCATTTAGGTGATCACAGTTTGCAGCCTTGAACGCAGCCTTGTTTCAAGACACACACGCACACACACATATCACTTTGCATGAGACTGCACAGCCACATAAGGCAACGTCGAACAATCAGTCGGAATAGTCGGACCGTATGTGGTTGCACACTCCAGAGTATCCAAGCAAACATGGCGCAGGACACGCGGAACGAGAAGTGGCAGACCATCCGCTTGACTGGCCTCGAGTGTATCTCTCAGTCGACACCATCCACTGACCTGGTGATACAATGTGAACAACTGGACTACAAACAAATCCACAGTCCTCAAGGGGTAATAGAACACCTGCAAGCATGCACGACTAATCAGTCGCTTGTACAGTATCGGCACTTGAGGCGAGTGTATTGTGTGCTCATGTTTTGTTTATGACCGAGCAGCACGCTGGGACGTGGTTCGAGAACGAGTGCGCATCAAGTGAGATCCATGACGATGTTCCATACCCCCTTGATAGTATGCAACAGCAGGCTGGTTCAGCACTTGAGAATGAGGGCCGATCAAAGCCGAGTGCAAAGGTTTCTCTGAACATGCGGCCGCGGACAGCTGCAGAAGCACAGCTGGTGGTCCCTCGCCTGTAATAGGATACGAAAGTTCATATGCAACTCGTTTAACATAGGATATGACGACTCACATACGCTGACCAATTGGCAGTGGCTTGCAGGAGCGATATGTTTTCCATCAGGTGCAATAATTGAGAGCTATCTATGGGCGCTTGCCGATCCTGTAACGTTACCAGGAGCCTGTTTCCTTGAGATCTTGGAAACTTGGGCAAAATACGAAGAGCCATCGTGCCCTGGGTTGCAAGATAGAGAAGGTGGAAGGGTCCTTAAGAAAAGCCCTGTCCTCAAGAAAAGCCCTGTAAACATGTACAGAAGATCCTCTGTGCACTCCCTTGGGCATTGGTCAGTTGTTTGCGACGGCAATTGTACTGTCAGGACATAGTGAACCCAAGATATTTGGTAAAAAGCAACATCCCGAATGTATGGATTTCATGACTCTTGAAGGCCAGAGTACTTGACACAATCATGCACAATACCAGGGCCCAATATTGTGCAGTCTCAATGTATGCCGAGACGCTGGGGATCACCAGCTCTGACAAGACTTTCATTCCAGGACTATGAGTTGGTCCATTTCAAATACGGCTGTGCTGAAGCTCTGAGGAATTCCACACAAGCGGACATGTATTTGACACTTTCAAGAATCAACATCTGTGAAGGTTGACAAAGTGCTATTTCGATTGCATAGGACAGAGTTCTGGCTAACTTCATGCGGGCCAAACTCGTCCTATATGACTTCACAGAGAGCTTTCAATCGAGGCGCACTTGCTGGTCAAGCATAGAAGTCTGAGGGCCACAGATGCACATGCCTTCAGACGAAAGCCTGGTGTTAACCATTTCATTTGAAAACCACCAGTATGCTCAACAGTGACTGCGTGATGGAGGCATGGACACGCGACGGCTTCATCCAGCGGTTCACTAGCTTTCGTTGATCTTTGTGCCCGACAAGGAACATGACCTATGGAGCACAAGTCTTCACGCGGACCTGCACTTGTAGCCAACGCAGCATTCATACCACTCTCTTTTCACACGGAGGGGGTTATCCCAAGAACGGCGTTCGAATGGTTCTGTAGCAACACTGGCTCAAGACGTGCCGGGCTTTGCTTCTCGGCAAGCTTGCCCGTAAATTGATTTGCCTCGAGCCTTGGCGGGCGGCAGATACATGAAATGAATAAACGCCAACCTTAACACTGAGGGGGAGCAGACTGACAGCATCCTCGCTATAGGTATCAGATACGAGCATGCAACTGGATATACTGTTCGTGACTGGGATAGGTTGATCATGAATCGCTGCATGTCTCCAAGGCGCGACAGTGGCGGTTTCAGTGCCTGTGAGCAAATGCTAGAGTTCCGCAACCGTGCACAAGTTACCGAGCCGCTGTGTTAGGGTCCTCTGATCGGCAATTGAGGTTGTTGGTCCCCGCTAGCGCCAACCCTTGGTGCAGTGTTCAGGCGGAGCTACAGCGACCCTGGCTGGGCATGGGCGCTCAATCAGCGACCTTGCGGGTGTTGGTGATTCCCGACTGCATGACACAACGTCACTGCCGGCAGGGGATCGTTCGATCATAGCCTCAGTGCATTGCGACCCTGCGACATAGTAAGCAGACCGACTATAGCTTGGCCACCGCACAAAACTCTAGGCAAGTCGTGCCTCGCACTGCCTGATTGCTCTCGTGAGAACAACCTAGACAGCAACCCCAAACTTCACCGTCATGGCACGAGTGAAAACAGCAATCGTCTCGCCGGGCGAGCCAGATCCTCAGACCAAGGCTGTTTATGGCTCAGGAACGACCATACTCCGCATCGGGTAAGCTGCGATGTCTCCGTCCATCTCTACCGTCATACTGAGCCCCTGATAGCAATGGAGGAGCCGGTGCCACAGGTCTCCTCGAGGCGCTTTGCGTCGACTATCTTTCAACTTTACCCTCGCCAGCCTCGATAACCTGGGTGGCCAACCACTCCCGCCACACCCAGCTCGCCCTGATGTATGACTACATTGACATCGCTCTGACATACGAGCGCAAGGAGGAAGCACTAGCCGAGGCGGAAGGCTGGTCCGTTACCCACGGCCCAGTGTTCCACGACCACTTTTGCATCGTGGGGCCTGTGTCTGATCCCGTGGGGATTCGCTCGGCGCGTTCGCCGCACGAGGCCCTCGCCATGATTGCGCGGAGTCGGCACCTCTTCCACAGTCGGCGAGACGGTTCAGCGACGATGTGGAAAGAGGAAGACCTCTGGAGCTACTGTGGGCTCAAGCCCTGGACCGACGACGCCGAGAACGGGGACTGGTTCAAGAAGTCACACCTGCCTCCAGCAGAGGCGCTGATCGGGGCGGACCAGGCAGGCGCCTACCTCGTCACTGACCGGTCCACGCTCCTCCGGCAGACTGGGCTGCGGACAATCAGCAACTCGACTGTCTTCTTCGAGCCGACGTCCGAGTACCACTATTTCATGAACAGCTGCTGTGCACTGTCCTCGCCGTCCGCCTCTCCAGAGACGAAGAAGCATGTCGCCAAGTTTATAGAATATCTCAAGTCACCACGCGGGCAGAAGGTAGTTGCGGGCTATGGCATTGGCGACGGCTGGGCCTTGTTCGCCACCCTGGAGGAAAAGTACGCAAAGGCCATGCTGAGGCGCGGACGGCCCAAGGATGGACGATGGGTCATGCCATCGGCGTTGTGAGGGTTTATTTATGATGGCTCTCTTCATAGTCTAGCAATTGCAATTGCACCTGTTCGCTTTTCCTCTCGATATACTCGCGCTTGAGTAGCTGTACGGCCTGTCTCCTAAGCTGTTGTGGCTTTGCTCATGCCACACTGCTGCGTTTTTATGACACAAGGCGGCTGGAGCACAGCCCCCCTGTATCACTTCCGACTCGAAAGATCCATTTCCCCTCGTCTTTTGACCCCCACAACCGTCGAGGCAGGATCCATGGATCCATGGGGAGACCTGGAGTTGTGGGGAGCGCAGCAGGGGTTCGGCTATTGAGCATTTATCGTATGACCCGCCGGCAATCCCTCAGCGGCGTGGGGCAGTCGTCTCTGTCCACGCGGAGTCCGGCGAAAACTCCGCTGCTCTTTTCTGATGGTCAGTCGGCCCGCTGTCGCCCACCGGGAAGGAGACTGATATTTCTGGCACTGCCAAGTCGCTTGTACGGATGGCCAAGTGGACCGAGAAGTGGCTTATGGTCGGCAGATGTAGGATGCAGAAGTGTGATGGCTGTGGGAGTACCCACGTTGGCGCTAATTGAGTCCGTAGGCCAATCCACTTGTACTTTTCACCACAGCAAACCGATGATGGGATAATCCACAAGGCGGAGGGCAATCCATGCTTGTCCCTATACACTTTAACTGCTGACATTTGTGTCTTTTGTGTTGAGGAAATCAAATCGTGGCAGACAACACGACCCAGACCCTAAGCCATGAGCAGCGTCTTTCAATTACGCGACGTCGACAATCGAGTCGCTGGGCGGCTCGCCCTCGTCACTGGCGCGAGGTGAGCTCTATCATTGAGCCTGCGACACATTGCAGTGCCTGCAGGGGCTCCGGTCGAAAACAACGACGGAAGACTGACTGCGAGTTCTCTCTCAATAGTGGCGGCATCGGCTCGCACACAGCGAGAGTTCTTGCCGCCGAGGGCTGTGATGTGCTTCTACACTACTCGGGCAACAAGGTACGTATACCGTGGCGTGTGAGCCAAGGAATTGGTCCAGCCTCAACATCGCCCATGCTTGCTTGCAGTCGTTAACCCGTGTTAAATGTGTCCAGGCTTCAGCGGATGCGCTCGCCCAGGAACTGAGCGCCAAATATCCGACGCAGCTCTTCGCCGCATGCCAGGCGGATCTATCGAATCGCGAGTCAACAAGAACTTTCGTTGCCCGAGCCCTGTCATCGTCCACCTCTACCGAGATCTCTGCCAAACATAATGCCGTGTCGATCCTGGTCGCCAATGCCGGTCTAGGCCGGCGCATCCGTGATGTGGCAGACATCGAGGAAGAAGACTGGGACGAGATGTTCGAGGTCAACGCGCGGAGTCAGTTCGTCGTCGTCAAGGCTTGTCTGCAGGGGATGAGAGCGCAGGGATGGGGCCGGGTGGTGCTCGTAGGAAGTATCGCGAGTAAAGGCGGTGGCCTGAATGGGTGTCACTATGCTGCGACCAAAGGGGCTTTGAGGTGAGTTCTGATCAGTTGCATGTGACTATTACTGTCGAAGACGTTGGGTGATGAAAGTGGACGAGGCTGACGTTCTAAATCTTGCGACCGACAGTTCCATGGGGCTCAACCTGGCAACCCTGCTTGCAGCCGAGGGCGTTACCGTCAATATCGTGAGTCACCTCATTTCCAGGGTTCCAGTAGGTATGAGAGACTAAGACAGATTCGCTACACAGGTGTCCCCAGCTATGATTGGCTACACAGGAATGATTCCAACTCCCAAGTCCAAGTAAGTTGCATTGAGCATTTCTTTAGTACTTCACGATTCGAGAAGTATTAATTTCTAGACGATGGTGTACATTCGCTAATGTTATTACAGATCTTGGTCTCCTGAACAATGTGACATTGAGACTTTGAGAAAGGAAGACCCTGGGTTGGCTATTGCTTCATCGATACCAGTCGCCAGGCTCGGCACGCCAGATGAGGTAGCTAACGTTGTGCTGCTGTGAGTCACCCTCTTCTGCTGTTCTCATGAGTCCCATCTGACCGCATTTACTTCAACATCTAGTTTCGTAAAGTCTGGCTACATGACGGGCCAAGATGTTCAAGTCGTGGGCGGATTAAGATGAGAGAATAGCTAGCTTTAATGACCAGGAATACCCTTAGCTAGCTCTACATAACACGTGGAGCTCTAATAAATCGCCCCAGCACTAAGACTAGAAATCAAGGGCCTGCCATGAAGAGTCCTTATATACATACCAGATGACATTAGTCATTCACGAGTCACTTTGTGATCATTCGCAGCCGCTCGTGAGCTGAGAGAGTCGCGTTGGGGCTCTTTCGGTGTGTGCGGGCTGTGGGGCAAGGGTTGACGTCAGGCCCAAAACAATCACCTGCGGAGGCGGCGTGGAACCCCAAACTCTCACTCTCCTTGTTCGTGTTCGCGACTCCCACTTTCCACCGCCACAATGCCAGATGAAGGGCCGAGCTTCAAGACTTGTGACGAAGGCTTCGCAGCTGTCCTGGGCTCACGACCAGATATCCGTCTGTTTCTGCAACATGACGAGTATCCCTGGGCACACGAGGCCTGCGTCTTCATCCCTTCCACAGGCGACCTCTTCATAACAAGCAATCGTGTCTCAGTCGACGAGGACGAGCAGAAGATTGTCATTACCAAAGTCAACATCACTGGCGATGTCTCTGCTGCTCGTCGGGATGAGATATCCGCACCAGACATTGCCATGGCCAACGGCGGTGTGAACTACAAGGACGGCGTACTCTTCTGCAGCCAGGGCGACCGCAACAGGCCTGCAGGGCTGTGGCACATGGATGCGCGTTCGCCACATAAAGTCACACCTGTGCTGACCTCGTTCAATGGGAGACCATTCAACTCGCTGAACGACGTCGTTGTGCATCCCGAGGATGGGTCGATCTGGTTCACGGACCCCGTGTACGGCGCCGAGCAAGGCTTCCGTCCACCACCTCAGCTGCCCAACCAGGTCTACCGATATGATCCGCAAAAGGGCACTGTAAGGGCTGTCGCGGACGGCTTTGATAGGCCGAATGGACTGTGCTTCTCGCCAGACCTCTCGACAATGTATATCACAGACACGGGCTTGATACACGGCGACGGGTCGTCGAGCTTTAGGCGGCCGGCTACCATGTGCGTCACCTCCAGATTCTTCCCTTTGACACATACTCTTGAAATCGCGGAAGTGCTAACCAGATAGCAGCTATGCTTTCGACATCATCTCAAGATCCGGCCAGCCATTCCTCGCAAATCGCCGACTGTTCGCCATGGCGGACAATGGCGTGCCAGACGGGATCAAGACAGATGAGGCCGGCAACGTATACAGCGGATGCGGCGACGGCATTCACGTATGGTCAGCTGGAGGGGTGCTACTCGGCAAGATCATGATCCCTGGAGGCGTGGCTAATTTCTGCTTCTGCCGCCGTGGGGAGATCATGGCACTCAATGAGACGAAGTTGTGGCAGATCAAGCTGTCAGATGGTTGTATTGGTTCTTTGTTGAAATTGTAGAACAGCTAGTTATTGTTGAGTACGTATGAAAGACAGAGCGACGCGTTTGAATTCACATACAAATAATGTTCACGTTCTATAGATATCCCAAGACGCCCCGGACGCAAAGCACCGGGCTTCGCAGATGTGAGTTCGTAGACATGTTGACCTTTGCCTATGAACGGCATGCATATTCCCAGGCAACATATGGCCACAGCCCCAAGGCGGGCGCTCATAGTCAGCGACCTATGTCATGTTCGCCCGAAAGAGAAATTCTTCGCCAAGGCCGAGCTTTTACCGGATGACTACGTTCACAGCTTGTGAACACTGAACCATCATTCCGTCGGAAAACTATCTGCCAAGCCCGACACTGAGCACGTGTCGCAATTGTTGCTCCATAAAGGGCGCAGTAGCGCCCGGGACTTCCCCGACAAAAATCAATACCCGACGTCGGCAATTGAAGCTGCAGGGGTCTTGGGGGCTTCCGACGGCCTAAACGAGCGCTAAAAAAACGCGCGGGGGCATCGGCGGCAGGGCTGACTTGCCGCTAACTATTTGGACACAGCCAGGGCGCGGTGGTTGCTTGATTTTGGACTTCGGCTGGATGGAGGACTTGACGTCGGATCCGAGACGCGATCCGATCTCGTGGCGCCAGGACTTTATGGTCTAATCCATTCACATTACTCGATCTTGAAGAGCTGTCCGTCATGCTGGGGAAGGCTTCGAGCCTTGATACGACATCTTGTCTCAATCAAGGATGCCTGCCTCGCCGAGTGATTCTAAGCCGTGCACGGCATTGTTCCTTTTGTTAATGAACGTTTCCCTCGAAATTGCAAACACAGCAGCCTGGTTTTCTTGGCCGATTCCATGGCCAGCGTAATGCACACTACGAAGCCCGCCAACATCCCCTGTCCAGGACATTGTGGAGGAGAGAGCCCCCAGCGCGCTGGGGTTAGCCTGGGGGGCTAAAGGTGCGCCGAATCAATGCAGCTGGACCGCTGGAGCCGCGGGTTTAGCGCATGTTTCTCCCACGTTGATAATACCCTTGGGCATGTTTTTTTAGATAGCCGACCGCGGCTTTCGATCGTTGTCGGCTGGCTAACAAACACCACACCTGATCGATGTCGGCCTCGATCGAGCCCGCGTTTGCCGCTGGCGCTCAGGGCGAGAATGGGAACAGTCAGCACGGCAAGCAGACTTCTCATACTGCTCGACCAAATGGCAAGGATCGCCGTGCATCGAGGTGAATATCCTCAGTCCAATAGTGAAACGAGACAACTCCGCTGACTTGTACCAGAGCATGTCTGGCGTGTCGTGCGCGCAAATCTAGATGTGACCTCATACCTGGCCAGTTACCCTGTCGACGATGCCGTCAGGAGCAGCGCGAATGCGTCCTGACTGTGTCTCGGCGTGGAGGGCGCCGTGTGCGTAGATCTGCCATACCTGAGGATGACGAGAACATTCAAGAAGGAGTGCCCGAGGAACAAGAGGCACCATCCCCGTCTGTTGAGGACCAGCACCGCTCGAGTATACCGCCTGCCCACCCTCTTAATGAGGTGGAAGAGCAGACTTCCTGGCCGCCATCTTCTGGCAGATCCCTAAACGGTACTGATTCCGCATATGCAACTGGGGCACTGACTGCATCGCCACCCTCGCTCCCAGCCACAACAAGAACGAAGACTGCTGCGAATCAAGCTGCAAGTAGAGCGCAGCAGGTCCCCAGCCATACATATGGTGTGCAGGTTGGTTCCAAGACCTGGAGCCAACAGCCGTGGGACGAAGAGTCCAGCAGGCTGAACCAGAGGCAGGCTGAGCAACATGGGCAGCAGTCACGGTCCTCGCCCGAGGATAACCTCGAAGGCCACATCACCTCCGTCGATTTAATCAATCCTTCCGATGCGCTTGACTTGTTAGCGCAAGTCGCGCAACGTTCTGGTGAGGAGGACAGAGTGAACGACGCACAAGAGCCGCAGACAGAGCGCCGTCATAATTATCACAACAATCTTGACGGCACGCAGCAGGACCCTGAGAAAGTCAGCTCGTTGGACTATCCTCCGATTGCCAACGGAGAGGTCACAGTGGCTGAGGCCCGAAGACTTCTGAAACTGTAAGTCATTTGTTGGCTCCGTGGACGCCTCGCCAGTATTGCTCACAGGAAGCGCGAATCATCCAGCTACGAGCAGAAATACCACCACTTCTTCCCCGTGGCCCACCACGCAATCTTTGCAGACGATGTCGACATCTGCGAAGTTGCCCGCCAAGAACCATTCTTGTTATCTGCTGTTCTCACCATCGCTTCCAAAAACGAGCCAAGCGCGTCAAAGGCTTTCGTGGCGTGCTCCGCGCACGTGGAAGTACTCATATCGAATGTGATCTATTGCGGCTCTGCCAGTGTTGGCGCCGTCGAGGCATTGCTTATCCTTGCTGAGTGGCCACCACAGCGACTGCAATCGAAGCGGTCAATTGGCCGTGGGGAGGAGGACCAGGGTGCTTGGATGCAAGTCGGATGTGCCATTCGTCTTGGCTATCTGCAACGTCTTGAACAGACGGGCCTGTTTCCTGGCAGATTGATGGAGTCAAAGAATGCGAACAGGAAGAGACTGGCTTGGGCTGGTGAGTTTTCTCTTCATTCTACGTGCAAAGGTTTAGTGGTTCGATAAATCACTGACTCTTTCCTCACAGCGTGCTACATGAGCGATAGACAGATCTCCATCAGGCTGGGTAAGGGTTTCTGGTCTCGAGGACCAGGGCCTTCAACGATACTGCATGCTGCGGACTTTCCCTCGCTCAGGCCTCTGGGGCCAGCCGAAGACGATTTATCGTTGCTCTTCAAGGCGCACCTCGAGCTCACGCAACTCTTTAGCAATGCTCATGACATCCTGTACTCATCCTCTATGCATCGAGAGCATCTGTATTCTGGTGGGGAGTATGTGAGATACATCGTAAGTCAAGCAGCCGCCATTCCATAAGCATAGTACTTCCGCCATCACTCCATTCGGAAAGCTTACATAAATCTGAGCCTAGGACGACTTTGCATCCATGCTCCGAAATTGGAAGCTGCTCTGGGGTAGTTTGAGCTGTGAGTCTTCATGCTTGGTAGCTTCCGCTCAACTGGTTGTGCGACTAACCACTCTTACAGTTACACCACACGTGAAAGCAACTCTCGTTCTCTCCTACGACTACCTCCGTCTGTACATTCATGCTTTCGCTTTCCAGGCAGAAATGTACCGCGCGTCAATGCGCGCGAGACGAGAGAATCCCACCTCTGACCCGAGAAATTCAACGGTCAAGCCTGGGCCGCTGTTCACAAACGTGGCCACCTCACCGGATGCGAGGTTTATCTACGAGTCGATTGATGCGGCCAACTCATTGCTTTCGACGCTAAACAGCTTCATCGACCCCGTTGCCGGGCTGCGATACATGCCACTCAAGTATTACCTGTACATCATATATGCCGCTGTGTTTCTGTTCAAGGTTGGTTCCTATGGTCTTTCACGCGATCCAGCATCGTATGTTAATCACTCGTCATTATAGGCTCGCCTAGCAGAGGCCATCACGTCAGATGGCGAAGAAGGCGTCCGCCGTACTATCGCCGTCACAGTCGACCGCCTTCAAAAGTCTGCAACGAATCGCCAAAGTCCCGGGTACAGATATGCAAGGCTGGTCCATCAGCTGTGGCTAAAACCAAGGAGCCGGGAGAGCACTGTGTCTGGTGGTCCATCAGGTCCAGCCAACGGTCCGTCCCGTCGTTTAAGGCCAGCCACCAGGGGGGATGCCAGCAGCCACCCGAGTTCACAGGAAATGCTTGGCGATGCACAAGGTCGAAGAAACTCGATGATGCACAACCCAGAGGACACGCCACGTCGTGACCAGTACAATCCTTACCATTCGTCGCCGCGTGGGGGACAATACGGCGGCACGGGCGCCAGGATGATGAGCACCGCTGCAAATAGAGACAGACTGCAGCCGAGAAGGCCTTCGTCCAATATGCGACGCCCACCTAGTCTTGCCTCGCCAAACGTCATCGACTTTGACGCTGTCATGAACGATTTCTCTTGGCGCGACCTGCATGCTGTCGGGGAGTTCATCAACAATGATACAAGCACCGCCGAGAGTGTACTGCCCAGCCCAGACTTTGATCAAAGGCTGGCAGCCGCCGATGCCGCAGGCGGCGGTGGCGATGGTATACAAGATACTCCCATAGCGGGAGGCGGAGGTGCTCGTGGAGGACATGACGGAGCGGGAGCACTTGCTGGAGAAGCGGTAGATGACTGGATCAGTTCGTGGATGGGGACGGATGTGATATTTTGAGAGACCAAAATCCAAATATTGCGATAGGCTCGCCTTCGCGTTGGACTCGATCGTGAAATCAAGTTCGGGGAGCCACAGCACTGTCGATTCAGCTCGGATTTAAATTGTCGGTTGTTAATGAAGGATAACATCACCAGCTGAGAATTACTCATGGTGAAGAGCACTGAAATTGGATTTTGAATTTTTAAATTGGAGCATAAGTCTTACGGTCCGCCCTCGAAGATTCTGTTCTACGTAGTTGTCTATTTTATTGTCTATGACTGTCTATTCGGAGGCCCCCAAGTCTGTATGTGTACAAAATCCCATCTGGCCTTTCTCATACTGTAGTGAGGGCTCCCTTGGACCGCCGAACCTTTCATATTGCGCATAGAGTCGTTGGTGCTTTTTCACTCAGTCCAGCCACTGCAGACTTTCAGGTACGGAAACAACGACATCGCCAGCAGCATCAATCCAGTCTCCAACGCCCTTGCTGCCAGCGAACAGCAGCTTGTACTTGCCAGCCTCAACCCTCCACTTCTTAGCACTGACATCCCAGAACTTGAACGACTCCCTGCTGAGCTTCAGTGTTACGGTCTCCTCTCCACCATTGCTTGCCAGCTCTTTGGTCTTTGCGAAAGCGCGGAGCTCGAGTGCAGGTCTGACCTTGTCTTCCACCGACTCAGGAGCCAGCATGTACAGCTGCACCACCTCCGCTGCTGGAACACTGCCAGTATTCTTGACCGTCACGCTCACGCTGGCGTCCACGCTGCTGGCATTCTCGACTTGAACATCGGAGTAGGTGAAACTCGAGTACGACAGGCCGTGGCCGAACGCAAAGAGGGGGCTATACCAGTCCTCCTTGATGCCACGATACCCAACGGACAGACCTTCCTTGTAGACAATCTTGGTTGTGGTTCCCTTGGGCCCATCGGTCTTGCCGGTCATGTCACCTGCTCCAGTATTCTCGATCGATCGTGGCACCGTGGTGGGGAGGCGGCCGCTTGGAGACACCTTGCCGGTGAGCACATCAACGAGTGCCGTGCCGTACTCCTGGCCTGGGAACCAGGCTTGGACGACGGCGTCGACAGAATTAATCCACGGGGTGCAGTCTACGGGCGAGCCCGAGTTGATGAACACGACCGTGGGAACGCCCGTGGCTGCAGACTCGGCCGCCACGGCAAGGATCAGGTCCGATTGGCGCAGGGGCAGGGCGTACGACACGCGATCAAAGCCTTCAGACTCCCATTGTGTCGAGGTGCCCACGAAGACGATGTTGGCGGAAGGTGACGCGGCCCTGATCGCAGAGGCGGTCTCCGCGATGGCAGCCTCGTCGTCCATAACGGGGGCAAATCCGACACGGCTTCCTTGCACGTAGAACTCGCGGTTGATGTACTTGGGAGAGTGCTTTGAGCTCTTGGACACGATGACGAGCTCGTATTGCTTGCCAGCCTCGAGTTGAACGGGCACGTCAAAGGTCCTCTCTAGGCGGGCACGATTGAAGATGTAGTCCTCTGTCACGACCTCTTCTGTCGAGCCAGATCCCGGACCACGGGGGATGCTGGCAATAAGCTGGCCGTCGAGGTAAGCGTCTTGAGAGCCTGGGCTGGTCAAACTCAGCTGGTACGCACCAGACACTGGGGCTGTGATGGGGATGGTCATTCGTGTTGCGAAGCTCTGAATGTCGACGAGGCCAGCGTGGATGTCCTCCATCATCATGTACTCGGACTTTGTGAGGGTCTCACTGCGGAACATGTCCTTGCTGTCTGCCTCGCCAGTCATGTTGTTGAACCACTCGAGCTTGAGATCGGAGCCGGGGGTGACGATCTCAGAAGCCAGGCCGACCAGTCGTTGCACCCAGACACCTCGGGAGTACGTGGTGGAAGGAAACTGCTCTTGCAAGGCTGAAAGAGGTGTCGAGATATGAGCCGGCCGGAGGGATGCAGAACCACCACCAAAGATGGAGGGCTCTGCTGCTGGGCGACCCACGATGTTGAGCTTGGAGGTCGCCGACTTGGAAAGGGGCAGGGTGTTGTTGTCGTTCTTGAGCAACACCATGCCATCAGCTGCAGCACGGCGAAGAAGGGAAATCGTCTTCTCGTCTGGTACTGACGACCGCTCCGGCAGCTTGCCGGCAATGTCTGCTGCGTCCGCCAGGCCGATACGCTTGGTAGCCACCAGCGTGTTTACTAGCCGCTGCACAGACTTTGCAATCGTGTCTATGCTGAGCTCGCCGCTCGCCAGGGCATCCTCAATCATCTTCTGTGTTCTGAATTTGGTAGGACCCGCCATCTCGAGGTCGAGTCCCGCGTTGAGCGCAGCAGAAGTGCTATATGTGCCAAACCAGTCCGAGACGATGAGTCCCTTGAAGCCCCATTCTCCACGGACAATGTCTTCCAGCAACTCCTTGGACTGCGAACAGTACTCGCCCCCGCAGGCATTGTAGGCAGTCATGAGCGCCAGGGGCGACGAGTGCCTGATGAGGATACGGAAAGGTTCGAGGTAGATCTCGCGGAGCGTTCGTTCGTCGATGACACTGTCGCTCCAACGACGGCCGTTCTCAACCTCGTTGGCAAGGAAATGCTTCGGACAGGCGCTCACGCCCTGGCTTTGTACGCCGTTGATGTAGGCTGCGGCAATGTACCCCGAAAGCAGGGGGTCTTCGCTGTAGGACTCGAAATTGCGGCCGTTGAGGAGATAGCGGTGGATGTTGACGGTCGGTGCCAAAAGGCCGTATGCGTGCTTTCCGAGCGAGTCGGTGGCGATGGCTGCGCCGACCTCTTGGACAAGGCTTCGGTCGAATGTGGCACCCAAGCTGGTCGCGCATGGAAAGCAGACGGCGGCCTTGCCGTCCGTCCAGTTCTCACCACGGGCACCATTCGGCCCATCACTCCATTTCAGCGACGCGAGGCCCAGCTCCGGCATCTCTTGTGTCCGCCAGAAATCCTTTCCGGCGAGCAAGCGCACGGCCTGCTCGAGCGTGAGGGCATGTTGGCATTCTTCACCGGCAGTGCCTGTGTAAGAAATGTTGATTGACGCCATGTGGGTTCTCGGATGTGTAAGTCAAGGGGGGCGGTGACTCGACAACCCAAGTGATCACGAGGTTAAAGTGGGAAAGAGAAAAAAGACTCCAAGGCGAACAATCACTGTTGCATGACACTTGCCCGCAATCAGTCGTCAGTCTTTCTTTGTACTGTTCAGCCATTGCGGCTACGGCCTCCGCATTCTCCGAATCCTCAACCCCGCGCGATCACGGTCACCGGCTCCGGGGACATTGGTGGGTCGGCCGATAGGATGCAGTCAGTCGTCTGTGCAATGGCTTGCCGACGGCACAGCCCTCATGACATGTGGAGAACGGGGACCTTGGTCGGTCATCTTCCATCGGCTATGGGGAAAGCTGTCCAGGGGCAGCTTTCCAGGAACGGCAATACACACAAAGCCACTCCGACTTTAGTAGCCGACCCGCGTGTCGGGGCTCCGCCGCCCCTGAGTCAAGGGTCGTCGCCAGACAGCAGTGAACTGTTCCGGTTCGAATCATGTGGCTTGTCCAGAGACTTCTTCTGCTGTGCCACCAATACGCAAGGACGTCTTGGCGATTCCCCAGCCGGTGTCTAATGAGCGGTCAGGTGGTGTCAAGAGGCTTCTCGTGCTTGGAATACGACGGCTCGGCCAGCGCCGCACGTCGGCAATCCAGGGGCCGCAAAGTGTCGCCGGCTACTGAAAAACCAGTTCTCCGTCCCCGGGTCCGGAGCCCCGTGCCAGCCTCCAGGGTGAACGGATGCAAAGAGCACTTGCTGCCTCTCCGGGGCCCCATATGGGGAGCGTCACTGTGGTCTCACCCCACATGCAGGCTGTTTTGCTCCCCGGTTTTTGCTCGTGTAACATCGGGCGGCTGGAAGCGTTCTTCTCCTCCTGCACCCCAGATCGCATACCCCGGCGACCGCGGTGCCGACACCCACGTGATATAAGACCTCGCTCGCGCCCGCCCCATGATCTTGCATTCATCATCGATCCATCCCACCGGTATCGACGACAACCTCGCACCAGGTTGCAAAGGTTGTACACTAAGCAAACGTGTATTCGGGACCACATCGGCGAACCATCACCATGGAACCCATCAAGAGCACAAAGGCTGACCAGGCGGCCGTCATGGCTGCTGCCAGTGGCGAGAGGTTCTACCAGAACAAGAACCTTCTCCGTCTGTACGGGCTCATGATTCCTGGCACCCTCATCGTGTCGGCTACCATGGGCTACGACGGCTCCATGATGAATGGCCTGCAGGCGGTCGAGCGCTGGAACACCTGTAAGACTGGCCAAATCATCATCGTACCTTGCGGAGCGACGTGATTGCTGACAACTCTCGCTTTGCAGACTTCGGCAACCCGACTGGCTCGTTGCTGGGCATCATGAATGCTATTCTCCCCCTCGGTGCTGTTTTTGGCATTCCCCTTGCAGCTTGGGTCTCGGACAACTATGGTCGGCGTTGGGCCATGACTGTCGGAGATGCCATCATGATCATCGGTGCAATCATCCAGACTGCCAGTATCAACAGTTAGTGTTCAGCTTTCTCCCGAGGACCATAACAAGACATCAATGGCTAACCAACTGGTCTAAATCTTTGCAGTGGCCATGTTCCTCATCTCCCGCTTCGTCATAGGTTTCGGCCTGACCGTTGCTGGCTCGTCCGCGCCAATGTTGACTGCAGAGCTGGCCCACCCGTCCTCGCGTACCACCATCACCTCAATGTACAACACACTATGGTACGTCGGCAGCATCATCGCTGCTTGGGTCACGTACGGCACGTTCCGCATCAACAATGACTGGTCGTGGCGTATCCCGGCCTTGTTGCAGCTCATTCCGTCCGTCATCAACCTCGCCGGCTGCTGGTGGCTCCCTGAATCGCCGCGCTGGCTTATCGGCAAGGAACGCTACGACGAGGCCAAGGAGGTTCTGATCAAATGGCACGGCAACGGCGATGCCAACTCTGAGCTTATGCAGCTCGAGTACACCGAGATCTACGAGACTATCCAGCTCGAGATGTCCCTCGGCAAGCAGTCATGGAAGCAGCTCGTCAACAGCCCAGGCAACCGCTACCGCACGTTCCTGGTCCTCTGCTGCGCTTACTTTCCCCAGTGGAGCGGCGTCGGCCTTGTATCGTACTACCTCGCTCCCGTCCTGCGCACGATTGGTATTGTCGACCAGGAGCGCATCACTCTTATCAACGGCATCATCCAGATCTGGAACATGATTGTCTCCATGGTCGGCGCCAATCTTGTCAACCGCCTCGGCCGGCGCAAGATCTTCATCTCTGCTACGACTTGCATGCTCCTGATCATGGTGGCCTGGACCGTTGCCGGGTCCCAGTACAGCGTGACCAAGTCCGAGGCTGCCGGCTCCGCGGTCCTCTTCTGTGTTGTGGCCTTCATGTCCGCATACAACTTTGCATGGTACGTCGTGTTACACCCGTCATTGAGCAGATTGATCAAGAACAAACTAACATATCGGTACTCAGGAACCCTCTGTCCGTGGCCTACCCCGTCGAGATTCTCACCTTCCCAATCCGTGCAAAGGGTGTTTCCCTCCTCGTCGGTGCCGTCAAGAGCGCCAGTTTCTTCAACCAGTTCGTCAACCCCATCGGCCTCGCGTCTCTGGGCTGGAAATTCTACATTGTCTACTGCTGCTGGCTGGGGGTCGTCTTGACCGTCATCATCTTCATGTTCCCGGAGACCATGGGCCGCACCCTGGAGGAGATTGCCTTCATCTTCGACAAGGAGGTCTATGTCAACAACACCGACGCCGAGAAGGTACTCAACAACGACGGCGCGCGTGAGAGCACGGAGGAGCACGTTGCCGACAAGTCCGGCGCGGCTGTGGCCACTGAAGAGAAGAAGTAGAGTGTGGACGAGGTAGCTGAGCGGTGCTCGATGCTCTCCGCTTTTGCCTTCCACTTGTGTAAATCATGTAGCACGATCCCAGACCCAATGCATAGATGGGCTATAATGCGCATGATTGAGCTGAACTCCCAACCCTTTGATGATTATTTGTGGTATACGCCGACAAAGTGTAGTTGCTATGGCATGAGTATGAGTTTTGAGAGACGGGGGATAAGAATGTTGGAAGAAGCCAACACGAGCACAAGATCGACCACCATCAGAGCCTCAATGTCAATGTACAGACTGGTGCCAGCCTTGCTGGCCGCAATCTTGTCAACAATACCAATAAAAGAGGCCTGAGCCTTCCATCTGAAGTGTGGTGCAAATTCGGGTACCCTATCCACCAACTGTTGCTGCTATTAACTGGGAGATCTGGGCGAAGCGAATCCCTGGTCACTTCCCAGAAAGCAAGAGTCCCGAACGGCTGGCAAACGACGATGATGTGCTTTTGGGCGACTGGGTCCGAGTCAGTGCTACCCGACCAGCGATTCTTTCGGCGTACAACCCAAGCCCGACAGCCATGCTCCCTTTATACTAATCCAAACACCTCAGCACCCACCCGTATGGGCAGCACACGCACACGACTACCGAGAAAAGACGACTTCCAAATATCCCTACGATAAACTAGGGACTCTCGCCGAGGAAGGGAAAGCCATAAAAGGGCGTTGCTAGTTGCCCGCCCTGACCACGCCAATAATGCCGCGTTACGCAACAATCAGTGCGTCTATGAAGAGGTCCTCAGCTTCCATGAGACACTAGAGGACATCACGAAGCAGCTCAGAAGCGATGGTTGCATTCTTGGAGAGATTGCTCGGATAAACATGTTCGATGATAGCCCCTTCAAATGTGACAAGTACCAGTACATTGAGTCGGCAGATCTTGACGCGGGCGAAAGTAATGCATCCGATGACGATCTCACGGAGCCTGTCCTTTCTGAAATGCGACAGGCAGATTGCATTCAACCACAAGAAGGCAGTACAGGAGTTTCTCATTCACTCATCCCAGACCTGGCCTTTTATAAGCAAGACGATTCCGAGATCCGCAACATTAAAAGCCAGAGGTTCAAGGCAAAACTCGCGGCGCGTCTGCAAATTGTGAAAAAGCATTGTCCATGCTTCGCTAACGCGCCCCAGCTTGCTCTTACTCTAGCCAAACAGTGGCTTTTCGGCGAAAATCCTCAAGTCGTCCATTGAAGCCATTTTATCAGCCAACCAATCGTACACGAAATGGACCAAGAAACTTGACGATATCATTCCAATGCTTGATGTCGAGTTTCTGGCGGTCAGGCTTGGAGCTCTGTGTGACGCGCTTCTGGATCGTCAAGCGACCGTCTCTCAATCCAGCCAAGTGCCGAACACATTCGACAAGATCATCCAAGGAGTATCGGATATCAACGATGATACCTGCCGTTCGGTCATTCGCCATACTTTGTCATCAGTTAGCGCACACGAGGAGTTCGAGGGTTCCAAAGCTGCGTTGATTCAAGAGATGAAGGCCGCCACACCTGGCAAGTCTGGAGGCGATGAGAACAATGCGCTAAAGTACTTCGCCCAAAAACTGTCCGCAAGAGCCATTGCACTTGGAGGAAATAAGAGAGCCAATACGAATCAAAAGTTCAAAAAGTCAAGGCTCTTGGCCTCCACCTCTCACAGAACCTCATCTCGAAATTCGGAATTGGTGTACTCGGAGTACTATCTCTCGTGTAAATACGAGCACACGTCATCTCAAGAAGCATTAAAAGCGCTACAGGTCCGCTCTGCTGCATCATTGCCGTCATGGCATGTCTGCACGACCAACTCGAGCAAGGAATTCGGGCTCTCAGTAGTGGTCCTGGCAGAAGGTTGGTTGAGGCTTCCGAGTCCGGAACCATGACAAGGGACGACTGCGAAGCGGTGTTCACAGACATCCAGACCGTCGCACAATCTTATGGCTTTCAGCTGCCCACCCCCACGGCCGACGGTTTCCATTTTGTTGTTTTCACTCCTGAACTAGTCTTGCAAGCGGGCCTCCAGGATTTAGACCTGAAAGACGAAAGCGTTTTCGTCTTGACAACGACTCCTACCAATCCCCGACTTGCCGTAGCATCACTGAGACCTGGGGCTTGGCCTTGAGCTGACGCTGTTTTCAGCCTCTTGTTTCTGCAAAAGCTTGAAGGCTGGGAAATCCTGCGTACTACCAGAAATGTCAAACGATTGGGCTGGCAGAAGTTCCAAGATCTTACTAATTTCAGTTAGATTACTCCTCTTCAGCCACGCGATCGTGGAGCTGACCTCAAGGACCAGTCCCACTGGGGTTTCTGGCTTGTCCAAGTTGAGGGCGGTAAGCGACTCAGGAAGGATGCAAAGAAGTTTGTACTTCAATGTACATGGTTCGACTCAGCCGTCAAAGATCCCCAGGCCGCGCAAGTGACTGACGATCACTACGGACACGCAGATGCGAGCGAGAGGCTCCGCTCACTGATCCCAAATCTCGAAGTCGAAATTGGTGGGATCTCCTGGTCCATCCGTGAGCTGAAGGCACCATCCTATGGTCATATCCGCCCAGAGGATTGTGGCATCCATGTCATCCGCAATGCCACAGCAGTCATGCGCGGCGAAAATAGGATGGACTCGCAAATTGGCAATACTGAGTGTGGTCAGCTGCGTCGGAGCTACAGGCGAATGCTTTTGCAGTACCTACGCTACCTGCAAGTGCAACGGGAGAATATCAAGGACGGTCAATCTACAGCTGGGCATCAACCTTGGGAGTCGAAGACGGTCCTCCTGGCGAATGGGCTCGTTATTGTCGTCGAAGTCGTACAAGAACGCGTGGTTCCTATTCTTGGCGACGAGTCGCTGCACGAACTTCTGCGAATTTGGAGGTGAGTCACGCTCATCGGCCTTGCGGGCGGCGTTGGCCGCAGCCTTGAGTTTCTTGGCCGCCTTGTGGTTCCGAGCTGCGCTGGCGCGGGAGGCAGACTTGTGATCCTCGTCAGCCTTGGAAGGTGCTGCGGCAACATGGTCTCTGGCTCGAGCCTGATTGATCTGACCGCGAGTCATTGTTCCAAAGTTGTTGGTTGCGGTCCACGAGCAAATCACAAGATCAGCGGACTCCGACATACTGTTGTTCACAGTCCGGACGTCAACCTGCCGACGACAGATCTCACTTGGAGTCAGCTCATCGAGTAAAAGTTTCATCCTGCCAACCTGAGCAGTGTGGGGTGAAATTAGGAGGACGGTAGGCCGACGTTCGTCGATGAGTATGTTAGAAGAGGCTAAGTCTAGCACAAGCTCGACCGTGATCAGTGCCTCAACGTCATTGTACAGACTTGTGCCAGCCTTGCCGGCCTCAACTTTGCTAGCAATATCAATGAAGAGGCGTGAGCCTTCCATCTGTGGTGCAATCTCGTGTACCCGACCTACTAGCTGTTGTTGCTCTTCAGAAACTGGGAGATCGCCATGACAAAAATGATCTGGCCATGGTAAAATTCTGATGCATGACGCACCATCTCCCCACGAGATCGCCAATTGGTGTTCAGTGATAAATTGTGTGATTACTTGTGTCCACCTGTCTGTCCATGCATGAAATATCACCGTGGCGCGAGCAGGGTGTGCGGAATGAATCATTCTCCGCCGCCTGACTTTTTGAGATGTTGTCGCCAGTCGTTCTCATATGACGCTCGACCATTTGGGTGGGGGTAAGGACCACGTTGCTTCGGATCGCCGACGGCAATGAGCAAAATGGGGTGCTGCCAAGAAGCGTACGCGGTGAGCTGACTGGACTCAGTGTAATGATCAGCTTCGTCGTGGCAGGTGATTTCCGGACCGCCATGAAAATGTCTTGGAAACATTTGGGGCGTGCGACAGGAGTTTCGTGGAGAACAAGACGCCCACTCAAGGACCTCCTCGAGGGCAGCGTGGAGCAAATCCTGGTACCTCGTCTTAACCTTTCGCTGTAATCGGAGACCACGCACCGTGGCAATCCGACCATGGCGTTGACCGGGTAAGTCACACCAAGACGGACTGGGGATGGCATCTGCGAAAACTTTTGCGATCACGGGTATTGACAAAGCTTGTAACATATCGGAGCTGTCGTCAATCCGGCCAAAGTTATGGGGCAGGATCGTGGGGCCAGTCAAAGTCTAGTTATGAGAGAAAATAGAGGTTGGCGACACGTCTGTAGTGTTTGTGGACTGCCGTCTCCATGTACTGATACTTGGCAAGTTAATTTCTCGATCTCAGCGATGCCCTAAAGATGGTGACTATGAGCTGCGAACTACTTTTGTTACATCACTACACAGAAGAGAGTGCGGCTTCCTTTGTGTGACATCGAATAGGAAATATTCGCTCGCAGTCTTAAGCATCCGCGCTTGCGACCATGAAAGCAGAGAAACTTAGAACTTGTGCACCCCTGAACATTCTGCACATCTGCACCTTTGAACCTCTGAAGCTCTAGAGCTCTGTTCGCAATGGCCTTCTATGCTTCACTAAGGCCTGCGATTGAATGTGCGATTCAGTCTCCCGTACGTGTTCCATTTCGATGAGAGTTCAAGGTCTGATTAGCCAGGGACACTTTTACACGCTTGAACTGGGAGTGAGTCGGGCCGTGGCGCTGTTCGATAAAGCCATGCCCAAATCAGTGTGTTTGCATTGTCTCGAGTTACATAGAAGTTCTCTGCTACGCAGTCCATTATGATAAGAGTTGTGCAAACGCCAAGAACATCCTGTGTGCTACAAACCCTTGATGTTTCGGCGCTTTGTGCATCAAGGGTATCCCGAGACCCCATTGTGAACAACTGGTGAGTTCAGGAGTCGTCAGCAGTATCACGATTGCTATTGGCGGGTTCAAAGCGGGACTCTTATCTGCTCGATGATGTTATAAACGGATGTAGAAGCGCAGGAACCAACAATCGAGCCTATACGAGGTGCAGATCAGTCCAGGGATTCGACCCGGTCAGCTGGGTGAGGATCGCTGCCGCGGCAGGGGAAGCCTTGCAATCACATCATTATCTTGCCGCAAGGCTGCGAGACGTAATGTTGGTTCAGCCACTGCAGAACGGCAATATCCGCAATCCTACCACGGGCTGACTCTACCCCTTGTGCCTTGCCGGCAGGTGAAGCCTTCCTGGGGTTGAAAGACCAGGGTTGTATGCAGTTGGTTCAAAGCCTTGCATGGATTAGGAAGTTTGGCCCGGTTCCGAGACACAAGGAGCTTGGGGTCCAAGCACCTGGGAGATGGATGCCTTGCCGGTTCTCCCTTCAGCCCTTGTCAAGTTGCTGCAAGTATGGCTCGAGGTCCAGGCTGTGTCGTGGGGGAGTCGTGGAGGAAGGGGGCTGGGGATGGCTTCAACGTTGATAAATCCCCATCTCGCGATCCCGTAGACTGTACTTTGATGGGTATGCCCACGACCTTCGACATTGCTAGTCATTGATTCCCTCTATTATTTTCACCTACCCCGTAAACAAGTCCTGCGAAGATGTCTTCGCCTTTACGCCTAGCTGCAGACGGCAAATCATGGAAATTCGAGTCACTCCAAGATGGCCTCCAGTTCCTGTATGGTACCCAGGAGAATTTCCGCTGCCAAGTTGTGAACCACCGCGGGCGTTCATGCTCAGAAAGCGTCTCGATACGCGGAATTGAGCAGATTTTGTCCCTCGTCTGTCTCAAGGGCAAGGTTCTGAACTGCAACCCTGCATCACCTTCACACCATGCTTCTGCAACGCTTAAGATGGTCATAGATGATCATTCAACACACGACGGTTTCATCAGCGGCCAACCTGAAAAAGACTTCTTTGACGCCCTGGTTTGGTACTCAATGTGTACTACACACCGAAATTCGGAAGAATATGAAATTCGGAAGAAAACACTTCGGCGAAAATGGCAGAAGCAAGTGCTTCGAGAGATTTCGACGTTACCATCCGCAAGTCAGCAGAGCGACTCTAACAATGAGAATCACCACCGATCACACAACACGGACGAGATTGCTGTCCGCTCCCCAAAGCCGTTCATCAAAGGAACATCCATACGCACGCCCCAGAGATTTCGATTACCAAGACAAAGCGCTGTCGCCCTGGAGAAGGTCAGAGCTCGTTACTCGCCAGAACTCCCTGCAGATCACAACACAGCTGGCGCTTTTGAAAGCGACTCCGAAATTTCGGCTCCCAACAGCCCTGTTTTTGACAGCCCACCCGCAACATCTGCCGAGACTCCTCTCACCAGCCGAAAGACCCTATGGCAGCAGAGTGAGCAGAAGTTTCCAGATATTTTCGCGAATGCTGTCGAAGCATCTGCTGGCGCTGAGGACGAGTCCAACGACGAGTACTTTACAGCAGAGGAAAATGAAACTCAACCATCGCTCGTGTATAATCCTCGCCTTCGTCTATTCCAGAATCCTCAGCAAAGGCCATCAGCGACTGGTCTGGATCCTTTCCCGTCCGAATCTGTCGGGCTACCACGTAGTTCAAGTCCAGCTTGCTTGTCAGGACACGAGCCCGTCCCGCCTGTTCCGGCCCCCTCTGGTACACTTGGGGAGCAGAACACCACCCCAAATCCACTCAGGAGGGCGCGTACAATGCCTATAAAGGTTACAAAACAGCGGTCTGCGAATTTTGACACAACAACCATCATCGAACGAAGACATTCCTTCGATGGTTTCAACGGGTACGAGGGTTTCGAATCACATTTCGACAGGGATGCAATCCAGGCGTTCCTTGAGAATTTCCCGGCGACACGGAGGCGGCGAAAATCGGTGGACCTTGCTCTTGTCGCAAACAGCCGTGAATCAGAAACGTCGTCCGAATCCAAGCAGGATGGTTCTGAGAGAGACCAGTGCAGGAGCCACGAAGCGGCTGCCCGTATCAGCTCACCGTCCAGCGAAGTAACAGGCCTGGAGCAAGCCATCATTGGAGTGTCTCTCTTCGAGCATAGTCATTCAGCAAAGAATCAATTTGCCCCAACTCGCCGGAGCAGAAAGGTTCCCCGGAAGTCTGATGCAGTTATGGCCAAAGCGGTTACCACCAACACTGAAGCAAGTGGTGAAAGATCATTCGAGCCGAAAAAGACGCCTGTCAAAGACCTGCTCGAGCTCCTGTCGCAAACGCATTGGGAATTCCGCAGAAGAACCGGGGGGGCTTTCATTTATGGCTATCGCTGTGAGGGAAGTCCTGAGTACGTCAAAATCGGTCGCACTGAGAGAAGTTCAGCTGAACGATTAGCTGAATGGAAACTTTGTGGCGAAAGTCCTGTGGAAATATACAGCTTCGCGACGCGGGGTAGTGGCAAGTTTGCAGAAGATCTCATCAAACTAGAGCTGCACCTAGAACGACGCAAGAGACCGTGTGCCAAGCACAAGAGAAACGATGGCGTAACGCCAGTCGAGCATAATGAATGGTTCAAGATTGAAGAAGAAGAAGCCATAGAACGATTGGAGCTTTGGGAACGATTCCACAAGCTGCACATGTACCACCGCAAGATTCCAACGCCTTATAGCAGACTGAGCGAGTGGGTCGGAGAGCAGATGGAAAAGATTGGCGAGTTCGAGGCTTGGGGTGGAGTTGCCACTGGAGTGCAGGCAGGGAAGCCAACCAGAACGAAGATCAAGGATGAAGAAACTCACCGACGGGAGATGACTAAAGTTTTGGATTCGCTTGGGAAGTTTTTGGATCTGGAGGAGGCGAAACGACGTCAAGCCAGATAGCGTAAGTATGAGCGCAGGAGATTGAGGCAGGGAGAATGCGGCACGAGCTCGGAGTGGAGGAGCGGTCCTCAGCTGCCGCTATAACACCAGAGACACTTCCTCGACCGTAAAGTTGAGGTGGAATTTGAGCCCTCCGCTTGTAACAACGTCTATATCCTCAGAAAAGCTCGAGTCTCAGGGCTGTGCGGAAGTCATTTGCAGACTTACTTGGCGGCTGTCCGTCGGGCGTAAAAATCGCAAGGGAAAAGATGATGCATGGTGAGGCGCAGGAGCGCGCCCGGAAAACGTCTCCCCACACCTAAGTGGCCAAGGATCAATCAAGGCCCGCCTCTCAACCTAATGCACGCGGTTTAGCATATCCGGGGTAAGGTATCACCCCACTGCTTCCCCACGGTTTTGTGACGAGCTTAGACTCGGAAGATTTATAAGGCGGCCGGCACAATGGCGGGTTTGGGCAGATTCAAGAATTGTGCGCAAGCCCAGCCAATGTTGAGACGAGGCCATCCGACACTTGAATCAACTTCACATTTCCTTTCCGCGTCTATCACAATTCGTAATCAGAGCACAACCGACCAAGAAGAACAGGCGAGGTTTCTCAGGTGTAGAAATGGCTGGCAACAAGACGGCACTCATATTTGGGGCCAGTGGTGTCACAGGATGGGCAATGGTCAATGAAATCCTGAACGACTACCCCAAAAAGGGCATTTGGAACAAGGTCTACGCACTGACGAACCGCCCATTGTCTCGGGAGGCTTCGTGTTGGCCCAATGACACAAGGCTCGACATTGTGTCGGGTGTTGACCTGCTACAAGGCTCACAAGAGGAACTCGAGCAGGTCATGAAGGATAAGATCAAGGGCTTTGGGAATGTAACACATGTCATCTATCTGGGTAAGCCATGGGCCATTACTCTAAGTATGAATTTGCATTGGTCCTAACACCCCGTGGAACGATCAGCCTACAAAGCTCAAGCCGACATCCCTGGGGAGCTCGAGGAGAACATAGCCATGTTCAAGCGCGCCATCACCGCAGTGGACAGGCTCTCGCCAGCACTCGAGTTCGTGGTCCTCCAAACCGGCGCAAAGACCTACGGGTGCCACCTGCTCGACGCCCACCCCGCAGACGAGCACATCCACGTGCCTCTCAAGGAGACCATGCCGCGCCTCCAGCAGCCGTACCACGACCAGCTGTTCTACTATCCGCAGCTCGACTGGCTGACGGAGTTTTCCCGCGGCAAGAAATGGGGCTGGAACGACACGCGACCGGACATCATCGTCGGGTTTGTGCCCAACCAGAATTTCTACTCGCTTGGCTCTGCGCTCGGTGTGTACCTGAGTCTGTGGCGGGAGAAATTCGGCGAGGGCGCGGACGCGCCGTACCCGGGCTCGACGAAGGCGTACAATGCACGGAGCATTGATAGCTCCGCGGACATGATTGCCCGGCAGACCCTGCATGTCATGCTCACGGAGCCCTGGAGCACGCGGCAGGGCGAGGCGTGGAATGTCGCGGACGCGCGGACGCCATCGACCTGGAAGGAGAAATGGCCAGTCATGTGTGCGTATTTTGGTCTCAAGGGGACAAAAGCGGCGGAAGATAACCCTGTAGAGGTGAGAACCTTCATCAAGGAGAACATGGACTTGTGGGCGAAAATGGAGAAGAAATATGGCTTGCAATCCGGCCATGCGGACAGCGAGAGGATCTTCAAGGGGTTTGAATACTTCTTGTTGACGCTGTTCAACTTCGACCGGCAGTATGATATGACTAAGATGTACGATGAGGCTGGGTTCACCGAGGAGCGGACTACTAAGCAGACCTGGGGTGGTGTCTGGGATCGGATGAGGGCCGCCAAGATCATTCCGGCCAGCTTCAGCTGATATTTTCGGGAACGCTCTTGAGGGATATCGGTGTTGCCGCTCTTGGGGTAGTAGGTCTGAGTACAGTGGAATGTACATCTATCGGTAAAAAACATCATTTTTTGCAAGAGGAAAGTCTGCTGCGGGTGTTTTGACCAAAGTCTGGGATCAGTTGCAACAAATCTAGCAACTATTGGGGCTAAGTTTTATCCATGTAATTGCTTCACAGGAGGACAATGTATGAACCACTTACTCTAGCGTTGATCGGACGGTGTCACAGTAGCTGGAAGAAAGCCATTCCAGCTTCCGCTCGATCTAATTTGAATCAAAGCTACCGTGTCACGAGCCAAGCCGGATATCACACCTCGGAACACAGTATTGTGGGAAGGAATTACCAGAATCTATTGTACAACCTCTAACGGTCTAGGCAAACAGACAGAGCAAGCTACTTTCCCTGGTAGCCGACGCCGTCCACCGCCGATGCTTCTTTTTGTCTTGTGTGGTCTATGCTGTAATGCATCTTCTGAAGCAAGTCTTGGGGAAAGAAGCCTCCCAAATATACACAGCCGCTCTGAGAGAAAAAACCAGAGCGACGAAAGTCTTGGGAAACGTCGCCGGTGTTGCCAATTCCCCGTTTATTGGCAAGAGAAGTGCAGAAAAGGTTGCGTGATGCTTTTCAAGACCAAAACTTCGGTGTATCATAAAAGTGAAATTCCAGCGCGGAATGGTCGTCCGTCCTCGTTCTACCCCCGCCCGACCAAAGAGATATCGAATGCGACTTTGTCGTCCCTGTCTACCGCAGCGTAGGCGGCGTATGATCGTTCGGGTCCGTTGTCGTCGAATTGTCGTAACATGGTGGCCGCTGTATGACAGTGCCTACTTATCTTAACATCTTCTGATGCGTTTCCGGCTTCGCGAAGACGTTTATTTGGCGAATTCAATTCCGCCAACGGCACCAAAGTACTGAAACAAAGCGAGATTCCCCGGTTAGCAAAGTTCTCAGAGCATTGGGGGAGGCGTGAAAAACCGTGAAAATGCGTGGTGTTGCGGACATCGGAGCTCTCGAATTCCGCGAAAAGTGGGACCGTGGCCCGATCGGGAAGCCATACAGTGGTTGTTCACAGTGTGCTTCGGATCGTGCACAGTCCCACAATCCGCGCATCGCACCGAGTATGGATTTTTTCTGGTGGCAGGGACAGGAAATAACTGGAGAAACTCACCTTCTTGAGGTCACCGAAGATGGCGAACTGACCGGCAGTCAGGGTGCCGACCATGAAGAGACGGGCACCGATACCGCCGTAAGAGCCACGGATGCCGAGCTCCTTGGCAATCTTGATGAGGCGGGAGGTGGTGCCCTCACCGGGAAGGCCCTTGGTCTTGTTGATCTTGGAAAGCATGGTATCGGCGGGCTGGGAGACAATGGCGGCGGCGAAACCGGCAATGAGACCGGAGCCGAGGTTGACGGTGGTCTGCATGCTGTCGGAGAGGGTGTTCTTGGGCCAGATGCCAAAGGCGGCCTCGGCGACCTTCTCGAAGACGACGAACTTGGCCATGGTGTAAGGGATCCTGAGGGAAAAGAGGTCAGAACAAATACTCGCTGCGGAACGAGAGTTTTCAGATATCACTCACTGCTTGAACAGGATGGGGCCGAAACCGGCGTAGAAGGCACCGACACCCTCGTTCTTGAGCATCTTGGTGAAGCCACCGACAAGGCCGTTGGCGTAGGTGGGCTCAGAGACGAGACGGATACGGGTGGCCTCGAGGGGGCAGAGGGCAATGTCGGCGAAGAACTCGGCGGCAGCAGACGAGGCAAGGTAGACACCAGTGCGGTACTGGGCGGCGGTGTCGTAGCCGAGCAGGTTGACGGACTGCTTCTTGAAGAACTCGTAACCTCCGAACTTGAAGGCGCCCTGGAGGAAGTAGCCGGCAAAGGTAGGGCCGAAACCAGTGAGGAGAGCACCGGCACCCTCGGAGGCAATGACCTGGCGGAAACCACCGATCATGCCACGGTTGTAGGTGGCCGGGTCAAGCTGGATTCTCGTCTTGACGCTGGCGGGGAGTTAGTCACTGCGGAAATCAGGCCAAAGACACAAGGCAAGACGTACACATCGACGGGGGTGAGGGCGCCGTGGGTGATGGAGCAGCAGAGCGCACCAGAGAGCGCAAACTTGCCGTAGAGCGAGGCAGCGGACTGGGTGGGAACCACCTTGGCGTCGACGGAAGAGGCCATTGTGAGGGTGAGGGGAGATGTGTCTAACTGGGAAAGTTGAAGACAAAGGAAGCGGTGACGATGAGCAGGAGGAAGAAGCAGGAGGGAAACAAAGAGGGTCAAGATTCCAGCAGTTGGGAAAGATTGCGCCTTGCAGGCCTTACCCAGGCTCTGAAAAAATCTGGGCGCGGGAACTGGGTCGCTGCGGCTTTTACAGGAGCCAGGGGGGGGCCGCTCGCCCAGAAGCGCCGCTATGCCAAAAGGAAAAACACGGCTGGGCGGCCGGGAGAGACAGACACTCCGGGCAAAACTGGGGCTCGCGACCAGCCTGGCCTCTGGTTTCCCTAGCCACGGCAATTTTCCGGACGGGGCCTCCGTCCCAGCCAACGAGACGACGCCCCTGGGCATGCCGCCCAAGCTGGTTGGCTATCAGGTGTCCTCTTCCACCCACCCTTTCGTTATCGGCCTATCTCGCGACAACTCGAGACCGAGTCGTGGACATTCATGAGGCGGCTGGCTGACTGTGTCGCGTATACATGAGTTGCTGAGCTGGGAGGCCAGTGTAGACCCATTACTGGTCCTCCATCCGTACAGAGTCGGGAGACGATACTCGTGCTCACTATAGTAGCCGCGCACGCGATGAAGACCTCGTCCATCGACGGATCCTGCATGGCGTCACCGGACCACTCGCTGTCCATGCTCCACTCTCGTGATTACTAGCCGTCGCGTTGTCTGGGCGGTCAGTCTCTCCCACGGAACCCCTCCGGCCCCTCGAAGGCGGGGAGTCCGTGCAGCCACTCCAGGGCAGCATTTCACATTGAACAAACGCTCGAATCGTCGCGAGTTTGCTGCAAACTCAGCTCAAGCTTGGTTTAGTTCGATCTTGCCGCGTTGTAACATACCTGCATTCTCTAGCGCGAACACCCTCGCGCAAATCTAGCCGCGCTCGCACAGTGACTAGAAAAGGGAGAGAAGAAAAAAACAAACCCAATCGCCAGAGCCGGCCAACCTACGTCAGAGCCTGCCAGGTACCACACACGCAAAGCCAATCTTGCCGCGCCGCCACCTCGGTCCTGCCGGCCGAGGGGCGATCACGGATCGCAAGTCTGGAATTTTTTTGGCTGTTGGGAAAGATGTCGCCCAGTCACGCTGGATGCCAACCTGTCAGCGCTGTCCGCCACTTTGATCCCCTCGTGCGACAATCATCATCAATTCCCGTTTCAGTGTTTTCCCGACATGTTAACTCCGTGATAGCAAAGATGTCATAGGGCGCCCTCCCAATCACACCCTACTGTATCCGAGTTGTGGCTAGCGCCATGGGGACCCACAATGGCCAAAGCAGGGGCCAATCGTGCGGAACCATCGGTACAAGGGGGGGGAGTCCCTCCAGCAAGGGCAGCAACAAAACACCAATGCTCGTCAATGTTGTTCCAGAAATCCGAACATGATCCTCCCACACTGACTTGAGGGTCTCTATTTTTGCAACAAAGAGGTCCGCGTGATGAGAGGGCCCTGCTGTATCGTCACCGCTATCCAGTTCCTCAGGATCGTAGTGTAAAATCACTTGACATGTCACTGTCCAGAAGAACGCGATCTTGTGAAGCCTGGTAGACAGCAAGCAGAAAGTCCAACATGCCTCAGCCTCTGTCACATTTTCACTTGGGACGACGTAAGGAAGGCCACTGTTCACCTTGCGTACTTTCTAGGCAGACCCGAAGAATAGTGCCGACGAGGATGCTTGCACAAGGGACACGCATATTGTAGATAACCCATCGAGGATTGATAGGTAATGACATTGTCGAACGGTAAAAGTTGAAACGAGACGTACTGCGCAATGTTGGCAATGCCCAAGACGTTATCCATTCTGCAATCTCAAAGTACGAGTCTTCTTGGTCATCATCTTGCATTCCTCACGGCACAAGATCAACCCACCACGGCTGAGAGGACGCCAGTGCCAAGTTCTTGAAATGCTTGGTATGTTTGGATGTACTTTTCACGCTACGAACACGAATCTCACAGGCACTCGCCATCGCTCAAGCCATCTTACCAGGCACGTATGGGTGCCCACTACTGAGGCCACCATCCACCGCCCACGCCTGGCCGTTGACATAACTCGACTCGTCGCTGCCCAAGAACAACGCCACGCGAGCAATCTCATCCGCATTTCCGCCCCGGCGCAGCGGGTTGAGCTGGCCAATCTTCTTCTCGGTGCCGCGCGACCGGGCGATCTCGTACGTCGGGGCCGTCATGCCCGTCTCGATCAGGCCAGGGCAGATGGCGTTGGCGCGGATGTTGGTGCCGACGAGCTGGTACGCAATGGTCTGGGCGAGGGAGATGACGGCGGCTTTTGAGGCCGAATACGGCGTGCTCCCCGCGTTCGAGCGGATGCCCGCGACGGAGGCGGTGCCGATGATGCTACCGCCCGGCGCGGGCTTCTCCGCCGACGTCTTCATCATGGCCGGGGCGCCGTACTTGGCGGCCAGCCAGACACTGGCGACGTTTACGTCGAGGACCTTCATAAAGTCGGCCTTGGACAGGTCGGCAAACGACTCGTGCGGGCCGACGATGCCCGCGTTGGCAAAGAAGACGTCCAGCCGGCCGTAGCGCTCGAGGGCGTCGTCGACGACGGCCTTGACCGACTTCTCGTCGGACGCGTCGAACTGGCGGACGTGCACGTCGACTCCCGGGAAGAGCGAGGCGATCTCGCGCTTGTGCGCCTCGAGGTTGGTCCCGTCAAAGTCGCACAGGTACACGGCGCGGGCGCCGTTCTCGGCGAACTGGTGCGCGCTGGCGCGGCCGATGCCCAGGATCGAGTTGGCGCCCGTCACGATGACGACCTTGCCCTCGACACGAGGGCCGGCAGACCTGCCGGCGATCTTGGTGATGGGCGGTGGTGGTGGAGGAGCGCCGCCGCCGGGGGCGAGCTGCTTGCCGAGGGCGGCGACTCTTTGCTTTGCTTGGTCTGCCATTGTGAGTGGTTTTTGAGTGTGGGCTGGGTCTCCCGGGATCGGCTGGGCAGAGGAGCTCAGATTGATGTGAGAAAGAAAGAAAGACGAAGCAGCTGAAGCAACAATTAAGTGGAGGATCGTCGTGAGCTGCCCAAGGTCCGACTGAATCCCCGAAAACAGTCGGCCAGGCGGGGACCTTGGGGTAAAGCTCCAGGCCAGGGGACGCCGCCGCGGGTGTGGAGCCGCAAAAGCCGGGGAGCCGAGGCTCACAACCAGCGCTAGCCTCAGCTGGGGTTGCCCTTGGAGTTAGTGGCCTTTTGAGGCTTTGGCGTGAACTGGACACAGCTTTGCACAACTCCTGCAAAAATACCGACGAGAACATATGATTGAGACATCGCTTGCGTGGCTGATTCAGGGTTTTGAAGAGCCAAGCCCATCAGAATATAGCCAAAGACATGCTTTCCATGACTCCAGGCAGTTGGAGGCGGACACCACCAAACATCGCTGGGGGCCTGTCTCGTGCATTCTACGGTCTTTATGCTTGGTGTTAATGCATTATTTGCCTGTCGTGTTGACTCTGTGGAGAAAAGCGATGCGTATGCCTCGCTCTTAGCTGTTTCTAGCAAATCAGTCTTTCATCGCAAGATAAGCTGACGTCAGAGAAGAAATTGATTTCTACGGTATATGTTTTGGCGTCTCTCGGAACAGAGAAATTCCCTTTTAATTGCGCTCGATATCAGTCCAAGGGCGAACAAAGTTTAGGCAGCAGGCCATCACGAACGACACGAACAGTGCATGGCTAATTTATGCCTGATTAACATAAAAGTCGTTCCCAGCGTAGAGGAAGTATTTACAAGACAAGTTTAATCTTTCGACTGGATGATGTTACCACTGACTTTGGAAGTTGTTACATGAGCGAGCAACGGCTTGCCAGCATCGCAGGGATTCCGCGATACAGCAAGGACACATTACCCATCATCATGAGCTTAGTGAATCGGATAAGTATCATGTGAACCAGCAGCAACGTGGGGTGGTGAGGTGCAATTGAGGATCGGACAGTAGTGTTTCCACCACTGAGAAACCTACAATCCCTGGTGCTATCATGATTCTTAGCCTGTGTCAGTGGACTGCACTCTTCTCCATGTTGCCAAGGACAAGGGCTGTTTTGAAGGATCTGCTGCTTGCCACTCACACAACGCGCTCCACTTTGCGTGCCGGACGTAGACGCCGGAGCTTCATCCTCCACAACACACCCCCGGCCGAGGATCTGCGCTGCATGACCATGCAGGCAGGACAAGCGTTCCCGTCGCCGGACAACCTCTGGTGGCAGGCACGACGGAGAACTGAGAGAGCGAAAGACAAGGTCTGATTGGGGTTTGACTTCCTGAAATGGCAAGCTTCTGGACGGATTTGAGCTCAATTTCCAGGAATCAGAGCCGAGATCACCACTTACCAGCAGCGAACATGTTCTCCGCAACTCTTCATACTGGGGGATGACCATAGATATAAAAGAACCAAGTCGAGACAACTCCAACCAACACACTAATTCATGCCCAGCTTCCACTATACCATATCTGTCCAAAAAACACAAGCCACCCAATTATGAAGACATCCGCCATCCTCACGGCCCTCGCGGGCCTGACAACAACCCTCCCCAGCCTCGCCACCGCAACACCGACACCGACGACGCTCGACAAGCGCGCGACCACCTTCTGCGGCGACTGGGACTCTGCCGCGACGGGCGGTTACACCGTCTACAACAACCTCTGGGGTAAAGGAGCGGCCACCTCGGGATCTCAGTGCACGACCCTGACGGGCGTGTCGAGCGGCAACCTGCAGTGGTCTACGAGCTGGTCGTGGCAGGGCGGCAACTACAACGTAAAGTCGTATGCCAATGCCGTGCTCACGAGCGCCGCGCCCAAGCAGCTGTCCGCGATCCAGAGCATTCCGTCGACTTGGCAGTGGTCGTATGTATTTTCACCCCCTGTTCCTTTGCCTTTAGACACGATGACCATGGGAAGCTTCCGATATCCTGCGCTGCATCACTAACCTGGGCCCGATATCCTTCGGCAAAAAATACAGCTACACCGGCTCCGGCATGGTAGCAAACGTCGCCTACGACCTGTTCACCTCATCGGTCCCGTCCGCCTCCTCCACCCCGCAGTACGAGATCATGATCTGGCTCGCCGCCCTCGGCGGCGCGGGGCCCATCTCCAGCACGGGCAGCCCCATCGCGACCCCGACCATCGCGGGCATCAGGTGGAACCTGTTCAAGGGCCCCAACGGGTCGATGACGGTCTTCAGCTTCGTCGCGGCCAGCGGGCAGCAGCCCAACTTTAGCGGCGACCTCAACGGTTTCGTCAGGTACCTCACGAGCAGCCAGGGCTTGCCGGCGAGCCAGTACCTGAACAGTCTCGGGGCCGGGACCGAGCCGTTTGTGGGGAGCAACGCGGTTTTCAGGACCACGGCTTACCGCGCGGCTGTGAACTAGGCGCCCGGCAATGCGGTGGCTGGGCAAAAGCACGTCTTGTAGACTTATCACTTGCGGGGAGATGGCTAGGAGCAAGACGCAGACACTGTGGAGAGAGCAGGACTTCTGACGTGCTGCTCGTGACAACCGCGAGATCCGAGATCAAATGAGTATATAGTGTAGAACTGTGGGTATATAGCTTAAGGGGGATGATCACAAGGCAGAATACTTATGTGGAAACTAAAAACCTCATACCGGAAGTGGCTGTGGAAAGCATGTCTATCGCCAGTATTCAGAAGACTCATAATGCGTGGCGATGTTTGCCCTTACTAGTTCGATCCGCCCATCCCACTGCTCTGCCGTCCCCCTGGCACCTAACCGGAACTGCTTGATGGCAGCTACCACATCCTTGAGCGGCGCCGCTATCGCGGCCGCAGACTTGAGGGCCGTCTCAATGTTGCGGGGCACGGTCATCACGTCCCACGCATCGAGGAAGATGTACGATCCGGGGGGCACGCCAGCGGCGACGTGGTTCGGTGTGACGGGTCCAATCCTAGTGCGGAGACGGGCGTCTTGTACATTCCACATGTACTCGTTGATGGCAGAGTAAGTTCCTAGCTCTCCGCTGCCGATCCAGATAGAAACCGAGAAGATGTTCCCAGTCCATGAGTCTGAGAGTTCTGGCTGCCAAGTGACGTATTCGTCGTGATTCTCCGAGTACGGATATGACTTGAGCCGACCAGTGGCCCAGCTGCCAAAGGACGATGGTGTTGAAGAGTTTCTTGTGAAAGACGCCGACGCTTGAGCTTGCACTTGCTCCTTCCTCGTGTTCTTGCTAGCATTCCCTCTCGATGTGATATCCCAGTAGCTGTCATCTGCCACATCGTCGGATGTGGGATCAAGCAACGCGTCAAAGTCGACATCATTTCTGGATGCTGTATAGGAGTAGTCTTCTGAGAAGTCTGGCTCGACCTCAAGGCCGAGAACTTGTAGGCCTGAGAGAGATGAGGGTCCTCTCCCACGTAAGCTAGCCTGGGCGCCTCTGACTTGTCTCTGCTGCTGCGCTAGCAGCCTCAGAAACCGGATTATCTGATCGATGATGGGCCCGCTAGATCGCGCTGGGATATTTGTCAAGATAAGTTTCCGGAGCCGTGGATTCGTGTCTGGCACGAAAGATCTAGGGTATGCTCGCTGCACGGTTCCGTAAATCTTTGCCTCTGCGAGGCGGAGAGAGGATGCCATGGACGCGCCTTCTACGGAAAGCGTCGGCACGCGAGTTACAAAGGAGTGATGAACCCGAAGAGAGCGGAGGTTGGAGGAGAACACCGGTCGAAAAAGGTGAAACGAGTTCGTATAACCATATCCGCGCATGGTCCTGGCCTTGTTACGGTCATCTTCGTCTGGACGGTTCCTCAGGCACAGAGGGTAGTCGCACTCAAAGTGCTCGATAGTGCCGGGAGAAATCCGCATGAGCCTCTCAATTCCAGACACTGTGAAACGGTTCCCATTCAGGTACAAGTGCGTCAGCCCGCCCTGTGGGAGCGACTCCCGTGCCGCCGATTTGCTGGGGCGGGGATCGCCAGTGGTAGCAGCCAGAGCTCCACGTAGGATGACGTCCTTTAGTGACTGCGCATCGTCACCTCGACAGGCGTCCAAGCCATTTGATCGGACCGCCTGCCACTCCTGCAGCTCGTCTTGGTGGTGCCTCGAATACATGGGAGCGTCTGCAAGATAATGCTCAGGGTGCTTGTTCGACATGCTAAAGTCAGACTCCTCGATGAAATCGAATGGGCCATGGCTGAGCGTTCCGACGTCCTTGGGTCGTGTGAGCTTGCCCTCCTTCTCAAAGTGTGCTCCTGAGCGGATGGACATGGCAGGAAAACAGTGAGCCGCGAGATCGTTAATGATGGCGTCAGTCAGCTTGTTCTGGCTGATGTCGAGGCTCCACAGTTGCCGCGAAAAGGTCTGGAAGAGAAGGCGGGCAGTGTCGTCGTCCATTTCGCGGCCACGAGCCTTGAGCACTTGTAGCTGGGGCAAGCACCGCGGGTTCAGAGAAGATAGCAGGGCAGAGCGCATTGAGCCGGGCACATGAGAAACGTCGAGGTAGACGAGGCTTGACAAGTAGTCTGACCGGAAGAACTTCTGGCTGAGTTCTTGAGGGCAGTGGGCGAGGTCGAGCAGCTGCAGGGGATAGACGGTGTCGTTGTGAGCTTGTTGCAAGGCCAAGTGGGCCGGATCGAGCTCCGGGTGGCCATCGATCAGGAGGCAGACGAGATTTGGGAACAGCTGTGGCAGTTGCCTGAAGCTCTCTGAGATGGCCCGCTCACTGGCCTCGGTTGAGTAGAGGCCAGAAGCACGAAGGGCAAAGAAGCGGAAGTCCAAGGAGCGCACGAGACTGCGCGTCTCTGGCCTAGTCCTGGGCACATGTTTGTGAATGAAGCGACGATACCAGGCGAGATCTGTAACTGTCAGTAAGGTGGCCCCGTTGGTGACACAGGGGAGGCGGTTCTTGCTCACCATCGTTAGGGTCGAGCCCGAGCTGACGGATGGCGGAGAGGGGGTCTTGCCAGAGCCGCGGGGCAAAGAGGCTGTAGAAGCGACGATTGACGAGGCAGCACGCAGGCAGGCTTGGAGTTGGCAGATATGAGGCGGCAAGGCCCAGCCAGTCCGTCTCTGCAGTGGCTTCTTCGTACGAGGGGAGGTCTGCCATGACGGGAGTATCATATGGCTACGATCAGCAAACTCGGCCGGGGAATATTGTGTCGCTGGAGTCGCGAGGAGAAGACATGGTGGAGGAGGGCGCGTCGAGACAAGAAGAGGAAAGCAAGGCTTGCTTGTGACTGCGGACTGCTCAGTCGATTGCAGCAGCCAAAGTGCAAGAATGCAACAACCACTGAGGCGTGGGTGCGGGTGGTTGATGTCATTCGCTCGACGGGGTCTTCTGGCAGTGAGTGACAGCGCTTCGCCACAACCGCAGCAGCCGCTTGGCAGGCCACCATCTCCGCACCAACCACTGCCAGCACGCGGCTAAGCCGGCACTCCACGCACGTGGCTGCATGGGGGTTCTTCCCCAGACTCCCGCATTGTTGGACAGAATGCTAAGACCCCAAAATAGGTCACATCATTCGAGAAGACGAGACCACTCTACCAGCATAGACTCGTTGGCTTCTTGGCCATTCTGTTCGCCTCGAGTTGAGCTTGGGTGGTTTGCTATCTTGCACCAGGTCGCTGATGTGCTGGAGGTTTGAAGTGTGCGTTTGCGAGGGCTAGTGCTCAATTTTCTGCTCACGATGCAATGTTGGTGTCTGCATTCGGCCGAAGGCGGGTTTCAACGTTTCTACGTGAATGCTCAAAACGTCGCCGGGGAATACATTGATGTCCGTTGTGCAGCGTGAATATGGCCATGCGCTGTAGACAGTGAGAATGAGGCCTACTGCAGTGTGAAAATGAGAGAGAGGATTGTCGACTGCAAACCACGAGCCTCAATGGCGTCCTCGATGCATTGTTTGATACCGCGCTTGTCCACTCTCAGCAGCAACGCTCACAGCGAGACTTGAAAGCGTGGGCCGTAGGTGTACATTTCTCCGGACGTGACTGGCAACGACAAACCCCATCGTCACAGCCGCGAACTATCTCCCAACCGAACATTGAAGCAGTGTTTGCGGGACAAACATTTGCACGATAATCGACTCTAAACGGACAGGAGTCATTCTTTATATCGCACCCTGGATCGCGGAACTGCAGAGCGCTTGTGTATCGACACATATTGGTCGACACTCGCTTCCGTCAAAACGCAGAGGCTTCCCCACTGCGGACACCACTGTCACTTGAGATGATACAGAATACTAGACTGCATTCGACAAACCAGGAATACCACTGTGTCAGAATTCTGAAGTGCTACGTCTCGAGGAAAGCATTATACGAAGTCAACGTCGCCAAGACGACATTGCCATCATGGCCTCACCACCACCTCACAGCAAGTCCGAAGGAAGGACAGCGGCCACTCACCTTACTGGACTCCGAGATCCTCCAGAGACACTCCAAGACAGAATCTCTCAAAACCCGCAACGCAATTCGTCTCACTCACTTGGGGAAGACAATGGTCTTATGCCACTTACATTCGAAAATCTTGAAGCCGCAGCTGCTCTAGGCCCCAACAACAACAACCACAACTTCACCATTTCGGAGCATCTCTTCATCCAGATCCCCTTGCCGTTCAGCGACCTCGACGACGAAAACGACGACGACTCCCTGCCAACAGCAGAGATCACTCCTCCGGGCTCATCAACAATGGCCTCCTCGTCACCACCCTCTCGCTGCTCGTCACCACCACCAGCACCACCAGCACCACCAGCACCACCAGCACCACCAGCACCACCAGCACCACCAGTACCACCAGCACCACCAGCACCACCGCCACTACTACTACCGCCTCCCCCGGCACAGGTTCCGGGCATCTGGAAATGGCAGTGCCACCACTGTAAGCACCGCCAGCTGGTCGCCGCAAGACAGTGCCTCGAGTGCGGACATAGGCGCTGCCTCAGGATCTCGCGAAACACGGAGCGGCTTTCGGCCAGCGAGCACCGCAAGAGGGCAAGGGAGAGGTACATGAAGTCGCGCTGGGGAAAAGGAGAACAAGACGCTGCTGGGGAGCACATGCAAATGCAAAGGCAAGGACAAGGGCAAACGCAAGAGAAGCTTGTCACGGCAGAGGGAGAGATGGGCGAGAGGCGGAGACACAAGGTCAAGGTTCGCAGTGAGCGCAGCAAGGACTGCGGATCTGGCACTGATGCAGCCGAGGCATCAACGAGCAGCGAGCCACTGTCATCATCAGAAGCCGAGAGTAGCTCTGGGTCTGCCAGCCAAGACGATGGTCACGACGCCATCGGAACTGCTCAGGGTGTGACCAAGGCGAACAACCACGCCGACGAGCCATCCCCGCTGTCCGAGATCGCAAGCATCGCCACCACGACGACATCGTCCATGTCGGAACCAGCTCTGTCACTGCAACCACAGCAGTCTCAACCAGCGGCAGCAGAGACAAAATCATCAAGTGAAGGTCTACCACCACCACGCGCATGCCCACCGATCCCTCCTCCTCCCCCTTCTTCATCACCAACAAGTCCCCCTCCCTCACCCACAACTCCTCCGCCACACCGACAGAAGGCCGGTGCCCCCACGGCGTATGAAATACAAGCCCATCACAAGCGCAAGCGCAGCCAGACGCAGTCGTGCCAAGAGCACTTTGACTACACCGCGTGGAACGAGTGGGGCGAGTGGCGGCGCGAGGTCAAGCTCAGGCGCCTGGCGCGGGACATGCAGGCAGAGCAGGATGAGCAGGAGGCGTGGATGAAGGCGAACGAGGCTTACACGAATTCGCTGATGATGATGACAACGACGACGACGACGACGACGACGACGATGGAAGAGCAAGAGCGCAGGCGGGAACAAGGGGAGGAGATGGGAGCAGGAGGACGAGAGCAGGCAGATTTCGTCAACGACCGCAGCCAGGTTATTGCAACTGCTTGCGATGATTACGATGGACAAATCGCCGACACCGGGGATTTCGCGTCGGGCACCGATACAACCGCACAGCAACAAGATAGAGAACAGCCGGCACAGGGGAAAAGCCAGCACGGGTCGAGCCCGGGCCCCCGCCCGCCTACACAGGACTGGAGCAAGAGATTTGAGCCCGACTGCTGGGCCGACTGCAGATATCCAGGCCAATGCAAACGGCACGACAGAAGCGCCGCCGCAGAAAAGCAGTGGCACCAGCAGCGCATCGACAAGGATGTGTATCACAATCCTGATCGCGGCGTTCAGAGAAAGCACAAGGCGGACTGGGAAAACAAGACGGCCGATTGAAAGGTTGGTGCCCGGTATTATCTGGAGGGATGAAGTCGCCAGATCACGGGGGTATATTTGTGGCGCTGGTGAAGAACGATTTGGCACAATGAAGGAAAAGCGACGGGTGACGATGCAGAGTGATTGGCGGAAATCTTGATGGATGTGAGCTGGTCTCACTTCCTTTCCCACGAAGCAGACTTCAGTTTGGCGAAGCGATGCTTTGTTGTCCAGTCTCAGGTGCGACGAGCTCGAGAAGTCTTCGCTGGGAACTAAAATCATGATGCAACAATGACTTGTATGCAAGAAACAAAAGCACTTGCCAGGAAAGACAAACCAAGAGCAGAAGCAGAGTGTCTGACAAGATGTATAAGTGGAATTGGCGCCTACGCTATGTATACTTAGAAAATGCGGAGATCTCTGTTGGGCAGAGTACATGAATATAGATCGTCGACATTTCATGGACGGCATGAACGTCGTTGGCTAGGATATTTTTTCGAGAGGAGCAGACCGCTGACAGAATCGCCTATCGGTATTTTGCCGGCAGAGACATGCGTCGATCGCGTGCCTCGATAGCGTCCATCAGCGAAGCCACCTCGTCTCTATCAGCGCGCACGGACAACGGCGGTGACGGAGCAACAGGTGCAACAGGGGGAGGTGGAAGAGACAACATCTGCGGACGCGGAGGCTCGAGAAACAAGTCCGGGTCCCGCTCGAGCTCGGCCACGGTGTGGTATTTTCCGACGTGGTTGACGAGTGTCTCGACTGTGGGACAGATGGCGTCCGCGTCGCGATGTCTTGAACACAAGACGCAGGCATACTCGCCGTCTGGCGTGTGGCACTTCACGATAAACCGCTGGCCCAAGTGGAATGACCGTTCCTCAATGACCTCTTTGTCATAGCCATGACTATCAGACACCAATACTGGAGTCCGCTTGTTAATCTCCCAGAAGTCATCTGACTCGACGTCGACGCGAAGCCCGCAGTCTGGGCATCGGCATGCGCCTCCCGGAGCAAACGAAGCGGCCAGCGGCTTCTTCTTGATGTACTGAATGTCAAGGCTGTAGCGACAGTACAGCGGATCTGTGTCGACCAGTGTGGACGCACGTTTCGGAGGAGCGTATGACCGCTCTGAGGATGACGCCCTGGAAGATGCTTTGGCCGAGGGAAGGGCTTTCTGTGGCGGCGCCTCGAGGGCAAGCATCTGCCGCTCCTTCTGCTCTCTTAGTGCGTCCAGAGATCCGTCTCGCGCAGCGTTGGAAGCGGCCACGAGCTGCTTCATGTCTGCTTGAGACAAAGGCCGACCAGTCAAGAGGGCATCCTGGAGCACGTTGATGACTGTCTGCTGCAGGGCAATGACCTGTGCCTGGAGCCTGTTCTCGGTGATGGCGTCTCCTATGGCGAAGCGACGGCCAAACTGGTCGTAACCTTCGTCGAACTCGCGGCGGATCATGGCTCCGGACCTTGCGAGTGAAGCCCCGACATCATCCTTGGCTTGCGGCTGCTTCTGGCTCTCCTGGTATCTGTTCTCTGCCTGCTCAATCTGCTCCTTGAGCTTGTTGATCTCGTCGTCTTGTTTGAAGTCCCGCTTCCTCTGCTTGCGTTTGTCCTGCACCCGATCCCATAAGCCCATGGACGACGAGAACGTGCCGACGAGTGTGGAGCACAGGGTGGCGATGATGAAGGTCTTTTTGAGGTTCTTCTCCTCAATCATGTTAGAGTAGTTCATCTTGGGCACTTGGTGGCAGCGTCGAGGCTGCTGTGGGTGGTTTGATGAGTGGCAGTCTTGAGAGGATGAAGATGGGGAGCAGCGGGATGCTCGATCACGAGCGGATAAGTGCTGAGATAACCAAGCGGGCGGCAGTTGCTTGCTGGCTGGCTGTGGTTCCTCGAGTGTGAGTGATGTGGAGAACGGAAATCAGACCGCCTCGCGTCAGGGGAATGTGCTTGATATGGGCCTAGGAGGGAAGGGTAAACACCAAGCTAGAGCCAAGAGGGACGCCAAGAGACGCCAGATGACGGGGGACTGGGACCCGGGGTGCTTTAGAGTTGTGGGCAGGAGCGGAAGACAATGTCCCTTGTGGCACGGGGTGCGGGAGAAGTGGGAGCTCATTGAGATTGGCTGAGGGGTTTGAACGCCGGCAACTGATGACGATGACGACGATGGTGGGGGGACAGCTGCTGGGGGGTTGGTTGAGGCTTCTCGCTTACAGTACTGTCCAGAGCCTCTGATGGTCGCGTGTCACCACTTGAGCGACTTGATCCGCGAGAGTTGATTGCTCAGTTGGTCGGTCCAGCACGATGTGATATGTGTGAAGGGACCAACGGCCGGACTGCACAGAGTGAGACAGAGGCACTCTGCAACGGCAAGACTGACAAGTCAGGACAGCGCCCGAAGTGGGACTTGCCGCCCAAGGAACGGCTCGGCTGACTCTCCGGGTTCTGGGATGTTCCCTGACGCAATGGGTGCATGGTCGAACTGCGCTGACCGCAACTCTGACACCTGGGGACACACGAGCTCTGCATCGGACATTTGCGGACTTGGGCAGATGGCTGGCTGCCTATGGCAGGAGGAGGGGGATTTGATCGTAGACAGGGAAGCCAGACCCTGCATCGACTGGATCCTGGGATCGGCTCCTCCCACGCCAGTGACGTCAGCCGGCAGCGCGCTGCAGCATCGTGGGTCTGGAGCCACCAGCTCCTCCAGTAGCACGTAGCACGATAACGCAACCACTTACTGCTTTACATGCTGCTCTTATGTACTGCAACGTGGAGGGTCTGGCTCGCACAGCTAGAGCCGAACTAGGCAGTGCGGCCGCTACTTTGCTCCGGAGTCGCGAACTGGCGTGGCCTGCACCGCTCATGCTGAATGACGATGGGCTCCGAAAGCTAGGGCCTGCGAGCACTGGCTGGACCCAACCATCTCGATGGAGTGACAAGAGCCCTGGGTGGACGAGAGCAGACGACTCTTTTTCATGCATGCAGGTCGATATGGATTAGCGCGACAAACGGGAAACGACTCTGACATGCCGCTGTCGCTGGTCTCGTGATCGCTGTCTTTCGAGGCTGGAGTCTGGGACAGTGAGGCGGATGCCCGGTGCGGGGGCCACTCGTTCGTTCTGCTCACTCCAACGTTATCGCAAGCTGGTGGGAGAAATGGCCCACTGGCAGCGACCACCGCACCGACCAGGCTAGCTGGACGAGAAGTGGGGCCGCTCAATCCCCGCGACGCGCTTGCCAGAACCACTTTACGCGTCGAGCTCAACCTCATGAACCATTTTCACAGACCTTAGAGGCCGACCAGATCAGCAGGCGGCAAGTAGCAGCACGACACTACAACCTCACCACTAGACGACTCGAGATAAGCAGTCTTTTCAAATCCCCTTTGCATCTGCAATATCACAATCCGGCACTCCCCCAACACGCCCAGACTTCGCCATGTCCGACTACGAGGACGAGATGGACGTCGACGTCCCCCCGTCCAAGGACATCACCTTCTCTTCCGATAACACGGCCAAGGGCAAGCGCAGCGCCGCCAACCTGCCCGTCGAAGCAGAGGACACCCTGCCCTGGGTTGAAAAGTACCGCCCCGTCTCCCTGGCAGATGTCTCCGGCCACCACGACATACTCGCCACCATCAACAAGTTTGTCGACTCGAACCGCCTGCCCCATCTCCTCCTATATGGCCCCCCCGGCACCGGCAAGACGTCCACCATCCTCGCCCTCGCCCGGCGGATATACGGCGCCGAGAACATGCGGCAGATGGTCCTCGAGCTCAACGCCTCCGACGACCGCGGCATCGACGTCGTGCGCGAGCAGATCAAGACCTTTGCCTCGACGAAACAGATCTTCACCATGGGCGGCGGGCCGTCTCGCGCGGGCGGCGGCGGCGGCGTGGCCGGTTTCAAGCTCATCATCCTGGACGAGGCCGACGCGATGACCAACACGGCGCAGATGGCCCTGCGCCGCATCATGGAAAAGTACACGGCCAACACGCGCTTCTGCGTCATTGCAAACTACACGCACAAGCTCTCCCCCGCGCTGCTCTCGCGCTGCACGCGCTTCCGCTTCAGCCCGCTCAAGGAGGCCGACATCCGCGTCATCGTGGAGAAGGTGATTGTCGAGGAGAACGTCAAGATCGCGGCCGACGCGACCGACTCCCTCGTCAAGCTGAGCAAGGGCGACATGCGCCGCGCGCTCAACGTCCTCCAGGCGTGCCACGCGTCCAGCGCGCCCCTGCAGGTCCGCGGCGAGCCCAAGGTCCCCGAGAAGGATGTCGTGCGCGACACCATCACCGAGGAGACCATCTACAACTGCATCGCGGCCCCGCCGCCCGAGGCCATCGTCAAGATTGTCGACACGCTCCTGACCACCAGCGACGTCACGTCGTGCTTGTCCACAATCAACACGCTCAAGGTGCAGAACGGCCTGGCGCTGGCGGACATCATCACCGCGCTGTCGGAGCAGCTCGTCACGATGGAGGTGAAACCCGAGGCCATGATACGGTGGCTGGATGGCCTGGCGGAGATTGAGTACAGGGTGTCGGGTGGCGCCAGTGAGGCCATTCAGACAGGTGCCGTGGTGGGTGTCGTGCGGGAGGGCTGCGAGCTGATGGGCTGAGAGTCGAGACTGGAAGCATTGACTGTAACAAGGTCTCGAAAAAAAGGCATGCTGATAGACGGGTCAAACATATTAATAACGAGATCATGAACACTTTTGCACACCACGGCGCTCTTATTTCACGTCCTGGCGGACATTTGCCGGTTTCTGTCTCATTGTTCTATTTTGTCTTCTGTGTATATGTTGTCGTCAAGCTTCGTTGTTATCCCGAGATAGTGGGCACGTCTTGATGACCTGGCTCTTGAGATATCTATTTAGATCGAACCGAAGCTCCGCCCCGTAGCCGTCGCGGCCCAGGTTCCAGTACTCCTCCATATCGTAGCGCTCGTCCCAGCCAAAAAGCTCACCGTCCATGCTTGCGCTCACCAAACCCGTCAACGTCTTGCGGATCTGCGGCAGCAGCACAAGCCACGACGTGTTGCGGAGCGCAATGTTGTGCAGTGACAGAGCCTCGAGTGTGTCCTTGTGCCGCTTGAGCACGGCCAGCAGCTCCTGCCGCTCGGTCGAGATGTTCTCGAGCTTTAGCGTGGTTAGGTACTCCCATCTGTGCTTTGGCTGAATCACGTCGTCCAGCCGTGCAGGGAAATCCAGATTCACCGAGTTGTATAGGAATGAGACTTGCAGGTTCTCGAGGTTCTCCAGGCATATCAAAAAGTTGCGCAGCATCCCTGTCGACATCACCCGTGCGCACTCGAGCACCTCTGTGCCAAAGCCGTCGTGGTCGTCGGGCTGGTGCCTGTGTCCAAGACCCAGCGGATCCAGATTGACCTCGTCCAAGTCGTCGTCGTCGTCATCATGATCACGGCCCGCGAGGTTCCCTGGCTCCTTCATGCCAGTGTCGATGCAAATCCGGAATGTTGTTAGATCTCTACACGTCTCGAGTGCACGGCCCAGCACCGCCTTTTCCTCCTCAAAGAACCGCCAGCTCAACAAGCCCAAGGTCAACGACTCGAGCTTGACAGCGGACGGGTTGTTACTCCTCACTGCCGCCAAAGCCTCCAGAAACGCCACCGTCTCACGCGTCCCTCTTGGTGACGGCGTGGGACCAGGAAACACCAGGCACTTATCAAATGGCGTCCTGGCCCCTTGCGTGGCGAACTCCCAGTACGACGAGAACGTGAACTCGCGCAGCGAGGTGAACCGCCTGACCGCCTCGCCCAGCGCCGCCGTGTCGAGGTCGTGCGCAAACATGAAGTCCTGCTCAACCAGGGTTTCCGTGTACTCGCGGTACATGGTCTTGACGTCGTCGAGCTGGAGCGCGGCGGTCTCGGCGGGCGTGCGGCCCGTGGGGGTCAGGGCCACGAGGGACTGTCCGTTCTGGAAGGGCTGGAGGACGGCGCTGCTGGCGATGCCGTGCCTGGCGCGCAGGTCGTTGACCATGCGCTTCATGGCGCGTGCCCCTTCAAACTGCCTCGAGAAGGTGTCCAAGTCGAGCTTGGGCCGGGGCAGGACGTGCCCGATCCAGACGAGGGTGCGCACATTGGGGGCCACCACGGGGTCGAGCGAGAGCTGCTTCAGCATGGCCAGGTCGCGCTTGTGCGGGTAGATGACGAGTCGCCGGTGGACAAACGGCGCCGCGGCCGCCGCAAAGGCGTGGCAGCATACCCGGAAGCGGCGGATGTCCTTGACATCGAGCAGCGAGCAGATGATGTAGAGGATGTCGGGGATACAGATGCTCGGCTTGGTCACAGTGTTGTCGTGCTGGCCAGGCGGATCGTCCATGGGGAAAGAGGTTGAGGGGCGGGAAGGACTGCCCTGTTTTTGGGGAGCCACGACGGGTGTCTGCCGATGGCGTGGTATCTACTTCCAGGTGTATCAGATGGCAAGTCGCCGGTGCATCACGCGTCCTGCTGACCCTACGTGATTGTTTCCTGTGCAAATCTTGAAGTCGGCAGGTTCATCCCCCGTGTCGTGCATGCCCGGCTCGGTGAAGCCGCCCCACTTTAAGCATCACCGCTGGGCAGATGCAGTTCGAGGCAAGACCAGCCATGCCGTGAAAATGATATAACATTCATGCCTTCTGCGAATTCTGCCTTGCAACTCAGCCAAGCCATCTTGGTTATTCTTCTCTGCAGATCATTCTCTTTCATCTTCCGTTCGTCGATTTCTGTTGTGACTGGAGACGCCTCTCATACCTCCAGCAATGCGATAAGCGGCTTGGGCTGGATGAGGGTCGTGTGTCTGGGAGAAAAGAAAATCGGGAGTGCTCAAAGCGTGTTCTCTCATGTATTTGGTCAAGATGAAGGTATTTTATGGTCTACTCTCACAATGTCATGTTCAGCAGAGAAGTGCCACGCTCCTCTCTTGTGACACTCACAGGCTGTTTGGCCCGCCAGGTGCCCCACTTTTTGAATGTCGTTCCTGGCCGCCTGGTGAGATCTACGCTGGTACATCTCAAGCCCCCCAGGGGAGGAGATAGAGATATCTACCTCACAATAGTTGATTAAGGCGTGGAATTCAGGAATCGGAACATGCCTGCACCAAATTCCCAACCTAGTCTCTCGGAGCGGGAGGGGTTGTGAACAGAATACACCACACAGGGTGTGGGGTCTCTTCAGTTGGAGGGTGGCCATTGATCAGCGACCTCATTATCACCGCGGGGGACCTAGGTATAATACCAACTTAGCGCAATGTTGCATAATATGGCATAACCAGAGATAGCATCTGAACGCCAACAATCGTTGGGCTTCCAGCAACGTCTGGGCACGGAATGAAGATGCATGCTCGATTGTGACGACTCGTATGTGCACGGATAAGTAGCCAGTCTCTCGAGTTCCCAAGCACGCAATTCCCAGCGACTGGGCACGTATCGCACGGTGAAGTTGACTCAATCAACCCCTCCAAGTACAACGACGCTGCTCCCAGCCACCCGACTTCAGCTATCGCTGAGCTTAGAACGGGTGCAGGTCCATGACAGGGTGACACCATAGTCCCGCAGGATGACAGCGGACGTTGATTGGCCACTCTGGGGCCGCATCCGTCCTAGCCAGCACTAGCAGGGGACGCATTAGCATGGGTTGTTGCTGGAGATCCATGCCATCTCGAACTGCTTTCCCCGCACCAGATTGGCCTTTCTTACTTGGGCAGACCCAGGTAAGGCATTGACGGCCGTAGCTCTTATCTCGTGCTTGCCTTTGCCTATGGCGATGTCAAGTGGTTTGAATGACGCCGTCAGACAGGGGGAGCAACATGCCGGTGCTCACCAGCGAATGGCGGCCCTGCCCGCACAAGGCTCACAGCTTTTCCCATGGCCCCCAGCGGCGTGCTAGGCAAGCCAAGCTGGCCACATGTGGTCAGGTGGGAGCATTCGCGATAGAAGGTGCAGCGAGAGCCCGTGGCAGTATTGCACATTCAACGGTGAAGCCAAGGCTGAACGGCTTCCCAGACCCGAGAAGTGCTCGGAGTCAGCATGGCCGTACGTACGTCAGTCACTTAGCTGCATCTGACAAGGTTCCAATAGTGTGCCCGACCCCCCAGGAGCCTCTGTCGAAGCGGCGTATATGATGGCGTACAAGATGTCTAGGATGGCCGGTTCTGGAAAGCCGGGCTCTTCTGTCCCTTTATCCCAATTGTACTTCGTCTTTCACCGCCTCAGAGTTTAAATTTGTCATTCCCCCATGAACTGCTTGACTCCGTGTGAGCAGCACATCACCAAGTGAAGAAGCTGGCACAATGCACGCTTTCATCCTCGGCGCAGTGGCGGCGCTGATTCTGCCCTCGGGCACAGCTGCCCAGTCGAATTCTGGCGGCAGTACTGAGAAAGTCTTGTCTTCATTTGTGTATGCATTGCACGGCGAGCGCACGCCACCAGGGCCCGACTCGCAGCCCAGCCTGACCTCCCTCGGGGCGCAACAGCTCTACTCTCAGGGCAGCTTTTTGAAATCGCGCTATCTCTCCGGATCGTCAGGCAACGGCACCGATGGCTCGGCCAGCCATCCTATTTCCAACATTGACGACAAGGCACTCTTCACCAGCCAGCTATCAGTCTCTACCAGCACGGATGACTGGGTCTTTGGCAGTGCTCTCGCATTCACGCAAGGCTTGTACCCTCCGGTCACGCAGGTCTTTGCGCAGGGCAATGGTGTCGCCAATTCGAGCTACTTGGCCAATGGCACATTGGTCGTCTTCCCGCTCGACGGGTATCAGTACCCCAACATCCGCACCCTGTCGATTCTCGATCCGAGCTCAATCTGGTAAGTCGAAATGATGTTGATGACGAGAATCGCGCGGGTCAGCGCGAAATGAGATGCTGATTCGAATGCGGCATGCGCAGGCTCCAGGGAGAAGTTGCGTGTTCGAACTACGTGACAGCAGAAAGCGAGACGAATGATGACTTTATCTACAATCAAACACAGGCGATGTACCAATCCATTTTTGACGAGGTCTTCCCGGGTGCTTTCCCAGAATCAATGATCAACTCCAACTACGCTTTTAACCTCTGGGAATATGCTGCGTATCAGTACAACCACAATGAGACGGTTCGCTCAATGCTCTCCGGAGCGAAGCTCGCATTGCTTCGGCAGCTCGCAGACGTGCAGCAGTTCGACATCAACGCCAACCTGACGGCATCGCCGTCTCAGCCAGACGGCAACATCAGCCCCATTGCGGGCCGCACTCTTGCTGCGCAGATCGTGTCGCGGTTCTCTTCCTTTATCCAGTCGGGAGGCTACAGCGACAAGCTGACGCTGACGTTTGGCTCGTTTGAGCCATTCTTGGCGCTCTTCGCACTCCTGGAACTGGCTGGGTCGCAGCCCGACCGTTTGTTCACAAGAATCCCCGATCCAGGTGCAATCATGGTTTTCGAGCTTTACTCGGTCAGCCAAGTCAACAACACTCAGGTTTCGAGCGAGGACGATCTTCGCGTTCGCTTCCTGTACCGCAACGGCACGAGCGATGGCGCTGCCCTGCTCGAGTATCCCCTATTCGGCATGACAGGATATGGTCCAGACTTGTCCTTCGCGGACTTCTCGGCTGCCGTGTCGCAATTTGCCGTCAAGGATTTGAGCCAATGGTGCAGCATGTGTTCGGCCATTACCCTGTTCTGCACAGGCATCAATGCCATAGGTGGCGGTGCAGGTGCAGGTGCAAGTAACCTGCCCAGCTTGGAAACTGGAGGCAACAGAGGAGGACCGCTTTCGCCGACCGCAGCTGGCCTTGTTGGTGCGGCCTGCAGCATCGGCGTCCTCCTACTGGCAGGGGCTGCTGCCGCCATATTTGGAGGGTTTCGTGTCCGGCGGAACACTGATTCGATTGTGGGAGGCAAGGCATCAGGAGGATACAAAGGAAATGCCAGGCTCGAAGACGACCAGGACGTCTCGCTGGCCAAGAACGGGACGGCCCATGCTCGGACGGGTAGCTGGGAGCTGGGTAAGGGAGGCGCCGCCAGGGCTGCGACGACGCGCCTCGATGAGGCTGTATCACCAGTGACGCCAGTGGATCGAGCTGGCCAAGACGTGTTCGGCGCTTCGTTTGTGCGGCGCAGGGACGGCGATGCGGACAGTGTGCTAGGTGTGTCGCCGGTGCGGCCAGCCGAGGGTGTTTGAAGTTCCTGCGGAAGAAGAGGGTTAGACAGAATTCGAGAGACGATTCGGTCCTGCCAGGCCACGATAGAGGCAAGTCGTCTGATTGTGGTTTTTATTGCTGTCACTCGTGCATGTGCAGCCGTGCCTTCCTTCAATGTTCCTTCCTCGTGGTGTCCATAGGTGCGTGCGTGCCATTGGACAGCTGCAAACCTGCAGGCAGATGGATGCTTGGCTGGTTGCGTTTGAACTTAGAAGCCGGGCTTGCGCGGAGCTGCACCTTCAGCTTGCCCCTCAGTTCAGCTGTGGATAGCCTCACATCTCTGTGGTTTGCTTTGCCATTCGGTGGTGCGTCACGGTGCTTCCCCTCCTCATCTTGGAAACCTGGCGCGTTTGTCATGTAATGAGCGACATTGCGGAGACGACCGGATCCTGCATCGGGCTGCCAACTTGCAGTGGAGTGAGAGGCTTGTGGCTTCCATGAGTGAGCAAGGCAGACACAGCCTGGGACAACAACTCGACAAGATCCCATATTGCAGCGCAGCAAACGATATTCCGGCACGACGCCCTGTTGCCTGAGGAGACCATCACAGCTTCCTCATGCTAATTGCAGGTCAATTGTCACATCACCTTGCACCTGGACATTGTCGGCCCCTGCACCTTTCACCCGTTTGCTGGCTGCATCTTCTGCTGCAGTGAAGCATCCTACACGTTTGGCTGTTTGAGCAGTCGATCATCCCTACACAAGAACGAACTCTCAAGCAACCACCAGAAGTCGATAGTTGGCCAAACCAGAGGAACCTCTTTCCACCACTTCACCTCGACGTCGAGCTCCGCCATCTCTCCCCATGGAGGTCTTCATGCGGAATGTGCCCGCACATCTGACCGACCAAAGCCTCAAAGCTGATATCAAGATACAAGACTGGCAATGTAGGAAACACCGAAACAAGAATCTCGGAACCATCACGTTCCACACTCGCAGCGATGGCCTCAAGTTCCTGCGGCAGTACGGCGAGGTTGAGGTCCCGGGCGCCATGCTGAGAAATGGCATGCCAAAGACACGCGGCCAGCTCAATCTTCTCGGCGCCATGGTCTACTGCAAAGAGAGCACCCAAGCACCAGAGCCGCTCACTCTCAAGGTGCTTGAGAAACAGGCCGAGGACCGCGAGGCGACCAAGAACCTCGAACAGGAGGTCAACACGAACACAACCATGTCCCTCACCGGCTTGTCATGTGGACATTACGACTATCCCAATGGGAAGCTTGCCTACATGATTGACATGCAAATCACCTGCAACGGCATCATCAAGTTTGCAAAGAACATGCTCATTGTCACCTATCATGAGCTGGATGGAAGCATACGCTTAGAAGTGCCGTACCGAATCATTCACGAGATCGTCGTATCCACTAAGCCCCGTGCCCTGACGATCACCCTTTGGGAGTCTCCTCGTTTCTTTAGCATGGAGACTAATCCATCACAAGAGCAGTTTGCTCCAACACGGAAGCGCATCAGCAAATTACCCCACCGTGCCTGCGACCACGGCAGGTTTGTTGGCCAGTCTCTGGTCTACCAGTTCAGCACTTCCAGCCTCGATCTGCACCATAAGATGGAGAAGATCGCCGAGGACAAGGCGTTGGACTGGAGTTCTTACAAATCACTCACGAGCGCGCGAAGTCTTGTCCAGATGGGTGATGCAATGGCCGCGCTCATTCAGACTTTCGGCCAGGTCGATAGATACATTCCCTTCGATGTGACGTACCAATTCCATGCTCTCGCCCACGGGGGTTACTTCCTGCCGCAGACCATTGAATCCTTGCTTCTGCGATTGAGAAAGTACTCGGCCAATACTGCGGAAGCTGCGCGATCCACCAACATCCGTTCCTTCTGCCCGTTTTCAGCGGCGGCGGTGAAAAAGCTAGCAATTGTCGAATTCGCAGGGCCGGCAGTTGAGGCTGCCGTCTTTTCCGTCGATACTGTATGGCGACAGTTGTTGGATAACGAGCAAACAATTCGACTAGACCTGTCTCAAGACTTGATAACGGACCGAGCCAGCACAGCCATGGTGTTGGTGTACAAAGTCCAGATCACACCAACTCGTCTTCTCTTCACCGGTCCGGAGCTGGAACCGAATAATCGAGTACTGCGAAAGTTCTCAGATCACACGGAGTATTTTGCAAGATTACAACTCTGCGAAGAGGATGGGCAAGACATGTTCTTTAACCCCAAGGTCGCCATGGAGACTATCTGGCAGAGGTTCCGAACAGTTTTGGTCAATGGTGTCCAGATTTGTGGCAGAGTATACAAATTCCTAGGCTTTTCACACTCCTCTCTCCGAGCGCACGCCGTATGGGCCATGGCGCCATTCCACGACTCTCGCATCAGCAGCACGAGGAACTACTTCAACGTCATCTCAGAGCTCGGAGAATTCGATGAGATTCGGGCTCCCGCTCGACGAGCAGCCCGCATCGGACAAGCCTTTTCAGATACCCGAGTCGCTATTCCTCTTGATGGGGTCTTGGTGGAGCTGATCCCTGATGTCAAATCGGATGATGGCAGTCGCGTCTTCAGTGACGGGGTGGGCACCATCAGTCGTGGCCTTCTCGAACACATTCAAGACCAACTCCCAGAGAAGATGGGAACCTCCACATGCTTCCAAATTCGGTGGGCAGGAGCAAAGGGAATGCTCTCTCTTGACGCTACGCTGCCTGGAGTGGTCATGAGAATCCGGAAAGAGAGCATGATCAAATTTCCTAGCAACGACAAGCAAAACCTCGAGATCTGCGATGCCGCGAGCAAAGCCACACCGCTCGTGCTAAATCGGCAGATGATCAAGATATTGGAGGACATGGGCGTCCCAGCCGAATGGTTTCTCCGCGAGCAGGCGATCGAGGTTTCACGACTGCGGAAGATCACTTCCGACGTCAACAACACCGTCACATTCCTCAAACGACAGCGAATCGGAGATCAGATGCGCTTCTCGAGATTTCTGAAGAATCTTCATGAACTTGGTATCAACTACAAGACTGACCGCTTCTTGTGCACTGTTATTGAAGCCGTTGTTCTTCGGGAGCTTCGCCTGCTGAAGAACAAGGGACGGATCCCTGTTGAGTACGGTGTCACCCTCTTCGGCGTGATGGACGAATTCAATTACCTTGAAGAGGATGAGATCTTTGTGACATTCGACGATCTTGAAGGGACACACTACCTCGATCTGGACGAAACACTTTGCATTGTGACGCGATCTCCTGCTCTTCATCCTGGAGACATCAAGAAAGTCCGCAACATCGTACCACCTGAGGGACATCCCCTGCGCTCTCTCAGGAACTGTATAGTCTTCAGTCAGAATGGAGAACGCGATCTCCCGAGTCAACTCAGTGGAGGTGACCTCGATGGCGACAAATTCAGTGTCATCTGGGTGAGTACGAGTACAAATTCCCTCGTTTTACCTGCTGCGAGTCATATTCTGAAGATAGAATCCTCTCTCTGACCGCATCTTCAACTGCACGGGTAGGACGAACGCGCCGTATCTCGGTGCCATAAAATCTCTGAGCCAGCTGATTATCCTAGAGTGCCGCCACTCGAACTCGGCCGGAATATCGAGTCTGAAGACTTGATAAACTTCTTTGTGCAGTTCATGGCCACAGATCAGTAAGTGTTGAGGAGCCCCTCAGCCCAGCCAGCCTGCATTGTCTACTTGCCAGAGACAGCCGAGCACTTCTGACTTCTCGAAGACTAGGACTCATCGCAAATCGGCACCTTATATACGCGGACCAGAAGGAGGGTGGAACACTGGATCCTGTCTGCACGAGTTTAGCTCAACTGCATTCGACCGCGGTTGATTACAGCAAGACAGGGGTGCCGGTGGATTTGGGAGAACTGAGGAGCCTCAGAGCTCCGCGGTACCGACCAGACTTGTGAGTCAATTGAGCTGCATCCGTCCTTTGAGCCGGTTACTTACATAAGTAAGCATGTCTCCAACTCCTCCTGCCAACCTCAAGAACCGCAGTGAGATCGCCTTCGAAACGCCTCTATTGCCAGCGGAAGAAATCGATGAAGACGACCAATCTGGCCCACAGTTCCAGTACTACAAATCTGACAAAGTTCTCGGAAAGCTATTCCGCAACATCGACGAGGAAAGGATATGGCAAGAGGATATTCGGATGTTTGCCGCCAGGAAAGGCGCAACGCTCTGGGAACGGCTTCTGCACTTCATTAAGAGTAGTTGTGTAATTCACCATCTTGGACCAGTCAATTGGCATGGCGCTGTTCCCGAAGCCCGCGAGATTCACAACACGTAAGTAGGATGATGTGATGAAACTTTACGCACTCGAACGTCCGCTCAAGGCTTACCAATTGACACAGGTATAATGATGCGCTTTGGGCATTGACCATGGACTACTCTGAGAATGCCGGGGAGCCCATAACTGAAGTTGAGATCTTCACGGGAAGCATATTCAACTGCAGGGGGCTCCCAACGAAGCGCCAGGGCGAAAGATCTTTGCAGCTCAAGGACGAATTTGATCGGGTCACCCGCTGGATTGAATCGCTAATCCGGCAGCACAAGATGCGAGACTACATCATGGAGGAGGAGGACTATAACGAAGATGTAAGGGCCTCCAACGGCTTCAGCCACGCTGCAGACACGTGGAGCCAGCATTTCAGCGCGACGCCTCTTGAGTTGAGTATTGCGTGCCTTCACGTCGCTACAATGAAGGATTCCCGCGCGCCTCGGCGGTCACGGCGACTCGTCGCGGATGGAAACTTCGAGAGTTTCAAGATCATCGCAGCATCATGCGCCCTGAGGGAATTGAATAGCGCCGTGGGCCTCCAAAGGCCAAGGGCCTGGGTATATTAGTATCAAGCGAGGAAACAAGAGCCTACTCGAGCCCAGCTGGCTAGGAGCCCGAGCGCTTCTGTGCAGTGTGCGTGTTCCATCTGATTGCCAAGCAGGGGCAACGGATGCGAGTTCATGATAGCGCGACATCCTGCACCTGGTGGATCACAGGGACGCCTATGGATGATTGGCGCATGTTCACCGAAAGCAAAGAGGAGCCAGCCGGTGGGTGAAGGGAAAGGAGTTTGAGCAGTCATGCCACCATCATCAGTTGTGCAACAAGGGCCAAGGGGGGGCAGCCCAACTTGCACTCCAACATTGACACCGACGAGATCTGGCAAATTGCGCACTGTCGTCTTGTCACATGCCCGTAGGAAGATAATTAGCACAGACATCAATCAGGATGGGTGGGGGGCCCCTCTGCATATCCTTGAGCGGAGGGACCATATCCCCTGTCAGCCACAAAGCTTGTCCTACTGCCAAGTGCTTCTATTTCGATTCCCGTGTCCCCACTCTTTGTTGCCAGAGGTGGTGGGTGTCTCATCTGCACCACTTACTACATCAACCTGGGCAATCACCAACAGCACGGCTGTGTCGGCAGCAGTCGTACGCACAAGTCATGCACATTCGCTATCAACCGTCGTCATTTCACTTGTATCCTCTCTTTGATTTGTCTTCTGCGCAGGAAACCTGGGAATTAGCAGGCAGTAAGCTTAGCCGTGTCAACATGCATCTCACATCTGAATGGGGGTGTCGCAAAGTACTACGAGTCTCGCAACCAACGCGCAAATGGGTCTGTATTCATACAATCTCCATGACCCCTGGCTGGGTTGTCGCCATTTCCCAGGGAATCCCAAGCCACCCCCACGACTCTGCCCTTGGCAGCAGCAGCCATATCTTGGCGCCTCAACGGGGGTGATTGAAAATGGGTACGCGATCGACACGGCGTTCCATCTCCCGACAGCCGCTGGGGATGTGCCGGGCTCGGCTGCTAGTAGCCCTATCCGTGCGGATTCCTTTGGCCCCCATACACTCAACGATGCTCCGTTTCAGTGCTTGAGGCACACAGCCGGAGAGTCAAAGAGGCTTTCTCGCCCGCTACTAAGCCTCCCTCCAGGTAGCCTCGTCATCGTGCATGAGCCTTGGCCATACTCCACAGGACCCTAGCAATTGACAAGTTCCCTTGATAGACCGACGCGACACCCTGGAATGAACTGCTGCCGAGGAACCGGCGTTGGGTAAGCCCGGGCAGGCTGCAGGCGCCCTGCATCTTGCAGTAGGTCTTTCGACTTGGCCTTGCTCAGTATCCAGCACAAGAGCGGCCGCGTCGTATAGCGTACTTCTGGGTAATACTGGCTCCCAAGTTGATAGAATTCTGGGCAGTTTCATGATTGAGTTCTCGGCTTCAAAATGTTGGGCAGCTCGTACGGGGACACTGACTTGCAAAGGTACTTCACATGGTAGTTCAGCTAATACTGGTACTCATCACAACAGAACCTATCTTCCTTGTGCATCGAGTCTTCCACCCTATTGATCCAACTCAGAAGTGCTGCTTTGACTGTAGCGGCACACGTCGCATGCGGGCAGTGCTCAACAAGTGGATCACAGTTTCGCAGGCGCGTACGCAACACCCACACTCGCCCAGACCTACACAGCATGCGGAAGTCGGCGAAGCGGGTGCATCAGATCTGCAGCGTACGGCGAACAACAAAGAGCCGGCCGCGCTGCACTAGTTACTTCCTGGTAACACGGCAAGGTGGGCTTCTGCTCCTTTCTGCTGCTGCGGCGCGGCTTATCGACCGGTCCTTTCGGTCCCGCGCGCCTGCAGCTCGGGCTTTGGGATGTTTACTGCTTCGATACTCGGATAAGACTTTATGCTTAGTTTAGCTCGTGCGCTTGTGGGATATAAAGTGTCTGGCTTAGCACCGCTTGGCTTGAATTGAGTTTGATATATGAAAGTTGTTATCTATCCCACGCCTGAATCTGTCCTCTACACTATACTCCCCTTCACTCACGATCAGCTTGAAGCTGAAATTCTGAAGGCCCAGCCAAGTTCCCTGTTCTCCAAATTGAGCGCATCTTTGGCTTTCCTCTGCGAGTCTGGCACTCGAAACCTTCCCTGCTTTGACCCGCTCCCAAGACTCTCGGAGCACACAACCATCCATACTCGTTGCCCATGATGTCTTCGTCTCCACACAGCCCAGATGTCAGACAGACACCACCATGCTCTTCAGACAACCCGCTCAAAGAGCTGCGAGAGATCCCGGCACCCCGAGGCTGGCCCATCATCGGCAACGTTGCGCAGATTGATCAGAATTTCCCGTTGAGGACTTTCGGGGAGTTTGCGGATCAGTATGGTAAGTTCGCTCAGTAATTGCATCTCTTTGAACAAATTATCAAGAAGGCGATATTGATCAATCGTCCACGGCTCCGTAACAGGAGAGATATTCGCGATCAGACTGCCAGGCGGCCGCAAAATCAACATCGCCTGCAGTGCGGCCCTCGTGCCAGATCTCAGCGACGAGACGAGGTTCAAGAAGAACCCACAGGGTGCTCTCGAGGTGCGTATTATTGACACCGCGCGACAGAGACGGCGTGGAGTTAATAAGAGACGTGGTACAGCAAGTCAGAAATGCGGTCAACGATGGCCTCTTTACTGTAAGTCCAACCCTTGATATAGTCCAGGAATGATTGCCAGTCCACTGACCACACGCCCCCTTCTTCTCCCGCCAGGCTCGACCCAACGAACCGAACTGGGGCATAGCCCACCGCATACTCATGCCAGCCATGGGACCCATGGCGATCCGCGGCATGTTTGACGAGATGCACGACCTTGCCACACAACTCGTCATGAAGTGGGCGCGCCACGGGCCCTCGTACCCCATCATGGCGACCGACGACCTGACACGGGTCACACTCGACACGCTGGCCCTGTGCTCCATGGGGTTCCGCTTCAACAGCTACTATACTCCCGAGGTGCTACCCTTCTTGAAATCCATGGGGTCGTTCCTGCAAGAGTCGGGGCGGAGGATAGGCAGGCTGCCCTTGCCCGAGTTTTGCTACAAGAGCGAGAACGAGGCGTACTTCAACGATGTCAAGGAGATGCGAGCTACCGCGCAAGGCGTGCTCAATGAGCGCAAGCGTGAAGGCCCTGGCGGCAGGAAGGACTTGCTACAGGCCATGATGGACGGCGTGGATAAAGTGACGGGCCAGAGGATGACGGACGACAGCATCCTGGACAATCTGCTCACGTTTCTCGTCGCAGGGCACGAGACCACATCGGGGCTGTTGTCGTTTGCATTTCATGAGCTGCTGAGCAGCCCTGAAGCATACCGCAAGGCGAGAGACGAGGTTGATCGCGTCGTTGGGTCTGGGCCGATTACGGTCGAGCACATGAGCCAGCTGCCATATCTCGAGGCGGTGAGTAAACTGATATTTCGACAAGCCCCTGGGACACATCATCTGTAGATCCAAGTACCTTCACCCAAGCCGAGTGCTAATATGGGCCGTCAACAGGTCCTGCGCGAGACTTTGCGCCTTAGTGCCCCAATTGCGCTGTACACAGTCGAAGCCCAGGATGATACAGAGATCAACGGCTGGGACGGCAAGTACAGCATACCCAAAGGCCAGCCAGTTTCTCTTCTTCTCACCAAAGTCCACCGAGACAAACGCGTGTACGGAGATGACTCCCTTGAGTTTAAGCCCGAGCGCATGCTCGAGGACAAGTTCAACAAGCTCCCGTCAGGAGCGTGGAAACCCTTTGGCAACGGCTCGAGAGGTTGTATAGGCCGCGGCTTCGCCTGGCAAGAGTGCCTGCTCATCATCGCTATGATCCTGCAGAACTTCGACTTGTTCCACTTTGACCCGAGCCAACCAGTCGGCATCAAGCAGACATTGACCCTCAAGCCCGACAAGTTTTTCATGCGGGCCATTCCGCGCGATGGACTCAATGCAACTGACATTCAAGCCCGGCTCAATGGCAACGTCGATGGTGTATCGAGCCGCAAAAGTTCTGACGCGGACTCGGGCGTCAGTGGGCTCAACGACAAGGCTAGTGTGACACAGACAGGCCAACCCATGACGATTCTTTATGGTAGTAATAGCGGGACCTGCGAGAATCTGGCCCAACGGCTTGCAAGTGATGCCGCGAGCCACGGCTTCAGAGCCACCATGCTTGACGTGATGGACGCCGGCATCGACATCCTCCCCAGCAAGCCAGCTAACCAGCCCGTTATTTTCATCACGCCTTCTTACGAGGGCAAGCCAGCAGACAACGCAGCCAGATTCATCTCATGGATAGAGGGCCTCGAAGATGGAAGCAGCTGCACCCTCGGCGGGGTGCAGTACGCAGTCTTTGGCTGCGGCCACCACGACTGGGCGTCCACCTTCCACAAAGTCCCCAAGTTCCTCGACGCCAAGCTCGAACTTCTCGGTGCGACTCGCGTGGCAGAGATGGGCCTGTGCGATGCCGCCCGGGGCAAGATGTTTTCAGACTTTGAGACCTGGGAAGACAAGATACTCTGGCCGGCGCTGGGCAAGGCTTTCGGCATCTCCCCTTCGTCGACTCAGGGACTATGCGGTGGCGAGCAGCAGTCATATACGGCAACACCAGCTCAGCTGGATATCTCCGTTTCTAGTCTCCGCCCGTCGAAGTTGCGACACGACGTCAAGCAAGCTACTGTCACGCATGCACGCAGACTCACTGCCGAAGGCGAACCGGCGAAGCAGCATCTCGATATTGAGCTACCTAGTGGTATGACGTATCGCACGGGCGACTACCTCGCTGTATTGCCGTACAATCCACGGGAGAACGTGGATAGGGCGATGCGGCGGTTCTCGCTGCCGTGGGATGCAAGTATCGCGGTTAACAACCATGAGAATGGCAATAGTGGCAGCGCGATACCAACGGGCTCAGCGGTCTCTGTGAGGGAGGTTCTCTCGGCTTATGTCGAGCTGGGTGACCCTGCTACCAAGAGGGTGAGTACTGAGATTCGGTGGTCCTGCACTTACATACGAGATGCATGCTGATTTTGCAATGATTTCTCAGAGCATCCGGACCTTGGCGAGTCACACAACCAACAAGACGGAGCAAGAAGCCCTCGATCGCCGCGCCGACGAGTTCGAAGACACTGACCTGAGATTGTCCGTGCTCGACCTCCTCGAGATCTACACATCAGTGACCTTGCCGCTGGGCGTCTTCTTGACCATGCTACCATCGATGAGAGTCCGACAATAGTATGTCCTGTTTACCTATTCTCCCAGAAACCTAACCTGCACACACACAGGAAGACGCCATGGCTAACAAAACACCCCAAAATCCTAAACAGCTCGATATCCTCCTCCCCGCTCCTCAACCCCAAGAGGGCATCAATAACCCTCTCAGTCCTCGACAGCTCCTCTCACCACCTCTGCCCCGACGGGCCAACCGACACAACAACAATCAGGCACAACCATCTCGGCGTGGCATCCACGTACCTCGCGTCCCTCTGCCCCGGAGACCCCATCCACGTCTCCGTCCGCTCCTCACACGCGGCCTTCCACTTGCCCGCACACCCGCACGCCACGCCGATCATCTGCGTCGCCGCGGGCAGCGGCCTCGCGCCGTTCCGGGGGTTCCTGGAGGAGAGGGCGGCCATCATGGGGGTTTCCCATTCCATCGCAGCAACGGCCGAGTCTGGTTCAACCGGTGAGCAACAGGCGAAGCTCGCGCCCGCAGTGCTGTACTACGGCTGCCGCGGTCCCGGGCTCGACGACATCTATGCCTCTGAGCTTGCTGCCTGGGAGGCCCAGGGCGTGGTCAGCATACGGTGGGCGTATAGCAGGTGTCCCGAGAAAGGGTTCGGGGGCAGGAGCAGATATGTCCAGGACGCGATGGCCGCGGACAGGGAGAACGTGCTGGAACTGTGGAGGGAGAAGGGGGCGAAGATGTATATCTGCGGATCGCGGAAGGTTGGTGACGGGGTGCGGAGGATGGCGATCAAGGCGTATGTGGATGTCGTCGGTAAAGAGAGGGCCGGGGAGGAGATTCTGACGGGGGATGAAGACATGACTGGGCTGAGAAGTGACGAGGAGCTCCAGGCTGAAGCAGAGAAGTGGTGGGAAGGGTTGAGGAACACGCGGTATGCGACCGACGTGTTTGACTAAGATGGCTAGTCAAAGGATCGCATCAGTTTGTATTGCTCGCGTCATCGTTCTCTGGAGATTCGGAGATGATATTGGTACACTGTTTGTCAGTTCTCATTCTCGTTACACCGGGGCTTCTATCGTTTAAAGTTGTAACTCGGCACGTGGAGAGTTTGTCGCGGTTTGTGAACATTCTGCGATCCGCTGGGAGCAGCGCACGTTATTGACAAGGGGGTATCATGTTAGCTCAATTCTCGTTTAAAACTCCATCTCCTCAACCTCCATCCCACAAATCGAACACGTCTTGACTGTCGCCCCGTCCGCATTCTCGACAACCCGTCCCCACTCGTGAACGTGCTTGCCACCGTTCCCAACGACGTCGCCAAACTTTGCCTTCTCACCTGCTGCCCCAGCTCTGCCCCCGCCTCCTCCTATACCTCCGCCCAGTTTGCCCGTCTGCCGCCGATACGCGTCCGTGCGCGTTCTCTTTTTCAAGTCGAGCAGCTTCTCCTTGAACTTGGCCTCCTTGCGCTTCTTCTTCTCGGCCTCGCGGCGCTCAAACTCGGCGTCCAGGGCTTCCGGGGACCCCCACTTCTTTTCTGAAAAGGCATACTCCTCGACCTGGCACCGCAGGAAGAGCATCATGTCGTGCCAGTGTGACTTGTGTGGGTTCGGCTTGGACAAATGTGGAAGCAGCTCGTCGTCGCGGAGCTCAGCTATAGTATTGCAGTTAGTATTTCTTGTTTTGCCCACGCGAACTTGTGTGAAGGAAAAGAAAAGCTTACGATCCGTCAAGAGGTAGTCATCCTTGCACTCCGTCTTTGTGAGTAGGCTGTACTTCTCGGGCAGTTTCTCCTTGCACGCCCCGCACACAGCCAGCCCGAAGACTTCCTCCCACACGAAATCGATCTCGAGGCTGCCGCACTCGCGACACGTTTTCCTCTCCTTCTCGTCCTTGAGCACGCTCAGTCCCGGCTCAAAAGGGCCGGCCTTCTGCCGGCGCAGCTTGCGCAGGAGCTGCAGCCTCTCCCAGTCGCGCAGGCTCATCCCCGCCGGTCTCTGTTCCTGGCTCGGATCGTCGCCGGGCTTTCCCGGTGCTCCTCCTGCTCCCCCCGCGGTCGCTGCCGACCCGTTCGCCACGGACCCGGACATGGCCTTGTTCCACGGGTCGTCCTCGGCCGCGAGGAACCCGCCTTTCGTGTCGACCATCTTGCCAAAGTCGTAGTCGACAAACTTTGTAAATTTCCTCGCGGGCCGGATGGCGCCCTCGGCCTCGCCGGGCTTTGTCGCGTCCCCCGCGGGTTTCAGTATCCTGCCGTCGCGGCTCGTGGCGGGGGCGTTGCTGGCGGACAGCCGCACCGAGGCTCGAGTCGCCGGGCTTGGTGCTGCCGCTGCTGCTGGTGCCGTGCTCGTGGGTATGTCTCCATGTGCTCCGCCGTCACTCCCGACCATCATGGCGTCGTGGCCCCGCTTGCGGGCCTGGGTCTGTGACTGCCGCGGGATGTGGACGTCTTCGGTGGCGATGAAGCCGGAGGAGGTGCGTGCGAGGGTCGGGACGCCGGCGGCGCGCTGGGCGGCTTCGTGCTGGTCGCGCAGAGCTTTGGCCTTGAGTCTGTTCTCTTCCTGTTTTTTTCAAGAAGAGGAGGGTTTTGGTCAGCTCTGTAGGAAGGGGATGATAGAGGCAACCGGGCCGGGCTCTCCTTTGTCGCGGGGTGGGAACGTGCTCACGATGCGACGGGTGACTTCTGGGGTGGGCGGCGATGCGATGACGTCCTTTGAGGCGCGGGTGCGCCGTGGCGGCGTCGAGGGGCCGTCCATGGCGGGCGCTGTGTGTGATGTTGGACCGTCTCGTGTGCGACGCTGCTGCTCAAAAACGAAGGCGACGTCTCCAGAAGTGAGGTCGTCAGACCCGGGTGGTGTGCAGTTCGCAGTTGTGAATAATTAAAAGTGCTCGCAGCGGTAGGGTGACTTATCACGCTGGATCAGATGCACGCTGCCGCCACCACACACTAAAACGTGCCAGGGGTGGTGACGTCGCCAGGGTCTCAGTGAGCCCGCCCCCTCCGAGCACAGTTAGTGGAGCACATGCACCACCAGCATGCTGCTTGCATGGCCTCGCATGGGAACCTGGAGAAAACATTGCGTGCTCACATCAGACAGACCCAGGGCCCAGCAATCTCTGCGGAGTATGCCCTCTGCATGCGCGCCATGATGATGCGGATCGTCGTCGTCACATCCCTGCCGCCGTGTCCGTCTCCGGCGGGTTAGAGGCCGAGGTTGCCTGCCATGGTGCGCAGCCGTGGCCCGCTGGGACTGATTGATTGATTGGCATCGACGAAGTATGTACTGATCACACAACACAACATCGATATTCCAGTGACACAGAAACGCTCTATTGATCCGACCAGTCTCTGAGACTGAATCCAGGCTATTTCCATATCCTCCCCCATCATCAGTTCTATGACTACGACTGCAGTGGATGCTGAACGGCCATCTTGCCGAACCTGCCCTGCTTCTCAACACGCTCCAGCTCGACCAAGGCATCTTCCGCGCTCCCACTCCAGATGTCGACGGCAGGCAGCACAAAGGCCTCACCGTAGTTCCCGACCACCCACTGCAGAGCGGCCGTCGTTCTCGCCGCCTTTGCCTCGTCTGCCGGGATGACTATCGGCTGCGGCTGACCCCGGACAGCCAGCGTCACGTCCCGAGCCCGCGAGGCAAAGGGCAAGATTGCGCGCGAGCCCACAGCTACAACGGACACGAGGACGACCCCATTGCCAGGCAACGCACCGCAGCGGGTCATCTGTTCGAAAGACGAGAGGCCATCACCACCACCACCACCACCATTACCAAAGCTCCCAGCGGCGTCCAGGGCGTACCGAATAGGCCCCTCCTGCTGCTCCTCGACTGCTGCCAGGATCTTGGCCCCGACCTCGGCATCGTGGTAGTCGAAGCAGTGCGTGGCTCCCAGGCGCCGGAGCATCTCGTGCCGGGCGGGCGAGGCAGTCACGATGATGGACTTGACGCCGCAGGCCCGGGCCAACTGTATCGCACAGCTACCAACCGCCGCGGAGCCGCCCCATATGAGCAACGGGCCGACGATGCCGCCGCTGCCAGCCTGGTGTTTGGTCTGGGTTGATTCGTGTGCGTCAGGGACCCTGGCAGCCACCTCGGCCGGTTTGCCCACCACGTCTGTCTGGCTGACATTTTGGGGCAGCGGGAAGCCGAAGACGTTGAACAGGACGTCCGCCGCGGTGCAGGCAACGACGGGCAGGCATGCGGCGTGGTGCATCGGCAGGTTGCCCGGCACACGGAAGAGACAGTCCACCGGGCAGGCCAGGAACTCCTGGTGCGCGCCGTACCGCGCGGGACGGCCAACGCCCGTCGGCGTCATCCCGGCCACGGCGTCCCCAGGGCTCAGTCCACAGTCGGGAGGGCAGGACACGACGTGGCCGCTGAAGTCGTACCCGAGGACTACGGGCGTTATGCCGAGATGTGTTCCGTGACGGACGTCGGCCGGGTTGACGCCCGAGAACTGGACTTTCACGAGGACCTCGTCGGCCTGGGGAACTGGCATGGTGTAGTTGCGCTTGACTGACAGTTGGCAGTCTCTGTCCATGTACAGAGCCGTGTTTGTGACCTCGGCCATGTTGGTGATGTAATGTGCTTCAACGGACTCGAGGCAAGAACGTGAAAAGAGGCAACGGTATTGTCAGGAAACACAGTAAGGAATCAAGTAGACGGTACTGAACTCTAATTCGAGAAGACGAACCGAATTGTTTCTCTGGGCTTTATCATGGAGTTGAGGCCCGGACTCTCGGGAAGTATAAGACCGATACCTTGGTTTAGCGCTCTTGATCCTGGCCAGGAGAGGCTACGAGTCGGTAACACGGCGTTCAGTGGAGCCGAAGTGCGAATCGCACAGGCCAGGTCCACGCGGCACGTCGATATGGACATGACTTAGAAGACAGGGCTACCTTCAGACCTTTCGATTAAGTGTTCCCGGGCCCGATCTCCACGTTTAAACTTTAACGCTTAGCAAGGGGGGTACCTGCCCCTCATTGTCGGCACCACGGCTTCCTTCAAGTACCGAAACCACGTGCTGCACATGGGGCCATTATGTACCACTGTTTCTGGAGCCCTCATAGTCATGGCTTTTCGTAAACGCCACATTCGGCTCAACAATGACGCTATCAATATCTCTTTGTCAAGGTTGAAGCGCCCAGATTTCAAGTCCCTCTCTGTTTGATGACTCCCTTCCGTCAAGTTTCTGCGCTTCGCCGGGAGACGGAACCTCACACCTCATGAGGTCCTGCCTTCAGATCAATAAATAAAAAAGCGTCCCCAAAGCAGACCGCTCCCTGTCCCCAGCCATTGTCATGTGAGGGGGTCCGGACGGGAACTCGACCTCTGGCGGCGCCTTCGGGTCTCGACTTCGCGCCGCTGAGAGTCGGGAGTGCCCGAGTCAGCAGTGTCCGGGATATGAGTCTTTCGTAGGGTTTCGTAGGGTGAGTCAATTGTATCCGGGGCCCGAGTGATCTCTGGCGTGGGCCAGCGTGTTGCGGATGAATCTTCAGTCTCGGCTTCCCGGCTGTGGTTGCGCAAATGCTACAAGGTATGTATTGATCAATACTGTGTATGGTGTTGCTTCTCGTTGGGTTAACATAGAAGAGAGAGAGAGAGAGAGACAGAGAGAGGTTAGAATAGAGCTCTCCTCCAGGCCAGGGAAAATAGTAAGACGCCATTGCCATGTCTCGACGCCACCCAAGGATGAACGAGCACTGGGAGGAGAAGCGTGCCGACATGACCAAGATCCACATCGCAGCATGAATTGGCGCGAGGTACTCCCGCCAACCTGCATACATTGGAGTCCTTCCGTAGATTTGAGGAGACCTGCCAATGATGAGAAATGATGAGTAGTGCATCTCTCGGGCTAGGGAACCGTTCTACTTGTCACATATGCTTGGCGATCACATCTGGCGCAAAATCACCACGACAACAGGCTATTTTGGCACAAGAAGCAGGAGTGGTATAACCTGGCAAGGTTCTCCGATTCCTTCATGATGTTTCGAACGGTTGGGAGGATGCGCCACGTCTGGCGGATGCCCGTCCTAGGTTTCGACTGCGGAGTAGAAGGAAGGCGTCCCCAACACCTGCTAGCATTGGACCCTAGCTTCCAGTCAAGCCCGACAATTATCCATTTTATGATCAAGTCACATTTGGTCCATAGCAAGGCCGTGTGCCTGAGCACAAGGGTGTGCCAAAAACTGATAGTTACTCCAGCAAGTATATATTTCAGACCGTCCGCCTTTTATTTCTCTACTGGATTATGCGTATATTCGTGCGTTGCAAAGCACTCAGACCACAGAGTGACCTGGAGCACCTACGCACGCACTGCGCCCACAATGTATATAGTACATGGCTCCTGGTGAGTAGTCGCTTCCCATCGAAGCTCTACTCCTCCTTGGCGCCACCACGGCCGGAACGCTCGGCAGCCTCGACGGCCTTCTTGTCGCTCTGGGTGGCACCGCTCATGGCGCTCATGAAGCCGGCAGGCTGCTTGAAGGGGCGCTTGAGGTCACCGCTGGCAGGCTTGCCAAAGATGTGGATCTTGACCATGTTGTGCTCGATGGCGCTCTTGAGGGGCAGGATGGACTGGATGAGGAGGGGGTTGGTGTACTTCATGTACAGGTGCATGAAGCCCATCATGGCCATGCCCATGGCCTGGGTGCGGAAGGCAGCCTTGATCTGCTGCGAGTCGTAGGCGTGGACGGTGGTGGTGACGAGCTTGGGCTCCTCGGTGGAACCGACGGGAGCAGGCTCGACATACTTGAGGGTGGTGAGGTCTGGGAGTGACGCAAGTCGTGTTAGTGGTGTGTCTCGGCGGAAAGGTTAACGAAAGGCGACTGCGGACGTACCCTTCTTCTTGTTGATGAGCATCTGGCAGTAGACGTAGAGACCAGCAATGATGAGGTTGCTGAGGAGGTACATGGCGCGGACACCGTTGAGGACGTTGGGGTCGTCAAAGGGGACGCGCTTGGACACCTGCATCATTCCGAGAATGATGACGATGTTGACACTGGGGGCATTGAAGGTCAGCGCCTGGTTGATCGAGTGCTCGCTCCATCGTGCTGTGGCCGCACGACACGTGCGGAGAGAGCCAAACGACAAGCGAAAGAGGCGACCTACACCTGGGGGCTGAGAGCGGCCATTTTGACGGTATTGATTTGGAACAGGAGGCGAGAGGCGAACGGTAGAGCGGCCGGCTGGTGGAGGATGAGGTCCGGGAGGATGCGCAGTGGCAGAGAAGCTGGAGGGACGAGCGTGGGCGGGAGGAGAAGTTGTCGCGAGGATGAGGACAGGCTGGTGGTTTTGACTGGCAGGGTGGCGGAGAGTGGAGGCGGCGGCAGAGAGAGGAAGGCGGAGGGCGGAGGGCAAATTGCGGTCCCAGGGCAGAAGAGCATGGAGCGCCACCGAAGATAAATAAAGGTGGAGCCCGCTCGCAATGCGGTCCCAAGCAGGCAGAGGCTCTGGCTGGCCCCTCCCGCGCGGTAAGTATGTCAGCACTCTTACTACGTGCGCTAAAGTTGCCTCAAGGTTGCAAGGTACGTGCTGCTCTGCGCCCGTAATTGCATCCTGGCGAATCCAGTCCCTGGCTGATGGTGCTCTGGCAACGATCCATTGTCAGGGTCCTCGGCCGACAGGCGACCCCTGCTCCGCGCCATCTGTCCACAGCACGCCCACCACGCCGGAACCAACGCTTGGTAATCGTGTAGTTTCTTCTCATGCCAAAGGCAGATATCTATCTCCCATCACAAGATCCATGGCGACAAACTCTGGACTACAGCCAGGTCTTGACCAATGGTGTCGCAGACGAGCGGCGACGGCGTCCTGAGCAGACCACAACCACAAGACGGGGACAATACCCAATGACTTCCTTCGTTCTCTCTTCTGCCAGTCTTCACTCTATGAGAATCCAACGCGGCTTGCTGTGCCACTCCACATATGGCACTGACTCCCCTCATACACAGGTTCCCATGCAGCGGGTATATGGGATCGTGGGCGATAGCGGAGGCGGTTGCATCTATGGACACAATAGTATCCTTGCCGCGACGCAACTTCCCCCAAGGTCACATACATACCTGGGGGCTTCCGCCATGTGATATCCAGCATTCACCTCGCTGCCAGCAAAAGGGAACGCTACAGGAGAACCTGGCTGGTGACTTGCCACGACCTTTGAGTGTTGTGCGGCAGATTGACGCCTTCGTCTCTGCGCGGTTCCAACAGAGGCGTCCTGAGCATGGCATGTGTCATGACTGCCGCAGCTAACTTGCCGTCGGGGGCTGCCGACTGCGGGGCCACCACCGCCGGCCGGAGCTGGGGGAGAACATTCATCCCTCCCTCTGGTCTTTGCGGGTGCCCGTCCGGGGTCGCTCGTGCTACCCCACCGGCTCGGGGCAGCTTTCTTTAAAATGCCAGAGTGCCCTACTCCAGGAGCCGGCCTGCGGAGCGCGGAGAACTGCAACTGCTGAACCAGAGACCGACTTTGACTCAAAACAGCACAATGGTACAGCCAGGACAGCTCTTTGTGACCATGGAGCCCCAGCCGGGGCTTCCACTGCAGCAATTCCACGAGTGGTGAGCCGCCTTTGCCCTCCTGCTCCTTCCCACGCTGCCGGGCCACTCCGGGCTGCCTTCCCCGCAGTCCCATGTTTCCCCTCCGGCTTCAACTAACACCACCCGCAATGGCAGGTACAACAACGAGCACGGCCCGACCAGGCTCAGCATCCCCCAAATCTTTGTCAACGGCCTCCGCTACCAGGCCACCGACGGCCAGAAGCCGACCTTCCTCGCTGCCTATGACGTCACGGACATGTCCCATCTCGAGACCGAGTCCTACCTCAAGCTCCGAGCAAACCGTTCGCCCCGCGAGGCGCAAACCATCGGCCAGGTCGACGTCGTCAGATACTTCTGGGACCTCGTCGATACAGACCAGTCACCACTGTTCCTCCCCATCGAGAAACTCACCAACGACGAAGCCGAGGGTATCAGTCTCGCGGTCGTCCACTTCACGCCCAACGACGAGGCCCAGGAAAAGAAGTTTGAGGAGTGGTACAAGGCCGAGTACGCCCCCGCTATGTCCAAAGCCACGGGCTGGCTCAGGTCGCGGCTCTACAAGACCTCGACCCTCGAAGGCACCAAAGGTCCAGCCTCCTTCTGGGCCATGGTCGACTTTGCCAAGGGCACCAGCTTGTCCACGGATACGACATTGCCGCCAGCCTCGACAAAGTCCCTGAGCACAATCGCGCAAGTCAAGGCGCAACGAACATACTCCCTCTTCTACGTATTCGGCGCCGGCAAACGCGATCTGCACCACCTGTCCCAGCTGGACAAGGCTCAATCGACCTTTGTCTCTGCCGACGAACAGACAAGGACGACCAATGACCCCGAGCCCGTCATCGAGTCGACAGTCACCACAGCTGATGGCCTCGTAATTCCGTACCGCCTCGAGGGCAACACGGACCCGAAGGCGCCAACAATTGCATTCTGCAACTCCCTCCTCACCTCGCTCAAGATGTGGGACCCCTTCGTGGCCATACTCAAATCCAAGAGACCCCAGTACCGAATCCTGCGATACGACACCCGCGGCCGCAACGCCATCCCCTCGCCCCCTACCCCGGCAACCCTATCTCTGGTGTCCGCGGATCTCATCTTCCTCCTGGACTGCCTGCGCATCGACAAGCTCGACACGCTGATTGGTGTGTCCATGGGCGGAGCTACCACGCTGCGCTTCGCCCTCGACTACCCAGACCGGCTCGCCCGATACATTGCCTGCGACTTCAACGCGGCCTCGAGTGCCGCCAACACGGAAGCCTGGAAGGGTCGCATCGCCTTGGCGGAGACGCCGCGCGTCGAGGAGTCCGGGAAGACGGGCATCCAGCACCTCGCGGGCCAGACGGTGGAGCGGTGGTTCCACCCGACGACCATGACGGCCAAGAAGGACACGGTGGTGCCGTGGATGACGGAGATGGTGGCGACCAACGACATTGAGGGCTTCCGGTACGGGTGCCAGGCCCTGTGGGACTACGACATGAAGAGCGAGATCAAGGGCTGCAAGGTGCCCGGCCTGCTCGTCGTGGGTGACGGGGATGGCAAAGGCGCTCTGGTCAAGGCCATGGACAGCTTCCGGGGCCAGATTGGTCCCAAGGAGGAGGGCGTCGAGCTTGCGATTGTGCCCGAGGCAGGCCACCTGCCCATGTGTGAGAGTCCGGAGGGCTTCTGGGCCGCGGTCGAGAAGTTCTTATGAGGAACCATGCTTGGATGTACTTTGCAAACTTTGATGACAAATTAACTAGACCCATGCAAAAGAAGTTCATCTTGGGGCGCTGCACGAGCATCCCCCCAGTCAAATCCACGTGGCTTGGGGATACTTCTCATTACCGATGATCCCGTCGGAAGGACAAAGGCACCGATGGTCTCGGCTGCTGACGTTACAGCGTTTCGCAAACCACGTGTGTGCTTTCCAGACACTGGATGACAAAGTGCATGCATGCGGCCATGCGTCCCTTGCAAGCGAGCAAGCATGCCACGTGCGTGTTCTTGACAAGGCCAGAAAGCCCTGCCCCTTGATCATACGTCACTCAGGATCCACCGCGACGAGGCATGAATGAGGCTCCCTGGCCTCACCAGAGCCGCCGTGTCCGGAGATCTGCAGCCCGTCAAGGTCTATCAAAGATGCAACGGACTCGGCGGCGTTTTGCTGCTTACACGGCAATCAACAGGGGGAGGTTGCTGCCAGGGTTGGCGAAACAGCAGCCAATCAGACTGCCAGAGTGTGTCTGAATCGGGGGATTGCTGTGGCGAGGTGTGGGCTAATTCCGGGGCTTACTGTAACGTTTGTGGGGGCTGGGTTCCACAACTCTTTACGCTGGATGGATCAGACTTGCAGAATCCGTGGCGCGCAAGTTGAAGCGACGCGCCCATACTTTTTTTCCAGGACATAATACCGCTGGATATCGAGGTTCAAAAGTACGATTGTGAAAGACTTGAACACCTAGCTCGCTTCTCGAAATTCTCGTCGGGACAATCTCAACATAATGTCAGGTTGCACTGGACCGTTCTGCCCATGGTTACCGACCTTGCGACGTAGCATAACTGTTTGCCAAGTCACACGTTTGTGAACCCCGGCACAGAGCGTGAGGACGCTGTCATGCCGAGAGCAGATTTGGCATGTCAGAACTCTATTCCAGAAAGAGGGTGCGACCGGAGAAGATCTGGCGTCATGCGAGTGGCATCCCTGTCGCCCTACCTAGCTTTCTCAGGGAACTCTTGCTGTGAGGACGGGCATCATGAGGCGGACCAGCTATGAGTCCTAGTCAGGATTTACAATGTGGCTGACTAGGCCTAAGTCCTTTCTGGCGTGGCTTTTGGCTGGAAGCTCTGTTGGGTCGATCACACTCTATTGAGAAATCGTCATGTCAGTCAACCAAGACGCTGCTTACTACCCACCAACCCGACTGCCGCCCTACCCCCAACCACATGCAGATCCACCTTTTCTGTTCCAAGCGCGCGCAGCCGCATCGATCCTTTGCGCCGGCCCTTCTTCTGTCTCCATGGATGATCGCCTGTTTATGATCCTGTATTGTGTAGCGGTGCCATGTGGCATTTAGTGTCTTTATGTCGATCGCCTTAGATCAGATAGAACAGCTGAGAAGGAGCTGAAGAAGAGGGTCGGACGATCTCTGTAGCCCAAACCTGATCCCAGATGTCCCTACAAACGTTGTTGCCCACAAGTGACCCCTGCTCTACCAGCTCTGGCCGCTACAAGGGGAGAAATGTCAAGGTTGGTCATATGGCAAGACTGCTGACTTGGCTTATTGTGCACGCGGGAGTTTCGCCCAACTATGAGCAAGAGGCGCAGTCACGGCTGGCTGTGTAGTGAAGGCAATTCGCCGTCTCCCTTTCTATGGATAAACTTGTGCATAAGCTGCGTTCAGTAATTTCGGTGTTGACAGTTCTTGGCTCTTCTTTTCCCTCTCTCCCATTCCAGGAGGGTTTCCTTCTTTGGTCTTTTTGTGTTTCATCGGCCGCCTGCATCGATCACACATCGCGCAAGCCATATCGCGACCGTCGTACGAAGGCATGTCAACTCGGACCTAGGCGATTGCGGGAGCATGCGAATCACGCCCTCGACGACACCATAGAGATTCACACGAGGTGTACCCTCGGTCCTGCGACAAGCTGGGCGAGAATACACAATTCATCTCCGAGACTCGACGGAAAGCACAAGAGACATTCCCGGGGATAATCGAAGCACACAACGACGTGCTCACCTAATTGTGCAAAGGATACAACCAGCTCTGCGGCAGGCGTCTCCCATGCTTCAAGTGGTTGGCAGTGGCAGTTCTCATCGAGCCGCACTAGAACTTTGACATCGCGCAACATCCTCCAAGAAACACCAAAACATGTCCAACGAGGTCATAGCCGCGACGACGACGTCGTTCGTCTTTGCGCTCCTTGCTGTCGGCCTGAGGCTATACGCGCGCATCGCGCTGGTCAAGAAGCTCTATGGCGAGGACTACATCCTCACCTCATCCTTTGTGGTGGCAATGTCGTGGTGGGTGATCAAAGTAGTGGGTGAGTTGCTTTTATATAACATTCCATCTCGTCGCAGAGGTTACCGTGCCCGCGCACGTGCAAGTTGCTAATTGCGCTGTCTCCATCAGGGGCCACTAGGAATGCCGATGACGGCAACATCAGGTTATTAGCCATAGTGAGCAAACATCCCCCTGGACGCAATATTATCATAACCCCCAAATCTAACAAAGACAGATATCATGGTACGGTACCATCGCCTGGGGCCTCTGCTCCGCCCTGACCAAGCTGTCCATCGTGTACCAGTACTGGCGCGTGTTCGAGGACATCCGGTGGGTGCGGCAGCTGTGCAACATCCTCATGGCGCTGCTCGTGCTGTACGGCCTGTACTCGTTCCTCGGCGCCATCCTCATGTGCATACCCGTTAGCCACGCGTGGGCTCCCCTGGGGAGTCCGGGCGGGTCGTGCGCGGACCCCAGGATATACTACTACCTGACCTCGTCGGTCAACATCTTTGCCGACGTCATCATCTTTGCGCTGCCGGTCAAGCCGGTGCTCAACCTCAAGATTCCGCTCAAGCAGAGGCTTGCGCTGCTGTGCTGTTTCACTTTTGGGGCATTGTAGGTTTTTTTTGGTTTTTTTTTTGAAGTCCTCATATTGGAGTCGCGTGCTTTGTGTTTTGGAGTCGTTTGGCTAACAGACTGTACTCCAATCGTCAGTGTCATCATCTGCTCTATCGTTCGGCTCTACTGGCTTGTAGAACAAATGGGCATGAAGCCATCTCGGGGTATGTTTCTCTTGACAGTGAGCCTCAATACAGCCTCTCTTGAAACGCCGGCTGACCCTTTTGTGTCCCAGATGTCGTCGAAAAGGTCACCATCTGGGCCGGCATCGAGATGATGTCCAGCATCATCTGCACGTGCTTCCCCGTTCTCCGGCCCCTGGTCATGCGCTGGTTCCCCAAGCTCATGAGCGGCTCGCTCGGATCGTCCGCAAGGTCTCGCATCAGCAAGCATCTCCACCACCATAACCACGCCGGGCCGCCAAGGCAGAAACAGCAGCAGCCTCCCGTACCGGACCAGAGTCCCAAGAAGAGCCAGGAGAGCGGCAGTGACTCAAACGGGGACTACGCACAGCGCTTCGAGCTTGACTCCCAGCAGCACCAGCAGCAGCTTCAGAGTCAGGCAGCTCCAAAACCGCTCACGACTAAGAGTGCAGAAAGCAGACAGGAGCAAGGCGTCGCCGGCATCCCCCAGAACGTCCAGCAGCACGTCTCATGGAATAACAGACCATTCGAGAACACCAGCCAGCCGCAGGGCCCCCGACATCCGCAATTCCATCACAACAACGCAGGCAGCACAGGCACAGGCTCTCGCAGCCTGAGCAGTCCGGCACCGCCGTATGAGTCCCGGACCACGTCTCCGGCACCCAATATTGTCCCAAGCGGCGGCACCATGCACAACAACCTCGACCAAATTACCTACCCAGCACAAGTCTCCGACCAGCCGCGGCCGGGGTTCATGCCAGTCAGCCCGGAGAGCACATACGGCAGCTTCCGCGCGAGCACGGTCAGCGCCCTGAGCCACCACCCAGGGCAGAACGGCGGCGGGAACTTTCTGTACGGCACGCGGAGTAGCAGGAGCAGCGGCAGCCTGCGCGGCTCTCTGCTCGAGAGAATGAGCGGTAGTGGCAGCGGCAGTGGGCCGAGTTCATCGACCAGCACACCCAACCTGAGCCATCTGTACTATACTGGCGGCGTCGGCCAACATGCCGGAGTCGGGGCCAACAGCAGCTACTACTACCGTGCCTCGAGCAGCAGCAGCGTGTACAGTCGGTATAGTAGTAGTACTGCGGCGAAAGGGTTCCGCGGTCTCACGTCGGGCAGTCTGAGCTCGTTTGGCACGAGCACGGTGACGAGCACGGCGTCTGGCGGCGGGACGGGGAGCACGATGAATACCATCATCGACCATGATGATGAAGACGACGTGGCTGATGTTGCTTCCGGGCGCCGCGAGGGCTTGAGTTCTGCGGACGGTAAAATGGCTGTGGGGGTGGAGGACATTTCTGCCACGCTGGATTCCGCCATTGCGAATCTGCAGGAAAGGAGCAAGGCAAGGAACAACTACAACTACGACAACAACAACAACACTCAGAGTACAACTGCTCTCAGTCCGCTTAGCTACTCCAGCCAGAGCCCGCACGATGCAGACGACAGGGACGCTGGTGACGATAGTAACGACGATGACGATGACGACGACGACGGCGAAGAATTCATCTGTCACACCGCTACCTACGCGGTCGGCAACAACAACAACCCCTGGCAGAAGCGCACGCCATCCTCGTCGAAAGAAGTCCTGGAACAGCCTCGGTCGCCACACCCCGCATCGCCCGCCGTCTCCCCGATAAAGCCCACGCCGCGGCTCGTCCTGCCCCCGCTCTTCTTCCAGCCCGAGCACGCAGAGTATGAACACTATCGCATGTCCGTGTCACAGCCACACCTGCCGAGCTTCATGCCGCCGACCAGAGGGCTGCCGGCGATCCCTCAGACGCCAACCAGATCGTCGCTGGATCTCGAGGACGAGTACAGGGGGAAGAGGAAGAGCAGGAGGTCTGTAGTCAGTCCGATGGGCATGTTTGAGATGGCAGCTTGAACGTGTAGCCTTGATGGAGACTCTTTAAGGGGCTGACTGGAGCGAGGAGGCAGGCGTGGAGGGCTCTTATAATTTTGTTATGATACAACCAACTCACGTTATTATGCCTAAGTATTTATCACTGTTTGTCTTTCTCCTTTAAAAAGCTCTCTGGGTTTCTTTTGTGGGCTGAGTTGTATGCATGGTCGATATTGGGATCTGAGGACATATTTCGTGTGATACAAGTGTTTTACTTTCATCATACCACATGAAGTAGCCATACAGTCAGATGAGATTTTATCGCCCGTTGAATTTCCAGCCATACATTACGAGAACTGCAAAAAAATCTTTTAAGTGGAAGAATCTTTTAATTTTCTTTTTAAACCCCATTTTTTTTTTTTTCTCAAAGAAATTCTTGTCAAAACCGCATCAATCTACTTGTACCAGTCTGCTTTGCAATGCAGAAAGACTGGCACGATTGGCAAGTTACGACCATGACCTTAGCGAGCCCGACGTCATCCAGCAGGACGCCCGCAGTTCTCTGCCCCTGGCTAGCGCGTGTCGTGGCTGTCTAGCACGTGGGGCGCCGGACCACCGGCATGGTTCTAGGCCTTTGTCGTCTGCATCACTCGCGTGTCTTGCAAGATCAAATTGTCTCAGAAAATGAGCAGAGACCTGCCCCGAGTCAGCCCCTAGAGACAAGAAAGTCAAGACACTGTCCGGATTGAACTTTGGAAAGGGTACTCTCTGAGCCGATGATGGCCTCCAATCAGGCGTTGAGAGGGACCATGCAACGCAAGGTATGGCAGAAACCAGGTTAGCGGAGAACAGACATTGGATTCCGCAATTGTGGATTTTGCAAACACTAGGCGACGCGGATCAGAATTCCCATCCGCGATTCCCCATGCCAGGAGGAGGGGTCAGGAAGGACAATGACGATGTCCGATCCAGACCCTCGGGAGATCGACAGGAAAAGAGCAAACGTCGTGCGAGAAGTACACTCCCATGCTTCGTTGACCTGCCAGCTTCGTCAATGGTGCTTGCAAGAGAACTGCCCCCCCTGGGGGCAACTCTTCATTGGCTGGGGCTAGCTCGAGGTCTTCCCCTTTGCCCACTTCCCATGCGGCTCAGAACGCCACCTCCGGCGGCTCCTACGTCACCACCTTTTTCATGTGCGTGTGTCGACCACTTCCAAGGAAACCCGCCACTTTGTATCGTGCATGCCTGCGACACGGAGGGATTTCAGGAACAACATGTCCGGGCATCTTGGGTCGCCGCGACCAATCGAGCTACCGCGATAGCGCGTCGGACTTGGGGCCGCAGACGGACGGCGCGTGTGTGGTGGTGGTGGTGGTGGTGGTGGTGGCACACACACACACACACAGAGAGAAGAGAGACTGCCCGTCACAAGCCCAGAACGAAAACCCAGCGCTAGCTAGCCGGGTGCCTGCCTTGGTGGTATAAACTCAAATAGACCCCGTGTTCCCGTGTCTTTCTCGACTCTGACCTTATCTATTTCGTCTCGTGTGAATATTCTTCCCATTGTGTTGCTTGCTGCTACATCCGGCCTACTCGACCCTCTCCAAATACCCACTCGCGATCGAATCAGCAACTAGAGAGACCACGACATCAGACTCACACCCCAGACCAGCACCAGCACCCAAAGACCCAAAAACAAGCACAAAAACAAAAACATCCAAAAAAATGGGAGACTTCCAGCACGAAGACAACTTCTGCCTGCTCCAAGGCTTCGAGTGGAACGTCCCCGCAGACCGCAAGCACTGGCGGCGCCTGCAGGCCGCGCTCGACGGACTCAAGGCCGTGGGCGTCGACAACCTGTGGCTCCCGCCCGCCTGCAAGGCCGCGGGCGGCGACCAGGCCAACGGCTACGACATCTACGACCTCTACGACCTCGGCGAGTTTGACCAGAAGGGCAGCACCGCGACCAAGTGGGGCCCCAAGGAGGAGCTGCTGGACCTGTGCAGGGACGCCAAGGAGAAAGGCGTGTCGCTGTACTTTGATGCCGTGCTGAACCACAAGGCCGGCGCGGACGACAAGGAGAAGTGCCGCGTGCAGGAGGTTGATCAGTCCAGTAAGCAAGCACATTTTACGCACACATTTATGTCCCCCCTGGCCTATTTTCCAGAAGCCGTATGGGTTATTCAGAGAGAGAGAGAGCGAGAGAGAGAGAGCGAGAGAGAGAGAAAGAAAATGAGAGACTGACTTGAGAGACAAAAAACAGACCGGACACAAGACGTTGGCGAGCCCCATGAGATCGAGGCATGGCTGGGCTTCCAGTTCCCCGGCCGCGGCGACAAGTACAGCAGCCAAAAGTACCACTGGGAGCACTTCTCGGGCACCGACTACGACGCGAGCAACGACCGGACCGCCATCTTCCGCATCCTCGGCGACGGCAAGTACTGGAGCCACTCGGTCGGCGACGAGGACGGCAACGCCGACTTCCTCATGTTTGCCGACGTCGACTTCTCGCACCCAGAGGTTGAGAAGGACGTCATCAACTGGGGCCACTGGGTCGTCAAGGAGCTCGGCCTCAAGGGCTTCCGCTTCGACGCGTGCCAACACTTTTCTGCGCGCTTCACGGCTGAATTCATGGCCAGTCTTGACAAGGAGTTCGGCAAGGGCCACCTGTTCAACGTCGGCGAGTTCTGGTCCGGCGACGCAGGCGAGATGCTCAAGTACCTCGACCAGATGGACCACCGCTACTCGCTGTTCGACAGCCCGCTGGTCTACAACTTCTCGCGGATATCGCAGACGGAAAAGGCGGACCTGCGCAAGGTGTTTGACGGCTCGCTCGTGCAGGAGCGGCCCGAGAGCGCCGTCACCGTCGTCATGAACCACGACACGCAGCCCGGGCAGACCGTAGCGACGCCCATCGAGGGCTGGTTCAAGCCCCTCGCGTACTCGCTCATCCTGCTGCGCAACCAGGGTTACCCAAGCGTCTTCTACGGTGACCTCTATGGCATCAAGGGCGAGCACGAGGAGCCCCCGGCATGTGGAGGACAGTTGGCCGACATCATCCTGGCTCGCAAGCTCTACGCTTACGGCGACCAGAATGACTACTGGGATGACGCCAACTGCATCGGGTTTGCCAGGCGAGGCACGCCCGAGCACCCGAACGGCCTGGTCTGTGTCATGAGCAACGCCGAGCCTGGACAGATCCGCATGGCTGTCGGTGAGATGCACAGGGGTGAGGTGTGGACAGACGTGCTGGGCTGGCAACAGGACGAGGTGCACATTGGCGACGACGGCTACGCCATGTTCCCTTGCCCGGGCACGTCTGTGTCCATCTGGGTCAACCGGGATGCGCCAGGTAGAGACCGCTTCGGCAAATTGTAAGTGTCCAACCTCGACCTTCACTGTTTCGTTGACGCCCTTTCACCGAGAGGTTGTGGCTCTGAATGTAGGCGCTAACCTTAACACCCACAGCGATGCCGACATCTACGCAATGGCCTGATTGTCATATCGACCCTCGCAGGCATGTCCATTTTCGTCCTACCATGTAGCCAGTCGGAGTCGTCGGCACACATGATTTAGATGAGACCTGGTCTGGCCCATGTCTGTCCATCAGTGGAATACAAGCATCGGAGCTTGGCCCGCAGATAGGGTGATAAGCTGTAGACGTTAGACAACCTAGATGTAATAGAGCATATCTGCAAGACGGCACGATACGCCCGCAAGCGAGCTCGAAGCTGAAACCTGCCACAAGAACATAGGTGCAAAAGCCCACGCTCAGGCCTAGATAGTGGATTCCCAGACGGAGCCGGGCGGGATAATGTATGAGAAGTGCCGGACTTTCAACGTTACATTGCTTTGCCTGGGCTTGGCGAGCCGCCTGATCTGGGGTCATAACGGCAAGATAAGCCGTTGGCGAGAATTCTGAGCTGAGACAATGCCAGAGGTCTTACCTGGCTTCAGGCAAGAGACCATATTGCTATGCGGCGACAAGATAGGCAGGGGTGGCGTGCATATCAGTGTCGACCGGACCGCCGGGCAGCACATGCGGAGCGCGACCGCCAAACCCAAAGTCACATGCAGCATTGGCCACCCCTTTCAGTGGCAAAAGGTTGAGCCGCACACGCATACTCCGGGGTTTGAGCACGTTGCTACTGGCTGGCAGCAGACAGCACGCCTTATCAGCGAGATTGCCCTTGTCAAGCATGACAAGCAATCGATCATGATTGCGGAGAATTTCCTGCAGCAAATGTGAATGCAGAAGACCAGCGAGGACCACACCCGGGAGACTGGACGCGCGGCTGTACGCTTCCATGCATCCGACCGACTGAAAGGCCGCCCCCTCTGCATTCTCATCTGTGCGAAAGCTGTCCATCGAGATCTGGTCAATGCGATAAAAGACTGCACGGAATAGCGCCAGGCGTTCCGGCAGATCGTTCAACAAAAAGCCTGAACTCGTCGGCTTCGCGAGACGTCTCACCGGGCCATGCGTCGGTACTGCGTAGACGATAGCCTCAACACGCCAGGCTCAAGATGCTTGTGACAGCCGCGTCTCGCATGTTAGTAATTCCTGATGGCGTGGCACTGGCGACCCACTCTGCCGGCATTGAAGCAGACGACAACTGAGCCGCGATGGGCTGGAAGCATAACGTGACTGACGACCAACAAGCTCGTGAGACCCGGGCACGATTCCGCTGTGGCACCGGGGTGGCCATGCCAAAGCACACGTCCAGAGGCCGCCCCATGCCGTGGCGCCTGCAGGGTCCGCTGTCGTGAGCACGACCCCAGACTGGCCGCTGGACAATTCGTGGCAGAATGATCCGGCGGGACATTGCTAGCGGCCGGAGTTGCGAGCCGGCAGCATGGCTGGCCCCGCGCTGGGGCGTGGTCGGCCCGGGAAGCCGTCGCCGTCGCCAGTAGCGCACAGGGGGGCCCCGTGTGGGCTGTCCGTATTTAGGCAAGGGGCTTTCCATCCCGCGGGGTGCCATCAGCTAACGGCAGCCGATGGTGGCGGAATCTGACTGGCCGAGCAAGCACCCTGCATCCTGCATTTAATATAGGCAGCGTGCGCCAAAGTCGAGACAGCCCATGGCCGATCCATGAGGGAATCGAGGAAAAAAGAAGAGCACGAGGGCGCGTCTGTGCCAGCATTATTAACCAAAGGCCATTGCTCGCTTTGCAGCTCTGGACTTCAGAGTGGCTTTCACTCGGGCTCGACCTACCAGGAGAAACGACAGCGACGACAGCTCCAGGAAGAAAAACAAACACTAAAAGGCCGACTCTTTTCAGCTCCAAGGGCGTAACGTACGCCAGCTGCAGCACGGGGGCAGACGCCAAGCAGCAGACGGCCACACACACGAGGCGGAGGATCTCAGATTGTCCACACGGGCAGGCACGACAAAGGCGGGGAAGGGTCGACGATCTCGGGCGCAACAGCAGCAGCAACCAGATGTCGAAGCTCGAGGTGGCACAACCGCTGGTTGGCAGCAGCGCGGGAGCCGGGGTGGAGGCAGTTGGCAGCGGCAGCAGCAGGAGGAGAGGAGCAGCAGGCGGAGGAGGAGGCGCTGGAATTGGAGCAGCAGCAGGAGGAGGAGGAGGAGCTTATGGACACGGACATGGGCCGCTGCTCCCCTCACACGCAACCGCGACACCACCACCCGCCGCCCTGGGTCTCAAGGCCACGACAGGCATGGACGCCGCAGCGCGGGCGGCTGCACTCCACGCGGCAGGTGCGCCGCCCGCCGCCGGGGCTGCTCTTTCCATGTCGCATGCCCTCGCCGCCGCCTCCGTCTCCCATGCTCCTTTACCTTCTGCCTTCTCCATCTCTGTCGCGGCCGCCCTCAACTCTGCCGCCGCCCTCGCTGCGTCCATGTCGTCGCCAGCCTCGTCTGCCTCTGCTTCGTCCGCCTCCCCAGCAGCCTTCTCCTCGTCGCCTGCAGCGTCCACTGCTAGTGCCGCCCACCTCCGGCCGCACCCCCCGCTTAGCGCCGGCCCTCTCGACAGTGGCCTGGGCGCAGGCAGCACGCAGAGCTCCAACCTCAAGCGCAACCGCAGCAACGACCAACCCCTTGGCAGGTCGACAAAGCCCAAGCCCAACGGCGACGACCACTACCTGTCGCTCAGCCTCAATCCCATGGACCCCCCAGTGCTGTCATTCTACGGCACCGAACCGGTGCCTTTGCCCTCCCGGTTCGGCAATGTCAAGCGCCGCCTGATCAAAGGGCGCGAGGAGGCGGTGCAGGCCTCGTGGGCGCGGCTGCTGAAAGCACTCCGCGCCGAGGTTCAGCACATAGCAGAGCATGGTTCGGAGCTGATACCATCCATTGACTTCGCAGACATTGACAAGACCGACAAAGTTGCGCCTTTCAGAGACTCGCTCAAGCGACATGGGATCGGCGTCATCCGCCGCGTTGTGCCGCAAGAGCAAGCAAGCGCCTGGGTCGAGGAGACTAGCAAGTACTTGGAGACGAAACACGACTTCAAGCCTCCCGCTGCGCAGGATCCGACATGTTTCGACTTTTTCTGGACACCGGCACAAGTACGCAGCCGTGCGCACCCAAATGTCCTACAGGCGCAGCGTTTTGCCATGGGCTTGTGGGACACTAGTGATGATGACAATCTGGCGACGAGGTTTCCCATCACGTATGCGGATCGCCTGCGGATAGAATCCATTGTCGATGGAAAGCTTGTTGTCAATGGCAGCGCCATTTCGATCACAAAAACTCCCGAGGACAACCTCATAGCTGCCGCCGCCGCCACATCATCGGCACAGATTGCTCAGGTTGATAACGGTAGTCTCGAACGCTGGGAGATGGACGGCTATGGTCGGGCTGGTCTCTACGATGCCATCTTCAAGGGAGAATGGGAGGAGTACAATCCCTGGGATCCTGCCGGGCGGATCAACGCGACACCGGACCTGTACAATGGCGCGGGTGCATGTTCAATGCTGCGTCTGTTCCAAGGCATTTTGGCGCTGACGGTGGTGGAGCCTGGCATGATCAGGTTGCTACCGTCTCCAAAACTGTCGACTGTCTATTTTCTGCTGCGGCCGTTCTTCTCACCAACAAAGGGTGCACCAGAAGAGTCGGGTGCAACCGAGGAACAATGGGACGAATATCTGGCCCCTGAGAACTGGAAGCTGGACGAGGAGCAATCAACCATTATTCACGGTGCCGTAGCCGGACACGCACAGCGAGTGACTGGCGCATGGCATCCGCACCTGCAACTTGACAAGAGCCTGGTGACCCCGCCGACACTGCAAGTTGGCGACTACATTGTCTGGCACCCGGACCAGGCTTACCAATTCTCCAACACGAACTACCGTGAGAACACACTACCAACCCCGCCTGAAGGGGCGGTGGAGGGCACCAAGGGGTCTTCCGAGAACAACAGCACTTCGATGCTGGTCTACACGCCCGCTGCCCCACTGACGCAAACAAACGCCCTTTTTCTTGCCCGGCAACGCAAGGCGTTCCTGCGCGGTCATCCCGGGCCGGACTTTGACTCGACTGGCACTGGACTTGGCAGCGAGGCACCGCACACGGGGCGGCTGGGGGAGAAGGACATCCGGGAGGTGGGTGGCGAGGAGGCGCTCCAGGCCATGGGGCTCGCACCTTGGAATCTCGGCAAGAGTATTGTGATCCCTACGCGCAACAGAATACCGAGCCCGCCATCTAGTAGTGGCAGCGGAAGTGGTGAGGGGACTGGGCGGAGAGCAAGTGAGGGCAAGGACAGCGAGAACGAGGAGACTAAGACCCCGAGCCCACGGTCACTGACGCCAACCACGCACGCCGAGGTCGAGGTGCTCAAGATGGCCAACACCATACTGTGGCCGGACCGGTACGAGTTTTATATGCCGACGAGGGCGAGCAGTCCAGTTCCCGCAAAAGAAAAGGAGAAGTAGTGGATGGTCACGGACCGCGCAGTATATATATCTCGAGCATAGAAACGCACATATAAGGAACAATACACAAAGATCCCGAAGATCAGGCAGATGAGCAGTGCGGTTGGTCCTCGTCAGTCTCCTCATGCTACAGGTCAAGCGTGCCAATTCGCCCTAAACCCGCAGCTTTCCGAGCCTGAAGCGTAGTTGCAATTGATCACAAATATTTTCGGCGAGAGATTACCGTGGACCGGATTGTCCAATCACGCCCTTCTGCCCGCCCCGGATCAGGGTCTTCAGGTGACAATCCCAAACATGACCGACATTCGCGATCGCCAAGGAGCCTGCACAGCCGACGCCGAATCCGGGCGTTCGGTCAAGCGGAAGATTGAGTCGCAGCTTGATGGGTGGGGGGAGAGCCTGCACTGCGACAAAAACATGAAGATCGGTCTTATCGGGGGACCAGTCTCTTCTCAACTCGGGACCCAGGCCAAGATGACAATTAAGAACAAACAACAAATAAAGTGGCGTCCTGAAGGAGAGGGGGGGGAGAGAGGCGGGGAATGGGACCCCTGGCTCGAGAGCACCAGCCAAGCATCTTGGGTGCATGTCTTGGGACGTTGGTGACAGTAGGAGACCTCTGGGCAGCTGGGCATGCAAGCGGTCGGGTCGTTCGTTGTCCTCAGGAGGAGACATGCACTTATTGACCTGGTCAGCGGGTGTGCTTACCAGACTTGGCCGTTTTGATGAAGTGTGTGCGTGCTCTCTTTGCTTATCGCCAGTGGATCTTACGACGGCTTGGCACGGCCTTGTGCAGGTCTTGTGTGCGCTTGTGGCTTTGCGCCTCGGTGACCCAGCCGAGCAAAGCGGCGCAGAGACAAAGTGTATGTGTGATGGAAACGTGTTTCAAGGGTTAAAAAAACGGGGGTTGCCCAAGGGAATACAGACCCCGGAACTGCAAGACGCGCCTCAACTGACTTAAGTTATCTGCACGAACGCCAAGTCTTGGGTCTGCATGCTGCTGCAGCGCAGAGGGTTCACGATTGCCCATGTATTACTGGCGACAAGGGGTGGTTTTGCGCGCGCTAGGTTAGACTATGCAGCGCGTGCAGGAACGGGGCGAGGGCTTATTGTTGTTGTGTATCTGAACATCTTGGCGTGTCACCGAGAAGGGCAGCTCGGGCTGGGCAGGCGGAGCCGACCGAACCCGTTCTCGCCCGTTCCCGCGGGAGTTTGAGACGAGGTTATCGTGAGATCCTGCGAGGGATGGTGATGATGAGATAGAAGTCGAGGCAGGAATCCGGCATGATTCCAGTGGTGGCCCGATTGTCCGTTTGCAAGGCCAGATATGCATAGATGGCAAGGAATAGCTCCAGGGATTTCCGGAACAAGCAGCGTGACGTCAGAGGAGCAATGTCCCAAAGGGCTGCAGCCAGGGTCGCAGCACACAGATGGCCAGGGACGCGTGAAGATATCAAGATGAGGATCTCGTTGGAGGAGGTGTTGTGCGAGCGTGAGAAGAGTGGTTTGCACTGATTTGTTTTAGTTGATGATTCGGGGGCTTTGTAATATTCGTAGCCAGGCAGGCACTTGTCGTGCCCAGGTGGTTCTCCAGGCTTGTCGCAAACAGAATAAGTGACAGGATGTAGTCTGCCCGACCGATTGCGCCCGCCTTCGAGATCTGGGGGTCCAATTATGCGGGGACTGAGGACTCGCACCTGGCTCACTACAGCTCTACCCCATCACTAAGCAGCTTCTACATCTCGCCAATGTCATCCGCAGCATCGAAGCATGGAGCGATGCAATCACCATGGCCTCACCTTGCCCCACGTGCTGCAGCTTCAACAGCAGCAAAACACGACATCTGGGCGGGAGAGCCCACACCACACCTTTCATGACGACCGTGATGCTGGAGTGGCATGAGCACGGCTACCGGCACCAGCCGGGCAACAACTGATGTCAACGCCAAGCGCTGCTCGCAGCAGGCCAAGCACCCAGCGCCATGCTTCGCCTCTTGGGACCAGTGTCCATGCACTCTTGGCGCACAGGCTCCAGAACGCGACCGGCCAACGCCAGGGACCTCGAGCTCGAGGTAAGGTTCTGGCAGACCAGTGCCCCTGCCAATAGGCGTTTGCGCCAATGTCCAGGGCTCACCCCCCAAAGAATATGCTTTGGAGGCTCGACGTGACGGAGTGGCGTGCTCTAGTCATGTAATCCCCAACATAGGGCATGAGAGGACTGACCAATGCCCAGCCAGCCTGGCACCCATCTGCTCGCTTGGCCAGCACCCCACGCCGCGATACACCCTCAATTCCAAGTTGCGCTTTCGCCGCAGCCCATCGCACACTGCACGATACGGACCGCGGCCGAGCCGCCAAGCCCCTCCGGCCGGGAGATATGTGGGCACGTTTCTCGGCGCCAGAGCCGGGTGCCGCTTAGCCGGCACTCGACACCACCTCCGGGGCGCGCTCCTTCGAGAACAAACCTCCTCAGAGCCGCCGTCCTAGTGCCTCCTTGGCACTTGCCTCTCCAGCAGTAGCAGCACATTACGTAGTGCCCAGCCCACGCCAGTCCGCGAGCAGTCCTGCCACGCCGTGCCATGCCCGCCTGCCACGATCGCTGTTCTCGCTCAACAACACTGTCGGCTGTGGTGGGACTAGAGCGGGCTCCTGCGCGCCTAAATCCGGCGCAGCCCGTCCAACTCGGCCCAACTCGTCGTTGCTTGCTCACTCGCCCGCGGCCGCCGCATGACGGTATCACCATGCCGCATCCTGGCGTGGTCCGCCGTCCTCGATCCACGGTCTGCCGAGCAGCCTCATGGATGCCAAGAGGCTTGAGGTCCCCACCACCGCTCCCCCAGCGTCTCCAGCATGCTGGGATGCAGCCTTGAAGAGCACAATGTCGTCAACGCTTGCTCGGCCTGCCGTTGCTCGGCTCTGCCTATCTGCCCCTCCAGCCCAACCCCCATTGTCTGCCTTCGGGACGGGGAACCAAATCTGCCGGCCCCTGGAGACTACTTAGGACGCTCTTCTCCCCATCCTTCCAAGACATTGTGGTTTCTCCTGCTTCCTTTTCTTTCTGCAAGTCCTCTGACCAGCAGTTCCGCTTTCTGGCTTTCTTGGCACCACCAACGTAGCAAGATTGCAGACCCTCCTCCCCAAAGTATCTTTAGGATACCCCCGACGTCAACCACCAATGGGGAAGGTTTGTATCGTCACCACGCCTTGAATCAGCGACCACAAGCCGTTCGACCAAGATGGGCAAGCCAAACCCCCTCGAGGGGCATGTCTCTGGACAGTCCAACACCCCGATGTCCAAGCCTGCGCACAGTCTTACCTTTGAAGAAGTCGAGCGAGAGCTTGGCTGCAGCGGTGTCGACGGTCTCTCAGACACCGAGGCCAAGGAGCGTTTGGACAAGTATGGGCCGAACGAGCTCGACAATGGTCCGGGCGTCAACCCGGGCAAGATCCTTCTGAAGCAGGTTGCCAATGCCATGATGCTCGTCCTCATCATGGCCATGGCTGTGTCCTTTGGCATTGCGTCCTGGATTGAGGGCGGCGTTGTTGCTGCCATCATCATTCTTAACATCATTATCGGGTAAGCCCACAAAACCTCGGACAAGCCAACACAGTCAACGAGCCCGTATGCATTTACTGACGATGCCCGTCTAGTTTCTGGCAGGAATTCTCCGCCGAGAAGACCATGGACTCACTCCGATCGCTCTCGTCCCCCACTTCGCATGTCATTCGTGGCGGAAATAACGAAACCATCCCTACTGTGCACGTCGTCCCTGGAGACATGGTTGAGCTGAAGACTGGTGACACCATTCCTGCCGACATCCGCCTGATCGAGGTCATGAACTTTGAGACCGACGAGGCTTTGTTGACTGGAGAGTCGCTGCCCGTTCAAAAAGTTGCCGACGAGACCTTTTCCGAGGACCTTGGACCTGGCGATCGCCTCAATGTTGCCTTCTCGTCTAGCACCGTCACCAAGGGTCGCGCACGTGGCGTGGTTTTCGCAACCGGCATGCACACCGAGATTGGTTCCATCGCGGCAGCTCTCCGGGCGTCCAACTCGCGAGTTCGTGAGCCAAAGAGGACTGCCGATGGCAAGGTCAAGCCTCACCGTCAGGCCCAAGCTTGGATTCTCACTGCAAAGGATCTTGCTGGACACTTCCTTGGCGTCAATGTCGGTACGCCTCTCCAGCGAAAGCTCTCACAGCTCGCCATTGGTCTGTTCTTCATCGCGGTCGTCTTTGCCATCATTGTGCTGGCTGCCAACAACTTCAGTAACGACCGGGAAGTCATTATCTACGCCGTCGCCACTGGTCTCTCTATGTTGCCCGCTTCCCTGATTGTCGTCCTGACAATCACAATGTCCGCTGGCACCAAGCGCATGGTTGAGCGTCACGTCATTGTGCGCAAGCTCAATGCCTTGGAGGCTCTCGGTGCCGTCACCGATATCTGCTCCGACAAGACTGGTACCCTAACTCAGGGTAAGATGGTGGCCAAGAAGGCGTGGATTCCGAGCCGCGGTACTTACTCTGTCGGCGAGAGCAACGAACCTGTCAATCCCACAGTCGGCGATTTGATGCATACCGAGGAATCGCCTTACGACACTGGCCCTTATGACGAGCTTCCCCCGGAGACTGACAGCCGCAAAACCGCCGAGGATCTTCTCAAGGATAATGGCCCACTCGAGGAATTCCTCAAGATTGCTTCCCTTGCCAACCTCGCCACTGTCTATAAATCGACCGACGGCGAGGGTTGGACTGCTCGTGGTGACCCCTCTGAAATTGCTATTCTCGTCTTCAGCTCGCGCTTTGGCTGGAACCGCCTCAAGCAGGTTGAAGGCGAGGACGCGGAGTGGAAACTCGTGACAGAGTATCCGTTCTCTAGTGACGTCAAGAAGATGTCAGTCATCTTCACGAAGAAGGGAGAAGACACCAAGTACGCCTTTAGCAAGGGTGCCGTCGAACGCATCCTGGAGGCCTGCGTTAGCATCGATATGGAGGGCAAGGGCCAGACAGTTGATCTTACCGAGGACATCAAGGACGACATCCTTTCCAACATGGAGGCTCTGGCTGAGCAAGGCCTTCGTGTGCTTGCTCTTGCTTCCAAAGTCTACACTGGCCCTACCGGTACGAGCGACGAAGATCGGGCCCAGGTTGAGTCTGGTCTGACTTTCCGCGGCCTCATCGGTCTCTTCGATCCTCCTCGCCCTGAATCCAAGGACTCTGTCAAGAAGTGCCACCAGGCCGGCATTGGCGTTCACATGCTTACTGGCGACCACCCCGGCACGGCCTTCGCCATCGCCAAGCAGATCGGTATAGTTCCTGAGCGTCTCGAGATGATCTCCAAGCAGAGCGAGAACCAAATGGTTACCACGGCCGCCGAGTTCGACAAGCTCACTGATGCCGAGATTGATGCCATGCCGGTCTTGCCACTTGTCATCGCCCGTTGCGCACCCAACACCAAGGTTCGCATGATCGACGCCCTCCACCGCCGCAAGCTGTATGCTGCCATGACTGGTGATGGTGTCAACGACTCCCCCTCGCTGAAGCGTGCCGATGTGGGTATTGCTATGGGCCAAGCTGGTTCTGATGTCGCCAAGGATGCGTCTGACATTATCCTGACGGACGACAACTTCGCTTCCATTCTGAACGCCGTTGAGGAAGGCCGTCGCATCTTTGACAACATCCAGAAGTTCGTTCTGCACTTGCTCAGCCAGAACATTGCGCAAGCCTGCACCCTCCTGATCGGTCTGGCATTCAAGGACTCTGATGGTCTTAGTGTCTTTCCTCTCTCACCGGTATGTGTCCGATTTCCTATATGCCATCTGGATGCTCTGTTTCTAACAATTTCGTCATCAAATAGGTCGAAATCATGTGGGTCATCATGGTCACTTCTGGACTGCCCGATATGGGCCTTGGTCTCGAGGTTGCTGCGCCCGACATTCTTCAGCGTCCGCCTCAGTCACTGAAACGCGGCATCTTTACGATTGAATTGCTCATTGATATGGTCGTCTACGGCCTCTGGATGGCTGCGCTCTGCTTGGCCTCTTTCTCGCTCGTTCTATACCAGTGGGGTCCCGGCATCACTGGTCGACACTGCAACCGTGGCTGGTCTGAAGAGTGCGACATTGTCTTCCGCGCCCGCGCCACTACTTTCGTGTCCATGACGTGGTTCTCACTCTTCCTTGCCTGGGAGCTCATCAACTTCCGTCGGTCGTTCTTCCGCATGCAGCCCAAGAGCAAGCGCTACTTTACCCAGTGGATGATTGACGTCTGGCGCAACAAATTCCTCTTCTGGTCTGTCCTCTTCGGGTTCGCTTCCATCTTTGTGATCCTTTACGTAAGTCTCGACTTCTCATATCAGCATGACTCGCAGCTACTAACAGTCTATTACAGGTCCCCGTCATCAACGATCAGGTCTTCCTGCACACCGGCATCACCTGGGAGTGGGGCATCGTCATTGTCGAGGCAGTCCTGTTCTTTGGCGGCATTGAGGCCTGGAAGTGGGCCAAGCGCGTCTACCTGCGCCGCACCGCGAAGAAGGAGGGTGGTGGTCAGCGTCGCCGCCTCAGCAGCGTCATCTTCGATGGCTACATCCCCAACAACTCGGACGAGAGCCAGGAGCTGTCGACCGGTTCCGACGAGGCGCGGAGGAAGAAGGTCGAGGAGAAGGCGTGAAGCGGGTTAAAGACTCGACTTTTGGCCCTTGTGGAAGTTTTACTGCGTCACAAGATGGGTGGGTGGGCGATCACTCGCGGCCCCATTGCCTCGGCTGGGGAGAAAAGGGAGGGGGGGGGGGGGGGGCCTCTGTCTACCTTGGCTTTGATTCGCCATGAAATGCATAGAAAACGGCGCAAGTATATCCTTTTTCGCAGTACAGGGGGCTGTACATGCTCTGAACATTATTCTAGTCGATATGACGATAATAACAACCGAATATCATTCACTTCGATCCGTCATCATACAAGAGAAACCCATAGTTAGCCGAGTTTATGTCCCGCCATGCCGTACTCTCTGCCCATTTAGTCTGGGATACTTGACTCGCTACTCGAAAGTGCGACCACCACTTTAAGCCTCATCCTGTGTGTTCGAGTCATGAGCTGCGTGCCCTCCAGCATGCTGTTGTGTGGATGTAGTGTAGAGGTGGCGAGATGTGTGTGTCAGCTATGCACGGCGGCGGCCCCGTTAGTTTTGAGGACGACCAGGGGAAGTTGTATGTTGGTTTCTGTGTGTCGGGCTTTCGTACTTATCAAGCATATTATTGTCCATGGCGTGTAGAGTACGGCTTGAAGGGCCTGGATGCAACTCTCTTCCTGTAGCCGTGAAGGGAGAGAGCCAGCGTACTAGAGCTACTAACTCACTATTTAAATGTCCTGTCCGGCACCTCTCGACACACACAAACCGCTGTATCCGGCTGGGGCCCCCCGCCCGGAGGGCGGCGCCGGAGTGGATCCCCCTCCCCCGGGCTCCGGTGGTGCGCGCCGCCGATGGACACGCGGGCAGGCAGGCAGGCAGGCAGGGCCGGGCAGAGCCACTCGACCATGAGGTATTATGGCCATGAGCAGTACTGGTGTGATCTCCAAGTTTGCTGCTGGCTTTTATGGGTGTTCTGGCTGCGCCACATGTTCAAACCCGCCCAAAGCTATTGCTGCTTTTGTCCATTGCATTTGAGGGGTTTGTTTAATTGTTTATTTTGATTTATATTGAATTCGAGAAAAAGGAAAAGAAAACCAAAGTCAACTTGGGGAATATGGACGGTCTTCGTGTAGAGAAAATGATGTGCCGCACTAGAGTTATTTGGGGGGGGGGGGGGGGGGGGGGGGCTTGATTGCTCGTGGCCTTGGTTTAGAAAAGGATGAACCTGGGAAATGACGATAAAGTCCACGTAGCGAAGCAGCCCAGCGATCACAGCGAGGGAGGGAGAGACTGTGTGGAGGGGATCTATCTAGCGATGGCAAGGCGAGAGGCGAGGCGGCGTGAAGACGATTTTCAGATTTTTTGAACGGCTGGAAAAGTTATAGCTCGGTATGGTGAATTACTTCAACGGGCTTTTGATTCCTGCGTGGCGGAGAGGATGTGCTGCATGTGTGTATGTGTGTGTGTTGAAACGGAGAGAGGTGTGAGATGGCGATGAAGATAAACAAGCATGGGGTTTATGATATGTAAAGCCAGGAAGTCGGGAATAATGCTCTTGATTTGCCATTCTCACGAAAAGCTTCTGGCGAAAAAGAACTTGTTACGACTTCTGTCAATGCCTACAGAAACGAACGGGTATAAACCAAGGCTCATACCCAGTCAGGAAAACGAGGTGAGGTACGATAAACAAAGGCCCTTGATGGGCCAATACTGCTCTAAGACGCGAATATTTCCCATGTCGGGTGTTTGTTCTTGCCATACCTGCGTCGATCGATCTGTCCCATGCCAGCGCAAAATCTCACAGCACGAGAAAAATACCCATCTCAAACCAGTCAACGAATCGAGAATCAAGGATGCGCGCGTCTCATCGCATCCTTTCTTTCTAAGTGGCGTCCCTGTGTGCACAAGAAAGTCGTCATAAAATCACGCCCACGCGGAGTCCACTACATGTACTCTTCTTGCATTGAAACAAAACGCCGTTCACGGAGACCTCGTCAGGGCCGGCGTTTTGTACATGATCCAAAGAGCAAGGCCCATGGGACGCCGCCCTACTACCAACTGGCAAGGATGACAAGACTTGCTGTCATAGAGAGTATCGGAGCCAGTTTACCACTTGGGCACAGGGAGCACGGTTTCTGTTGTTGTTTTTCAAAAATTTTGTTACATTTTTCAAACTACCCATGCCAAAAGCTGTGACGGCGGCTCCTCGTCGAGAAAACCGGTGCGGCGGCTGCTCACAATCCCGTCCTTGTTCATCGCCCGCCACTAAGTCTGTCCCAACACTGATCATCCGACAAAGCAGTACGTCCACCTCATCATTAGAGGACAGCACCGCGTTCCTACAAGACCTCTCCAGCCCTTATAACTCGGCGGAAAACACCACGATCCCGTATCGAGAACTCCCTGATAGACCCCAGCCACGGCGTATGGCGAATGGCGTGAGAAGCACGATACAAAAGCAGAGAAAAAAAAAACCACAGAGAGAGGGGAAACACAAGACAACTAATGACAAAACAAGCTGTCGCGTCTGCCTGAGGCAGCCTATGCCTCGGGCTGCTTGTTCTTCTTCTTCTGCTCCACCTTGAGCAGCAGCGCGCGGTTGATGTGTGGCAGCACACCACCATAGGCGATGGTGGCTCTGATCAGGGTGTCGAGCTCCTCGTCACCGCGGATGGCGAGTTGCAGGTGGCGTGGCGTGATGCGCTTGACCTTGAGATCCTTGGCGGCGTTCTACAGAGGGATGGTTAGTGGTTGCCTGGAAGATGGGTGACGGTTGCCCGGCTCATCAAAGCGGTGAGTCAGAGCTCCGCCACGTCAGGAGGGGGGAACTTACGCCTGCAAGCTCGAGGACTTCGGCGGTCAAGTACTCGAGAACAGCTGTGACGTAGACGGCAGCCTTTGCGCCCACGCGCATCTTGTTCTGGGTGTTGTTCTTGAGGAAACGCTTGACACGACCGCAGGGGAACTATTAGGAGAGCGTGGTTAGTGATGAGCGACGAAGTGGCTCACGCAGTGGCGCGCGTCGTCAGCAATGTCGTCGTTGTCGTCGTCCATCCTCCGTACACGCTTGTCTTCAAGACTCGAGCTACGGTCGTTTGAGGCGGCCGTCGAAGATGAGGGTCGCGATGCAACAACAATGGCACCGGTAGCAGATACGCGCGCTCATGGCGACCGCGCTTGAGGAAGACTCGAGGTTGCTACAGCGTCTGTGGCGCGCTCGCGTCGTCGTGCTGCGGCGTGATAAATCGGGGCCATTTTCGTTGTCGCTGCAGGCGGGATTGGACATCGATTACGGTATGCTTGTGTCGGTCGCAGAGCCGATGCAGCGCGTAACCGCGAGCAAGCTTGTTGTCGGCGTGTCGAAGCTGGTGGCACAGAGGTTGCGCGCGTGGGCGCACGGCAGGGAGGCATCACGGCGCAAGGGACGGCGGACACGCGACGGCGAGGATGGCGATGGCGACAGGGAACAAGACGACGATGCACGCGACGCAGCAACTGGGAAAGGCATCTTACCTGAAGACCAGCGCGGGCCGAGTGGCTCTGCTGCTTCTTTGGGCCGTCGACGCCCGACGTCTTGCCGCCGGAGCTCTTGCCGCCGGACGATTTACCCTTGCCTCCGGCCATTGTGGAGAATGGACTGGAGGAGATGGGGGTGGCTGGGAAGAGGAAGTTGCTGGAGGACCGTCGCGGAGCGCGTGGTTATGGATTATGGGAGTGGACGAGGACAGCAGAGGCGACGACGAGGACGACGATGGCGGAAGTGGTGATGTGGGAGCGGTGGTTGTTGCACGGACGGAGGAGGCTGCTTGTGCGTGGGGTGGTGCAAGTGGATGTGGCGGGAAGACGTGCGACTCGCTGCAGGCAGGCAGGCAGGGCCGGGTGGTGATGGTGCAGGTGGTGGGTGCTGGCGCGGCGCGGTGCGGCGGGAGGGCAGTGGTGAAAATTGTTTGTTGTTTATCGCTGGGCGGCCAGCCTCCTCCTCTGCCTGCTCAGCCTGCCCAGCCAGTGCCCAGCCTGGAGGGGAGGGAGCTGTAGCCGGAGCTGGAGCGAGCCCAGAGCTGCTCTCACGTCAGTCAGTCGGGTGCCCGCTGCTGCTGCTGCTGCTGTATCTCCAGGCCCCCTCCTCTGGCGGCTGCCATGCTGACTTTGGTCGGGTGCTGCATCAAATGCATCAGCGCCGCGCCCTCTGCCTTGGCTGTTTCTGCCTGGTCTGCTGCGCTCTGCTTGTCGAGCTGGTGATTGAGCCTGTCAACTCGCCAGAGCTGTCGATGCCCAGAGGGGCCGGATCGACCGGGCGCGTGGTTGGGTGTTCAAGCTCGGTGAATGATGCAATCGTGCTGCCGGCCTGGCCAGATCCGGCAGAGCTCCCGCCAGCTGTCAGCCAAGGTGGGGGGTGGCGGGCAGCTCGTTGGTGGTGATGGATGAGAGCCCACGTCCCAGCAGGCGGCGGCTGCGTGCTGCCTGTGTTGCAGACCAGTACAACTCGGCGTGTTTGGTCTCTTGTGCTTGTGTTGCGAAGGGGAGAGGCAGGAATAGGGTCTTTGACTTGGGGCCCAGAGGCTTCCCGGCTGGGCGAGGTGGCGTGGTCGTCTCTTGCAACTTACGGCGTTGAGTAGTGGCCCTCAGCCAGGCACTGCCTGGCCAAACCAGACCTCGACGGGCATTTCTGGCGTCTGGGCCGGGCAAGGCTCAAGATCGAGAAGAGTGCGTGGAAACGTCCCGCCAGACTCTCATAAGAGCGTCCTGTCGGCTGGCTGGCCATGTTGGCCGTCGCACGTCTCGTTGCCTGAAGCGCTCCAGAAGTGCCACTTGGACGTCCGCGCGGAGGTTTGGGCTGGTGGGTGGTGGTCGAGGTGCTCGAGTTGAGCCACAGTCAGCCACGTTCCGCTCCGCCTCCTCCGTCCCGCGCCAAGCCATCTCCAACTTCCCCACAGCCGCCCGCGTGGCATCGTGCCAGCTCCGAGGCTTTCCCCACCCGCCGCTCTGGACGAGCCGAATGACCATTCACGATGCACATCCCAGATGTTGTAATCATAAAGATCCCAGCCACTCAAAGGGAAGGCAGCGTCGTTTGATCATGAAAGTCCTCGCGAGGCCGAGGACGTTTTGCATCAAGGTCTCACCGTAGCCTCATGCACGATGTATGCAATCATGGTCAAATTATTAACCCAGCGGACATCCTGCATCATGTGGATGTGCTTTTGCCAATATGCCCGTGATCTTCGAAGGAACAAATTTTCGACTAGCTGACGCTCTATGCGGGATGGCAAGGTTCGTGGACGCCATGTGAAGTGGCCTTCCATAACCTCGACTGGGAAAATCTCTGTGCAGGACCTACCCAACAGGACACTCCACGATCCAGCTCCTTTGTTTGAGCCACAGCCAGATAAAGTCGTCCGATCATAGCTTGGGATTCATTCTTCACCGCACCTGTTCGCCAAGACTCCGCCCAAGTCAGGGCACCCACAGACACTATTGGGAGCGTTGGATCAACACCGTTTCACACCCATGACAACAACCTGGTCGATTCTGAAATGATATCTCGTGGCTCCGACGGTTATGTGTCAGTCAGTCCCACCAAGCTGGTGCGCTTCCGCCGCGCAAAAGTCCTTGTCCAAGCAAGTACCGGAGGTGTGATCCGCTTCAGGGTCTCTTGTGCATCCTGCCGATCCCCTGAGCCAGGGCAGGGGGAGGGGGGCGCAATTCGTTTCTCGACGGAAAATTAGACTGCAGAACCAGCCTGCCCATGTTAAGTTGAGATATCTGATAATAGTCTATCCACAACAAAACCCCACGAGGGTGTCGAGTCACGGAATGCTTCGAGAAGAATCACAATGGAACCTTTGCGTGGATCCCTCCACCCAATGGTCCGCCGGCCCTTGTCTGGGCAATTCTGGTGAAAGACCACCCCCCCTGGCCGGCAACGCCTGTGACACCGTATGGCGGTGTCAAAGACTTTGGGATGATTAGGGGGCTCTGCTCGAGACCTCAGGCATTAAGAAGGCGGCGTGCAGCTTGGCTAGTTGGTCTGTGCCGAAACCACTTGATTTTCTTTATTGCAGCTCAGGGAGGAGGATCATCTCCCATGTCTCTGCTGAGATCGACAAGTACTGTACAGACGCTGGGCTGGCGGCAAGTCTGTCGGACTAGCTTAGTGCATCGCACTGGGAAAAGCAAGCATTTTCTAGACAAGACGAACTATCGAACAAGAACCCACGTCATTGGATCGCGAATCGATGATGTGCGACCCTTCCGTGGCTTGTCCCGGCTAGGAAGAAGCAGATTGTGAGTCTTTTTGCTCCCATTGCAGGACTGATTGCATGATTAGCGTGGTAAGCTGGACACTCGGCAGACGAAAAAAGCCTGGTCGTCCTGGACTAGCATCAAATGACAATCGTCCCGCTACCATGGAAACGGCGGCCACCACGGGGGATCTCGGCCGCCTGCCGGGCCTGTCCCTGAGTGGAGGCCGTGGACGGCCCGCTTTGCTGAGATCCGCCTCGCTTGGCTTGAAGCGGGAAGGCTCAAGACGTTCAGGACAACTCCCAAGCGGGTAATTTTAGTCACCCCTCACCTGGCAAATTAGGATTCGTGGCCATGGTCGAGCAGGCCACGAAGCCCGGGAGGCTTCCGCGCGGTCGTCTTGAAGGTGGCCTTGAAAAATTAAGGGTAGGCTGCGACGAAAGTGGCTTACAGCAAGTGACTGGGACTGAGCTAGCCCTGCAGGTGAAGATACTGTAGCACCAAGGAAATCATCATTGTCGAGGCCTATGACGTGCATGGCACCCAGGTACGTGATGGAAGGACCTGCACGATGCCCTGGAGGACATTCGGGCTGCATACAGAGGGGCAGGGGAGCCATGTGAACCAGGCAAACAGCTCGGACATCAGTCGAGTTGGCTGGATGCAGGGCTCAAAGCAAATGATTTGTGCATGTCTTGGAAAAATAATGCGCGTCATGTTTCGTGCAACACCACTCGAGGCGTGGAAACAGCATCGCCGACGGATGCACCGCACGAGGGAGAGGAGAGTGTGCAGCCATCGCAGGTCCTTGTGCTGACACGCAACGCAGAGCAAGTGACCTATGAGAAATACAAGCGCGAGCTTGCTCTGTCTCTGTCGTCAGGTCTGGTCTGCCGACCATGAGTAATGGGATAACAGCGTTGCGAGGTCAGAGGACGTCAATAAGGATCGTGGTTGTCAAAGGTCTCGAGGGGGATAGCTTTGCTCGACTGCCAGACACGGGGAGCGCGTGTCGCACCTGGGGTCAATGCCACGGCGTGCCGCAAGCTTGGCGGGGGTGTTCTCTCTCACATCAGGAGTCCATGTCTTGCGTCGTGCAGCTTGCATGGAGGGCGGCCCGCATGCAGTTGTGTTGTGGTGGTGTTGGTGGTGGTGGTGGTGTTGCCAGGCAGGCAGGCAGGCAGGCAGGCAGGCAGGCAGGCAGGATTGGGTCTGAAGGCGGGGCGATCCAAGTTGATGTTGACCATGGGAAAAGCAAAACACGAGCTCCCCCAGCAGCAATCGCCCGTCACCTGCCTGCTCGACGTGCCGCGACAGTCAACCTACGTTACCCAGGCCCTGGAGCCACTGGAGCAAGCACGGCGATTGTGCAGCCGTGGCCTCCTGCCCGCCCTGGCTTGTTTGTATGATTAGGTGGGACTCGAAGAGCTTGCCCTTCTGCAGCTCGGTCAGCGGGCTGGCACTGCAGTACGGGGCGTGCCGGCGAGAGAGTGGATGCAAGCACGGGGGCCTCGATAGGATAGGAGAGGATGAGATGGCACGGGAGGGAGGTCGTAACGAGGATGGGCGCCTCCAGCTTCCGCTCTGTTGCTGGTCTTGGGTGGTGGAGGAGGAGTTGCATTCACTCGAACCAAGTGAACCCCCCCTTTTTTAGCGTGAGGGCGACCCTGGCGGGAGAATGGGTGCACAAGTGGTTCCCCCCCTAAGTTATTACGCCTGGGCTGGCTGGCTGGGACGGCCTCGCCCGCTGCCACGCGCAGGCATTGCACGGCCACTGCATACTGCACAGGCTCGCTCGCTCCCTGCTCGCCGCCGCTGCTCCCTCCTCGCCGCCATTTCCTCGCGGCACGCTTTTTTCTCCTCCAGTCCCCTCGACACATCCCACTACACCAGCACCACTCCTCCCTCCTCTTCCCATTCGCTGCTCACTTCCTTCTCTCTCCTCTGGTCACCACTTCGTCGCCGCCATCACTGCCGCCGCCGTGGTCGTTCTGTGTCTGCTGCGCTCCCAGGCTCGTCCCCTCTGCGCTCTTTCACCACCTGCACAGTGACACCGCCACATTCGCTCTGCTTCAAGACACTGGCCTTGCTGCTCCTTATTGGTGGCCCTACCTCCGGTTCTGGGTCGCAACAGCGTTTTGGCGCTCTCGATCTTCGAGCGACACTCGCCTCATGCTCGTCGCCATCACCACGCCCTTTTCTCGATAGACCTTGTTGCTTGCCAGCCCTCCATCTCCAGCTGGCCGCCCGACCACCTCCTCGCCCCTGTACGCTTGACCTGGTTGGCTTGCGCCTTCCGCACGAGCATTCCAGACGACCCGTGGTCCTCGTGACGCCCCTTTTGATCTTGCGTGCGAACCAAAGGCTCATCCGCAAGTCATCCACAAGTCGACGCTGGCTGGACTCCCAGCTCATCGCAAGCGAGGCATGAATCACCACCAACACGAAATGTTCTCAGACTACACGTCTGCGCCGAGTCGATCACCAGGAACCTCCCGACAGGGCTATGCCACTATAAACATGCACACCGGACTTGGCAGCGGTCGCCCGCGCGTGGGCGATGCCTTCGGTCAGCATATGGGTACCCCTGCCCTCTATACTCCCGATGAACGCAACTCGGGCTACGAGTCGCTCTCCCGGTTTGACCAGATGAGGCCCAACGCGATGCAGTCGCCGTATATGCTTGACGGCAGCCAGACCTGGGCTTACAACGGCGGAGGCCTAGCCACCGTCAATGGACCCATGAATGGGAACGGTCGCTTAGGATCAAGAGCTGTCAACCGCCGTGCCGCCTTGCCTACCGTAAGTCAAAAGCTCGAGGCTATCCGATCGTGCATTTGGCCTCCATTCATGGCTGGAGTTGTTGGCTGACCACACCGTGAATTTGTAGACTTGGACCGACCAGCCAAATCTTGGCATCTCGCACATGTACGACCCTGGTCTGGGTATGAACGGCAGCGAGCACGATCTTTCAAGTATCGCAGGGTCTGCGACGGATGCTCGCGGATTGATGACCACGCCTGGCTCTGCAGACTCGGAGCAGCTCATCCCTACAGCCATTGTCATCAAGAACATCCAATTTCAGTGCAGGAAAGAGATCCTCCAGGGCCTCATGGCGTCGATGAATCTGCCGCAGCCGTATGCCTTCAACTACCACTTTGATAAAGGCGTCTTCCGGGGCCTTGCCTTCGCCAACTTCTCTACTCCCGAGGACACCGCCATTGTGATTCAAAAGATGAACGGCCTGGAGGTTATGGGACGCAAGCTGCGGGTCGAGTACAAGAAAATGCTACCCCAGGACGAGCGGGAACGGATTGACCGCGAGAAGAGGGAGAAACGTGGGCAGCTCGAGGAACAGCACCGGGCACCACTTCCCATGCATCAGCAGAGCGCGTTGCAGGCTCTCGGTGTCAACGTCAACAAGCAGCAGCCAAGCAATTCCCCACTCAGTAAGCTGGTTCACGGTTACGGCCTCCCTGCCAGCAGCAAACCCTGCGTGCTGACCCCTTCACTAGGAGATGTTGACCTGAATGACCCCTCGACTCTGGAATTCTACACACAACTTACGCTCTTCAAGAATGACCCGTCGAGAGAGGTCTTTATCTTCTCGCCAGATGTTGCCCCTGAGCAACGCCGGCAGATCCATATCCTTGCCCATAATATGGGCCTCGAGCATAGGTCGGTTGGCGAAGCAGACCGCCGACAGATCCAGATCATGAAGCGACCGCAACATTCCCCGCCAGCTCATGCACAGAACCAGCTCTCTAGCGTCTCGTGGGAAGACCACCGCCGTGGCTTGAGCCGGGCTGCTACTTTCGACTTTTCCGAATCACGCATGGCCTCTGGCGCGTATCACACAATCGGTCGCCAGGGCCCAACTCTGGAGCTTCCTGGTAGCCCCGAGCATGCCATCACGAACAATCTCCGAGCCGCAAAGAGTTTTGCAGACCTGCGCACGCACAGCCCCAGCCCCGCCCCTTCTGGCTCAAGCTATGCTGGTCTGGGAAATGGCCTAGGTGCTCGGTACAGCGACTTTTCACAGAACTCCCTCGTGACACCTCCAAACTTGACGCCTACCTCTGGGCAAAATGGCGGTTCTAGTGCGGACGCAATGTTGGCTGGCGGAATGGGATCGATGAGCCTCGGCTTCGACGGCACCTCGGCCCACCTTCGCTCGAGAGAGGCTCCTGGGGCGATCGGTAGTCAGCGACCTGGCGCCAATGGCTCTTCCAGCAGAAATATCCCTGAGCGTCAGCCTCGTGGTCCGGAATGGGGTGACAGCGGTCAGGGTTTTAGTGCCCGCGGTAGAGGTCACATGCAACGGGGCAGTGGTGAGTCTTGATACTTGGCGAGGCCATCGCGAGGCTATTCAGCAGAACTGATCACTCACTGTGTCTCCACAGATTCGTCTGACGCAGGACGGAGCTCCGCTGCCTCTCGATTCCATTGATCACGACATGAATGAGAAAAGAGAATTGGCTACGACTGTCTGTCATACTACCACATACCCGACGAGAGACGATTTACGACTTTGCGATCCTGTGCCTTGTGGCGCAGACACTTCTTCACGCCACGCATATGCCTGAGCGGCATGAACATCTAGTTGCTCTCCATCGATCGAACCGTTCTCACGACAACCGAAACTATAATAATACGCTGTACCAACAGTTCAGTCTCTGCATTTTTTGCTTCTTTGAGTCAAACTTTTTGATTATGGTTGATCTCCTTTATTTTATTTTTTCCACGGCTGGGTTCGGTGACCGCACCTCCATTACGGTCCTTTGAGAGGCTTGTCGAACAGATTATTCAGAGGTGTTCCTGCTCGAGCATGATGTATCTAGCATGCTGCGGCGGCGTGCATTGGTACGCCAGCGAAGACAGGACGGTATCCCGGCCTTGCAACACCATACAGCAACAACACATGGGCAACCATTTCACGGTGTCACGACCCACGCTACTATATACCCCCATTGGGGCTCCCCGGACAGCTCGACGCGCCGCCAACCATGGCAGCACCGCACGCAGTCGAGCGGCCCCTTGACGATGGTCACGCTATTATGATGCACACGCTCGTCTTTACAATTAGATGGTTTGCGCCGAAGGAAATCTGCATGCTGGACCGGAGACTTGGAGAACAGATCGACCCTCCACTTTGAATAGCTTGAGACTTCTTGTTATATCGAAGCATGCCGGCCAGCATGGTTCTCGGCACAGCCGCCTTGCAGATTTGCGCTTTACCAAAATCGGAGGAGGGTTGGAGGATGAAAGCTTTACTGCGCAGGACGGCTGGTGTAATTGGTGCAATGGGGGGAGCTGTAAGGGAAGGGAGAAAGGACGAAAAGGGAAAAGAAAAAACCACACAGGAGCAGACGGCTTTGATCTCCAAGGCGTGGGGTGCACTTGGGTGCATATATTTGTGCCAACCAGCGTTGGGAAAGAGATCTGGGAACACTGGGCTGGAGGGGCGTACGAGATGCGCAAGCGGGTATAGAGCCCTCTAAAAATATTGGAAACACAGAATCAGGAATGGAAAGGCGCTCATGTTGGATTCAGATGCTGTGGCTAGTTCACAGTCCCTGGCGAGTGGAAGTTGATGGGCGAAGCGTGGGAAACGTGCTGGTAGTCTCCCGTGATCTGGTTTCGATGCGAAAGCTTGATGCATATGCTGACCAGTATCGGGCCCGATGTTGGCCAAGTGTGCCTGCTGATGACATGGGCGGCCCTGCTTGGGCGCAATGGTATGTAATCACCACTATCCCAAAGCGTCGCTGTCGGCACGATGGCCAGATACGCGTCTGTGCCAGGAGAGGCGATCCCCGAATGTCGGAAAACAAGGCTGAGCAGGCGAAGGGACTATGTCGACCTTTGACGAGGCGTGGCAGAATATACCTTGGCCAAGAAGGCGCTAGCCAGGGCTGAACCGGAGGGTCTAGGCCAGCCAGCTATTTAGCGTACCTTCCCGAAGGTATGGAGGTGAGCTAATTCGCCTGGTGTCAGAATCCAAAGTCGCCGTCACAAGTCGGCAGCGGCGTGGTGGAGGGCACTAGGGCCAAGGCGCAGGCCAGCCACGACTAAAAGCCTAATGTTTCGCCAACTCAAAGAGTGCGTCGCGGTTGGCGAGGCCCAGCTCTGCCCGCCCGCCCATGGCGTCGTCGGCGGGCAGCCACCGAGGCTGCTGCTTGGTCCCGACGACGCAAGCTTGGCGAGAGACCACCCACTCGCCTGTCGGTCTGTCTTGGCCTGGACGCCTTCCCGCGATGCGCTATGCTGTAGCCACACGTTTTGAGTTGGACCTGCGAGGCCTCTTTGCTCAGCTGCTGCTGCTGCTGGGCTGGCTGGCTACTTAGGCAGCTAGTTGGCATTTATGGCAGCCATGGCCAGCTCGACTTCAACTCCATGGCTCGTTCGGCTCCTCCATCACAATCTTCTCACACAGGCCGGCTCATCGAGAGCTCCTTTCCCCTTCGGTTGAGAACATGTCACACCTCCCGTCGTCAACGCGGACGCGGGCGGGCCGGTTCGCCAGCGTGCCGGAGGAGCACGGGGACGAAGCAGACCTATCGTACCAGGGAGCGGCAGGCCAGTACCAGTACGGCTACGACCAAGGCTACCGCTATGACCAGGCTGAGGAGTTCGACGTCATCTCCCCTTACACGTCGCCCCAGCAGCAGCACCAGAGACCGTATGACCCTGCCCTGGGCACGCAGCCGGGAGCACCGCGCGACTACTTCAGCACCGGCAGGCGATACAGCCATGCCAGGACGGCCTCGGAGGGGTCTGCCGACGTGGGCATCACGCCCAGCCCGTACGAGTACAGCGGCAGCAACAACGGCCGCCGCTCGAGCACCAGCCCGCCGGGGCCGCATGGCAGCAGCAGCAGTAGCGGCGCCGGCGGGGTGAGGGCGCCCATCTACGACAAGCCGCTGCCAAACTACAAGCCCACGGCCCTGCGGCGGCCGTTCCTGCTCGTGCTCCTGGCCGTCGTCTTGGGAGCCATTGCGGCTCTCGTCATCGGCCTGCTGAAGCTGCCGGTCAGCCGGGCGTCGATTGTGCAGGCAAGGGATGTCGCGCAGGGTCTGGACCTCGCGAGACGCCTCGAGGTGCCGCCGGGCAATGTCAACAGCGAGGCTCCCACCGTCACAGGAGTTCTCGCAGCCGAGGACTTTGGAGGCCTGGACACGGCAGCGACGGTCACCACGCCCCAAGCAGCAGGCGGCTCGCAAGGGACTGACGTGCCGGCGCCTGGAGAATTTGAGGAGCTCGCACCCTTACCCTCACCTGCACCTGCGCCTACACCTACACCTGCGCCGGCTCTCGAGTCAGCTGCAGCGCCTCCTGCGCTACAGGCGCCATCCTCACCATCTGGGGAGGGAGGGGCGGATGATGACGGAGCTGCCGAGCCGACAACGACGCAGGCATATGTCCTCGCGGGCGACTTTGCCGAGCTGGGAGGGCCGACACCGACACCGACACCCACTGCTCCTCTAGCGCCGCCGCCGGGAGCGTACGAGGGACTTTCAGAGGAGGAGACGGACACGGTGCCGGCACTGGCGATGGCAGCCCCCGCCGCGCAGGCCACGCACACGCAACCCCCCGGTGTCGAGGGCAACCCCCCGCCGGCGGCCTACAACGGGCTCGACGACGAGGAGACGGTTACGCCGACTGCCCCGTACGTAGGTGAGACTGGCTTTGCAGACCCCATCGGTGCGCCGCCGGTGACACCGCCGCCTGGGACGACGACTGTCGCGTTCGTGGGCGAGAGTGCCTTTGCAGACCCCATCGGCGCACCGCCAGTGACGGCCCCTGGCTCGACGACTGTTGGATATGTCGACGAGTCTGCCTTTGCAGACCCTATCGGCGCGCCGCCAGTGACGCCGAGTGACTTCAGCGTGCCGGCAGCAACGGTGCCGATAGAGAACATCGTCACCGACGTCAACGAGTCGAACCCACAGACGACGGACCCGCCAGCGGCCGTCAGCGACGACGTCAACGACCCCAGCCATGTGCCCGGCGAGAACGACTTTGGCGATCTCAACGCGGCCCCGACTACTGTGGGCGCTGCTCCAAGCTCCGCGTTTGGCCAGCTTCAGCTCATCACAACCGCAACCCAGCCCCCGGCTGTCGTCTCGTATGGCACCGCTTCGGCCGCGCCGGTCTTCACGCCATACACGACTGTTGTAACCAATGCCCACGGCCAGCTAACGACCATCGTCACGAGCAAGCCTGTCCAGCCCTCGCTCCAGGTCCTCACCAACGCGGCCGGCGTCCCGACCAAGACGCTCACCAGCTACCCCCTTGCTGCCAGCCGACCGGCCGACAACAGCAACAACGGCGCCGTCGTCATTTACTCGCACACGACGACCGTGGCCTCGTACATCCTGGGCATGTTCATCCCCACGATCGCTGCCGTCCTCCTCTCCATCCCCATTCGCATCCTCGACACCAACGCCCGCGTCTTCCACCCTTGGCACCAGCTCGCCCGCCCCCAAGGTGCTCTCGGCAAGCACTCCATCTCGCTCGAGCCCTTTGGCTGGGGTGGCTACCTCGAGACCTTCCGCGGCCTGGGCAGCGGGCAGTGGGTTCTCTTCTGCACCACAGTCCTGACTGTCTCCGCGGCGTTGTTGATCCCTCTCGCTGGCGAGGCCATCCGGATCGACCTCCAGGGCCCAGAATGCCGTCCCGGCACAATGACCAACAAGGGGTGCTTCTTCATCACCACGTCATTCTTCCAGGGCACCATCGCGTGTGTCTGCCTGCTTGGCGTCATAGCTCTCGTCCTGCTGACCCTCGTCTTCATCCTGGGCCGCTGGAAGACGGGCGTTGCCACAAATCCCTGGAGCATCTGCAGCATCGCCACGCTGTGCCTTCACGACGACGTGCGCCGGCTCTTCACGAGTCTCCCTGCGGGAGTGGACGCGCGCGCGCTCCCCAAGAGCCTGATCGAGGCGCTGTTTGCCGAGCGCAGGTTCCGGCTGGGCTACTTTTACGGGACCAACAGTGGGACCATCGAGTACGGCATCGTGCTTGCCGACAATGCGGATGGTTACGGTGGTGGTGGTGGTGGTGGTGACGGGAGATCCGCCGGAGAGAAGGCGCGCACCAGCGTCGATGAGGCGTGGGAGGTTGAGAACATGCTCAAACACCACAACCAGGCCCGGCCGCTGGAGAAGCTCGAGAACAAGCACCACCTCCCCTTCCTCATGCTGGGCTACGTCTGGCGCCTGCTGCTGCTGCTCGTCCTGCTGGGCATGCTGGCCGTCATCGGGTACTACCAGACGGGCTCGGACAAGACCGACTTTGAAAAGTTTATGAGCGGCGAAGGGTTTGGCGTGCGGTTCTTGTTCACCGGCGCGGGCGTCGTCATTACTTTGTCCTGGTCGTCGTTTTTCGACAGTGAGTCTTTGCTACTCCCGCTGCTACTTTTGGTCTCTCTCTCCCTCTCTCTCTTCCCCAATGATACCACACCCACTACACGTTCAATATTTTCTTTTTTAAAGAAAGCAACTAACCTTGTATCGCACAACCTCTAGGCATCGCCATCATCAGCCCCTTCCGCCTTCTCGCCAAGGGCTCCCGCCCAGCGCGGCGCTCGATCCTCCTCGCCCCTCCGCGCAACGGCTTCTCGGGCCTCTGGGCCGGGCTGCGCCGAGGCGACCTGTTCCTGGCCTCGACTTCCCTCATCTCCATCGCCTCGGAGCTGCTGCCCATCCTGCTGTGCAACACGCCCTTCCGCAGCACGCAGGTCTACCTGGTCAACCGGGCCTGCACGTACGGCAGCGTCGCCATCATGAGCGTCATGGCGCTCACCCTGATCCTCAGCTTCGTCGTGAAATGGCCACACATGCCGCTCGACCCGAGCACCATCGCGGGCACAATGTACTACGTCTGCGACAGCTGGATGCTCGACGGGTTCGAAGGGTGCGGCGGGCTGAGCAGGCTGGCCCGCAAGGAGAGGGATATGCGGGTCGACAACATGGGGCTGCGGTATGGGTTCGGCAGGACGTTGGGCGTCAGCGGGAGGAGCAGGATCGGCGTCGACTTGTCGCCGGATAGTCGCTTGCCTATTTGATTTTTTTGGGTTTTTTTCCTTCTTTTTTTTTCTTTTTGGCGCGGGTTGTTTGTGAACTGTCATATAGGGAAGGAGGGAGGGAGGGGGGGTTTGGCGTTATCCTGGCTCTGGCGTTGTTGGCTCTTGGGAAAATATAACTATGCATAATCCAATCACTGTCAGTTAAAATGGCTGACACGATTTTCTCGCCTTTTGTGTATGGGCTTCTTGCTATCCTCTTGTGTCGTGGTGGACATTTGGCAGCAAGGTACTCTGTAACGTCTTGGCTTGTCCGGCACGTGAGTACAGCATCAGTAAGGTGGTTGTTTTTTGAACTCCGGACGGAAAACTCGACCGGCGGTGCCTTCGTCACATCAACTATATTTTTTTCACAGATCTTCTCAACTTAGGATAACTTCACGGATCGCTGAGGGTATCAAAGCTCGGAAAATCTCAACAACTCTGAAGTCGTACAAGTAGCAGTCCCCAATCAGCTCATGCGTCCGTCCATCTGCACGAGGCCTAATCACCCAAGGATAGATCCCCCCTGGGAAGAAGACAAGACGGTCGCCAGCTTTGCTCTTGGCCGGCGCCAGTCCCATTGACCCGTCATCCGTCACGAACAACCGACGCCCATATATGGCGCGCTCAACGGCCTCGGTAAAAGTCGAGCAGCCCACCCGCGAAGTTCCGTCGCCATTGGCAGCTTTTGCTTGATTTTGCCACGCCTGTACAGTCTCAATCTCATCAAAGTATGCCGCTTCCTTGCTATACATCACCCCTGAACCATACTGCTTGTACCACTCGACAAAGTCGCAAGCCCGTGAGGTAATGGCAGGTCTACTTTCACCGACCTGCTCGTGGTCGTCGAAAGCGCGAATCGTGTCGGCAAACGCGTCGGCCACCGACTGAGGGAATTTCTTCCTGCCATTGTTGGATAAATGGGAAGTACAGACGACTTCCCAGCTCCGAATGACCTTTCGGAAGGCTTTGCTACCTGGTGCCATCTCGGGGAAGATGGGTGTGAGGCTTTCCCCGACGGCCTGCACCTTGCCACAGAGCACTCCCTTGAGCGCCAACTCACCGCTTCGACGAATTTCAGGTTCGGATAGAAGCTTCCAAGGATAGTGCTCAGAACTGTAGCTGTACGAACCAAAGACCCGAGGCAATAGAGCTGGGGCTCCCTGTTGGCTGCAAAAGCTTGCCACCCACGAGGGAGCACCGTCCAGACGTGACGATCCTGCTCCCACAAAATGGAGCAGCGAAATATCGCGCTCGGTTAGGATGCTGTGCCGCGTGAATGATGTTGCCAGTTCGAGATCGCTGGAGGATGAGTCCGACAAGAACTCATACTGCCCGACAATGGAAGAAATCGCCCGGATCTTTTCCTTCTCGCACGTGTCCTGGCAGAGGCGCGCAAACTGCATCGCTTGCCTCAACCCTGACCGATCAGCCACGGCCTTGAGGTTCTGGAGCTGATTTGGGCCATAGATACCATGCAAGGGGTGGTAGTCCTGCCTGAACGAAGTGCAACGAAGCAGCTCCGCGAATTGGCACTCACTGTCAGCTCCACAGAGAATAGTCGTGTCTCTTGAACAGCCAACGACAAGAGCAGAGTCGACCTGGTAAAACCATGGCCTCTGGCACAACTTGTGGAAAGCGTCCTGGGTAGTACCGCGGTAGTGGGACCAGTTGAGCTGCCGTGCGGCGCGGCACTTGTCTAGATGTTGAAACACGAGTTGAGAATTCTTGTCGGCAGCCCCAAGCCAGGCGAGTGCCTTTGTGGCCCGTCGATAGATGGCCTCGTAAAGTTGAGCATGCGACAACAGTTCCGCTTCATTGTCATGATCAACACACACAGCCTTGATCCATAAAAGTCTCGGCCTGTCTGATTGCCGAACCCTGTGCAGGGCATCCCACACGGCAGGCGAGACTTCGAGAGAACTGCCATTAAGCGTGATGGGAAGTGTCGCCAAGGCCGAGTCTGAGGCAATGCTGAGAATCTCATAGTCTGGTGCCTCGCTTATGGGCGTAAACAGAATATTGCATTCGACGGGATCTGATGGTGTGGCAGATGGGCACAGCTCAAGCAGCCTGATTTGGCCATCGGGTAGCGCTCCATGGATAAAGGCGGTGCCTGTCTCTTCCACCCACGGAATATGGTCTCTGGCGCTGTCCGTCGGGATCTCCTTGCCTGGCCAGGCGTAGTTGTCCGCAAGCGATGTAATTGTGACGGACTGGGCTGGTGGAACTGCTGGGTGACGATATTTCCGTTTCGAAAAATCGAGCCCCTTGATATCAGGGCAGCCTCTTTCTAGGAGCAAGTGGACGAGGGGCATGTAGTGGGTGGCATAGGCAGACGTGCTCATGGGTCTTGTGCCAGTCTTGTGCGTCAGGTATTCCAGAGCAGTCTGGTCAAGACCTGGACACTGAACGTCCGCCCCATGCTGCAGAAGCAACTCCACCGCCTCGAGATTGAGCTCGTCGCAGGCCCGCTGCAGCAGGTTGGCGTGCTGGTGTGAGCCGGGGTAGGCTGGGAAGGTGACGTCTGGAGAAAGGCCGTAGGTGGTGATGAGGTAGCGGAGCGTTTCTCGCATTGCTGGCGAGCGGTCTCGCATGATATCCCAGGCGAGATGGCCAAAGTCTTGCATGTCTATAGCGGGGCCGCCCTGGGCGACGAGGAGGATGAGCAGCTCGAGGTTTGCGGAGCGGACGGCTTGTTTCTGATACTGGGCATAGTCTAGCCAGGCGCCGTGGGAGGGCGTATGGGGGTAGTGGGAGGCCATTGACGGTCATGAACGGTGTTGTGACTCTCCTCTCCGACGAGGTGTGTTGGCTGTCTGTCGTTTGTTGATGGTGCATGCAGTTGAGGTGGCTGGCTGTTGGAGTGGCTTTCGCTGTGCGGGCAGCTGTGTGAAACAGTCAGGCCTGGCCTGGCGGGGAATGGGGATTGTCCACATGCGGAAGGAGCATTGCAGTTCAGTGCATCATCCTGACTGCGTCGACGTGGAGCTCGAGCCTGTCTCCTCTTATTTGCACCGGCTGTACTGGAGGTCAAGAAGAGGGCCACAATCTGGGTACTACTTTGGTATGTTGTCATTGAGAATGTTGCTCGCGGTGGCAATGCTGAGTGCTCCTGTTCAAAGGGCTGACTGACCTAGAGAACCCATGTGAAAGCGGGGGACCACTTGCACGGCCAGGCACCAACTGCCGGTGCTGCTATAATTACGGCACTGCAAGGGAATAGTTAACACCTTCAAGTCCGGCCAGGGGATTGCCTGACGCCGGCAGTGCTGGGCCCCAGCGAGCAGCCTCCTGCCCGATTCGGACGGGCTGGGCCGACGATCTCACAATCCATACAAGAGGGCGGCCCCGGCGGCTCTCTGATGCAGGTCCTCCTGCAACTGTCGTCATTCCTCGACGGTCTATCCTGTCCTGACAGATACAACTACAAATATTCGACCCAGTCCCGCGTTTCTTTTCCAACCCCAGACAAGAGACACATACCAACGCAAATGGGCCTTCCTGCCACTCCCCGCACCCTCGTGCCCATCCTCGCCTTCCTCGCCTTCGCCCTCTTGCTCTGGAACACGGGCAACACACCATCCACCATGTCCTCCTCCTCCACATCCTCCTCCAGGGACTTTGACCCGTCCACGGCGCTGTCCGTCTCCATCAGCGGCATATCATCATCGTCACCACCCCGCGTCAAGCTGGCCGTCACAAACACCCACTCCACCCCAGTCACCCTCCTGCGCTGGAACACCCCCCTCGACCCCATGGCCCTCCAGCTCGGCGTCCTCTCCCTCACCCCGCAAGGCGCCTCCAGCCCTCTCGAGCTTGCCACCATTGCCCTCCGCCGCCTCATGCCTCCCCCGGAGGACCAGTTCGTCACCATCGGCCCCGGCGAGACCGCCACCAACGAGCTTGAGCTCAAGCCCCCCGCCGTCAACCCTCAGGAACTGGGGATCGCGGGCAAGACCGTGCAGGTCCAGGCCAGCGGCGAGTGGGGGTACGTGTGGCCGCTGGGCGGCGACGTCGTGGTGAGCGAGTGGCGGGACAAGATTGGTGGTGCCGACAGCGACGGGGCCTCGAGGGGCAGCTTCGTGTCGGACAAGCACGAGGTCAAGTTCTGATTGAGCGGTTCGGACTTGTTTCCCCTCCTCCTTTTTCTTTTTTTTTTCAGAGGAGGGGATGCTTGAGGCAAGTTTGATAATCTTTACGTACCTAGGAACGGCGGGAGTTATGACGAGCGCGCATAGATTAAAAGGGTTGTACCAGTTATATGCATCAGTTTACATATTCAATTTACATGCATGGACTCTCAAAGCCAACTTTGACGCGATGTCTTGTTCTCTTTCTTGAGATGGAGGCAAGTTTCAATACATGTGACTTAGAAGTAAAGAGAAAGAACATTATGGGTTGGGTCAGAACGGCAACGTAGAGCAGTCCCGGGTGGAGCACGTCAAATCCATAAGAAAACATCGATCCATCCGCTCCCGCTCCTTGATAATTAATAGCCATTGAACAAATTCTGCCGTTCGGTGACTGTCCAGCACGCAGGATCATAGATACCGTGATAAGTACCAAAGAGAGAAAATACCAGCTCTTACAACCGGAGTGTCCCCCCATCTGACCGATCATCAAAGCTGGTTGAACACGACCTCGTGGTCAGAGGCTCGCTTCTGAAATATCGTGTGATAGAATGTGACATCCCAGGAATAAGATCTCCTCCTGTGGAAGCAAGGATTGCGGCGCGGCCGCACTCGCTTCTGATAATCAATCCGCACATTTCTGCGTATCCACCAATTTCTTCCGGAATCAACTCAGTTAACCTCCCAGACGTCTTGCTGGCAAAAACTATCAACGAATGTCCCTCCGGCACAAGCTGCCGGGACAACTCGCCCGGCGGCCGTGATTGACAGAAAACGTCGCATCCTGTGCTCGATCATTGAGACTTGGCTGCTCCCCTGTCTTACTTTGACCTGCTGCGGTCTCCTCTTCTACAGTATGTCCAGCCCGCGCCGCCCCCTCCGCCAGAAACTGTCCAGCTGGAAGTTTCCAATAGTCTCCAAACAAGACTATTTGGTCTGCCCTGGGACGCAGGCATTGGGCTGGGAATAAGCAGGGCCGTTCACGTTCACCCCTCCTTTGCAGACTTTGCAGGGACATCCCGTCCATGAGGTCAGCCACGTCTGCTGAAGCAGAGGTGGCCTCGAGGTCGAGTCTGCTCGGCCATATATCCGCGTGCTCGGATTTGCGCGCAATCCGCACCATGCAGCTGGCTTGCTGTCCTGCAGCGGGAGTGGTAGCGTTGCCACGTACGTTCTTCCCCCGAGCGCGCTCATTCGTTGTTGTCCGTCGCTTATCGAGCCCTCGCTTTTGCGGCATTCTCAAAGTCGACAGCAACTCTGGCTCCCATGCACTTGCCAAATACTCGACAAGCAGCGGCCGTCGGCCGTCGTCTTCGTCGACGCCTGTCTTGATGCTCTTGCCGTCGCCGTCGGCAAGCCTATCTCGGATTTTACCGGCGACGTGTTCGGTATGGCAGTTGAGAGATGCATTATCAGCCGTGACCTGGAAGAGATATCTACCTCCTCCACACTCAAATCTCCTTGCCGCATTGGTGAGCTCTGTTGCAAAGTCCACAGCCCTCTGTTAGTCTTCTGGAGAACCCGGAAATTGCACATGGAACGACTAAGAGGGCCTCTGCCTACCTGGTGCTTCGCCCTTTTCATGGCCATTGCTGCTGCTGCCTCTAGGAGCAGCAAAACTGTCTATGAGAAAGAGGGTCTCCAGCCCCGGGAACAGGCACAGGAAATCGATGAGGTGCTCTGGAAGTTTCGGGGTGCGTCTCCGAGACTCGTGCACTCTCCCGCATCCCGAGCACATCCGGGTATCCTCGCCCCACGAGACCTGATACCGCACGGCCAGCTTCTTGATCCTGGAGAGCTGGGCCCTGTCGAGCCGGACACTCCACCTGCCGAGTTTCACAGAAGCGGACCTCTGAATCTCGGGGTAGTCGACACAAATGATGTCATCCGCCAGAGCGAGGTTGACCAGAGGCCCAGGCTCAAGGTGACCGTGGCCGAGGCGCAGGTTGCCAGGGTGCTTGAGAGCCTGCCAGACCAGGCGCCGAGCTTCGTTACAAGAGTCTCTGAGACTGTCGAGGTACTTGTTTCGTGTGAGATAGTGAGAGACATCGCCCTTGGGGTTCTCAAACAACGGCGCAAGACGAGCGGAGTAGGGAGTCTTGATGGTTGGTGGCGAGCTCTCTCTGGAGCCTGGCGGTGCAAGATCCAGCTGGAATTCTGGGTTGGGTTCGAACCGAAGAAAGTGAACTCCGGGAACGTAGATGGCCATCTCCCATATCCTGTGACGAATATCGTACGGAAGCTGTGCGAATTTTGGAAACTGTTGGAGGGTCCGTGGAAGATCGAAATGCAGAGGGTTCTGCTGAACCACAGCGGTCCTTGTCGACTCCATGATCGTCGTCAGACAGATCCGCCAAAACCAGGACGAAGTGATGCAGTGTTCGATGCGATGGGCTGCCGTCTTTGTGACAGGTGGTCTTATAGCCGACTGCCCTGTTGTACCTGCACATGGGCGTCGTGCACGATCGGGTCAGGCGTGAAGAAAAAGATGATGTAGACCGTGATTCACATGCCAGGTCAACCACCAGTGACTGATGTCAGTGCCTTTGTGCACGAGGCTGTCGTTGGTTCTGCAGCCTGAGGCAAGAAGAAGCTGGGGTGTTACAGGCAGATGCAGGCAGCAGAGGCTGAGGCCCAGCCTAGGTCGTGTATGAATGCAAACGCCTAGTTCAGGTGGCGATTGGAGGGCCTCTGCGCAGGCAGACCAAGGTCTCAGCTGCGACGATGCAAGTCGTCCCCCACGATCACGCGGGTTTCTGGAGGTGATGGCCGGTGTCGCTCAGCAGGGTTGTGTCCACGATGGGCAGGAGGAGCACATCCCAGCCCTGGGAAGGGAGGATGCCTCAAAGCAGTGGGTAGCCGTGGAGAGTGCGAAGCGCCCTCAAAGGGAGCCCAGTCCGTGAGGTGAAGGTGATATTTATGTCGTGGCCGGAGACAGAAGGTGCAGGGGGCTTGCTTCTGTACTATTGTAGTCATGATCTTGAAGCTGGCATCGCAAGTCGTCAAGATACCTGGCCATGGCAACATGTCATGTCACCTCGTCCGACAGGGCCCAGTACCTGCATCGAGGCCTGATCCTGCCAGTTCAGAGGCCACGATGCCCACATGCGACATGCCCGAGCCGTAATTATAGCCAGTGGTATTGCGCAAATCGGGGCGACTCGAGTTGTGCTGGCCAAATGGGAAATGCTGCAGGTCGTCTGCCGCAGATGCCCAACCCCGCGGGCCTTTTTGTTGTAGCCAGCCAGTTCCGCATCTGCGCACATGGCAATGCCGCCGCCCCATCCGGTGAGGGAGGGGATGCCTGAGACACAAACGTCAAAGATCGCATTTGCGCAACTGCCCTCGCCTTGTGCGTGGGACAATCCGCGCCTCCTTATTTTTATTCTGCTCAGAACTTGGTTTACTCCGCGAACGAGGTTGCCAAGCGTGCGAACCTCAGTAAGCACCGTAATGTTTTTTTCTTCTTTCTTTTCCGCCAATTGTTCACGTCCGAGATTTCAGTCATACGTTGCACGTGTAAGCTGATATCCGACCACCAGACATGCGCTCATCTTCGACCCTGCCCCGGCTCCGAGGTAGGCTTCTTGCTCCCGTTTGGATGCAAATTCAGCCTTATAACTGTCAGGATCTGGAGTGCCTTGTATGCTGATGGGCAAGAATGAATCATGGTCACAAGCCATGGTTTTGGAGCTCGTGCATGTCAAAAATGATGGACCAACTGCTAAGCTTGATCTTTGGAACACTCTACTCTTGCTCTTGAAACCATGCGCGCATGGTGAATCACCTAATTCTGTAAGGGAGGTCTAAGGTGCTTTTGATAATTTATATGTACAGGCTGAATTATAGAGACCCTCCTTGATCACTGTGGTGGAGGGTGACAAATGGAAAGGAAAAAAAGAATGCAAACGCCGTCGCTGTGCTGTGCTTGTGTGTGCGAACCCAGGGTATCATGCTGTCGTTCATTATGCGCCTGCTCGGTGTCCCCTTTTGACCAATGCCGTTGTTGCTTCTTTATTTTGGCAACAAAGGCCTTCTTGATCGTCTCCTCCCCTTGGATCTCATTGTCTGTCGGGATACAGTACGTGGAATACCCGCGAGTGCGAGTGTCCGATTGCTTCTGATAACTACCGTCTTCAATACGTATACGAATGCACCGGCGTGAGCACATATGGGAGCTCGCTATCGTCGCCTGCAGTGGCTAGCCTGATCACAGACCCTTGTGAACCACTGCCGCCGGACCGCAGGCTGGCATTGCTGCTGCTAGAAAACTGGCTCGCGGTGTAAGGCTTCTTGGTCTGCGCGAAGTTACGCTCGATCTGTGATGCGGTACTGCTTGAGCGATTGGACGATGCGCGGTCGAGTCTGCTCCTTGGTGTTGTTGGAGCTGTGCGGAAGGATTGTTGCTGCTGCCGCCGAGACTGCTGCGGGCGAGAGCTTGTGTGAGCCGAGTAGTAGCTCCCGACAGCCAAGTGGTTCGAGCCAGTCCGAGACTGCATGCTGCTCTGATAGCTCCTCATGCTGCGCGACCGTGCAACACTACGAGCCGGGGTTGTTGGCGTGGTATCTTGTGGCGCATCGTCGTCAATGTGTCCGTCCTCCGAATCCTCGTAGTCCTCTCCTTCGTAATCGTCAATGTCAGACGAGGCGCGGAAAATCGAGGTCTGCATTGGCTGCATGTTACGCAGAAGCTCCGCAAAGAGATGCATGAGTCGTCGGAAAGTGTCCTCAGACATGGGCTGGGCCGAGAAGCGTGCCTTTTCGTAGATTTCAAGGAACTCTACAGTTATTTGAGAGTCACGAAGGACACCAAGGCTCGTCAGATGACCGACATAGGTGCGCATCGACATGTAGTGCTGAAGCGCCAAACTTTTGAGGGTATCTTCATCGAACAATGGTAGGTCGTCTGTGCTGTCGATACTGGCCCGAGCCAGACGAATAGCCTGCGCCTCGACGAGGTTGGGTAGTTCCGCGAGCACAGCGCTGTATTGAAGATTCGGAAGGTCCGGCAGGTTGGGAGAACCCCAACCGTTATGCTCAATGTGGCCCCAGACAGGCTGCGAAGCTGTATGGACGGTGATTTCCGGGGGTTTGTCGATGGTCTTGCTCTTGCTCTTGCTGGCACGCAAGGCCTGAAATGACTTGAGTCCTGGTAGTGAGGACTTCTCGGCAGTGCTCGCAGCCTGTAGCTCAGCCCCTTCATGTTGAGATTCGCTCTCGACGACGGGCTGGTCTAGCAATGAGGTGACCTTGGGACGAGCGGTCCAGGCAATTAATGCGCTGCGCTTGAGGTCGTCAAGAATGAGCTCGCGCACGTTCTTGGAGACATCGCCCTTTTCTATGGGTATCCAGGCCCGAGGGATGGCGGCGAGGGCCATGCGGGTGATGAACAGACGTGTGACATAGACGAAAAGAATGATGAGGAGCGCGAGGGCGAGGACGATGCCGAGGATGACGACGTTGATCCAGGACTGGCTGATGAAGATGGCCTGGACGGCGATGTCGCCAGGGACGACTAGCAGGAGCGCGGCCGTGAGGATGCAGAGGACGACGTAGATGGAGTTGTAGACGATGCGGAAAATGAGGTGCGTGGTCGACATGATGGGAGAACGTGCCACTGCTGTCCGCCTTCGAGGGCCGGTCCAGGCAGGCTCATGGTGTGGTCTACAAGGTTGTCGCGAGGCTTGCTATGACGTGGATGCCATTGTAGATGCGGAAGGGAAGCTCCTGGCAGACCGCTGCGTTGTTGTCGCAAGCCGCTGTCGGGGGCAGGTGTAGCTAAGTCGTCGACCGGCTCGTCGTGGTAGGGGCAGGTAGATGGTTGCTGGTAATGTTGACAGCCTTCCTGCCAGCCAGGAGGGAGAATGAGGCGGAGGTCAATCAAGGCATTGAGATGACGATGGCTGGGGTCCACAGCCAAACAGCGCAGCAGCTCCACCTACTTGCAGCCCGCCCCACCGCCCTGGCCGCTCCATCCCTGGCCGCTCCATCCCTGCTCCCGCATGAAAGCTGGGATGAGCTTTCATAAACAAGACGTGCATGGCAGATCGTTCTGTGCACATCCATGTTTTGACTACCCCATCTTTGCGATCTCGGGATCCATTGGTAAGGTGATTATATGTGATTTATCTCATCTGGGTTGTAGTACCACGGCCGCTTCTGCCATTGCGTCCCTCTCCTCATTTATGATCTGTTGCTGACGTCCAAACCCGTGTCGAAACTACATAAACGTACACTACTTGACCTGCTCCATCTCCGGCCCACCCGCCGCTTCGACCAGCTTTGGCAGCGGCTTCTCAGCAGCCTCCTTCGCCAGCCTCATATCCGCCCGGCTAAGGCGTAGGTCTGTAGCGTACGGAGAAAACGCCGTTACCAGCCGGCTGAGACCGTCCTTGAGCGCATCCAGAAGTGCATCTACCTCGGGACACTCACGCTTCCCAGACAAGTCGGTCCAGTGGACGGGGAAGTCGGCGCTGAACTTCTCCAGCTTCTTGATGAGTACAGTAAATGTCCGCACAATCGTCGACACATCCCTCTGCACATTCCCATATCTGTCCTCGGCAAGACTCGACACGGCGAGTTGCGACAGAATGAAGGCGGCGTTGATAGGCACACTCGGCTCGGCATAGGGCGTGCCCAGCACGGCCTTGACCAGGGATCGTCGGAAATCCTGGTGGAAGATAGGACCGACCCACGGTGTTGACAGCACACGCAGGGCTAGGTTGCGCGCGGACGAGTTCAGGTGCTCGGGGCTCATCATCTCCTTCTGTTCCTTGGTCAAGTACTGGTCAGTGGCCTGACCAATCCGTCGCCTGGCCTCGGTACCCAGGTATTCGGCAGGAGTCTTTCCAGGCGACGTCCCAATGGACTTGACAACTCCTCCAACCCGACTGCTGAGTCCAGTAGACTGTCTAGGCGGCGCCCAGACGTCCTCGTTGCTGGGTGGCGGCACAATGCGCTGGGAAGCTGGAGCGGGCGCGGGGGCTTGTTGTTGTACAGGTGCTGGAACCTTTCCGTACTCATCGATGGACTTCTCAATCGTCTTCAGCTTGTCCATACAGATCGAATAAATCTGTGCCCACATGGGCCCCTCTGGACGGTCAATGTCCTCAAAGATGGCTTTTCTTCGGTCGTCAAAGTCGCGTGCGATGTACGCCAGCTCCCAAATGGCAAATGCCTAAAGAAACGGGTAAGCTTGCTGTGGTTGTCCGTGAGAATTGGTTGGGACCTACCGAAGGACGAGGCTTCTTGCTCTTCAAGCCGTTCATCAGGCTGCCGTTGGGATCTTTGGACTCGGAAGTCAGAGGCTGGCTGTTCTTGATGGGCTCCTTGGCCAGCTGCACCGTTAGAAACACGTCGCTGATGCTCCAGAGGAGCGACAACAAAAAGCCAGCCCACAGGGAGCGGATCAGCATCCACACGCTCCAAGGTGCGCTTTGCGGTGGGATGTTGGATTTTGGCAGGTTGTAGAACCAGCGGAAGAACGCCAATGCCCAGCTCCAGGCTGATCGTCGGAGTATGCTGTAGACGAAGACATAGTTGACCACGCCCACCGTCATCGAGACGAGCACGACTCGCACAATTGTTCGTGGGAGGTCCTTGGCCAGTTTGTCCCATGGGTCCTGCCTGACCAACTTTGCGGGCCCTTCATCCGTCTTCGGTGAAACGGTGCCGAGAGACAACCTGTCTCGATCCAGAGCGATGTGTATTATGCCATAGGCGAAACCAAGAAGGATGAGATGCACGGTATAGAATAGCGCACGCTCGTTCAGTCGCGCTCGGTCACCGCTGTGGTAGGTGATCCAGTTCAAGTTGGCATCGTCGGGAAGCGAGAAGAGATAGAATTGACTAAACAGCCAGGCAGAGAGCATGTAGGTAATGACGGTTTCGATGCTCGCAAGTGATGAGATCTCACGTCGAAATGTTTCGATTGGCGACGCAGATGTTCGCTTGCCGAGATGTGAGTGCGCAATCCGAAGGATAATGATTGGCAGGGCGCAGCCGAATATGCCCAGCGTCCGGATGCCAGGCACGCCTACGGGGAACCATGACCAGATAACTGTGTCGTGGTTGGGGGTTAGCTTGAAATTGAACGCGCCATCGTGCGGGATGTTTGGCCAGAATGCTGGACGTACATGAGTTCCAGCTTGACAATGTCAGCGACTCAAGGTAGGCGATACCCAGGAGAACCCCGACAGTCGATGCGAAGCGTCGTTGGAGTGCAGGTTGGAGGAAGTCCTTGTACGGCGCCCTTCGTGGGACAGCCATGGTTGCAGCGCGAAACCTGGTGGCAGACAGGTTGCTATAACATGGCAGGACAGCCGCGCTGATCGAGACGTGAGTTTTTGCAGGCCGCTTGCTGTCGTAGGGAGTGAAGCTTCTGGAGTGTCTGGTTGCTTGTCGTCGATGGGCCGGCCGCGTTGACTGAATGTGCTGTCGCTGTTGTCCACTGGGTGTTTTGGGCGGGTCTCGAAAGTAAATAGAAAATTCGGAGCTTGGAGCTTCAGCGCACGTTGCCGCTTGTTGCTGTGTGGTGATGCAGGGAGCTCGACTGCAAGTGGGCCAGGCCAGGACCTGGATTAAGTAAGCCGCCGATGGACTAATGGGTGCCTTGCTGCAGGCATCGACGTAGCATCACATTCCCTCCGCTCTTGCGCCGGGACTGACCCGCTGCTCGTGAGCCTTCTCTCCACTTCCCAGTCCCAACTGCTCTTATCATCCAGCATCACTCTGAGCGCTCTGTCATTTTGAACAACCCCCCGAGCGGCGATTACCCACCTTCTTTTTGTGTCGCTCAATACATCCGCCAACACGCGCTCGGTGCGAATACCGCAGACATGTCGTTTGACCAGCTCTCTTCGATGGAATCCGGCACCGGCGGCGGCCGGCGCGGCAATAACAGCGCCCCAGGCGGTGGCGGCTATGCGGACGATCCGGAGTTCTCAAAGCTGTCGCAGGGTCTCATGAACAAGCTCTTCCACCTCCAAGGCAACATTTCCAAGCTGCGCACCGATGTCGGACTTCTCGGGACTCGCCGCGACAACCCGAGGCTGCGTGAGCGAGTGCACACTCTGCTCGACGAATCGACGATGCATTTCAAGGAGGTCGGAGAGGGTGTCAAGAAGATCCAGTCGTGGGAGGAGGTGACAGTACGTCCCAGGCGCCCGGTCGCTATGCAGCCTCACCACTTCCGAATACTGACAACGATGCGTCCCGCAGCCTACACAAAAGTACTCGCAACAGAAGCTATCCCGTGAATTCAAGACAGCCCTTGGCGATTTCCAGTCCTTGCAGCGCACAGCTCTCGAGAAGACCCGCGCGTCCGTTTCTGCCGCCAAGGCCGCGCTCGACGACGACTCGGCAAGTCCCGGCCAGGCCACATCAGCCGCTGGTGGCGAGCAGCTGCAGCTACAACAGCAGGAGGCGCACCTGGCGGCGCAAGACGAGGTGGACTTCCAGGAGGCCCTCATCAATGAGCGGGAAGAGGAGATCCGCCAGATCGAGGAGGGCGTGGGTGACCTCAACGTGCTGTTCCAGCAGGTCGCGCAGATTGTCAGCGAGCAGGGAGAGCAGCTCCAGACGATTGAGAACAACGCCATCAGTGTCCGCGACGACACCCGCGGGGCCGACTACGAGCTGCGCAGCGCTGCGCGGTATCAGAAGCAGGCGCGCGGCAAGGCCTGCTGCCTCATGCTCATCATTGCGGTCATTCTCACCATCGTCCTTCTTGCTGTGTTCCTGGGTTGAGCGAGGTAGACCGTTGTTTATACTTGTTTGTGTGCGCTCCTCCATAGCACACGGGGAGGCTTTCTTCTTTCATGGTTTGGAGTTTGGGCGCATGTTTGAAGCATATCCTCTGAGACGGGTCGCACTGACCCGACTGCACCAAGACTTGCAGGTCGGCTTCGACTGGTTGATTTTATGGTTGGCCATCGCAATGGTTATACATTATTGTTACAGTCCATACTACACTTTATATATCCTTGATCTTGACCCCCGCCAATCCAAGGTGATATCTACTCGATTGTCTTGACAGGACCCTTAGGTCCATCCCGTGGCCGCACGATGGGCAACTCGGCGCCTTTACATGGCCGCACGATCTTCGTCTCCAGAGGATATCGCCAAGCAGCAATCCGCGTCGCCGCACCGCTGGCACAGGCGGAGGTGAGCCAGTAGAGATGGATCGCGGCGGGCAGGTCCATCGTCAGCGGCCCGACGAGTGCCGAGATGATGATCATTGACCTGCCAAAGCCCCGTTGTAGCCGGGAATACTGTGGCGGGGCAGGCGGTGCTCCTCCTGCTCCATCTTTGGACGGGACTAGTGGTGCGTGCGCCGGTTGCAGTCCGAAGAGCTCCCGAGCCCGCGCGTTGTTTCGCGGGATTATATTCATGAGCAAGACGAACGATAGAGCTGCAGGTAAAATGCCGTAGGGATCCGCCACGGTGAGGTCTTGAAACCATAGGGCGCCTTCAGTCATCAGGCTCGGCTCGGCGATCGATCTGGCCGCGTCCACCACGACTTCGCTGGCAGCATCTGTGTCGACATTTCCAACCATGTCGCGGGCGGATGTGTGCAAGGAATCACTGGCGCTTGGTGTCGATGCTGGCGGCGCTGGCTCCTCGGGCCGAGGAAGGATGAACGAGCCAAGAAGACCTCTGGGCCCGCCACAGAGGCGGCGAATGCTGTCAATGGCAACGAGCCAGAACGGCATGCTGATGAAACCGGCGTAGAGCTTCCACTGCTGGAGGCCCGCCTTCTTCCAAAGATACTTGGTTGCTGCTTTGGTGCGCGCCTGGATAGCCTTGCCTTGCTGCGGCAGAGCGATGCCGTCGTTGATCACGCGGCGCATGATGGTCGGGCCCCAGGCCTGGATGACGGGCGTGTACCGCGTTCTCCATTGGAGGAGTTTCTGGTTGTGCAGAGTGAAGGGCAATCGAAAGACGGCGGTCACGCTGAGGGCGACAAGGGGGATGGTGAGATACCACGGCGTGCCTGTGACATTGTGAAGCCCTACGATCATGGACTGGCTGGTCTCCAAGACCGAGGCGACGAGTGGCGAGATGTGCAGGGACCGCCGCTGTCCATGTGTCGCAAAGACGCGGGCTGTCGACGACGATGGTGTGGTTGGCGACCACGGGCGTTGTGCCAGAACCGAGGCCAAGGTTCTGGGACTAGGCTGCCGAAGGGGGCGGAGGCAGCGGCTGGCAAGACTCATGATGGCCCATCACGTCGAGCCGGCATATATCCCTGCAAAGTCATGCGCCGCAATAGGCGTGTGCTATTTGAGGTTGTGTCGTGAGGAACATGTGATGTGAAAAGAGGCTAGGCCTCGCAACTTGGGTTTGAGTTCAAGCTTCAATTGTTCCGTGCTCCACTAAAGAGCTCTGACGATGTGCCCCACTGGGGCTGCTGTCACTGGACTGGTGCAGGCGTGCACCTGCCCGCCAAGAGGGAGGGGAGGGACGGGCGGGCGGGCCTGCAGTTCAGGGACCACAGCATGCTGATCAGCCCAGGTGCAAGGTGGCTTGCTGCAGCACCTCGTCATAGCCCGGGCCACTCCCGCTCTTTGTTCCCTTGACCACCACTGCCCATACTTACCACGTTCGTTTTCACAACTCTTGTGGGTTGACCTTCGCTTTTGTTGCGACATTGTTATCCACTCGGCCGACAAGGCCACGGTCTTCTCGCCCAGGGCTAGAGCAGCAGCTGGACTCACGCCGGACCCTCCCCTCGAGAAAGTGCCCTCGATGGCACTCACCACCATAGCCACGACTGTTGTCGTGCTCCTTTGCTCGCCAGTCATCGGCCTGCTTGCGTGGAACTACCTGGTCCCCGTGCTATTCCACACACTGTCCGCCTCCGTGGGCACCACACTGGGATACTACCTGGTCAAGAAGACGGAAGGTCGTCGCGACCGCATCCTCAGGGTCACCGAAGAGCTAGAGACGAACCACGCCGCCTTTGCCGCCAACGCAACGCAGACGACCGGTAGCAGCACCAGCAGCGATAACGAGTGGGACAAGGTCGACGATGGGTCTTCTGCAGATAGGGCTGCCGCCACTGGCGTTGATACCAAGTCGCCCAACTGGGACGGTATTGTTGGGTTCTTCCATCCCTTCTGCAATGCTGGAGGGGGTGGGGAAAGAGTGCTCTGGGCAGCGATTCGCGCTACCCAGAAAAGATGGCCCAAAGCCAAGATTGTGGTGTATACCGGCGATCACGAAGTCACCAAAGACCAGATATTGAATCGTGTCAAGGTAAGTCACAGAAGCCGTGAGGTGCAGCATATCAGGCGGTACTGGTTTTAACATTGGTTTGCGTCATACAGAATACTTTCAGCATAGATCTACACCCTCCGACGATACACTTCCTCTACCTGTCGACTCGCCACTGGGTTCTGGCGTCGACGTGGCCCCATGCGACGCTCCTCGGCCAGTCGATAGGATCGGTCATCCTCGGCTGGGACGCTTTCTCCCTAGTCGTCCCCGATATTTTCGTCGACACAATGGGCTACGCCTTTGTTCTCGGCCTTTGCAAGCTCTTGTTCCCGACCATGCCAACCGGCGCCTACGTCCACTATCCAACCATATCGACGGACATGCTCGACTCGCTAGATCCAAACAGCGCTGTTGGTGGGCAGGGAGTTAATGCAGGCCAAGGCGTGGGTCTGAAAGGCACAATCAAGAAGTTTTACTGGAAGTGGTTCGCTGGCGTGTACTCGTGGATGGGTGCGTCGGTGGATGTCGTCATGACCAACTCGAGCTGGACGCAAGCTCACATTCAGGCATTGTGGGGCCCCCGTCGGGCACAGAGACAGCGGCAGAATTCCATGGAAGTCGTGTATCCGCCGTGTGCCGTGCACGAAATCGAGGAGGCTGTCGAGCTGTCGGAGGAGAGCGAGAAGAAGCGGACCAAGGCGCTGGTCTACATTGCGCAGTTCCGGCCAGAGAAGAACCACCAGCTCATCATCCAGGCATTCCATGAATTTGTCAAGAGCGGCACACCGGCATCTCAAGGCTCCAAGCTGGTCCTTCTGGGTAGTGTCCGGGGCGACAGCGATGCCAAGCGGGTGTACCAGCTGCGACTGCTAGTGAACGAACTGCATCTTGTGGACCGTGTCGTTTTCCACCTGGATGCACCCTGGTCTGAGATCTTGCAGCACATTAGCCAGGGATACGTTGGGGTTAATGGCATGTGGAACGAGCACTTTGGCATAGGTGTGGTCGAGTACCTCGCAGCTGGTCTGATCCCGGTAGTGCACGACAGCGGCGGCCCAAAGCTGGACATTGTGGTGGATGTGGACGGGCAGCCCACAGGTGAGCACAGTCTAGTTTTCAAGGGATTTCCATATTTTTGCCGTGGTTACTGACAGGCCTTCTTTGCAGGATTTCACGCCACCACGGCATCCGACTATGCTGCTGGTTTTGAGAAGGCGCTGTCTCTCAAGGACCCTCTGGCGGTCCGGAAACGGGCCAGAAAGTCTGCACAGAGGTTTTCGGAGGAGGAGTTTGCGCACAAGTGGATTGTGCAGCTCGGCAAGCTGGTTGACATGCAGACGAGCCACTAGAGTAGCAGGTTGCGAGGCATAGACTCACGACGGGAGCGCATATGCATCAAGAATATAAATCTGTGCTAATGGCTAAAGAGTGCTTGCATGCAATGTCTACTTTCTCTACTTGTGATGCCCCAGTCTTCAAGGTTGTCCGTGGACGGAGACGGAGTAAGCACTCTAGCGGAAGGGAGAAGCCCGGCTCGAATGCTCCACACATGGTGGGCGGGCACCGGGGCCGGACCGCATCAGACAAGGAAGCACAGGTACAGCATTATGCTATGGTAGGCTTGGTAGCTCACACAAGCTCTGGATATGGCCGAGATGCATTCTGCGATGCCCTCTTCTGTCGGCATGTATGTCGTATGTATGTCCCAGTGCAGGTTTGGCTGCCTAGCAGTGGACATCTAGCTGCGTGTTGGTTCCGGGCCTGCCGGCCGACACGGAGCACACGCCCTGCCGTCGTGGGTCCCCACCCTGTCCGTGATTGCTTATCAAGCCCGTCGGGACGTCACCGACCCGATCTCGGCCATGCACGCGCCGCGCCTGCCTTCCCGCTGCTGTCGCCATTCCACAGTTACACACACGAGCACTTACTTTAACCACAGCCTGCAAGTCACAAGCGCGCCAAGAGTAAGTCTTCTCCCCGCGGCCAAACATGGACCTCTTTCCCTCCATGTCCGTCCCTGCTAACAGTATCCTGCCCGCTGGCAAGTGCGCCTCGACAGCAAGCACGTGCCTGCAGGGCTCCTGCTTGGGGCCACAGCCTGCCTCGCAGAGGCTCTCCCGCCGCTGCCTTTGCTCGAGAATAGCCCAGAGCTAGCCGCGCTCCAGGAACCGCTGCGCTTTGCTGGCCGCCCTGGTCATGATCGGCAGCAGCAGCAGCCGCTCTCACAGTCCCAGGAGCACTCGTTGAGCGGCAAGACGGGCGCTGTCGCCTGTGAGAGCATGATATGCAGCCAGATCGGAATCGACCTGCTTGCTGCTGGCGTAAGTCTTGTTCCGTCACCAGATCTCGAGCAAATGGCTGATTCGTTTACCACAGGGCAACGCGGTTGATGCCTGGATAGGCACACAGCTGTGCGTCGGCGTCATCGGTATGCACCACTCGGGCCTGGGCGGCGGCGGGTTTGCCGTCATCCGCGACAGCGACGGAGGCCATCACGTCATTGACTACCGTGAGGCTGCCCCCGCCGCGGCGTTCGAGGACATGTACTATGGCAACGTCAACGGCAGCATCTGGGGCGGGCTCGCTGCCGGCGTCCCGGGAGAGCTGCGAGGACTGGAGGCCGCACATGTCAAGTTCGGCAAGCTGCCGTGGAGCAAGGTCGTGGAGCCTGCCGCCGCGGTCGCGAGGGACGGCTACCCCGTCACCGAGGACTTGGTGCGGTACATGGCGGCCGGCGTGCAGTATGCTGGGTACAACTTCCTTGTCGAGGACGAGTCGTGGGCGCAGGACTTTGCGCCCAAGGGCAGGGTGCTCGAGCTGGGCGAGACGATGACACGCAAGAGATACGCCGAGACGTTGCTCGAGGTGGCTCGCAAGGGGGCCGATGTTTTCTACAAGGGCGACATTGCCACGGAGATGATTGACATTATCCAGGCATCCAACGGCACCATGACGCTCGAGGATCTGGCCAACTACGAGGCCATCTTCCGGGAGCCGCTCAAGGTCACGTACAAGGACAATTACCACCTGTTCACTTCGGGCGTGCCCAGCAGTGGCGCCGTGCTGCTCAACACCCTCAAGATTATTGAGGGTTATGACGACCATGTCAATGCCAACACTACCCTGCATCGCTTCAATGAGGCCATGCGCTTTGCTTGTATGTTCACTTAATCGAACAGTTGTTTTGCAGTTGAACGACAGCTGACCGACCTAATCACTAGATGGCGCTCACCAGGTCCTTGGTGACCCTGCCTACCTGCACGACGTCGATTCCTTTGAGGCTTCGATGCTCGCCTCGTCCACTGCCGCCTCCATCCGCGCGCGCATTCTCGACAACTCCACACAACCCGTATCACACTACCTTCCCGACGACGGGCTCGAGCACTATTATGCCACCGAATCACATGGCACCTCGCACGTCGTGGCGGCCGACAAGTCCGGAATGGCGGTCTCCTCGACCACAACAGTGAACCTCCTGTTCGGCAACCTCCAGATGACCCCCAAGTCCGGAATCATCCTCAACAACGAGATGAACGATTTCAGCATCCCCGGACGCCGCAACGAGTTTGGCTACGCGCCCGCACCTGCAAACTATATCCGCCCTGGCAAGAGACCGCTGTCATCCATCACACCAGTCATTGTCGAGGACAAAGCCACGGGTGCGTTGATCGCGACGGTCGGCGCGGCCGGCGGGTCACGCATCATCAGCAGTACGACGCAGGTGGTGTGGCACCTGCTCGGATCCGGGTACAGCCACGAGAGCAGCAGGCATCCTCAAGCGGACCAGGAAGCTCAACAAAAAGGCAAGAAGTCGCCCGCTAGGAAAATGACCATGCTCGAGGCGATCCACGAGCCGAGGCTGCATGACCAGCTGATGCCCGACTACACAATGTTCGAGTGGGCGTTTGACAACGCCACGGTCGCAGACCTGGCCAGCCGCGGGCACAATGTGCTCTGGGTGCGCGAGGGCCTGAGTGCGGTGCAGGGTATTCGGATCTTGGGAGCGGACGAAGGGCACGGGTTTGAGGCTGTGGGAGAGACCAGGCAGAAGAACAGTGCCGGGTTGACGTTGTAGAGTTATACAGGCGTGATGGTGACTTTTAGGGGACATGATGGTTAAGGGGGGACGTATATACAGCAGGGAGGCTGTTAGATGGTATTCATCAAGTGGCATACACATATATATTGCCTTGTTCTCCTGAAGGACAATAAGCAAATACACAATACAGAGAGTAGACTTTGTTCTGGCTCCTGGGTTGCCCATCAATTGCATGAATTCTTTGTATATAGGCTTAATTTTCTCCGTACCCCTTTAAAGACGACGCCGGCGCGGCGACATCATCGACCCTGTTGAGCACAGCAACACCCTCGACATGCGCCGACTGCGGGAAGAAGTCGAACCCGCGTAGGCTCTCCATCTCGTACCTCGCGCCGCCGCCACTCCCGACATCACTGGATCCAGCACCCTCGCCGCTGGCCCCAGTCGTCGTCGTCGTCGTCTCCATGCTCTTGGTATTGCCCCTGACCAGGCACCCAATGTCCCTGGCCTGGGTGTGCACGTTACAGCTGACGTACACGATGCGCCGGGGCCCAAACTGCATGAGCTGCGAGAGGAAGCTCGCGTCGCAACCCTTGCGGGGCGGGTCGAGCACGACGACCGTCTCGTCCGGGTGGTACTCCCCCTTGTTGGCCCGGACGCTCTTGAAGAGCTGGCCCGCGTCGGCGGCGATGAAGTTGGTCTGCGCCTCCGGGCGGCCGTTGGCCGACGCGTTGCGCCGCGCAAAGGCGATCGAGGCGTCGGCAATGTCGATGCCCGTGGCGTGGCCCGCGAAGAGCGAGGACAAGGTGATGGTGAACAGGCCCGAGCCAGAGTAGGCGTCGATCAGGTTCTTGATCTTTGGCGCGGCCGGGTCGGCCGGGGAAGGGGAAGGCGGCAGGATGTGCTGCCGGATGTAGTCTGTAAAGGTGGACAGGATCGAGTTGTTGTTCTGGAAGAAGGACCCGGCCGGGTTGTAAAACACAAAGTCGTCAATGTACTCTGTCGACGTGGCAGTGCCGTCCGTCACGCACGTCTTGTAGTCCGTGTATGCGTCCGTCTCGACCACCACCGGGTCTTGGGCTTTTGCCTTCTCGACGTCCTCCTCGGTGGCGGCTGTGCCCACGGTCCGGCCGTCCTTGTACACGCGCTGCGTGCTCTCGCGCAGCAGGATCGTCGCGCCGCGCTTGTACTGCCCGTACTCGCGCTCCATGCGCTCCCGCTCGGCCTTCATCCCCTTGCGCACCGCGTCCGTGCCGATCGGGCAGTCCTCAATGTCCATGGTCTTGCGCGTGCCCTTGAGCATGAAGCCAATGTCTGGCCGGTGGTCCAGCGGTTTCCGGGCGGCCCCCTTCTTGTGGTATCCCGGCGGGCCGTCAAAGTGCGGCGTCAGCTTGGTCCGGTAGCCGTACTGCAGGGGGCTGCCGATGGTGTCGCCGATGGTCGGGACCAGCTCGGGCGGGAGCTGCGAGAAGTTCTTGAACGCCCGCTCGACGACCCCCTTCTTGTACTTGAGCTGCTCGGCGTAGTCGAGCATCTGGAACTGGCAGCCGCCACACTTTGAGAAGTAGCCGCACTTGACGCGGCTGTCGTCGCGCAAGGGCGACGGCTCGACCACCGAGATGAAGTCGGCCTCGCTCATCTTGTCGTCGACGTGGCGCCACGCCTTGACCTTGACCACGTCTCCCGGCACGGCAAACGGCACCACGTAGATCTGCTTGGACTTTGACCCCCTTTGCACGCCCAGCGCGTCGCCCGTGGACGAGATCTCGAGGATCTCGACGTCAATGTGCGATCCCTGCTCGGGCAGCTTCGCCTCCTCCTCCTTGGCGGCGGCGGCGGCACCATCAGCAGTAGCTTCCTCCGTGTTGTCCGGGTACTTCTCGTCCAAAGCTTTCCGCAGCGCCGCAACGTCGAATGCGAGGACCTCGTCGTGCGCGCCCGTCTGCATGTCCCGCTCCCTCTTGCGCGCCTTCTTGTTGTTCCCCTTGTTCTGGCTGCCGCGGCCACCACCCTGGTGCGGCCGCTTGGCGCCAGCTCCGGTGTTGGCTTCCATGCCCATCTCGCCGACAACGCTGGTTACCGAGATCGGTTGAGAAGCAGGACCCGGAGGAGTCTGCGGCACTTTCAACGATGCTGCTGGGCTGTCAAGGGGCCCAGTATGCGGTCGACCACTCTTGGTCACTGCTGGCTCTGAGTTTTGGTCCCGACCAGGACGTGATGCAGACTTTTTTCTCCGCCGGGCCTCGCGATCTCTTACTGGGACCTTTTGAATTTTGGCCAGAAAGCTGTCTTGGTCGAGATGGCTCGTAACTGCCTTTGACGATGACTTGGGCTCCTCCGCTCTGAGCTCTGGACCGCGCCAAGGAATGTACTTCCGTGCTGTATTTGGTGTGCCCGAGAATGGACGGACACTGCTGCGTCGTGAGCCCTGCGCCTCAGCGCGAAGGGTAGAAGTGGCTGTAAGCGTAGGGGCGTGCTGCTGTTGGACGCCCAGTAGACAGGAGCGGTGGCGGCTCAGTGCAGTCTCGATTCCTCGTGGCCAGCGGCGCATTGGGCTGAGCTGCCGGTTGCTTCAGGTCACAGGTTTTCGCCGGTGGTCGTCTTGGGAAAATCTCCTTTTTCTCTCTCTCTCTCTCTCTCCTCAATGCATTTCCGGGCAGGGTTTTGACTGTCCGAGTCTGCCAATGTACCTGCAGCTAACAACATTTCTTTCGAGGCAGACTGGGGTTCTCCATAAAAATGTTGGAAAAGGGACCCGCACTTGCTAATCTCTTGTTGCTCATTGGTGCTGATAAGGACGACAGAAACCCAATGGGCAGGGGTCCGTCACTTTCCACACTACCTCACTCTCCATCAACTCACCCCGGCACTCACTCACAAATTGTCACCTTTTTGGGTGAAATAGATGCATGACGGATGCACGAGGCCTTTGTAAATAAGTAGGAAGGGCACGGCTCGTCTGTTGTACAGATACCCCGGCTGTGTTTCAATCTTCCAGCAACAGCTTGAGAGCCTGCACGGTCACCTCGACAACCTCTGCCCTCCGGCTCTGCTTTGCACACTCTGTCAGGATCTCAACGCCCCGAGCTTGGCGGATCTTCTCACGTGTGCGTTTCCCTTCATCGCCCTCGAGAGCCACCATGTTGTAGACAGCCACAGCTCCGCGATGTCGCAGGTCCTCATTCCCCTCTGCACAAAGTCCCAAGACCGCATCGACGCCCTTCTCACGCTTCAGGATTCCCCTGACCACTTCCTCATATGGCGTCAAGGTGGCAAGCGCCCCCCCGGCTGCGCTGCGGGTGCCTTCCTCCTCCGCATCCGCCAGTGCCAGTAAGATATGCAACCGGTTCGCCGCCTGCGGTGTGCTCTCCGCATACAGGGCGACGCCCTCGACACTCTGCACCAAGTTGCAGACTAGCTCGACTGCTGCCTTGGAAACGCGAGTGTTTGACGACAACAACTGCTCCTCAATCGCATCCCATGCTGTCCGTATAATTGTATTCCGTGCATCGTCGTCTGTAGACGCGAGGTTGGTCAGGGCCATGAGTGACTCAAACGTTGGTAGCAGATCCCGTGTGTCCGCGGCAGGGTCTTGGGGCAGGATAGTCACTAGCGGACGGATCGCAGAATTCAGCGGTCGAGCTCGGGTACCACCAAAGACAAGAGACGGGTTGATGCTAATGAGAATTCGCGCCAAAGCCTGCGCCGCTGTCCGTTTACCCTGGGCATCCGACTCGGGCAATGCTGCGTGCGCGCCAATAAGCAGCGGGACAGCACCCTGCTGTGCAAGCTGTCCGCGTAAAGATGAAGTGACCGAAAGCGCGTAAAGAATCGAAACAATAATGGAAAGTGACGCCGCAGACCCCTGTCTGCTCTGTCCGACGAGGACGGGGACAAGGCCAGCCTTGAAGACCTTGACACAACGTGCTGAAGTGTGCTCGTCGTCGTTAAGAGGATTGGGTGGCGGGATCTTCCCAGCCGCGTTGGCGTAGGCTTTGAGTTGATGCATCCTCTTCTGTTCCTCAGATTGGGCTGGCTGGTAGCGAGTGAGGTTGTTGAATACACTTAGGGTTCCATACATCAGGGGGGATCGGGGAGGCGCATCTTGCAGCACGGTGACGAGTTTCTTGAGGAGGTTCCCGTCACTTGCCACCTCCTCCTTGATATGGGGCTGTATCGTGGTGTAGGCCAGACCCTCAATTGAGTGCTGCTGCCCATGAGTATCGCCCTCGAGAATCATGTTTGTGAATTTCTTGGTGAGGTCTTCAATAGTGGTGACGGCAGGTTGTATCCTGGCACCTTGGTCTTGCTGCTGTTGCTGGGACGGCACTGCCTGAGATTTATTGTGGTCAGGTCAGTCTTTATGCTGCTGAGTGCCTCGTTAGGTGTCGAGGGCTTTGGCATCATTTCCAGTTCAGGTTTTCGAAGGCTGGTGGTGACGAAAGTGGAAGCTTCAGGGTGCCTACCCTCAATTTGGCCAGAATGACGGCGGCGAGGTTCTGGACAACCTCGGAGTGTCTCCTCATGGCAATGGAGCCTCCAGTGACGGCGACTTCCGGGTCGGCAGAGTGGATGGCCTTAGGCAAGTCGTCGGGATCCTGGTCGACGACTTCTTCCAGCCAGTCCACGCAATACTTGAAGATGGCCTCGCGACAAGCCGTGTTCATGGAGGCGGCGTTGAGCATCTCCAGGCAAGCGGTCTCGACTTTCCTGCTCTTCCACGTCCGCCGCATAAGCTGACCGAGGCTAGGGAGGAAGCCTTCCGTCAAGAAGATCTCGGCCGTGAGATCCGGTGCGACTGGGAACAAGGCGGCGGATACGCAGAAGGCGACAATGTAGTCGTCATATGTGCCGCGGCCCACACGATCAAAGAAGAATTGGCGGATGGCCTTGGCAGCATTCTCACCACCCGCCTTGAGGTAGGCCGAGACGGTCAAGGTGGCATGCCCCCGGACAGCCTCAGCCTGTCTCATGTCAAGATAGCTGAGGATGGTGTCGACGCAGTCGTCGTCGACCACGAGGGTGACGGACTCGTGTGTCTTGCCCTTAGAGGCAGCCGCAATGTCGTCATTGAGCAGCTTGGTAAGCTTGTCGAGGGCCGCACATGTCTCGCCGTCCTCCTGGCCGCCCTCCATGAGCTGGGCGAGGATCAGCTGGGTCTGCCCCTTCTCGTCCATGTTGTCCAGCTCGTCGAGCTTGGAGGCTACCTCGACGGGAGCTTCGTCCATGATGGCAGGCTGCGCACAAAGGAGCACGGAGCTTGTCCTAGATGGTGACGCGGGACGAAGTTGGGGCCCGAAGCCAACACAGGATATTGCGTGGGGGAAGTATCAGCACCCACAGCCTGTGTCTGTAGTCTTGAGCTGCGAACTTGGCGGTTGCTGGAGCTGGAAGCTCGTCGTGGGGTTCTGGAGGGGTTGTGGTTTAAGTGCCTGGCCGCTGCTGTCTCCCGAAAGCCCCGGCGCGGCAGTTGCCTTGCCCTGGTCGCCAGAGTGGGGCAGCAAGATCGTCAAAGCTACATGGAGCTTCTTCCACTGTGACGTTTACGTCGAGCTCGTCTTCCTCCCCTAGGCACGAGTCAAAAACTGACGGTCAAAGGTACGCCGGCGTGAGCTGGGGGGATGTTTCCCAACTAGCCTGGACCTTGTGGTCCTGTCCTGCCAGCGCCTACTTTTAAAAGATGATGCTCTACATGCAGCGTCCTCACTCAGATCGGCGCTCAACCTTTGCAGCTGAAGTCAGAACACGGGACGGAGCTGGGTAGAATGCTATGCGAGAGCAAATCAACCTGAAAGTGCCCTTTAACACCACTGCTTGCATCTCATTGCAAGCTAAAACATCAAGCCAGGCGTAGGACCTCGCGAAAGGCCTCGACGTGACTTGTGACAACCCCAGGCGTGACGCACATATGTTATCGATAACCCTCCATTTCACATGTGCATCAGCGCGACCTGCAACGGCCCAGAGCTTCGTCATTCACCATCCAACTGCTCCGTCACCGACCAACCACTTCTCTTCCAAGCTCGCTTCGTTTCGGCAGCGCCGAGGGGAGGAGACCGACCTCGCCCATAAACAGGGTGATGCCACGCCACTCGTTCAGATGCACTTGAGGTGACCCTTGCAACGACACTTCGAGGACCAACTCGTCACCAGCCGGCTTCGGGTGACATTGTCAAGCTGCTGCTCGGCCCAGCGCGCCCGGCACAATGAACCACATCGATGCCTCGGCGCACTACGATGAGACGGCCTTCAAGACGCAGGTCCCGTCCCTGCTCGTCGTCATCGTAGACCTCAACCCCAGAGCCTGGGCCGTGCTCAACTCGGAGCTCCCCATCTCGCAGGCTCTCGCCAACATCCTCGTCTACATCAACGCCCACCTGGCCTTTGGCAACGAGAATCAAGTCGCGGTCCTCGCGGCTCATACAAATCGCGCGATATGGCTTTACCCGCGTCCTCCGAGCGACACTTCCTCGCAACGGTCTCGAGACCGTGACGGCGACGTCGACATGAACAGTGACGAGCCGATCCGCCACTCGACAAACACGGCCGACCTGGGCACGTCGGCCAACAAATACCCTCTCTTCGCCCAGATCGAGTCTACCATCGTGGCGTCCATACGAGACCTCCTCGCCGAGACGACGCCCGCCGACATCGAGCCCACAACCACACTCATGGCCGGCGCGCTGTCCATGGCCCTCGCCTACATCAACAAGACGTCACTCGCCTACGAGCCCGCCAAGGCATCGTCCGATCCGAACGAGCAGGCCACCGCGGCCGTGGCCCAGCAGAAAGCCCCAAACCTGCACTCGCGCATGCTCGCCGTCTCCGTCTCCGACTCGGACCCGGCGCAATACATCCCCACGATGAACGCCATCTTCGCGGCCTCGCACTCGCGCATCCCGCTCGACACCCTGTCGCTCGCCGGCAAGCCCACGTTCCTCGAGCAGGCCGCCTACATCACCGGCGGGACCTTTCTCTCCGTCTCGTCCAACCCGCGCGGCCTGCTGACACACCTCATGTTCGGCCTGCTTGCCGACAGCGACGCCCGCGAGGCCCTCGTCGCGCCGACCCAGGACACCGTCGACTTCCGCGTCGCGTGCTTCTGCCACCGCAACGTGGTCGACACGGGCTTCGTCTGCAGCATCTGCCTCTCTATATTCTGCGAGGTTCCCGAGAACGCAGAATGTCTGACCTGTGGCAACAAGCTCACGCTCGGCAATTACGGTGCCAAACCCGCCGTCGTGCCCCGCAAGAAAAAGAAGAAGAAGAAGCTGCTCAACGGTGCCGGTCGGGAGGAGACTGGCAGTGCCACTGGCACTCCCATCCCGGCAACGTGATCAAGCCTGGTTTTTTCAAGAGTGTGTTTTCATCAGCACTTGGGGAATATATTCACAAATCAAGGTATATCCGCATAGCAAAGCATAAAGGCGTTGGGCCGGGTCCAATTTGATTAGAACGTTCAAGGGAAGTCTCCATGTAGGCTTTTTGGGGAGTGTTGTATACAATGATCTACTCAGAATGTTGTGCTAGGTGATGTGGTGCTATGCTATGCTTTTAATGTGGTGAAGGACGCCAGCCAGCATTTCCTCTCACCCGACGTTATGCCCAGTCCCTTGTCCATCTGGGGCTGGTCTTTTCTTGTTGCGCCCTGCTGGAAAAGACAATGTATCCAGCAATCGCAAGCCCTCCAAGATCACTTGATGTGAATCTTGCGAGCACCTTGCGATACGCCATAATTGTTCTCCCTGAGCCGTGACATGACACACAATGGCTCTCGGTCCGTAGAGGCCATGGATGCGAGCGCGAAGGAGTCGGTATTGTGGGCGAAGTAGAGATAGAATCCGGACTTGCTCTTTTTCACTGCCATCACTCCAATTGCTCCTGCCGAAGTTGAGTTTCGCACACCTGGATGCTTTTGGAAATCTTCACAGATGAAGCTGTCAAGGATGGTCGCCTCGTCATCCGCAGCAACATCAGCGCCGCCTTCGCCACGGCGAGTCCACTGATATAGTCGTTCCGCGCATTTCTGCGAGGCCATAGTCGTTGCCATGTGTTCTCCTGTGCCACTGGTCACCGCCGCTACACTGACCCCTTCTTCGTCAGAGTCGTCTTGCGGGATGACAGATGTGCCGACACCAACAAGTGCTGCAGGGCCAACTCGGCCCCGGTGCTTCATACCGATGCCGCCGGAGGAAGACGCAGCGGCGATACGGCCGTCTTGGTCAATGGCAATCGCTCCCACAGTGTCTGTGATCAAGTCTTGCGCGACTTCTTCTGCTGTGTCCACATGCAGGGGCTCGTCGCTGTCAGAGGTGATTGTGGGGAGGTCGCATGCTGCATCACCACCATGATTTCCTGCTGGAAGATGGCCATGTGAGTGCTCCGGAGACTTGTCAATATTGCCCGTGATGACACGCGGCGGACGACCGATGCTTGATCGTCCTGGTGATGGCAGTGGCGAGGCCTGAGAACTCGTCGGTTGGCTCCCGCGGGCGGAGCCTAAGGATGGAGAGTCGACTTGTCCTTCGTTCCACACGCCAGTCTGAACAGCCTTCGCATGGTCTCGGTATGCCCCTGGGTGTGCGTCCTGCTCTCCACTGTTTGGTGTAGTAGACGAGGTTGTAGCACCAGAAGCTGGAGGTGAGGACGATATTCCCGACGCTTCAGCTCGCTTGAGATCCTGCTCCCACTTCAAATACCGGTCTCTCGCGTCCCTGGACACCAGCCATGAGTTGGGAACGAGTGGCATGCCGTGTTCAGTAGCAAAGTCCCTGGCGCCTTCGCCAACGAGCAAGTTGGGTGGCACTCGGCGCAATGACAGAGGTCTTCGACTATGCTCAAGTACAAGACTGGCTAGCGAGACAGGGTTCTTGATGTCTTGCACAATTGTTAGCTGCAGCTCTGTGACTCGCGCACGACTAGGTGCTTACTTGATACGGCTCCCACGGCACCGCTGCGGCCCAGGTGATCAACGATGGTTGCGTCACACTCCACGGTACCATCAATGGCAAGGTTGCTTCCGAAGCCCGCATTGGCGATCTCCTTGTCCTCAAGAACTTTGATTGCCGCCTCAACGGCCTCGAGAGCGGTGCAACCGGCCTGGAGGACCCTCATGCCAGTTCGAGCTGCCCTAAATGTTGGCGTCAGTGCCATGGACGCTTAACTTGGCACAGAGTTTGTACTCACTCGCTGCATGCTTCGAGGTGAATTATCTCGTTAGTAACACTATGATAGCCGGCTCCGGCATGGATGAAGATTGCAGACACGGGGGCACGACGCCCTGGGCGGCTCGGCCTCTCAGCAGTACCGTCCATGGAAGGCCGCGAGAGAAATCTGTCACGGGCACTGGCGGTGCTTGTGTTGATATGAGTGCCGTGTAAGTGGTTGACTTCAGTCACCTGGTTTGAATGCTGATCGTGGGCCTGTTGCGTTGCATCAGCATGGTATCCATCAACGCCAGACATCGTTCGATGTTGCACGAGTTGTGGAGTGGCGAACCAGAACGATGCCGAGGGAGGTGATGATGTTTGCCTGTACAGAAACTCCGTACGGACTAGGTCGAGTGCTGTGCCTGGCTATTGCCTAAGCATGATCGAAGATGCGAAAGGAAGCCTACTTTTGTGTCAAGTGGCTGTCGAGGGGATATGCAAGGTCAAAGAGTGCGTTGTGGAGATGTGCGTCGGGAAGGAAGCCGCTTGCAATGCCCGAGTCCGAGGTGTGTCAATGCTGGGTGAGCAAAACGAATGTCGTGAAGAAGCTATCATAAGATTCAGCATATTAGCATCAAACTGTACAAGTGCTCTTTGACGTGAGAGGAGCAGCTTCCCGCGTGGCTGCCGTGTGGCGTATGGATAGAGAAAGTCTTGGGGCAAATACTGCTTGACTACAGCCAAACGCACCTCTGCCAGGAGATGACCCGTGAGTCTCTGCTCAGTTGGACGGTCAGGAACGTCGAAGGAAGATATCGTATACAAGTAAGGTTGCGGTGCAGATGCAGCAAGTAAAGCTCAGTGCTGGTGTGGTTCGACGAAGGCGTCAACCCGAAGAGTGCACATGCAGCGGTGCCTGGAAAGACAGTCCAGCCACCAGCCAAAAGGCCGGCTCCCTTGCTCAAGTGTGTAATTCTGGAACTCTGGCAGGCGCGGCTGAACAGATCTGCACCTTCCTCTGAAGTAACCGCCTCACCAGGCCGGGGACCCGCGTGCGGCAAGATGTTCAACAGATTAATTGCAGCCAGTGAATACCAATGAGAAAGGCAGGGGCAACTGGCAGGCCAGCCTGGATGCTAGAGTCGAGATGCGAAAGGAACAGAAACAAGAAAATTGTGGCGGTCGACGGCACCTTTGTGCGCTGTTGCTGTCGTGGCTGGCGAAGAAGGCATTCACGGCATGTGGTCTGCCCAGACTCAATGGTGCTTAACATCACGATGGAGAAGATGCCATGGGGCAATTGTTGGCTCGTAGGCCACCCCATGCCATACAATCGTAAGCAACGTTGGAAGCCTCTAAATAGCCATAATATCAAGCAACAGGCGGACATCAACTACGGATAGCCTCATCATGATCATGATCCAACCGGGACACGTCCCTCAATGAGGAGAGTGCTGTGCTGTGCATGCATGTTCGTGTTCTAGAACACCTGCTCCAAGCTGCCTTGACCACAGACCTGGGTGGGGTCCAGTGACGTACTGCGCCTACACCGCCACAGTTTCCCCACGCCAGACTGCTGCCTCCTTCAATTGAGTGACACCCAGCAGCACTGAGCCTGCTCCTCAGCCACAGCAAGGGTGGCCGTTCTGCTGCTGGCTGGACCACCCACGTAATGCTGCGCCAGGCTGCATCGTTCCAGCGACACCCACCACCACTCGATGACCTCGAGCTCCAAGCTACCGCTCGACCTCACCCAAGACCACCACCGACCCCGCCGATCTCGTCCACTCCCTCGACGACCCTCTCGTCGACCGCGCCCTTCCCGTCTGAAGCTGCGATAACGTCTTACGGTGCTTCAGGCACCGCAGCTCCTTCGCAATGGCCCACCAGACGCCCGCCGTTGTCATGGACAAGTACGTGACGGCCAATGCCCCGCAAGCCAGCCAGCCAGCCAGCCCCCTAAGCCCTCAGTCGACACCGCGCCAGATTACCACGTTGCGTGGCGGCGCGATGCGATATCCCGCCACTGTTCGTGTCCAAGGCTAACGTGCTTCTCTCCATGCAGCGGCACGGGTTTCTCAAAGCTCGGTGAGCTCCAGTAACCACCGCCCTCATCTCTCTGGCCTCGGCTGACTTGACTTGTCGTAACCAGGTTTCGCCGGCAACGACTCCCCTTCCTTCGTCTTTCCGACCGCGATCGCCACCAAGGGTCCTGCCAGCGGTGCAGGTGGCACTGGTTCCGGCCGCCCGGCTGTTGCCAACAAGCCCTCTTTCTTGACCGGCGGTGCTGGTCCGGCTGGCCATCTCTCCACGAAACGAGGCACTGAGGATCTCGACTTCTTTATCGGGGACGAAGCCGTGAGCGCGGCTAACGGGCCAGGTTCGTGAAGGCGACGGAGACTTCTGCCAGACCAAGGCTAATGCGGCATTCAGGTTACGGACTGCACTATCCCATCCGGCACGGCCAGATCGAGAACTGGGACCACATGGAGAGGTTCTGGTCCAACTCGATCTTCAAGTACCTGCGCGTCGAGCCGGAGGACCACCACTTCCTCTTGACTGAGCCTGTAAGTGACCTGCTTGTCCCAGCAGAGAGCCAATGCTGACCCTTGTCTGCAGCCCTTGAACCCTCCAGAGAACCGAGAGAACACCGCCGAGATCTTCTTCGAGTCTTTCAACTGCGCCGGTCTCTACATTGCCGTACAAGCTGTACTCGCGCTTGCTGCCTCATGGACGTCCTCCAAGGTATCGGACCGCTCGCTTACCGGCACCGTCATCGACTCTGGTGATGGTGTAACGCACGTCATCCCTGTCGCTGAGGGCTATGTCATTGGATCGTCCATCAAATCGATACCCATCGCCGGTCGCGACCTTACGTACTTTGTGCAGTCGCTGCTGAGAGATCGTGGAGAGCCCGACAGCTCGCTCAAGACCGCGCAGGAGATCAAGGAGGAATACTGCTACGTGTGCCCCGACATCGTCAAGGAGTTCTCCAAGTTCGACCGCGACCCGACTCGCTTCGCCAAGCACACCGTCCGCCACCCCGGCGGCCGCGAGGTCACTATTGATGTCGGCTACGAGCGTTTCCTCGCACCCGAGGTCTTCTTCAACCCCGAGATCTACTCGTCCGACTTCTTGACGCCGCTGCCCGTCGTCGTCGACAATGTCATCCAGCAGAGCCCCATCGATGTCAGGCGTGGTCTGTACAAGAACATTGTTCTCTCCGGAGGCAGCACGCTCTACAAGGACTTTGGCCGCAGATTACAACGCGATATCAAGCACCTGGTGGATGCGAGGATCAAGGCTAGCGAGGTCCGCAGCCGTGGCGCCAAGAGTGGCGGTCTGGAGGTGCAGGTTATTTCGCACAAGCGCCAGCGACACGGCCCGTGGTTTGGAGGCAGTCTGCTGGGCCAGACACCCGAGTTCCGCTCGTACTGCCACACCAAGGCGGAGGTAAGTCTCCTCACAATGACATGGGACGACATGAGAAGACAGCTGACTCTTGCAATAGTACCAAGAATATGGACCTGGCATCGTGCGGCGCTTTGCTCTTCTGGGCGGCCCCGGTGGTAATTAGACGTGGTTCTCGACTAAAGCAGGCAAAGCAGGTGTGGTTATCTGCGAGCACCAGCGGTACGCGTGTACCAATGGCGACATGCAGCCTGCGTCACACTTCCCTCCGTAGTCTGGCCTCACAGCGTTGTGGTTCCACAAAAAGATTCTCAAGTTCATATTGAAGCGGATCATGCATCAAGGACATTGGACTTCTTATCAGTGACTATGCGACTGCACCATATATTATCGAATATTGTGACTGATCGAGTAGTCTATGAGGCATGCATCACGAACATCTCAGTGTGTGAGTTGGGGAGAGACCTGTGTCCCCTAAAGATGCGTTCGGCGCATAGCTAGGAATTGAGGGAGACTTTCACATCCGATCCCGAGCAGAGCACCTCGACGCAGTATTGATGCGCTCTGCCACATTACAAGGTCATCACGCCGGAGGTGGGAGACTGCCCATTCAATCCGACAATTCTAAGTGTCAAGATAATAGCGCCCAGATTATTCAAGACTTTCTTTCCTTGGTGGCAGTATGGATCGTGGTGCCAGGAGTCGCAGCTGGCCATTAACGGCCCGGCTGCGCTGTTATCTTTTCGTTTATGCAGATCAGAGACTAGTCTGGCACCTCTTCCTTGCTGCTGCATGTTCTAGGCGTGGTGACACTGGATCCCGGTGATTCTTGTTCAAGCCTCATAAGTCGAGTACTAGGTTTCCATGCTCCTTTTGAGCGAGCGAGTACCGAACTTTTCGCAATGGAGACACCATATTCCCACTCTTTTTATTTTGGCACCCATGATGGTGCTTTTGCACTTGTCATCGTTTCGATCAAGGCAATCTATGTCTGCCACCCCGATAAGAATCAGTGTTGAGGCTGTGATACGTTTCATTGAATCGAGACGTGAGCTTGAGCGTCCTTTTCCACTGTTTATGTCCCTCTCCGAGGAGTGCCGAAGGTCGTTTCGTATGCCGACGTGCTACTCGATTGTTTGTTTGCACATCGTCGTGCATAACATGCGTGAGATGCGCGCCTTGTTGTAAAAATACACTCACCATGATGTTTGACCTTGCTCGCCTCAATCTTGAGCCCTCATCATGGACGCGCGATGGTGGGGATTTGCCAGGTTGCCAACAACGCTGTGTGCTTGTCCAATGATCTCAGGCACTTGAATCGAGTCATTGCACTGGAAACGATTGGAAGTGGCAGGTTCTTCTCCAAGTAACTTGGATACCGAATCCCACAAGTACCGGATCTGAAATTGAGCGTTGAAGAATAGCATTACTTCATGTTTATGGACTTATTCATGAGCTCTCTCCTGAACGCATAAGCTGGTTGATCGCCCGTGAAAGCGATATCAGCGCAGTGTGAGTCACACGTCCAAAGCTGACAAGACCTGTCTGAACATAATGAAGTAGGCCAACAGAGCCGTTTGTTAGAATACAATAAATGATCCGAGACTCCGATGTCAGCCATGGAGAGACACGGGTTGCAACAGATTAGGAATCGAGCCGACTACAGGTGCCAACTTTGCACAGGGAACCGCCTTCTGGCAAGCGTGAACATGTCACTCTGCTGCTGGGCCTCGGTTCACACATATCACTGGAGGGGTTAGAATGTGCAGAAGAGTTGGGATACCGCATTGGCGCCACGATCTGGAGGATCGCAAATCAAGCATTAGTCAAAATCGCGAGGATTCGACGTCGCTCACGATTCGACATTTCACGTGCGAACAAGGGAATCAGACCGTGCCCAGAGCTGAGCTGACACTAGATCATGCGGCGGCGACTCCACCTGATACGTTGACGCGCCTGTCACATCACGAACAGACACATTGTGAGTGGCCGATGACGCGCATGCCCAGACCCAGGAGATTGGACCAAACAGTGAACATGCATGGAAGGGTTCGCGACACCCTCGGTGGCGGATCCGGAATAAGAACCTGGGCCCGTGAGAAGATGCAGGCAGCCTTCCTTGGAAGCACACACCAGGATCGGGACGGCCAACGACGGCAGCCGTTTCATGCAGCCTGGTGATTCACGACGGAGGGCACGTGGGCCGACGTGGCGGCGCTGATGGGATCACCTGCGACTGCGCGCCCAGACACTTGGTTGTCGCATCCCTGGCAGTTGCTGAGGGCTTCATGTTGGCCTGCGTGTGCTTGATCGGCCGCTCAATGAGGGACCAACCACTCCGCGAGACTGAGGGTGACCGAAGTAGATGTGACAAGACTCTTGGCGACATGTGCTCGTGGCTAGGCAACCTGAGTGAGGGTTCGCGTCTCAAAAGCTCCTTGACTATTCTAGTCGTCGCCTGAAGTGTTGCTCATGCCCAGATACACGTGGGCGAAAAATGCTGTTGCCAAGTCGACGTGCTTGTGTGGGTGTGGAGGACACTTTCTGAAAGTCAAGACTGGGGTGGACGAGACGACGATGCCAGGTCCATCCGACCCGGAAGCTGCTGAGATGTCTGGCCATGTCCCCCACGCTGGATAATACGGTCCCATCTAATCCGAATTTCCTGTTGCCGATCAGAGCACCAGTAAAGATCGCTCACTCGCGGATGCAGCGTTGAAGACATGCTGCCGAACGTGAAGGCGTGCCACCTGCTTGCTGCTGCTAGCCCGACTGGCCAACTTGCACTCATCGATGGTGTCGGTTGCAATGAAAATGGGCTCCTGGTCACTTGCTGTACCCCGACCCGACGGAGCGCAAGGAAGCTAAAATATGTGACGGATGGATCCCGCCAGATCCCGGATCGCCAATGCTCGTTTTCATTTCGAGACGGCGATGCAATGGTGCTCCCCTGGAGCAGAATCCCTCCTCCCTCATGTGGCGCCGCCGCTTGTACGAGTTGCGTGTATCGCGACGGGGGGAGAAAAGTAACTTCGCAGCCGTCATTGGCCGCTACCCGTTGTGATTTGGATGCTCCAGTGCAATGGAGCTTGCCAGATCCTTGTGTCCGCTGACATATTGTCGTGTGCAGGTGGCTTGAGGCGTTGCGCGTCGAGCGGTGCTTCGAAAAGACGTGACGTTGGAAAGGGACGTACCGAGACCCCTGGCAGGCACGGACCCAAGGTTGCGGGATGCGACCACGCAGTCAACGATGGCCACTGAAGGAGCACACGTGGGGGATGTACGGGACCTTATAGGCTGGCTGGGGGCGTGCCCCGGGGGGTGTTGCGCCCTGACATGCCCCGTAGTGCGGCTCTTGGGGGAACTGCCCGGGGGGTGTGCCTTCCGCAAGCCACTGGAACCAAGCCGGCAACGCGGCACACGAGCACTTTGGCCGCCGCTGACTGGTGCCCCGCCAAGGCCGCTGCCAATGCTCCGCCAAGTGCCCAGGGCAGGGCTCCATCTTCAACGTCAACCCATCCGCTGCATCCAAGAACAACGACCAGACACGCCTCGACCTGACAATCCAGACGAGCATCTCAGAAACCACGGGCCCAGTTATCCAGCCTGGGCAGCGGCAAACCTCGCTCACCACAGCCAGAACAATTCTCGTCCCACACAACACAAGACGTCACTTCTACAGACAGCCAGACCCAGCTAGGTACACCAGAACATCTTGTCCTCTCTTCGCCCGAGATAGCAGATACAACCGAATGCAACATCTACAGCAGGAAATGCAGCTCAGGGTCCGGGGCCAGTGAAACCTCACGTCCAGGGTGGGCAAACCACCACCACCACCACAATGGCATCTCGAAAACCCACACTAGGCGTGTGACTGGACCAGGGCGAGCCGTGGCATCCATGCATAGCTTAAAGACAATCCCATATCGGGACAGCTTCGGTCCAGCCCCTTCGCAAGGCGAGACCGTTTAGGCCTCCACTCGGATCGGCGCTGCTCTTTCTCCTCGTCCTCGCACATGGCCCGCCGGTCGCCGTGGCCGTGGCCGTAACATGGCATCCCTGCTCGGGATGCTGGGCGTAACATGCACTCTCTCAGCTCGCCCAAGGCCGTTTCGGTTCCACCTCTTGATCGCCCTCTCTACAACTCTCCCTGTCTCGTTCGCCGAGGACTCCAGCGCCATCAAGCTGATCTGCCCCATCCTGCTGCTTGGCATCAATGGCCCACGTACGCTCGACCTTCGAACACGTTCCCCCTCTGAGTCTATCTCATTGGCTCATCCCGCCACTGGGCTGCGCTCTCAAACAAGCGTGAGGCAACTCGACGACAAAGAAAAAAAAAAAGAGCGTTGCCAATGTCCCGCCGCAATCCGAGGAGTGGTGGCCATGCTGGCGTGGGTCGCACCCACCCTGCCCGCGCGCTTTCTAGATGCCTCGATGCTACCAACGCTCGCTCAGCTAGGCTGTGACCCGGGCTGTATATAACCATCCTCTCGCCTCTGGTTGCTAGGCCTTGTTTTCCTCCGCGCTCCTCAGCCAGCTATAGCATCCTCGGATCCGACGAGGCATTCGCTACCCTGCCACCCATTCCCAAAGGCTTCTTCGGCTGACTGGCGACGCGGTCTCTGTGAGTCGAAAACCGCCCAACATGGTCCTCCACCAGTACGACTACATCTTTGCCATTGGCACGATCTTTGCGTTTCTCGATGCCTATAATATCGGTATGCTCAACACCCTGTTACTAGCATGGAATATTCCGGGATACAGAGAGACTGACGATCCATTCCCTCGCAGGTGCCAACGATGTCGCCAACTCCTGGGCAACCTCGGTTGCTTCCCGCTCCCTGACCCTATTCCAGGCCATGGTCGGCGCTGCCATTATGGAGTTTGCCGGCGCTTTTGGTGTTGGTGCTCGGGTGGCCGACACCATCAAGACCAAGATTGTCAGCCCTGACCAGTACGAATCGGAGCCCGCTGTCCTCATGCTCGGCATGACCTGTGCCATTGTCGGCTCCTCGCTCTGGCTCACCTTCTGCACCAAAATTGGTCTCCCCGTCTCCACCACCCACTCTCTCATGGGTGGTGTCATCGGTATGGGTCTTGCTTCCGTTGGTGCTGAGGGCATCACCTGGGTTGCGCCTGCGGGAACCACCGGAACCGAGGTCGTCAACACCGGTGTTGCATCAGTGTTCGCGGCCTGGCTGATTGCCCCCGGCATTTCGGCCTGCTTTGGCGCCATCCTCTTCACCATCACCAAGTACGGTGTCATGCTGCGCAAAGACCCGGTCATGAAGGCGTTCATCATGGTGCCCATCTACTTCTCCATCACCGCCATGCTGCTTATCATGCTGCTGCTCTGGAAGGGAGGCGCCTACGAGGTCAGGCTCACCGACCAGCAGATTCCTGGCGTCATTGTCGGTTCCGGTATCGGTTTCGGCCTTCTCGTATCTTTCTTCTTCCTGCCCTGGCTCTACCGCGTTGTCGTCAAGGATGACTGGGAGCTCAAGTGGCACCACATCTTCCAGGGCCCTTTCCTGCTGCGCCGTGGCGAGGTCCCTCCTCCCCCTGCCGACTTCACTGGGGCCATCCGCAATTTCTACGAGGGACACCTGACCCGCGAAGAGCTCGACGCCAAGCGTGCCGCTATGCCTGCCAGCACTGACGTCGAGGCCAACACGAACACCAGCAGCGAGGCCAAGGTTCTGGATGCCGTCCTCGCCTCCGACTCGTCCGAGACAAACTCCCACAGCGGCGCCGCCCCCGTGAAGACCCACAGCAGCTACAAGTCCATCATTGGCCCTCGACCCGAGGGTCTTCCCTGGACCTCCAAGGAGATGTTGTGGTGGGGATTTAAGCTTGTCATCTTCCACGGTGTTGACAAAGACATTGCCTCGATCCAGAGCCAGAAGAAGGACAAGCTCAGCGGAGATCTCGAAGAGGCCCACGCCCGTGCTGCCCACTACGACAACAAGGCCGAGTTCTGCTACTCGTTCCTCCAGATCCTTACTGCCTGCACTGCCTCTTTCGTCCACGGTGCCAACGACGTTTCCAATGCCATCGCTCCTTACTCGGTCATTTATGACATCTGGCAGACCGGCGAGATTGCAGGCAGCAAGTCTCCTGTCCCTCTCTGGATTCTCGCCTTCGGTGGTATTGGTATTGTGCTCGGTCTGTGGACCTACGGTTACCAGATCATGTCCAACCTGGGCAACAAGCTGACCCTGCAATCTCCCTCGCGTGGTTTCTCCATGGAGCTGGGCTCTGCTGCCACCATTGTTCTCGCCACCCGTCTGAGTAAGCACCATCCACCAACAGACTGTTCTTCTTCCTTGCACTCGCACATAAATGCTGACATTCACCACAGAGCTTCCCGTGTCCACTACCCAGTGCATCACTGGCGCTGTTGTCGGTGTCGGTCTCTGCAACGGAGACTGGCGGGCCCTCAACTGGCGCATGATTGCGTGGATCTACATGGGCTGGATCCTGACCCTGCCTATTGCCGGCATTGTCTCTGGCTGCCTTATGGGCATTATCATGAACGCGCCCCGCTGGGGTATGAGCGCTTAGATTATGGTGCTTTCTGACATACAATTCTTATGAGTTTGTGGGCGAGGTTCCACGAAGTGCCGTCTTTAGCAGGGCCTGAGGTTGCTCCTTCCTTCGCTCGGGCTGACTTCATCACTCTTTACGCTACGTCATATAATTGATACACAAGATATACCCGACACTGGAAGTCTTGGTCCCACAGTTGCTGTTGGTTGCTCTTGTCTAATTGATGTTGCAATTGACCGTCGAGGGGCTTGACAGTGACTACTTGACGCCCACGGCTGCCAGGAAAGTTTCGCGGTGTCCTTCATGTTTGATGGCCCTTGCGGCGAGAGCGATGGACTCGACCTCGACAATGGTGCCCGTGTCATGCTCAAAGGCCCAGAGTCCCGGTTCCGGCGTCTCCCCAGCACCACCATGGCCGCCGCCACGGGCAGTCTTGTCTTGCACCCTCCTCGCCCGCTGCGTTGGCCCTTGCCTGCTTGACTTCGCCTCCCCGCTGCTACGTCCGGGGCCGCGCTCGCCGCCGCCCACGGCGGTAGAGATGTGGTCTTGATCGTCTTCGTGGTCGTCGCTGTCGTAACGGACCTGGAATGCCTGCCAGCGCTGTGCACGCAGCTCGGCCACGTGTGCGGCGACCAGCTCGCTGGGCCCTGAATACACGAGGATGCCTGGGTAGCCTGGTTTCGTGAGGCCCGTTATTGTGCTGCTGCTGCTGCTGCTGCTACTGGTTGGGGGCATGGTGGTGGTGGTGTTGTGGTTGATAGACAGTTTGGAGTGGCTCGGTTGTGCTCTTGAGAGTGAGAGGGTCGGGTGCAGAGCCAGCTTGCGCTTGTTGGTGTTGAGGAGGTGGTGGAGCCATATCACGACTGTCTTGTGCTGGCGTTTGCTTTTCTGTGTGCTTGACGACGCTGCTGCTGCTGTGGCTCTTTGGCTGTGGTGATTAGGAGAGTCTTCTGCAGCTTCGTGAGTGATGGCGGTGGTGGCGGTAGTGGTGTTATTTTCGGCACCGTCGTGGTTCTCAGGGTTCCCTTCTTTCTCGACGAGGTCTTGAAACGCGAGAATCAGCGCATCCAATATCTCCTCGCCCCCGTCCTGGGGGATGGCTAGATGTTGAAATGCGGCCTTTGTCCGTTCTCGCAAGTCCTCGTGTCCACTGCTGCTGCTTCTGCTGCTCCCACTGCCTGAGCGAGAGGCCGTGAGGATCTCGGGGAAGCCAGACGCGGGATATGTCTCTGGCAGGCGGAGGACGAGCGAGCTCGCGGCCGGGCTGGTGGTGGCTGCGAAGCGTAGCTCCCGCCGCGAGGAGCTGTAGGCCACGGCCCCGTCTGGGTACATTGCAAGCAGCATCTCGAGCTCTGCCGCGAGGCGGGAAGATGCCTCGTTCGCCATGGCTGTGTTCCGCCTTGGTTTCTTCCTATGGATATCTGGCAGCGCTGGGTGTTGTTTTGGCCGCCCCGACTTGGACCCAGCAACACTGCGCACACGGGGTGTCCGCCAAGCACTCGAAGGCTATTGTAGTGAGTGGTGCTGCTCGCCTGGCATGCTGTGGAGGGAAGTGCGAAGTTGATCTTTTTGGACGGCGCGGATGACGACATGGCGTGTGGAGGCGATGCATTGCAATGCATTTCCACGCCCCACCTCTTGGTTTTGGCAACGACATTTGGAAAGGACTCTAGTTAATGAGACAGCCGTGCTTGAGACATAGACTCTCAAACAACACAAGCATAATATCCTTGGATTCATGACTGCGTTCTGTGTAAAGACTTTTTGCTCGACATGACCAGTCTGTGTTGTGTTGTTGTTATCAAGACTCCCAGATCAGCCCATCCTGCATCCCGACTCGCTTCGTTTTGTTCTGCCATGCAACTCACTCGACTCATCGACTAACCTGACTTTCTCTCGCCACCGATGCAGGCAGCTTGTCCATCGAACCTCGCGCCGTCTCTTTCGACGAAGACTTTAAATCATTGTTGTTGCTGTTGCTGTCCGTCACTGCTGTCCTGGGCCGGGCACTCTCTCGCCCAAAACCACCTCCAGTACTCTCCCTCCTCGTCCTCGTCCCGGTCAACGGGTCGTATGTATAATTCGCTCCGCCTTCTCCACCTCCTCCTCTTCCATCTCGCTTTTCGTTAGATCTCCCCTGTGAGCTCTCGCTCGCACTGCTGCTCCGCCGCCTCGTCATCGCCTCCAGCGCCCCCCTAATCACCCCGCTTCCCCGTCTCTCCTGCTTGGGCGGCGAGCTCGAGACACTCGGGTCCCAGGCCGGCTTGCCCGACAACCCCTGGTTCCCGGGCATGATGCTCTCCATCACCGACTTGTGGCCCGTCGCGTCGCGGTAGGCCTCGGGAAACGCCCGCGGCCGGGATTCTCTGTCGTGGTTGTGGTGGTCGTCGCCATCGTCGTCCTCTATGGCCTGCTCTGCCAGGCGGGAATCCCGTCTCTGATGGGGCTGCTGCACGGCTGAGTTGAAGGCGTCTTTCCGCTCGGTATCGGCGGCGGCAGAGGCGCTCGCCCTGCGCGGAGCTGTGGGCGCCGAGGAAGTGGAGGGGGATGGGGAGGAGGACGAGGACGAGATGGTTGTGGTGGTGTCTTTGGTCTGCTTCGGGTGGCGAGGGGCGTCACCGGGGCGGAGAGCCTCGCGCAGCGTCGACAGGACGCTGTTCATCGTGCCTTGGATCGGCTTGGAGCTTGAGGGGTCTGATGGCCCGGTAGGCATTGTTTAAGAGGAGATGGGCAAAAAGTGTCCGTGCAATCAAAGGCGGCATGTGCATCTCTATTTAAACTTTCCCAGAACAACCACAAAGGTTCGCTCCCAGGGTCTCGTGGTCAGGCCTACAAGCGCCTTGTGCAACGTCATCATGATCCCAGGAGCTCTAGAGTGCAACACAAGAGCCGGGCCAGGGAGGTGTCCAGGACTTACCCCGGGATTGGCGGCACATGCAAGGAGGCGGATGAATGCCTCTTTAGCTTCCCAGAAACACTACTTGCTGCTGCTGTGTAACTTTGTCTCTGGCCATGGTGGCCAGACTGGCCAGTCCCTTGACGGGGTGGTGTCTGTGGCCCGCACCGCTTCCCCAATGCGTAAGGTTTGGCGTGTTGGAGCCCTTTTAGCCTCGACACAGCTTCTCCCCATGACGCCACGGGAATGCGGGCAGAGACGACACGGCGTTTTATGGAGAAACCCTTATTATTCTTGGTGGGTGGCAACCATCAGACTGCGGCATGCATAACAAGGCTAATGAAGAAGACGGTACATTGCATTACGGATTACTGATCCTCTTGTCATAGCATCCAGCGTTTCTGCCAAGCCGTGAGAACGACACTCTCTCTAGGTGTTGCTAGTCTGGTGATTATCGAGCAATTGTCGCGTTTTGACATGATGACGATAATGTTTGGGACGCTATGCCTTGGGTTGCATCCATGTCACTCAAGTGCGAATTTCTCGCCGGGGCTAGCGAGCCATGATGTTCCTCCATGATATACCTCCATGATGTTTATTGCGATCAAGTCTACAAGCGTGAGCTGGAAGTTCTACCTACGAGCCTGTCTGTCCCAGAAACCGAAGATTCGTGTGATAGGCCGCCTAAAACTGAGCAGGTGCAATACTATGACCACTTGACTGCACGATCTGGCTAGCAGGGCTCTTGTCATCTTTGGATATCGAGCTCGGCCGCCCCATGCTTGACCAGGAGATCGAGGATCCTGAAAGCATCGTCACCGCTCCGCTGCCTGCAAAACTCAAGCAGCCCAGGATTGCAGCTGAACGCCCTTGCTAGGCTCGCGCCTCGTCTCACTAGCATTTCGACTATCAGCGGCTGCTGAGTACGCACAGCCGCGACGAGCGGCGTCTCCAGCCGGCCCGCATCATCCGGGTGTGTGCCCACGAGGTCGACGTTCATGCCAAGGTCGATGAGAGTCTCGACGCCTTTGGGTGAGGGACAGTCCATTGCCAACCCCCAAGGAGCAACTAGACGGCCGTCATTGCCTGCCGCCTCCTTGTCCGGCCCGCCCTCCTCCACCGACTGTTTGAACTTGACAGCATCCAGCCTTGCACCATGCTTGACCAGCAGCGCCGCGGTGCCGGCTTCGCCAAGGCAGGCCGCCATGGCCAAGGCCGTGTACCCTTGCCCGTCACAGGCGCCGACGTCCGCCCCGTCCCGGAGCAGCAGCTCTGTGCCGGCAAGGCTTCTCCTGGCCGCAAGCATAAGCGGCGTACGGCCTTCTGGGTCTCGGAGCTCGAGCTGGTCCCTGATCGCGGGGCTGAGTTTTCCATCGGGCAGGCGGCCGTGGTCGAGCAGACTGCCGAGGGACTTTGCTATATTCCTGTGGGCCCCAGCAGCGTATGTGAGCACTCCGCAGCCCCGATTGTCCCTGAGCGAGACGTCAGCACCACCCTTCGTGAGCAGGAACACCACCACGTCGTCGAACCCGTACTCTGCCGCACGCATCAGCGGCGTATACTCCCTCCTCACGGGCCAGAGGACCGGGTCCTTGCAGTAGGCGTCGACGTCGGCCCCGGCGGCGAGGAGCGCCTGCAGGACTTCGAACTTGTTCTGCGTGTACACGACCGTCTCGTAGAAGAAAAGCGTCTCGCCGCCAATCGCGTCGATCCGCGTGTCCACGGGGATCCCGAACTCAATCAGGATGTCCAGGATTGGCGTGCAAGCAGCGGCCCAGTGAAGGAAGACAAAACTCTGGTCCTTGGACACACCGAGCCACTGCTCGCCGCCGCCGCCACGACCGTGCTTCCGCTGAGCTGCTTCAAGAAGAGACCGGACCAGGTCGCCGTCATGCTGCCCCACGGCCTCGAGGAGCGGCGTGATTCCCCAGTTGCTCATGAGCATGGGGTCTGCACCAGCCGCCAACAGCAGGTCCACTATGGCCCGCTCCTTCTTGTCCACGGCAACAAGCAGTGCGTTGCTCTTGACGTAGCGCCGGTCTCCCGAGCCGTTGCCCCGGAGGTTGACAATGTCGACGTCGACGCCGTGGGGACTGTAGCCGTGGCGGAGCAGCACGCGGACTGCCGCCTCATGCCCGAGCAGCACCGCGTGGGATAGCGCCGTGAGGCCGGCCTTGTCGCGGCTCTCGCAGATTTTGGGGAACGTGCCGGCGTGCGAGAGCAGGATGTGGAGCATCTCGAGCTTGCCCTCGCTGGCGGCCAGGGTAAGGGGCCGGTGGTTCTCGCCGGCGACGCACGGGTCTGCCCCGGCCGCCAGCAGCAGCTCGACCATGGCCGCGTTGTCGCTCCGGATCGCGAGCAGCAGCGGCGTGCTGCACTGCCGGTCGTAGTGCGCGCTGCCCTTGCCCACGTGGACGCTCGGGTCTGCGCCGAGCCGGATGGCCCTCCGTGCCGTGTGGAGGGCGGCGGGGCACGAGGAAGACTGCCGGGCTGCCCACCACAAGGGCCGGTACTGGTCGCTCCGGGGCGAGGCTCGCATGTAAGACTCGTACAGGAAGTTCGTCCAGGTGTCGTGGTGGGAGCGGTTGACGCCGGCGAAGGCGAGGCCATCACGGATGGACAGGTGCGTGGTGATGAGGTCGAGCAGCTCGGCAGGCAGGCCGGGCATGAACGTCGTGGTGCTCCGGGCCAGCATCACGGCAATGCCTGCGCCGGCCCGGGTCGTGGCCATGGCCATCAATACAAAGTTGTTTGGGCGAGTTGAGACTCGTGGTGTTGTTGGCTGCCCGACAAATAATGACTGGACCGCAATGCTTGAGTTATACTGGGTATTGGTCTCCTTGTACAGTGATGCATCCCGGCAAACTATAGGAAAAGGGGCTCCACACGAGCTATGATGAATGTTGGTTGCTCGGACTCGCCGTTGACCCACCTCGCAAATGAATCGTACGGACTATCTGGACATTGGCCTTGATGCTCCATAGAGGCAGCATAGCAGACAGGCTGAGTGACATCCTCATTGTCAAAGTCTTGCTATGCCAAGTATTCTGGGTTCGTGACTATTGTATTCACGAGACTCTTGGCTTTGCAGGCTTAGCCAAAGCTTAACTCAAATCTCCCGTGTGACAGGTTGTTACATAACGGCGCCGTTGCCCTTTCGGGACACGATAACTGCCGACCCCCTGGATTGTCCCCACTGTCATCGGCGACTGCCTGCGTGTTGTGGGTCAACTAATTTCGTTGGTTGGCCCAGGTGAAGCAGTATATCTACTGCGCGTCACGCTGCCCAGCACCGTTTCTCATCCCTTCAAATCCTCACAGAGAATGCCAGCAGCATGGACCCCGAGCGGAACATGCAGGCCAGGCCCGAAGATGCCGGGCCGGTCCGAGAATCAAAGGAGAAGAGCAGCAGCAGCTCGGTGCCCAGCATCGCCGTCCGGCATTTGAGCACGCCCAGCAGGGTCTTTTCCTGCTACGTCCTTGTTGCCGCCATCTTTACGACTGCCGTCATCGCCATCGCCGCCACGAGTCTATTCCTCAGAGGCTTTGACGGAATGGTGGTAATGATCAGCGACCTACCAAAAGCCCCAGGGGCAGCAGCAGACATGCCTAACCCGATGACCGCCCTCGCCTCTGGGCCTCCCCATACGCTCAGTACAGCGCTGCACTCCTCGCTTCTGGGGTTCGGACTTGGCCGGTACGAATTCTCCATCGACCCCCGCACCCACGTGCTCCGGCGCAGAGAACTGCATGCCGCGGAGGTGCGCCAGCGCTTCGGCAACGACACGCGCGAGTCGGTACGCGAGAACCCCCAGCTGCGGAGGATCCTGGACGACCCGAGCGGGGGAGAGTGGCAGGCCTACGACCAAGACGGGACGACGCGGTTCCTAACGGCGCCAGTGGTGGTGTCGAGCCCTGCCCTATTCGCGCCTGGCTCTGGGGATCCCTTGCGGCATCACATGCTGGCTCTAGAGTACGGCACCGGCGCTGTCCTGCAGGCAGTATACCATCCACAGAAGGGCAGCAGTAAAGGAACTCAAGATCAGGAGGAGCTCTCAAAGGCGTGGGCGAGGCCGTGGGCGCAGGGGACCCCTGGTTCCTGGGCATGGGACAGCGCCGGAGGCGGTCCGTTCGCGTGGCAGCCAACCATCAGTCTCACGCGGATGGTGGCCCCCACCGGTGCGGGTCAAGACTTTCTGGACGTCTTTGCAGTCACCGCCGACGGGGCACTGATGAAGCGATGCTATACCGTCAACGACAGAAACGCCGGAGGGTGGCTCAGCGGCTGGGTCGAGCTCGGACGAGGTTTCGTCGGTGAGGTCAGTCTCGAGGCGAACTACTATCTTCAGGACAAACGTCGCGGTTTGGTAGTCCATGCCGTCGCCATCAAGGGCGGAGAGTATCAGCACGCCGTCGCGAAGGCTGGTCCCAGGCCTTGGGACGGGGAGTGGGACCGGCTCGGCCGGCCCGACGAATGTCGAGATCTTGCCCCTGACCAGCTCGGATACCCCGTCGTTGTCGTCTGGGGACCCCTCGAGGCCGAAATCATCGTCGTCTGCGGAGGCAAGATCAGACACAAGATCCGGGACGCCGCTGGCCAGTGGTCGGCGAAATGGGAGCCATTCGGCAGAGGCGTAGACAGGCACGATCGCGTTGAAGACATGACCCTCGAGACACATGGCCTGAGTTCGGACGGGTTCGTGTGGAAAACGCTCGCCGTGCAGGTCAAGGACTCGGACAAGGCATACCAGATACGGAGGGCCAAACCAGACGATCCCTTCAAAGCCTGGCCTGGACTGCCATCAGGAACCCTGATGTTTCACTGGGATGATTGGAGGTCGTTCTAGTTCAGCAGGAGAGTACTACGCCAAGGAACCTACTACAATGACAAACTGGAACATGGCAGGTGTAGAACATAGCACGTCATCACGTGCTGGCGGATGTTGAAGACAGGAGAAAGCAGATCATGTACTCGGCCATGTGACTTTGCCTTTTCCCTTTGGCCTGGTGGATTCTACTCTATAGCAAGGCAAGATTTCTTGCCAGCAAATTGCAACAGTTCCTGCAGTGAACTGTGCTGGGATCTACTCTTTGGGACCTGCTTTTATGTTATTCGAAGCGACCGTGCTTATACGCGCCTATAGTGGTGCTTGGGCGATATGGTTTTAATTTGCTTTCTCGTTCAAGGGCAATCAATCCACACGCTCGAGAGTGTCTCAATGACTCTCTTCTGAATTGTCTCCTCGATGTTTTGGGACTTCGTGTGGGGCGCGTCTGGCGCGTCGCGTCTGTGGGCGGCCAGCAGCCGCCTTGGATCTTTATGGATCGCTGAGACTGATGTCGAAGTCAGAACCCCCTTTTTCGCGACACACTGGAGCAATTCGATGAATTCGCAGTTGATGACCAGGAAATGAATCTGTGTAGTATTCAACACAAAGGCCCGGAGGGTTGCGCCATGTTTTTAATCTCAATTCGTGGGGGCTGACACGGATCATCCTATGAAGACATTTTGGCAACAATAGCAGGTGGTTTCTTGACATTAATTAAATAGTAGGATTAAGTAAGTACAGTTGTGAAGATTATTAAAATACACGCCTGAATTACATGCGTGACGTGCGTGAACGTGCTGTTTGCATTCCTTCGTTACAGACACTCGATGCAAACAGCGGTGCTTAGTGGGTGATCATGACGTTCTGCTTCTTGACAGCGCTGTACCAGCCACCAGACTTATAGCCATTGCCAGTAATAGACGACTTGAGCCAGCAGTACTTGGCGTTGCTCCAAATACCCTCGACACAGCCAGCAGTAGAATCACACAGATCCGCGCACACCTCGAAAGTCTCGGTGTACTTGCTGCTGCCGAGGGTCTGGCCGGCATACTGGAAGTTGCACTTGATATCGTACTGGGCGCCGGAGGGAGCCCTGAAGACGGTGCCGTCGGCCGAGTTGTCGTCGCAGCGGATGGAGTTGGGAGGAGGGGGCGCGGAGGCGCCGGCGGGAGCAGGCTGGACGAAGCCGGCGGGGACTTTGACGATGCTGTGCCAGCCGCCCGACTTGTAGCCATTGGTCTTGGAGGACTTGAGCCAGCAGTACTTGGCGTCACTCCAGATGGCGTCGACGCAGCCGGTGGCGGCGTCACAGAAGCCGACACACTGCTCGAGGGTGTCGGCTCGCTTGGAGGCGCCGAGGGTGTTGCCGCCGTACTGGTAGTTGCAGAGGACCTGGTACTTCTGGATCGAGCCGGGGGCGGTGAAGACGGTGCCATTGCTGGAGCCGTCGTTGCAGTTGAGGGGCTGGACGAGGAGGGCGCCCGAGTAGGCATTGTTGACGGTCATGGGGGCGGCTCTCTCGGCCGGGGTGGTGAGGGCGAAGAGGCAGGAGTTCCAGATCTTGGCATAGGCGGCATAGTTGCACTGGGACGCGCCCTGGGCGCTGCAGGCAGCAATGCACGCCTCCTGGTTGGGGTAGTTGTCGCCCCCCCAGCGGTAGCTGGCCGAGTCGTAGGTAGAGTGGCAGCGTATGTCCCACTGCTTGCCATCTGGCGCCGTGTAGCGCGTGCCATCGCTGGGACCCGTGCCGTACGCACCGCAGTCCAAGGCAGCCTGGGCAACGGCAACAAGGCCGCCCAGAAGGACAGTGGTGGCAAGCATCGTGGGAGTGGCGGTGTGGTGGGATGTCGGAGGGAGAGATCAAGGGCAAGGACAACAGACTTGGTGTGTGTTGATTAGCGGATGCAGATGGGAAAGTCCTGCTGATCGAGAGAGACGACAGTGACGACTTTATATCATTGACAGAAAACAGCCACGATGCTTCTCAAGTTTTCCAAGTCTCTCAGCTTGAGCTGGAGAGAATGCCATTTTGCAAGCCTCTATGACACCATGCCCAGTCCAGATGACCTCGGAATTTGCCCGACCGCGTGTATTCAAGCAGCTTCAGCTTTCAGCATTCAAGCCAGAGGCGTGAAAACAGCAGATATTCTCCATTTTTGTTCCTATAGGGCGTCTTTGTCGTTCGATCACGTCCACGCTCTATCGATTCTGGCAGCCACCGTCATCTCCCCAATAGAGCACAATAGCGTTGTTAAAGATGTCTGGAACATGACTAGGCCCGACCCCTGCAGTAGCGCCGGTTTGTTGCCTATTCGGGCATAGAGTCTTAAAGCTAGTTTGTTCAGGCACAACCCGGATTTTTTTTTTCAGCTGCGCCAGATATGGGGCGTCACGCCACGTGGACATTACCTTAAGCTACCTGGCCGCACTCGGGGATTTTTAGGCTTGGCCAGCGATGCGGAATCGGGTTCGGACAGGTCCTGCAACTAGCAAGAACATCCGGACCTCAACAGCCACTTATCCCCGGGGTGGAGATGCGTGGATCGTCCACTGTGGAACCCACCCATTCTCTCTAATCTCCGAGCCACGGGCTGTTCCGCGGTTCTAGACCCTTTCCTTGAGCACATTCAGCTGGATGGGTCACACCACCTCTCTTGATGGAGCCGCTATACCTTTAGAGTGAAGTGACAGAATGGCAAGGATAGCCGGGGGAGAAAGACCCTCCTGTTTTAGACGAGAAGATCGATCTATACATCAACAGGTCTGTTCGTCAGTACATGAGACCTGACAGGAAATATGACAATATCTCCAAGAGAAAGTTGCAAACACGCAGTTAATTAAAGACAGCAGTTTCGCCTGGATGCTGTAACAGATAGTTAGTACGCCAACCTCGATCCCGTACGTAATAATTAGTCGTCTCTCAGCCACTCTGCGCTCGCAATTCTCACCGCCCTCCACAAAATCAAAGCCTCGGGCCGTGGCGCTACGCACGGCTGCAGAAGGCGCATGGCGTCCAGTCGCGAACAAGTAAGCCACCATACAAAGACCAAGCTGGGGAGATCGAGTAAGCTGGTCCTCAATAATGCCTCACATGATTAGTTAGCTTTCATGCCGCCCGGAGAAGAATGAAGGAATCGTAGGGCGAGAAATCACATACACACGGACAGCGTTGATGTATAGGTTCGCAGCCATTCCCGGATGGTATCTCTCCGCGCTCAGGGGGCCGGTGCTGATCTGTTAGCACTGCCGCGCGAAGAAGTTGCTTTCTGTGACGTGTTCAGGCAAAGGTATTTACGAACACTATGATGCATTTGCTTCTGGCACAGCATAAGGAAAGAGGAGAGAGGAGATTCTTGTTCGGGAGTTCAATAGGCTATACGAGGCATTGTCTGAGGCTGGTCGCATGTTGTAAGAATCGTGAACTATAGGGTAAGTTAGGTAGCAGCAGGATGTCTGGCAGGGTTATGTATTACAGTGAAAGACTGGGCGTCTTGCTTTTGTCCTCAAAATATTCGTTACATCTAGCGATCAGGCACAAACCTTTATTGGGCCAACATTGTCGGGCATTAAATTCAGAGTAACCATTGGCCGGCACACCACCACGAAGGACGGCTGTTTAAGCAGAGACTTGGAATGCTAATACGACTAACGTAATCCACGGGTGAGCGGGTCACACGGGTGAACGGGTCACTTTACTGCAATTTAATTGAGGTTCACTTCCTTCTCCTTTTTCTCCACCTCTAATTATGGGACGACAATCAATTGAAAGTGATTTGGTTCTAGCGTTAAATGCGCTCCAATCCGACCCAAAATTAAGCGTACGAAAGGCTGCGCAGATCTATAATGTATCTCGTACGACACTCCAGTAACGATACCACGGCCGAGCTGCGAAACACGACACCCGACTACCCTGCTAGAAATTAACCTTATACGAAGAGGAGAGTATCGTACGATACGTACTCGACCTAGATTCGCGTTCGTTTCCACCGCGGTTAAGTGGTATTTGAGAAATGGCGGATCGACTCCTCCGTATACGCGACGCGCTACGCGTTAGAACGAACTGGGCCTCAACCTTCGTACGACGACGACCTAAGCTCCGTACGTATTTTAATCGAAGAATCGATTATTAGAGGGTCCTTTACGAGGATCCGGACGCGTATCGTACGTAGTTTAAGCTCGTACGAAATATAATCGCGAAATACGAGATCCACGATAACAACATCTACAACTTCGACGAAACGGGCTTCGCGATAGGTAAAATCTCCGCTGAAACTGTTGTTACGACCTCCGATCAACGCGGGAGGCTAAGAGCCGTATAACAAGGTAATCAGGAATGGGTTACAGTAATCTAAGGTATCGTGTCGTACGGCTATTTAATCCCGCCGTACATTATCTTCGCCGGGAAGGTCCACCTTAACTCCTAGACCGCGAATAGCCCTCTACCGGCTAACTAGGTAATCGCGCTTTTAGAAAACGGTTAGACGACGAACGAGAGAGGCCTAGAATAGGTAAAACACTTCGATTTCCATATAAAGAGTCGTACGAAGGGTACCTACCGCCTCCTTATCCTCGACGGCTACGAGAGCCACCATTCCGTCGATTTCGAGCTCTACTGCAAGGAATAGAATATTGTTACCCTCTATATACCTGCTTATTCGTCGCATAAGTTCCAGCCTCTCGATGTTAGGTGTTTTGGACCTCTAAAACGGGCGTACGGTAAAGAAATCGAAGGTCTAATGCGGGCGTACGTAACCCACGTTTCAAAGGAGGACTTCCTCCCAGCCTTTTATAAGGCGTACAACGCTGCAATAACCAAATCAAACATCCAGGCAGGCTTTAGAGCGACAGGCCTAGTACCGTACGACCCGGACTATGTAATTTCGCAGCTAGATATAAAGCTTCGTACGCCAACACTACTAGGTTCTGCCGGACTACCACCCCCCTGGTGTCACGATCCTGCCTCCGGGGTCAACCGTCTGGCAGGGCGCTGGGGTTGCTGTTCTGCAGATAGGTAAAGCCTGCGCAAGATCAACTAACACTCTGCTGTCGTTCTCTCTCTGGGTTGTCGTTCGTGTCTCTTGGAAGAGATACCAGTCTCGGCAATTGAGTGACTAGTTCAAGTGTGGGTGAAACTGATACTTAGATTGATCGCTGAAGTACAAAGGTAATGACTGTCTATCTAGGAGATCCTTCTGGCTCTATATATCTCTTTGTCCTTCATCGTACCCGTCGTCCTGCGACACCGTTGGGTCGCATGCCGACAGTTTGTTGTCGCAAGACCGACGGATGGTGGTCGCCGTGCGACCGTTCATCGTCGGCTGCTGACGTAAGGTGGGTGCTTACATAATGTGTTCCCCGCCAGCCTTCGCTGGTCCGCCCTTGTCCCTGGCCTGATCCTGCGGCCTTGTTTGTGCTGGGCTTGTTTGTTACCTCAGCCCCAAGCAGTTCCCCTGTTGGTCGGGTCGTCACACCTGGGTCTCAAAGACGCCGAATAACCCGATTAAGGCCGAATCGCAGACGGAGTATATTAAAAATCGCATCGTATAACACTAGAATAGCTCACCGTTATCCATAATCGCAAGCCTTAAGCAGCTTAATAAAGGGATCGCGATAATAGTATATGAGCAGACCCTTATACGCTACGACCTCGCCGAACTTCGAGATGTGAACGACCGCCTTAGCCGCCGTCGTCGTACGAAAAGAAAGCAGCTATAGAAAGGAGGGTCCCTTACTATTGATCAAGCAAAGGATTTGAAGGCTTAAATCGATACGACGTAGCAGTTAGTAGCGGAAACGAGTTAGAGTAGTGGGCGTACGAGGAGGCCCGAAACGCGCACGCGGCGATATGGCGTCTACGGCGAGCCCGGTTATAATACTCGTACGTATCAGAAAGTTGTATCTACCTCTGAAGAAGAGGATTCCGAATAGTTTTAATTGATTTCAGGCGTTGTGGTTGAATTGTCTTACATATTGTTGTACGAGTCACTGGAAGGTGACCCGTTCACCCGTGTGACCCGCTCACCCGTGGATTACGTTATCTTGAACGATTTCTGTGAAGACACAAAGAACTTCCAACAAGCCGGACACCAAAAGTGACCCAGCTTTCTCTGTCAGTGAATCGGAGGCCACTAATGATTTGGAGCAGAGGCGACCACTCACAGCGGGGGTTCCAGGGTCGCCGGTGGGCTGACTGCATGTCAGGTTTTCCCTGAGGCGATGCGAGCTGCAACAAATCGATACCCCGCATCTTCCATGCATGGCAAGGCTCTTCACTCAGCCAGCTGCCTGGTTGCTCAATTTGACTCCTTCTTTTACGTCCATGCTTCCCTCCCACGCAACGAGGATACCTCCAAGATGACTTGTGGCCGAGCCCAGTCACTGCCCGCGAACTATACGCCGCATCGATCATGTTTCTGACGTGCCTCCCGGAGCCTCGACCCTGCCCAAACAACGCCGAAGCGCGATGGAGCCGAGGATCAAGCGAGCTTATGCGGACTACGAGGTCGGCTGGATCAGCGCCCTTTATGTCGAGTTTGCTGCCGCACAGGCTCTGCTCGACCACCGCCATGAGCCCCTACCTCCTCTTCCCGGCGACAGCAATACGTATGTCCTTGGCAGCATCGGGGGGCACAACATGGTCATGGCGTGCCTGCCCGCGGGAGCCTACGGACTCAGTACTGCCGCAAAGGTGGCGAGTGACCTGCGCCGAAGCTATCCTTGCGTGCGGCTGCTGCTCGTTGTTGGCGTGGCTGGGGGAGTGCCCACGACGACAGACATCCGCCTCGGCGACGTCGTCATCGGCCAAAGTGTCGTCCAGCACGATCTCGGCAAGACTCTTCAAGGCGGCCGTTTCCAGACATCGGCCACTGTCTTTACGCCTCGGGCCAAGATCATGACAGCGCTGAGCGCCATGCGGGCTGCCCATGAGATTCAACCAAACCGTATTCCCAATATACTAGCGGGCATGCTTGTACGATATCCGTACATGGCCCAGTATGCCGACCGTACGCTTTTGGACGATCATCTATTCAAGAGCGCATATGAGCATGCTTCCGGCTCCGACTGCAAGGACTGTAACGCTAAACATCGCGTGTCACGGCCTCCTCGTCATCATCCTGCTCCGCACATACACTACGGCGTTATTGCCTCTGGCAACCAGGTCATCAAACATGCAGGAACTAGGGACCAGCTGGCCTCCGCCCTAGGGGCCCTTTGTGTCGAGATGGAGGGTGCCGGACTACAACATGTCGATATTCCGTTCCTGGTGATACGAGGTATCTCAGACTACGCCGACTCGCACAAGAGCAAAGCGTGGCAGCCATATGCTGCTGCTGCAGCGGCTGCATGTGCGAGCGAGATCCTCTCTTTCGTGCAATCACCAGGTATGCTATGTCAGACAGTTTTTGCTCGATCTCGTGATCGGACGAGCCCACTCCGGCCAAAGATAATCCATCCAAGTCCACTAACGCGAAACCTGTCGCAGATTCTCGATCCCAACAGCAGAAACCAGTTGAATCACGCGAAGCAGCTGGTGCTGGCGTCAGCAATGCGCACCAGCCGTCCGCGCGGAAGGACGACCAAATCCAGTCCGTGATTGAGTCGCTGTACTTTGGCGAGATGGATGCACGACAAGCCGATATAAGGCAGGCCCACCCGCTCACTTGCAGGTGGCTGCTCAACAGGCCCGAGTTCCGCAACTGGCTCGACATGTCTGCCTTTGACCAGCACCACGGCCTGCTGTGGATAAAAGGGAAGCCTGGAGCTGGCAAGTCCACCCTTATGAAGTTTCTATTGAGCGAAGCCCAGAAGAATATGCAGGACAAGACCGTCATCTCTTTCTTCTTCCATGCTCGCGGTAGTGAGATCGAGAAATCCACGCAGGGCATGTACCAGTCGCTTCTTTTGCAACTCTTGGAAAAAGTACCTATGCTCAAGTGCGTCCTCGACAGGACTGAGCTGTTAGCACGCGGCCCCGCACAGCGGAAGTGGTCAGTCGTGCTACTTCAGGAACTCTTTGAGCAGGCCGTTGAGAGACTAGGCATGACGCCGCTGCTGTGTTTTGTAGATGCGCTTGACGAATGCGACCAAGACCAGGTACGGGACATGGTGTCGTTTCTTGAACATCTTGGCAAACTCGCCATGTCCCACGGTATAACATTTCATCTGTGCTATGCAAGCAGGCACTATCCACACATCACGACAAAGTTTGGGATTAGCCTCATCCTTGATGGACAGGAAGGGCATAAGCAAGACATCGCTAATTATATCAGCGCCGAGCTGAAAATCAGCGTGGGAAAGACTGCACAGCTCATCCAGGGGGACTTGCAAGAACGTGCCAGTGGCGTTTTCATGTGGGTGGTCCTGGTGGTCAAGATTCTCAACGAGAAACACGACGCTGGAATGACTCCCAAAGCCCTGCGGGACACGCTGTTGGACCTCCCACGCGACCTGCACGCACTTTTTCGAGATATACTTCGACGCCACGACAACAGTAGGGATGAGACGGTATCATGCCTACAGTGGATTCTGTTCGCTGCTCGGCCGCTGACCCCGGAAGAGCTTTACTACGCCACATTGGCCTGCAGTGACTCTAGCGGCACGCTTGCCTCCGAGCGGGATCCAGAAGAGACGACAGATGAGCTCATTCAGCGGTTCATACTTTCGTCATCCAAAGGACTTGCAGAAATCACCCGGAGCAAAGTCAAGAGCAAAGCACCAAGTGTGCAATTCATTCATCAAAGTGTACCCGACTTCCTTCTCAAGGAGAAGGGACTAGTAACAATCTGGGCGGACGGCGATACGAACACCAAAGGACGGAGTCATGACATGATCAAGTCTTGCTGTCTGCGCTATCTCCATCTCACCCACCCAAAGCTTGAGACACTGTCGGCTGGGCCAGAGCCCCACTTTTGGGAAGAGGCAGCCAGCGCATTCCCGCTGGCGGAGTATGCGGCAAAGTACGTGTTACACCATGCAAACGAGGCGCAGGCTTCGGGGGTGGACCAGACACCGTTCGTACGACGATTCCTGAGCTCCCTCAGCCGCTGGCTGACGTTCTACAATGCCTTGGCATACCCGTGGAGCCACTATTCTCAAGAAGTGACCCTGCTTTATCTCCTGGCAGAGCGCAACCTCGCTCATCTCGCAAAGCTTCATAACCAGAAACCTGAAGCTTGGATGGCTAGAGGAAGAGAGCGCTATGGGGCACCTATAGTCGCAGCGCTTGCTACAGGAAGCTACTCTATGGTTCATGTGTTCATGTGCACTATGCCATCCACTCTCGTCCAGCAGTCACTATCCGGGGCAGAACCACGAACGACCACAGGGAAACAAGGAGATGTGGCAAAGCCATTTTCATACTCTAACCCGTTCGAGTTTTTCGAGTTTCCTTCAATGAGGAGCACATTATCATTCCTGGCTGAGAATGGCGAGGAGGAAATCCTGCAATGCATCCTCGCTTCCAGCGACACAGAATGCGACATACACGCAAGAGACCCCGAAGGCCTCACCCCTCTGCTTCGAGCTGTACACACGAATCAAGGGTCCGTTGTCCAGTTGCTTCTCCGGCATGGAGCACTGGAGGGTGAAGATGACAGTTATGTCGATCTTGCTCTTAGCAAGGCTGCCGCACAGGGCCACCTGGGGATCGTGAAACAATTGCTTGAGCCGCGAAGACCTGGGAGGAGAGGAGACTTGACGGGCCCGCTCTGCGAAGCTGTGCGTTGCCGCCACATCTCGACTGCCGAGCTACTCCTCAAGCACGGCGCTATGGTGAACTCGAAGCATGTCACTGGTAAGACGCCGCTGACCTATGCATCTTATAATGCAGACACTGGGATGATCCGGCTGTTACTAGCCTGGGGCGCGCATACCGAATACGCAGCAGCATCGGGGCACACTCCGCTGCGGACTGTGGTCAAGACTGAGTGTAAGCTCGTCTCTCGTCTCGATAACTATGCCGGGCGCCTGGGAGATATTCAGCTGCCCTCTGAATACTTCCAGGTATTCCGAGAAATGGAACTTAGTGTGAAAGCACTTTTGGAACACGGCGCCAACATGGACTCTGTCGATGCCGCAGGCCAGTCGTCATTGTCTCTTGCGGCCGCCGGCGGTTGCATGATAGCCGTGCGCCTCCTCCTCCGAAATGGCGCCGCTGTGAACCTGCAGGACCACGACGGCCGATCGCCCCTCGTCCACGCGGCAATGCAGACACGTCAGGGAACAGGCGCGTATCGTCTATCTTGTCTTCAGGAGATTACGAAGTTGCTGCTAAGCGGCGGAGCACAGGTGGCCTTGGCGGATCATTATGGTCGGACTCCGCTCATGTGGGCTGCGGGCAAGGGTCACGATGTCATTGCCAAGCTGTTGCTTGATGCGGGTGCGGATCCAAAGATGCGTGATGACACCGGGCGGACTGCACGCAGCTGGGCGATCGAGAGGAAGAACACCGAGATTTCTAAGCTACTCGCTGCTTGCTCTTCGCGGGCCTAGCCAGTATACTCCCCATGTTCTATGCAAGCGGACATGGACACACTCATATGTCTCAGCCATGGAAAAACAAGGATATCTCGGCCTGTACACCTAGAGCAGAGCACTGCACGTAAAATTAATCCTTGGCGACTGGATCTCTCACATGCGATGTTCGGATCCAGTCTCTGAACAGTCCCAATCTCAGGAGCCTGCCCGCCTGCATAGGTGGTTCTCGACACGTCTGCATTTTGCATCAATGGGAATAACGTGAAAGATTGGCTGACCATCGATTGTCGAGCCACGTCGCATGCAGTGTTTAGAAACTTCAGAAAGTCGAGAGAATGCGGTTCTGGACACTGGGGATGAAACTGAATCTGGACTGATCCCTCGTGCACTCCCTACGACATCTATGGATTCGCTGATCTATAAGCGGAACAAAATACTCCAAGTTCTATCAGCGCTCGTCTACAAGCAAGCTTCCAATATAAACCACTTCCAGGTCGTTCTGCACCCCGACGGTCACATCTTTGGAGGGTCGACGCAGGCTTTGCCGTGCTCGCAAACGGCCAGGACCGCCCCCTTGCTGCCGTCCTCGTTGATTGCGTGCATGGAGCCTCGCGTGGTGGTCATGCGCTTGCCAATCTGGAGGATGTCGGCCTCGACGATGATGGAGGTGCCGCAGGGGATGGGGCGGAGATAGGTCGTGTTGAGGGTGCGGCTGACGCCCAGATACTCCCAGAAGCCCGGCTTTGAGATGAGCATGATGGGCATGGTGGTGGCGAAGTCGAACAGGGTCGCGGTGCACCCGCCGTGCATGTTATTGAGGTCGTTGCAGTGCTCTGGCTTGACGGCGAAGCGCAACGTGACGGCCGGGTGTGGGCCGTCTGCCGAGTGGGACTCCAGGGTGAGATGAGGAAGGATGCTCGACATCCAGTTCTGGCGGCGGACTTAGAGAGTGGCCTTGATCGTTACTGGTGATGATTATTCTGTCCAGACGTACCTGGTATTCCGGGTCCGGGTCCTTTCCCCGGTCGAGCCATTGCTGGATCAACTCCGGCCCGGGCTTATCGTATGATGGCGAGCCAGGCTTGGTGGGCTTCCCGTTCCTCTTGCCCGACACGTCGGGGCCTTTGCTCGCCATGGCGAGGGGACTGCTTCTTCTGGCAATGAATTCGGCCACTCAATCGCAAAAGACGCAATTCCGCTACGGTGGCTTGCCAGACGATGCGAGTGCGCAAATGCGGCGAGTGTTTTGAGATGCTGGCAGCCCTGGAGTGTTTTGAGGTGTAGCTGAGATACTCCGTAGGTGAGACAACGTGGAGAGACGTGCCGAGGTTCTAGGCGCTGATTCAGCGCTAAGCCACCTCGGGACACTTGAGCACTTCAATTGCAGAGGCCGACAGCTGGGCCTGTTGTGATGACTAAGCAATGGATCCCAGCACTTGTGACTGAGCAGGGACTGAGCGAGCACGCCTGCCTGGACTCGAGAATGCTGTCAGTGGCCTCGATCAGGTCAATCTGCTGGCCAGCATGGTTAAGACTCCAACCCTCAGGCTGTTGTCCTGGACTCTCGGACTCTGGAGCAGGTAAATGTCACGAGACAGCCTGGCGACACCGGCTAATGACATGGAGTGAAGGCGTCCTGGCCACAAACGGTGAGGGATACTGGTCAGTTGCAGAAGAGTGGCGCCCAGAGATCATCGAACCCACTCGCTGGTGGAAGGTCGTAATGCCTGGTTGTGCAGAAACAAGTTGAGTTGGACCCTTGGCAGTTTGAGACCAGATGTGGTGGGTTGGTTGGTGCAACTTGCCAGCTGTGCCTGCCCCTTTCTGCAGTTGGCGCCACCGTGCACAGACTGTGTGATGGCACCAGATTCCTAGCCAGCCTGTTGACAGCGCACTGTATCAACACACTTGGGCGCCAAACACCAAACTTCTGGCAATTGGACCTCAGAGCTCCCCATACTTGGCATCACGGCCCAGCCCACCAGCTTCAAGACGGCACACCCTGCGCCAGACGCGAGCTGGCCACCTGAGGAAACGCACGCAACGAAAGTCACGCCTACACGCCTTACCATACACCCTTCGCAACTCGTGGCGCCATCCCACCTGGCTCCCCGAGCTGCGGACGCGCCTCGCGGCCTGCACGAGACCCTCTCACCTCGACCGCCACTTGACGACACGCGACGACTGCGCGCGCCGCTTTGGCCTCAGCACTTAGCCACTACCTAAAAAGCTGCGAAAATACTCCCCGAGACCACCATTCGATACCCACAAGTCGCCCCCCGATGCACGCGCTCTCGCCAGAACTGCATCATAAAGTCAGAAGGGGCAGTCCACGAGAAGCCGGATCCAGCCCAGCGCCGCCTCTACACACCAAATTCACGCCTTCATGAGTTGGCAGCAGGTATCTGCCATGGGCGCTGGCGTCAATCCGGGCAACGGGATGGCTGGTGGTCAAGACCTCGCCGGAGCAGGCGGGCAGCACGCCGGCGGTGCGGGCCACGCCTCGAACCAGCCGCAAGCCACAGAGTACACCCTCCAGGGAGTCATGCGGTTCCTCCAGACCGAATGGCACAAGCATGAGCGCGATAGAAACGCTTGGGAGATTGAGCGCCAAGAGATGAAGGGGAGGATAGCAGCTCTGGAGGGGTCGGCTCGGCGCGCAGATGCCACACAGAAGGCTCTCAAGCGCTACGTCAACATTCTGGAAAAAAAAGTCAAAGAGCAGGCGACACATCTCAAGACCGCGTCCGTACACTCGGCAGACAGTGACGATCACTCAGTAAAGCAGCCGCCACGCTTCGACCGGGCTTCGATGGTGCAGGAACAATTGAAGCGTAAGCCTGCCTTTTTTTAGCACCCAGGACATCGCCCACCACCAAGCACACGGATTGCTAACACGCGCGCAGGATCCGAGGAGCACCCAAAGGAGCCGATCCCAGGCCTTGAAGGTGTAATCGGCGACCGCACGCAAGAAGAGGACGAGCGGGAGCACTTGAGATCCTTCCTTGATCAGTGTCAGGCCGAGTTCACCTACCTCATGATCACGCCTGCGAACCCTATTCCTCCACGCGAATCCCCGCCACTCCCTGTCATCGAGGACCTCAGAGACGGCGACCAGTTCGGCATGCCCAATAACCAGCAGGCCCTCGAAGCCGCCTTTCAAGGAATGCGGATCAGCCAGGGAAACCACCCCAAGGACGCAGCTGCAGCCTCACGGTCGGCTCTGAGCAATCCTAACATGAATCCAAACGTGTCCCTACCAACGGGCCTGCCAGCCCAGAATCCCAGCCAGTCAGCAGCTCGAGGCAATTCTGAGCTGCAATCGGCCATGATGATGCGTTCAGGCGACGGCATGCAACCTGCCGCGTACGCTCAGCAACCAGGAGAATGGCAGACAGCGGCCGGCAACGCGCGTTTGCAGAACGCAAATGACGAGGCAGCTCGTGCTGCAGCTTCGCAACTCGGCAATGATCTTGGCAACCAGGGTGATCGTGGTATGGAGGTTCTTTTGCAACAGCCACCGCGGAAACAAGACCGCCGCGCGAACAATGATGCCGACGGTTGGGACTTTAATGAGGCCGCCTTCCCGGACGCTACACCGTCTCAGCAGGCTGCAGAATCACAATCGATTTCCCATCGCCCAGATACGGATGTTTTTCCTGCCGCCGAGGGCATCCCCAAATCGCCAACACGCGGCCCAGCGTCGCATCGGCGGAAAGGCTCCATGTCCCGCAGGCGTAGTGCTGACCAAGACGCGTTGAACGCCATGGTCCAAAAGGCAGATGCGGGAAGCTTCAAGCTTCGGTACGGACTCAGAGGTCACTTGAACACTGTACGCACAGTAATCTTCTCGGGCGGTGGTAGCCCAGGCGAGCCTGAGATCTGTACTGCCGGCGACGATGGTTTGGTGAAGCGCTTCCATCTCCCTCGGGAATCATCCAGCCATTTGGGAGCGTCATCCTCATCAGACCTTGACGTCACGGCAGACTTCACACATCGTGGCCACAATGGAGCTGTCTTGTGCTTGACATCGTGGACACCCTCTCCCAACTTCGCGACTGGCGGCCGTGCCCAAGGTGATGGATGGATCTTCTCGGGTGGTCAAGATGCCACAATCAGGGTTTGGGAGCGTGGACGGGTTGATCCAAAGGCCACTCTGGAGGGCCACACAGACGCTGTCTGGGCTATTACCGTGTTGCCGGCCACCCTGGGCGCCGTCTTTGGCCCCACGGAGCAAGCCAATGGCCAAGGCGACCGTATCCTGATTGTATCTGGATCCGCCGATGGCTCTGTCAAGATCTGGGCGGTCAGTGCACCGCCGCAGCTTTCCTCGCCCCAGCCCAGTTCCGCAGGAGGCAGACGCGGCACGGCCGGTGGTCGCGTGCGTGGAAACTCGATGAGTTCTGGCTCGCAGTTCCCCAACTCACCCCAGCCCAGCATGGCCTCCAACTCCCAGTTCAACTACACGCTTGTACACGACCTGCGACGAGCAGACGGCTCGACCGCGTCGCCGACCAGCATCACGCCGCTTGCATCGAACGGTGAGAAGTTTGTGGTCAGCTACTCCGACGCCGCGATCATCGTCTTTGATACCAAGTCTGGAGACGAGGTTGGCTCCATGGCAAGCCGCGAGACTTATGACGGTACCCTGGCGACGAGCGTCAACGCTGTGCAGGCCACCATTACCAGCCTGGACAGCAATTCTACAGCAGGCATGGGCGAGGAAGATGCTGGTGGTCCTACGGGGGGCACTGGCAAGTCGGGCAGCGGTGTAGAGGGTGTCATCATCTCAGGGCACGAGGATCGGTTCATCAGCCTCTTCGATGCCAACAGCGGTATGTCGCACATGTCCATCAGACGTGGACCAATTACACGCTCAAGGCAATTGCTAACGAATAACCCAGGCCAATGTACATATACGATGCTTGCCCATCCCGATGCGATCTCGAGTCTGTCTCTGAGCCCCGACGGAAGGGAGCTCGTTTCCGCCGGCCACGACGCCAGCCTGCGCTTTTGGTCCTTGGAAAAGCGCAACTGTGTGCAGGAGATGACGGTTCATCGCATTATGCGTGGAGAGGGTGTCTGTTCAGTGGTATGGAGTCAGGACGGCCGTTGGGTGGTGAGCGGTGGTGGCGATGGCCTTGTCAAGGTCTTTGCGAGATGATTGTGGTCATTTATTGCATGAACGCAGCATAGAATAACGATGATGATGGATAAGGGACAACCGACATGGTTCAGCAGCTTGGAACTGCATGGCTGACGCCGGGCAACGTCCTTGCAAGACACCTTGTAGTTGTCTGGAATCATGAAGCCCGGTAGTTCATTGGGATCATGAATGCCTCGTATTACTTTCCTGTATACCCCGATGCATCTTTTTCCTACTAGATAATTGTACACGAAAGGTCCTCATGGAGCATTTACTACGCCGCACATTTTGGCATGACCTCATCGCTGGCAGTGCTGAGGCTTCCGGGGCAGTGCTGCCAGCTCGGGAACCCGCCAGCGGCCGGCCCACTTGCCGGTTCAGGGTCCAGCTGTTGGCGTCCAGCCAATCGTTGTGCAAGCAGATCAAGACCTGTGGCGCTTGAGAACGTCATTTCGATGATACCAGTTTTTTCAGGCAGACATGAAAGTTCACTCAGGTTGCATGTTCAGTGAGTGCGCTGTGGCCCACGTAGGTTGCCGAGTACTGCTGTGTCTGAGCTACTTGGTATTCTAGAGATCCCATGTCAACTGCACCTCGGCCGCTGAGACGCCGAAATCCGCCCAGTCCAGCTTGCTCCACTTGTCTGGGTTCTTGCAAGCCTGGGCGAAATGCTTCATCGCGAGCACCACCTGGGCGGCCCATCTCTCGGCGCTGACCCGACCGACGCCGGTGGCCAACGGGGTCATGAGGATGCTCCTGATCTCCTCATTGTCGCTGTCGTCATCGTTATTCTTGTGATCTGCGCTGCTGCGCTGCCGGACGCGGCGATTGTGGTTGTCCACCTCGCACAGCAGGCTCCACACGCACTCGTAGACGATCTCCCTGTCCCATTTGACGACCGTCGGGCAGCGCATGGTCGGGCACAGCGCCACGCGGCGCGTGCCCCAGACGTTCCTGTTGCGCCCGTCGAACTCGGCCGGGATGGGGATGAGGGTGCACGTCCCCGGCGGCGCGAAGCCGCGGTACCTGTCGTAGACGACCTTCTGGGCGGCGTGGGTCAGGGCGAGGTAGTCCTGGGTGCCAAAGTTGCCGGCGGCGATGGGGGAGAAGGCGCGGGAGATGGCGTCGTCAAAGGCGCCGTCGAGGCGGGCGTACGAGTTTGCGGGGGAGACGATGGTGTCGAACTTGACGCTGGCGGGGAGGTCTGCGAGGCGGTCCGAGTGGTGGGTGATGCTGACGGTGGCTGGCAGCTTGTGCTTGACGCGGGCGGCCTCGAATGCGCTGGCAAAGGCCTCGTCGATGCAGAGCAGCTGGATGTGCGGGATGGGCGAGGATGAGGTTGTCATGGTGGGTGGCTGGTGGTTTGCAGCGAGTGAGTGGTGCCCGAGGTAAACGTACTTAAGTATGGATGTGTTTGTGCATGCACTCGCGAAGTGGGCGGCTGTTTGGGCATTCGACAGGGACGCTGTTTCTTACTTGAAGCACTTCCTTACTTTTATACATCCGCTCTGGTGTATCTGGGCATGGTCAATCTTGCCAGATCATCACTGCCCGACTCCCAAGGTTTCTTCGGATGAGGCTGTGAAAGCCTGCCACTGCTGCCTTGCGCCTACCTGTACTCCAGTTGCTCGTACTGAGCTGCCAATCAGCCCTAGAGACAGGCCCGAAGCGGGCGGGGCTTTCTCTGGAGATGTCAGCTCTGACAAGCTTCCAGCCATGGACTGTGACCAACTCTGGGACTCACAATTGATCATCTGGCCACGAGACATGATCGGTTATTCGGAAACTGACCAGGCACGCCGACGGGTATCTTCTCGTCGAGATGCACAGGAAGCAGCAAAGGGCATCTGCGCCTTCCTCTGACGCCTCCCCGCTCACGACACAGCACGATTACATAAGCAACGGTCCCCAGAACATCAGGCTTGTGCAAACAGAATTTGGCATTACTAGAAACACGCCTTCCAAACTTTCGACTGCGGTGGACACTGAAAGAGACCAAACCTTCCCTCCTCGATTTTGTATCGAACCACACTACAGCTTCAGATCTGCCCGGTCGTCGTTGTCCTCGCTGATGGTACTTGTGCCGCCGGCCTCGGCCTCGGCCACGCACTTTGTCTTGACGACCTCGCCCGACAGGGTAGTGAAGATGAGAGCATGGACGCGAAGGCCCGGGTAGGGTGCGTAGAGGTAGCCGACCTCGAACTCGGTCACGCCGTCAATGGTGATGGTGCGGCTGTGGCCGGTCGCGACCATGTCGGTAAGGTACGAGCCCACAATCTCGCGGCTGCGCTCGTTTCCGTTGTTGTCGAGCGTCATGTCAAAAATGTTGCCGTCCTGGTCGAGGATGCGGTTCTTGTGTGTCGCCCCCGAGTAGTCGTTGACCGAGTACAGGATGTTGTTTTTCAGGTTGTAGTCGGCGGGCACCTCGCGCTTGCTGACCGTGCCGGCCGCATCGCCCTGGTCGGGGTTGAGCACGTCCGTCACGTTGCCCACAACGTTGCCCAGCGTGTTGCCCAGCGTCGCCACGATGGGGTTGAGGTCGATGGTGTCGAGCACGTCGCTCACCATCTGCACCACGTTGCCCAGCCGCGCCTCGAGCTCGACCTTTGCGCTCACGTTCTGGATCAGCAGCGACACGCTGTCGATCGACACGTCCACGCCCGCCGTGAAGTGCAGCAGGCTCAGCACCTTGGCGTCCAGGTTGATCTTGGCTGTGATGTTCTCAACCTCGATCGAGATCTCGCCGACCGACACATTGGCGTTGAGATACACGTCGGGTGTCTCTGGCAGTTCCACGCCTGGCGTGTTGGCCGTCTCGTAGTTGACCGACTCGTTGTCGCCGCGCTTGTTGAGCTGGTAGCCAATGTAGCCGTTCTGCGCCGCCGCGAGCGGTGCGGCCAGCAGGGCCAGGCACGCATACGCTGCCGACTTCATGATGTGAAAATGGTGTTTTGTGGGAAGATTGGGAAAAGGAATGTGAGTGCTTTCGAGATTTGAGAGCAGGAACGAGTGTCGGTGTGTCTGTGGTTGAGCTGACAGAGAGATGCACAGCTAGATTAGAGCAGACAGATAGGACCAGCAGAGGCGGGCAACAGCAGCAGCGGTGTCCTGGACGTCCCCAACCGGAGGTTATGAGGCAATCGCCCGCAGTGACCAATGCCACGGTCAAGAACCTCCGCGTAGTTGGAATGCCCCTGCAACATCGGGGGGTTGCGGGCGGCGCTCCGGAAGATTGAATGCAACCCCATGCAGGTCCAGCGATGTGAGACGGCACATTGTGCGGGATCCCTGCGCCCCTTGGACTTATTTGATGGAGATGACAGGGTTCGCATTGGTCGCTCGGTACAGCGTAACCACTTCCAGGAGACACAACCCCTGGCGCCCGCAAAGTTGCATGATTGTGTGCTAGGGAAAACCTGCTGTTTCCGCTGTCGAAATCTCCCAAAACCGGTTCCCCGAGGCGCCTCCACTAGGCATATCGACGATCGGTTGGCCGGCAGTGTGACAGCTATTGTGCCAGTGTCGTCCACGGAGGTAATCCCCCGGGCAGCCCCTGTTCCGGATATTGCAGGATACAGCCATGCTGTAGAGACGAGCAGGGATCGAATCCAGCTCGATGTGGTTGTGGGAGCTCGACACCAAAAGTTCCCAGAAGTCGGGCGGCATCGCTCAAATAATACTTGCTCCCACTCCGCCCTGCCTCGTGTGACGCCGGCCGCTCACGTTATCGACTGTATTGCCGCGCTCTCTGTCGTCTTTCTCTTGCTCTCCTCACGCTCTTTATTGTGATCCTTTGCAGCAAAGCACCAGCGAAATCCAACACCATGCACAAATCGCTTCTCTGGAAGCTGGCCTGCAGCACGTTGCTGTTCGCCGCCGCTTCGGCCCAGGACGTCTCTTCAACGACCGACGCCGCGCCCACGGACGCACCCACCGAGACTCCCACTGGTTCCTCCTCCGCGCCGCCGAGCGTGACAGCATCGGCAAGTAGCAGCGCGGAGGAGCCAAGTGGTACCGTCTCTCAGAGCACCTCTGCCACGTCCGGTGGTGGTGGTTCCTCGCCAACTGGCGGCGGTGGTACCGATTACTGGGCTGGCAAGCCTGCTGATGTCAAGCTACGAGTCCCCGAGCTACATGTCGGCCGCATTGAGTTGGTAGTCGACAACCTGCAGGCCGATATCAACCTCGCGGCTCAGGTTGCGAACCTGGTCGAGCTCAATGCTGGCGTCCAGGTCGGTATCCAGAAAGTCAACGTCACCATTGCAGAAGTCGACGCAGAGCTCGACCTCGTCATCAGACTCGGCAACCTTGTCGACATTGTCAACCGTACACTCGAATCACTCAACCTGAACCCTCTGCTCATCAACGTGCTCGAGGACGTTGGCGACCTCGCCGGTGCTGTCATTGGCGCTGTCGATGGCCTGCTGGGCTCCATTGTCAATGGCGACTCGACCATCAACTTCCTGATTGACAACCTGGGCAACATTGTCCAAGAGGTAGCCGGCGGCGCTACTGGTGCCGTCAGCTCCATTGTCGGCAACTACCTCAACAACATGACCTTCACTGGTGCCCAGGAGATTCTCAAGGGCGGCAACATCCAGAAGACAGTAAGTCGTCATTGCTGGTAGCTGGTCTTGGTCTTGTCCGGTTTGTCATTGCTAACAACTACACACAGTACTCGTATTCGCCACTTAATTCTCTCGTCAATATTATCTTCAACTCTGTCGGTCATGTTGTCCAAGCCGTCGTTGTCAAAGGTGGCAGCGGCGGTGGCGGCGGAGGCGGCAGCACGTCAACCACGACTGCCAGCACGATTCCTACCGCGTCTGCCACCCCGACAGCTGCCCGCAGATCATAAGCCCTTATAAATGATGGCTGGAGTAAGATGAGTCAATTTACTGAGCTGCGCAACGTATAAATCAGGAAGAAAATATAACTGCACGTGTACTACATGTCTTGCCCGGGGTACTCCCCCGTTATTGGGTCGCTCGCACATATACTTGAATTGTGGAAGCACAGCCTGGTCGTCCAAGTGCTGTACTGGTAGCTCTCCCGGGGATCTCTGATCGAACTCGTCTACGGCGCTCCCTGGCCGGACGTGCATGGAACGCTCCCTGCCTGCAGCAATGCAATGCAAGATCCCTCTGCAGGATCGATCTGCGCAAACCGGGGAAAGAGGGCTGACGAAACAGGAAGGACAGCTCCTGTGATCGTCCATAGTGCCCACCAGCATCCTGGCTGCATATCTGCTTCTCCCGACAAGGTTGGGCCGCCGGCTAAGGCAGCTCGCTCGGCGCTTGCGTTCGGCACGTAGGGATCCTTGCGAAGTGCGCGCGTTGCACTATCTTTCTGATTGAAAGTATGAAAGTCTTTCTTTGTTCAGGCCGTAACTATTGCGCGAGGTTGAAACGGCCGGAGAGAGTCATGGGCGATTCCAGAACTCTTGCCTTGGTGCCTGTGTAAGTTGAGACTTGCTTAGGCTGTGATGTCAATTATCCAGCTTCCTCTTAGTTCAGAGGGTGTTGCCATGTGTCTGCGGAGCCATGGGCTGGAATTCGAGTCGATTTCGTCGGATGATTGAATAGACTTGACTCAGAAGCAGTACGTGCTTGATGGCCTATGCCTGGCGCGGCTGTGGAGCGAGGGACAGCACGTGAACACCATGATGTCTCCAAATGTCCGGCTGGATCAGACAAGCCTCGACCCATGGGCGAGTGCTCATGAGTCTTCATTGCGCGGAACGCCCACCTCGGTCGTCTGTGAAGCTCGATGTAGCTGAATTGCTGCGCCGTCGAGCAGAAAGAGGCTGCTCTCGAGCACTGGCAGGGACCGTTTGATCATGAAAGGCTTCCTGGTAGCCGTGTCCATGGCGAAGAACGTGGCTGCCGTGCCGGCTGTGTTGAGGTGTGGTACACGTTGGCAATGGCGTTGGGAAACTCAAACACTGTGTACCTGAACGCGCCTGCCGGGAAGTTTGCTACTTGAAATTGACGACAACGAAGGTCTGATGGGGACATTGTGCATGAAAGGAGCACAACAAACACGAGTTGCCGAAACCTAAGGTCGCCCACGACGTCCCCGCCATACTCAAACTGCCTCACCGTGGAATGCCTCGATTCAACATGCCCACGAGCGCGCCAACCTGGATAATCAAGACGACTGGCTTCCAGGCAACCAAAGTCTCAACGACGCCTTCAGTATGCGTGTCCACTTGAATGGTTGCGTTTCGTTGATCACAGGGCTCACAGCCGTATATTATGTGAGAGTCCGAACACATCGGTTCGTCCTTGCGAACGTACGGCTCGCCGCAGTATTGCTAAAGACTTCTCTTGTGTGCGCTTTCAAAGACATCTCCAGTATAGGCCGCCAGGATAATATGACAATCTCCAAAGCCCCCCAGAGCCCTCGGAAATGGCCAAAGAAATCCTTGGTGGGACTCAGCTCGCGAACGTTAGAACTCACGATTTCGTTTCGCAAAGTTCCTGTCGTAGAAATTCCACTTTGCTACTTTCCATCGTGTTAGATCTGATCAAATCTCTTGCCGGGTGTCCCATAATTAATGGCCCAGGCGGTCGCCCAAGCGCTGTTTGCGATCTTAAGATTGGTCGCTGGGTTGACAGCACAAGTTTGTTGCCGTTTTCTCAGACGTCTTAACACAATCGGGCTTTTTGTTGTCAAGAACCGACTGGATCGACGCCACAGTGGACTTGAGCAAGTCGTCACAAAGATCATGGCGATGCCAGAGCTGAAATCAGAAGAAATTTGTTCATTATGCCACGGAGATGCCCATGGCCCCAAAAGTGTTCATCGTAAATATGCTAGTGGTATGTGTGAAAAGAAAAACAGAACATAGAATGCAATGCGCACCGCACCCTGTCAGGTTGCTGTCGAACACTTTCTCGCAGGCTGTCCCCCTCCATCGCCATGCCATTTCTTCCCTGCATTCCTGTGGACATCTGGCGTTCCCGATCCCCGGAGCCGAAACCCAATCCTGCCTCGAAAAGAATCATGAGAGCTCGTGGAGCTGTCCACGGTGGTTGGGGTTGGGGTCGTTGGCACCGATGGGGTTTCCAGAAGCCTCGTAGTACGTCGGCTGGCTGCCGCTGTGCTGAGGGTATTGCTGGGCCGCAGTGGCGGAGCTGCCCGTGTGCTGCGATGGCTGGTGGCCCGAGCCACCGGTATGTTGAGCCCAGGCTGCCGGGACGGGACCCTGCTGGTAGGACTGGCGGTGAGCATCGGGGGTGACGTTCTGGAGGGAGAGCAGATATTGTTAGCTTGGCGGTTTCTCCGAGGCTTACAGCGCTACACAGAAAGGAAGGACATACCTGCTGGAAACCCTGCTTGGTTGGGTCCTGGTAGTAGGACATTCCCGGGTTGGGGCTGACGCTGGGATCGGGTCCGACGACGGAGCCTGTGTACTGCGGGTTGGGGTTGTAGCCCGACGGCGGATACTGGCCGGCGCCGGTTGTGTAGGGGGACTGCATCGGGGCCATGCCGGGGACTCCTGCGTGCGGGCCGCCGGCGCCGGTGTTCTGGTTCATCATGGCTTGGGCCTCGGCCGCGCTGGCCGCCTTCTTCTGCCGCGACTTCATGAACCAGATGCCAAACGCGATCAGCGCGATCAGCGCAACACCGCCGACGACACCACCAACGATGGCGCCTATGGGTGTGGAGCTGCCCTGGGATGGAGCTGGGACTGGCGTGGTAGAGGTCGAGCTCGAAGTCGCTGGTGTGCTGATGGTGCTGGTGCTCGAGGTCGACGAGGACGAGGAGAGCGTGAAGGTGGTCTGGGCTTCGAAGACGACCGTCGTCATCATGTACGCGGTCGCGCCGCTGGCAAAATTCTCCTGGCCGGCATAGGTCAACTCGACCTGGGCAAAGGTTGACGAGTTGGTGGCGACACACTGGTAGTCGACGATGCCGTCAAAGAAAGTGAGGGTGCCACAGTACGGGAGGGTAGAGACGGTGCTGCGGATTCGTCAGTCCACCAGGCCCATACCATACTCAGGATGCAATGATGGGAATCATCGACAAGGGGCTACGTACCACTTTCTCGTCCCGGGATCGGAAAGGCAGGACGAACCACACAGGCTCGCGGTAGAGACGGCAGCGCGGTCGACGCAGGCAACCTGGCTGATACTGCACGAGAGACCCTTGCAACAGGCTGCCCAGCCGCCATTGACAGTTGCAAAACCGCACTTGTCTGTGGCGTCGCAGGACCACGGCCGCGCTGAAGAAAACCCGCCAACGTCAGTGACGGCGCAATCGTCCACCCCAGCGAGGTTGTTTGTTCACTTACACGCGTCGCCAGAGACATAGCCGCACACGTTGTCGGGCGCGAGGAGCAGGGTGCCAGTAAAGGTGCCCGCTGCTCGGGCGTACATGAGGGCGGGAGGGCCCTCGGGCGCGGGCGTCGTCTGGGAGAGGACAGCCGTCGCAACCACGTCGGCAGTCTGCTTGGGGACACGAGGCTCAAAAGAGGCCTCAGCACCCTGGCTCAGCATTGCCGCCGCCGCGACAGAGGCCAGAAGAAAGGCCACCATTGTATTCTGAATTCGTTGCTCAATGCCTGACAAGACTGTGGCTGTGAATTGGCTTCGTGGCCGTCGAAGGGTTCAGGTCGTGACAGGCTCAGGTCCTAGTAGTAGGACCACAGGCGAGGACAAGCGGGCGTGAGGCGAGATCGGGCACGGGTGGGCTTGGGTCCGTAAGCCAACAGTGAAAGAAAGGAAGGAAGAAGAAGATCTCTGAGACCGGCCCCCAGCTGGCGAAACTTACGCGGGTGAGGGGAGAGAGACAAGATGAGAAGGCTGAGCCAAGCCTAAAGCACGCTCCCGGCACCAACAAGAGCTTGGGGCTTCCGACGGTCAACACCTCCTGCTGCGGCCCGCCGATCGCCCACAGCTCGTCTGCTTACATCTTGGGACTCGTTCGCTTCGAGTCTACCTGCACAGCCGTCTTCCTGTAGACCGCAAGCTGCAGATAACTTAGAGGCTGGGCTGGGAGAGCGCCTTGGCCCCACGAGCTGAAAGCTTTCCGACCAGGGGCCCCTGCAGCTCATGGCGGGTCGCGGTGACAAACAAGCTAGGGGTCATCGGACTGGATGGTGTCTTACCTCGAAGCCTGCCCATTCGAGCCACTCAGGGAGCCGCGGGAGTTGGCTAGCATCCTTAGCAGCACTCTAAGCTTATTACCTGTGGGGAGGGTCACCAATCTCGCTTTCCGAGCATGCTGGCCTGCAGCTGCTGTCGGTGTGCCTGCCATGCTACACCCATCTGGGTGTCTCACTGTGTCCCTTTGAGTTTGATGTGTCCATGGTGGTATCGGGGACTTCTGCTCAGGAGAATTCACGGACACATTTGCGGTTTGCCAGAAAACGAGAAACGAAACAGATTCCCATCGCGACAGTCCACATCGCGACATGGCTCGTGGTGGCGGGACGCCCCCTGACAGCCGCGGCTGAGCACGCCCCGACCGCGACAGAGCAGCCAGCTTGACGAGAACACGGCACAACCCCGCTCATCTGAATGGGGTGCACGATACCGAGTGCCCAGGTCGCTCTAGTCTCTGAAGCTGAGCTTGAGCAGGCTGTGCGACTTAATTAGGGTTTTTGGGCAGCGGGTGGGTTGGTGTGCCCCAGGCTAGCTAGATCTGCTGTCAGCCTGAGCCTTGTGCCAGGCCTGAGCTTCTGCTCAGAGTTTGCGGATGGCTTCAGCGACCATCTGATGAATCGACGCCGTGCAGTGATTAGTGTCGGCGGCTGGCTTCCTCGTGATGGATCGAGCCCTGTGGACTCATCTATAGGACCTCTCTTGCAAGAATCAAGTACCCGCATGGGCCCCGTGGGACGCCCGCGATCGTGCCTAGCTTATTATGGACTGTCCCTGACCCTGGTGCTGTCAATGTGTTTCTCTGTCAATGCCACTGGCAAAGGAGGGCGAGACTGGCAAGGGGAGCGGGAAACATTTGGGCCGGCCCATAAAATGCTGACAGCACTAGCCTGCACCGGGCCCATGCCGGCCCCCGTTGAGGCGCATTATAGCGTCAAGCACTTCCTTTCTGGGCCTAGCCAAGGCTGAATGGGCAACGAGGGGATATTCGAGGGCGGGCGTTGGCCCCTCTTGGGCGTGCCCGGTGTCGTTGACTTGGGTTGCTCCCGAGCTCGACCCTTGGGCCCCTATTTCAAGCCCTACCATCGCTCAAAAAGGTGCAATGACCCATAGCGTTAGCCCTGGCTGGGCAATACAGGACGTGACAACCCTCATCGTTCTTCCTTGGGCGGCACCTCGGCCAGAGTAGACAAGAAATGAAGGGCGATGCTTTTCGTCCCGCCGCCCCACATCCATCGACACTGTGCCGCCCTTTCGCAGCTTCAGGCCAGTCCAAAAATAGGCTGATGGTACTGGTGGATTAGCCTTTTGTTTCCCTCTCCGTGCCACGAGCGGAGCCGTGGCCCGATGTCGCCCCGAGGTCAGGGCTCTGTTGTTCCCCATGGCTGAACCGTGAGCTCGCGTGCTTGCCCGTTGTCTTTCCCTGGCAATCTCTGCGCGTGAGGTAATAAATGCCCGATTGTCATCTCGATGAAAGGGCATTGTTGATTTGGACCGGGCCTGCTGCTGGACATTGCAGGCAGGACCGGAGAGTACAGGACACGCCTGCTGCACCGCTGAGCTACTCCATGAATCGGCTGCGCGCATCGCCATCATTTACCACTTTTGCTTCACCTTCGTGTGACAGGCAGACAACAGTGCCCGCAGCGGGCCTTGCTGGGCGCTGCGAAGCTGTATTGCCTGTGTCATGATTGCGGTTGCCTTACCCGGTCATGCAGTCGCATCGAGCCAAGTCAAATCGCGCTCTTGGCCGTTGTCTGCCCAATGCGACCTTGATTCACCAGCACTGGGGTCTGAGGACACAGCCACCACCTGGGGAGTATAGAGAGAGCATGGTGCAATCGCTTCTGGTTCCACCAAAGAGTCCGTCCGTCCGGTGCCGTTGGCGGTCTGGGGAGCAGGCCCAGGGGGCATTGTGCCACTGGCCCCCAGCCTTTGTGTCCATTAATAGTGTCAACACACCACCGATCACAGCGTCGTAACGTGGGTGGATGCTCATTATCGCGTCATTGCTGCAACGCTCGTCCATCACTTCGCCCTTGCGATTGTTCACTCCAGCCAAAGGCTGAACTCGGTGCGGCAGTGCACACAGTCCTCTTGCATCCTCTCTGTCGTGAACTGTACAACGCACACGATGTCCAGTTGACGTAGAGCAGCACACACACAACTTCAACTCAGCACACAGCGCATTGGTTCCCCTTCGTCTTCGACCTTATCCACGACGGAGACTACATGCCTTGCGGCACAAGCACCGACCTGGCGAACACAACGCCAATGGGGGAGCACACGCAAACACTCTTTCCTTCACATCTCCTAAGAGGCAAGTAGTTTTGATTGGGGCTCTTCGAGGCAATGCAGCGAGAAAACAAGCAAGATCTATGTACGCCTATGGCGACGATCGGTCCCCCAAGATGTAGAAGGGTCTCCAAAGGTGAGAGTCTTCGATTTCCTCAGGAACAAGTTCTCCCTCTCCACCTCGGTTAGGCTGCCATCCGCCTCTCGGCTCTTCTTCCGCGGGGTCGGTATGATCATGTTCTCTGGACCCAGAGTATTGTTGCTACCCTGACGGGACTGGCGGACTGGCGGCAGCTGTTGCAACTGCGGAGGAGCAGTGCTTGACCCGCTCTGCGTGCGCCGCGTTGTGTCTCTTGTTTCACGCGTGTCGGTCGGCGGCGTAATGGTCGAGTCGAGGATAATGTCGCGCTCCAGGAACGAGCCGTTGCGAGCGCCGCGCTGGGCGAGACTCACGAGCTGGCTCAGAACGCTGAACTCGAGCTTCAGCTTGATGCTATACGCAAAGGGCTTGTAGCTCGTCTGCAGGAGGAAGTTGTTGGAGAACTCGAGGGCGGGGATCGTGATGTCGAGCATGATGATGGCGACGTTGACGTAGACGAGGCGCCTCATGAGGCGGCGCAGCTTGGCCTTGTCCCGGACATGCTGCTCGACGCGCATGAGCTTGATCGTCTCCCACACGTACACGGCCGAGATGATGGCCTCTTGCACAAAGAAGACGGTCAGCTGGATCTTTTCGTACACGTTGTACGGCTGCTGGAAAGGCGCCGGATTGCTCGAGACAACGCCGTAGACGAGCACGACAATGGGGATCACCATGGTCACCGCATTGAAGATGATCATCCAAAGGATGGCCCGGAGGCGCTTGCCATCGCGCAGGATGAGGTGGAGGCGTGAATAGAGGACCACGGACTGCCCGTTCACCATTGACGCCCAGCCCACAAGGATGAGAGTCGCATCGAGGTAGTCATTGTCGTATAGGTTGCGGTGAAGGAGAAGGTAGCCAACGGCGTTGAAGGCCACACCCCAGGTTGCCACACACAGGCTCCAGAAGTAGAGGCCGGACCACCGCTTGAAGGTGCCCAGGATCCACGCCGTCAGCTCGAGAACATTGTACAGGGCGATGCTGATGAAGACGGTCAGCACGTTTACATAGACGTCGCTGATCGCGATGCCAGCGACGGGCGCCGCTGGATTCTCCACGCTCATCGGAGGTCAAGCAGTGGCTGCCGTCGCCGCCAGGCGGGCTGAGAAGTGGCTGCTGTCCGGGCACCAGTGGGACCATAGTTGGCCGTCGTCTGTCACCGGTGGCGGGTCATCGGCATTTTCCGTGAGGGTTGCGTCGTGCTCGGAATCGTGATTGCGTGCACAGCGGGGGGAACAGCCTCTTGCAGGTCTCGTTTGTCGTGAGCGGCTCCCTCGGCCACGGCGGCTTGCGGCGAGATGCTGTGGGTGTTCGGGGACAGGACCGTTAGAGTTTTAAGGAATGAGAAGGAGGGTGATGCCAAGCCAAGCAGCCATGCGGTCGACATTGCCAGAGCAATGTCTCTCGTTCCCCACAAGCAGACTGTGGTGGCAGAGCCATATCCCACGGCGGCGAAGCCAAGACGTGACGTAGATCACCAACCGGAGCTGTCGAGCTAGGCACATTATTGACCTTGATAGGGTGTAGCCACGAACCTTAATCTTGGGCCCGGGGCAAACTCCATCTCCCTCCACCCCCTCAAGAAATAGCATGGTACTGAGCACAGACGTGCATACTAGCTATGCATTTGCCAAGTCAGCTGGAAAACCTATCACTTGTGCCTGCCGCCGCAGGCTTGTGGATGATCGCCCGTGCATGCGGCTCTGCTGGCGAATGGTAATCTTGCATCGCTCGATGACAGCCGCCGTTTGTGGAGCGACCTAGCCTGAAGTCTCCTCGGTGGTGCAGGCGCCCATAGGGATATACTCCAGTCTGTCAGTAGCAGCCTAAGGTGGATGGACTCCGCTAGAGAACCCTTCGTGATCGACAAGTCTTGCACGCCATGGCAGCCAAGTTTCCAAGAGATCTCAACAGGGCCGCGCATATCATCGGCCGCTCTTGGGCCGTCTCCGGTTGAATCTGACCTTGTGTATTGCTGTCTGATGTAATTTATAGAGCTACTTGACCTTGGATATGTCGACATGCCGAGACTTCACAGCCTCGACAGCGTGACGAAGTCCTTATTATGTCTGCGTGAATAACCAACATGACATACTCGGAATAGTCCAAAACGAGTAGCGCCATGATGGAACAAGGAACAAGGGTCATGACATGCCAGTAATGCTAAGTTCTTGTGGACGGAGTACATTAAACTCCTGTCAAAGGAGCACGGAAATGAAAGAAGCATACCCAGAGCGGTATCCACGTACAGCAGCGCCACGGCGAGCTCTGAAGAGGTCACACAAGTAAGGCGCTAAATTGGCTTATTGTGTTCGCATGCCGTACTTAATCCGCCCCAGCTTTTGAGACGTTGACTTCCACGGTCTTGGTGATGCCATTCCTCGAGGCACCATTCTTTCTGGCGTCGTCTGAGATCGCCAAGACGCCCGCGTCCGATGGTACGGCTCTGCTGACACTGGTGAGTCCCATTGGGAACACATTCTCGTCGTCCAGCTCCTGCCAGCCGGGATACCTATGGTCTGCTCGACGTGGAGTGGACCGGCTCTTCATCTTTGCAGATGCGCCCATCCCATTGGCGCCATAGGATTGCTCCTGCGAGGAGCCGGTGAACTTGATTCGGGAGGCAAGGACGTCGATACTGTAACAGCAAGGACCAGAAGTCAGCAGCAGACTTCAGGGTTGGAGTGCAGACGAGGCTTACTAGAACATCATGGGAAAAACACACTCGAGTGTGTAGATGAAACGATCGATCTGGCTGGCCGTAGAAGAGGCAGCCTGGAGAGAAGTCTGAAAGAAATATGTGATGGCTCGAGATACTCCGATGAGGGCAAGTGTCGCCAGGCGAATCTCGGTACCCCGCATGAAGTGCCTGAGCAACCCTGTACGAATTGATGCGTTTTGTGAAGCCTTCTTCGCGGAGCCAAACTTGCGAAGGAGAAAGACGGCAGTGACGCATTCCAGCAGCGCTATGCATATAAAGTAGCCGGTATGAAGATGGTTGATGATTACCTGGAGGCTGTCGCTTCCGGAAACGAGGGCTTGTACGCGTTGAGCGGCTATCGCGCAGCGACAACCCGCGATGGCGGCGACAATGACCCAGAACATTGGCACGAAGATGCGTTTCTCCTGTCTGGGGAGCACCCTTGCCAGGATGACATATCCATAGAATGACAGGCCAACCTCCTGGATCTATTCGACACTGATTGATTAGAACAAGCTCGGATTGTCTGCGCCGGGTAAAAGAAGGAGGCCTTCATTGTTCTTTCGTGGCACTCACCAGCCAGAAGAGGTCTGCAAAAACCGATGCAACGGCTTTCTGTGTCGTGGGATGGTCTTGATAGAAGGCATAGAAGCACAGGCCGTTGGCTACTGCGGTGGCCACTGACACCACTAAAGGCACCGCGACGACAACAGAGAGACGTGTGATGCTGACAATGATGAGTCCAAAGAGGAAGTTGGCGATGCCGATGCTGCTCAAGATCGCCCAGCTTGATTCGAAGTAGACGTCCATCGCGGTTTGGGCAAGAACGCACGTGTGAGATGGTGCGTGCCCTAATGCAGGAAGGAAATGTCAAGTTGTTCGGGCAGGTCAGTCATACAGGACGTAGGGCAGGAAGCAGAAGTGCCGGCAGGGCGGCATGAGCTATTTGAGTTTGTACGACTCAATCCTGGGGCCGTTAGCGCAGATGCAGCATGACTTGACTTCTAGCAAGGTTCGACGGGTGTAGCCAAGATCCAGGTTGGTCGGCCAGACAAAGTGTGGCACAGCTAGCAAGGCTCTAACTGTAAAGATGTTCCAGACCGAAGCCACGGGGAACCTCCGGGGGGCATGGCATGGCATGGCATGACACAACCTTTCAAGTGCCGGAAGTGCCTTAAACGAGCAAGGGGCAGCCTTTGCCAAGAGAACAAGCCAGAGACGAGGTGATTCCAAGTCTCTCTCAGCTTGCGAAAGTGGAAAGGTGCCCGGTTCAAAGAGTCAAATTTGAGGCATCCGCCACATCGTCCGTTGAAGTTGTTGTGTAACAGACCACTCGGCTATCCGAGGATCGACGTTGCGGAGTCGGGCTGCTCCGGGAGCTGGAGGTGAGTGAGGGATAGGATTCATATTAAGAGCGGAGGTGAGACATCCAAGGAGTGGGGGAAGCTGGGGTTGGGGCCAGCGTCCAGGGGTTCTACGCCTCGTGGCTGCAGCCCTTCAAACATCGCGCGCTCCGACTCGTCGGGTTTGGCTTCAGCTGAAGATTCGGCTCCACCACGTTCACGCGGCATCCCTGTTCCCTATCGCTTGGTTGAGCAAGCCCCTGAGATGGACGGTTGGCGTATCATGACCGCTCTACACTAGCTGGCAGGAGGAGGCGTTTCTCCCATGAGGGGCACTGCGGAGTAAATGCCCTCCTTGTCTCGTCTCTCGATACGAATTTTCTGCTCCTCTTTCCAGGGCTTCTAGGTGTCACTTGTCAGAGCGTGGCATCAGGCTCAGTCCGGCAAGAGCCTCGGCCCAAAGTGAAAAGCTTCTGGTGGGAATTTTTTAGTGTTGAGATTATTTCCAGCCAAGTTGGAGTCCCTGTCAAGCGATGCTCAGCTGAGGTCGACGCGCCATGACCCATCGGGACCACCGTTTGGCACTCACAGCAGATTCGACCTCCGCGACTAGCATCGGGTTTGTGGCGTTACTAGTCATGTTCACATAATTTCAGATTTTCTTGCTGGACGCAAACCCCCTGGAAGCCTGGCAAATCACTTGATCCAGCACTAGGAGATAGTGGAGGGGCTTGTGACGAGACAATTTCTCAGGGTCCATCTAGAATAGCAGACTCTCGCTTGGCGACGAATAGATTGGTCACGCCATGATACGACCTTAGAGCATCGATCTGGTGCAATGATCAAGCCGTCACCTTGGCAAGGAGCTAGTGCAGGCGAGTGCAGGCGCTGGCGATGCCAGAATGCCGAAGGGCCACATGGTTCTAGGCTCGGAGGTGGCGACAGGTGTGGTGGAGCTCCTGACGAGCGCCTAACGCGGTGCACGACAGGAGGGCTTTATGCCAAGGAACAAGCCTAGCCCAGTTACAGCTTGTGTAAGAACAAAAGAACAAGCGTCTATCTCCAGGTGACAACACCCAGCTCGCTTGTGCCGCCAAATGGTATCAGCAAAGGCCCTTGTCAGGGCGATGCTGCCGATACACCAAATTGTGTAGATGCTTCAAGCACGAAGTTTCCCAGTGCCCCACCGACTCCCCCATGGGGAAGCACCCAATTTCTTTTATCACACCTCCTGTGTGCGGGGGTATTGGCATGTTGCACCCTATCACCCAGGCAAAAGAAAGTTACTCCACAGATCGTAGTGGGCTTGTAAAAGGTATGCTGCGACAGGGCATTGCTGTCGAGTAGAGTATGTGAAACGAGGCTGAAGATTGACGCAATTGATGCTATGTTGCGCATTTACGACAGTTGTGTACCTGCCTACTGGGAAACTCCGGCCCATGCAACCATAGTGCTTCAGTAGGGCAACACATATCGCCGACGAGGGCTCTGCAAGCTGCGACTATAGGACTAGCAACGTGTGTACATAACGAACTCCGCAGGGCGGGCAAGCCGAGCCGAGGCTCAACCCCAAATTCGAACGTGGTTGGCCGAGCCGCCCCCAATGCCCAACGTCAGTACTGTCCAGGCCATGTCGATCCAAAAACCGACAGCCGCCATTATCCGCTCGTTCCTGCTTCAACAACAAAACGGAATAGTGACCGCATGCATCATGGCTGCTCAGCAACACTTTGTAGTCCCGATTGCGCCGCTGGAAAACCACCCAGGCGGGTCTGTGGTCTGCACGGAGCCCGCGCCACAGGTGTACCTCTTGACATTTGACTCTGCTCCCGACAACCGGCTGACACATCACTTTATATCTGCCATGCTCACAGCCCTCGATCTCGTGGAGGCCCGGCTGCCTTCCGGTGTTGTAGTCACCACGTCTGCCATACCTAAGTTCTACTCCAACGGCCTCGACCTAGCGCTCGCGAGCAGCATGGATCGTTTCTTCGAAAATCATCTTTACAAGCTGCTCAGCCGCTTCATCTCTTACCCCATGCCGACCATCGCCCTCGTCAACGGACACGCGTTTGCAGGAGGCTTCATGCTCGCCATGCACCACGACTACCGCGTCTTCTCGGGCTCCAAGGGCTTCCTCAGCGTCAACGAGATTGATTTCGGCGCTCCGATCCCTTTCCCGCTACTCAACATCTACCAGATCAAGGTCCGGCCCAATTTCGTCCGGGATACGGTGCTCGAAGGCAAGCGGTGGACAGCGCAGGCAGCGCTCGAGGCCGGCCTCATTGACAGCGCGGAAGGGTGGAAGGGTGTGGAGGCGCTTGTCAAGGATCGGAATCTTGTCACGAAGGGCTCGACTGGAGTATACCGGCTCCTCAAAAAGGGCATTTACAGAGAGCAGTTGGCCATGCTGGACAGTCAAGGCGACGAGACGGCCATTTTCAGCGACATGATGAAGGTGGAGGCCGAGGAGAAGGCTGCAATCAGGAAAAAGGCGGAGGCAGCAAAATTGTGAAGACCTATCAAATTTTGAGTTGGTGCCAAGCATGGTGGAGTGCTTGGATGCGCCTACCATACAGTCGACAGCCGGGATGAGACCACTGGGATCAAAAGAAAAAAATATTATCCAATTTTTTGTTTTGGCGCTCTAGGCAGTCTAGGGAGAAGTAACTGGCGTGATGTGCAGGGGTCAAGTTTCCCGCTCCTTTCACTTTGACTCTCGCTGCTTACGCGCCGCGATCTCTAGCCGGACGAGCTCGGGAATCGAATCCACCAAAGACGGCTGCTTTGGCTGCCAGCCTAGATACTTCCTTGCTCTTTCGGAAACACCGCGACTGTTCTGGCCCCACGACACCCAGTCGAACTTGCCCTTGGCGGTAGCATCGTAGTAAGAAAACTGCTTGGTATCCTCGCGCTCGATTGCGCCCTGCTTGTACGCCTCGTAGGCAACCAATTTTGAAATTGCGCCCCACTGGAAGATGCCATCCTCGGCGAGGAAATAGGCCCGCGGACCCCAGATCTCCTTGCCGCTGTCGCCAATCGGTTTGCCGGCACTGGCATGGTCAGCAAGAATGACGAACAAGGCCGATAGGTCGTAGACGTGAACATAGTGCCACTCGGCCAGACCCCTGCCGCTGATGGGCGCGAGGCCCTCGTCAAAAGTGGATTCGATCAGCAGAGGAATCTGGCGACTCTTGGGGTTGACAGGACCCCGGCCAACGCCATAGATGGTTGGTGGGCAGACGATGGTGATCCTGACAGCGGCCGGGTCTTTGGCAGCCTCCTCGAGCACGATCTTGTCGACATCGCGATGGAAGGCGGAATCAGGCAAGTTGAGCAGGTCGTCGACACCCTCGACGTCATTGTAGATCTGCTCCGGCAAGGGAGGCTCTCCATAGCGTTTATTGTCGGCATCATACCAGCACAGAATACCGGTGCCGCTCACGTGAATGTAGTACCCAGGGTTCTGGGCCGAGTGAGACTTGCGCAGCCCGGCGGCAATAGCACGAGCGGCGCCTTGGTGGTCTGACGAGTCGGCAGTGTCTAGGAACAAGGGGTCAGTGTGACTGAATGCATGATAAGCGTAGGACAGTGACTTACGGAGGACAATGTCGGCAGCAGCAGCAGCGTTGGAAACGGTCTCGAAATCATCGAGCGACCCGATGACCAGCTCGACGTTGGGATGCACCTTTTTGATCTTTGCGCCGGTTTCCTTGCTCCGGACGAGGACAGAGAATTTCCATGTGGGATGGGCTTTCTCGAGGGCGTAAAGAGCATCACCACCAATGAAGCCGGAAGCTCCGGTGCTGAGAAATTGTCAGTAGAGTTCGGGTGCAATGCACGACAGAAGGATATTCAAGGGATCTCGCCGGGCGACGTACACGAGGACCTTCTTTGCAGACATGTTAGGGTGTTTGTTTGTGGCTGTAGCAGAGGTATTTGGATGACTCGACCGCGAGAAGGAGGTATATGAGATGCCGGTGCTTTCGACTCAAACGGGAAAGAAGAATAAATAGCTGGTGGTGAGAGATGTGGCCTGGGATGAAATGATGGATGGTGACGTGATGGGCTCCTGGCAAAGTGGATCGTGTTGACGTCCACACACCCACTCGCTCGCCCCTCACTCACCAGGCCATCCTGTCGCTCCTGCCAAGTTGGCTGGCATATGCTCCGTGTTTATGTAAGCACGCTGCACCTCTCGACCCCCCCCCCCCCCTGGTTGAGGCAATCAGCATGTCAGGATGTCCTTATCTACGGATCACCGTGCCGCTCCGGGAAACTCTACACAGTTCCCCCCTTACGACATGCTGATGAGTTTGCTCTCTCGATGGAAACCACTGGCAAGATGCACACCACGGACAGGCCATTGCGGGCACCAGGCGCCGACATCGAGGCCAAGCCACTGCTAGGCGCGTTCCTCGACAGGCCTACGGCACCAGCCCCCCGTGCGGCCCTTGCCAACAGGAGCTGGCTGCTGCGCGCCCTCACCGTCACGGGCCTTTTGGTCGTCGCGGCGGCCATCACTTTCATCACCACTTCAGACACCACCGCATCCCTGGGGACTAGCATCGAGGAGTGTGCGTGGGCCGCCCTTGAGGAGCACGTCTCGCTGCTCGATGTGCCGCCCATCCCCCGGAGCGAGTTCCTCGCCCGCCAGCAGAGACTGGCCGCAGCGCTCAAGGCTGAGGGCGTAGACGCCTTCATCGCCGAGCCGTCCGCCTCGACGGCCTACTATGCCAACGTCTCGGCCGCCTTTGACCTCTCGGAGCGCCCGTTCCTGGTCATCCTTGACAGCAGAGCCGAGTTCTCGTACTTGGTGCCGTCTTTCGAGGCCGGCCGCATCGCCGCGCTGGACATGGTCTACGACACAAAGGCCGTCATCCAGTGGGACGAGACGCAATCGCCGTACGCGGTGCTCAAGGACAAGACCAAGCTCGGCAGGGTCATGGTCGACGAGCACGCCCGCTTCATGATTGCTGCTGGCCTCGGGGGCGCCGGGATCGAGGTCGTGCCCATGTCGGCGACGGTGCAGAAGCTACGCGCCGTCAAGCAGGAGTCGGAGATTGCCATTCTCCGGGGCATCAACCGCTTCACCCGGCAGCTGGTCCGCGCCCTGCGGCCCTGCATCCGGGTCGGCATGACGCAGGAAGAGGTGACGCAAGCTGCCAAGGCGCTCTTCACCCGCGCTGGTGTTGGCGAGGGCTTCTGGGCGATTATACTCTTCGGCGACCAGGCGGCCTTCCCACATGGTGGCAAGCACGGCAAGACGCTGCAGCATGGCGAGTTTGTCCTCATCGACATTGGCTCCAGCCTCCACAGCTACGGCAGCGACGTCACCCGCACCGTCCTGCCACCCAGCGCCACCGTCAGCAAGGAGCTTCTCGACATGTGGCACACGGTCCACGCTGCCCAGAGTGCTGGCTTCGAGCTCATGCACCCAAACCAGACATGCTCCGACATTGACGCGGCATCTCGCAAGCCAGTCGAGGCGGCTGGCCTGGGCCCGTACTATACACACAGACTGGGCCATGGCCTGGGCCTGGAAATGCACGAGCATCCATACCTGAACGGGGCAAACAAGGAGAAGTTGAGCATCGGAGAGGTCGCGACCAATGAGCCGGTAAGTATTCCTATGAGGCTGCCTAGCTCGTCGTTATCACCGCTGACAAATATAGGGTATCTACGTTACCACCGAGCAAGCCTCCGAGATAGGGTGGAAGACCGGCTTCGGGATCCGTCTAGAGGATCCAATCCTGGTGACCAAAGACGGTGGCGAGCCACTTACAGGCCGCAGGGCTTTATCTCCATATGACCCCTAAACTTTTTGACGCCCCAAGCGCATGACCATGTTCTCAACGAAAGGTCTGTGCATAGATTGTTTCAAGGTAGAATGAGATGTAGACTAGACTAACATGTTCGAAAGCCACCTATATATTACCATTTCCAATAGGGTCCACTACTTCCTTTATTCTCATGTTTCAATAGTGGCGACAAGGCAATGTTCAAATGTAACTCACTGCCAGCCAATATTACGCAAGAATGCGCGACCTATGGGCAGTAGATATTATAATGACGGGTGGACTTAAGAATGTAAACCATATGGCAAATTGCCAGTTCAACCAAGTATGGCCCCGTGGTCCGCCCAACTAATCAAATTTTGGGGCAACTTTTCATTCCTATGAGAACTACGTATGAGCCACAGCTCCCCTGGAGGGCCAGCGATCAATCTGTTAAGCCTAAAATGTTGAATAGGCTAATCCTAGCACCTTGTATCCTCCCTAGCCTTCGGGGAAGAAACTGAAGCAAGGGGAAGCTGCAACAAGAAGTGGACTGCACCATAAGAAACCAAAGGAGCGTGTGGGAGAGCGGGTTTGAGCACATCGTATGCTTATGAAAGTTTCGACGCCCTGGTTTACTTCGCAGTGCCAATGTAGGCAAAGCATTCCTTGAAGGCCCTGGCCTCGAGACCGAAGAGACCGCCATGGTCAAGCATGGAGGCAGGGTACCACGTGGTCGGATCAATGCGCTCCAGGAGTCCCGGGTAGCTAGTCAAGCCGGTCGGCTCGGTGACGCCCCAAGGGTTGCGAAGAATGATGTACTGCTTGGAACCAAGGACAGTGTAGCCGAGGACGGAATAGGCATGGTTGGCAACGATGTTGCTGCCGGTGTACACATCGCCGGTGGCGTAGGTCCAGGCGGTCATGGGGTTGATGGTCTTGAGGTTGACACAGTTGGAGCGGACCAGCCCGAGCACGTCGTTGGCAGAGTGCTTCTCGGTCATGTAGTAATGGGTATCACGCCCGTTGATCTGGGCCATGGCCTTGACAGGATCGCCGCTGTGCGTCTGGGTGATGTCGGGCTGCTGAGAGGAGCTGCCGGTGATCCATTTGGCGAAAGCCTTCTCATACAACGAGGGCCAGATGTCAGCTCCGTCGCTCGAGCGGCAGTACAGGGGCTCGTTGTTCGAGTTGTTCATGGGGATCTCGTAGTTGACCTCCACAGTGTCGGTGCGGGCGTTATTGGCGCCGCCCTTGTCGTGGAACTTGATGACGAGGCGCTTCTTCTCGTCCTTGCTCTGGTGGACGCGTGTCGAACGGTTGATGGAAGAAGGGTCCGACCAGAAGACGGAGAAGAGGGCGGCAATCAGCCAGCTGTTGCTGGTGCAACCCTGGATCGGGTCGTCGAAGCTGTGCATAGTTTTTCCGTCGACAATCTGGAACTGGTCAAGTTCGCCAATGACGCGCCCGCGGAACATCTGGAAGTAGTAGTCGTACATGTCGCGCCACGAACCGTTCGGCGGCATCCACTGGCCCTTTTGCATTCTGAAGGGAGTGACAAGCTCGTTGACGGTCATGGTCACCTCCCGGTTGGTGACCGTCTTGCCCAGAGAGTGCGCATCGATGATCAGGCGCAGCTTGCCATTCTGCATGCGAGCCATCTTCACACGGGCTTCACTCAAGTCCTTCAGTCCAATCCTCTCGAGGTCCTTTAACTGCCGGACCTCCGAAAGATCAGGGGTTTCGAGATCGCGCTCGTTCAGGATCTTTATGTCCTTCTCCGTCAGCTTCTCCGCCTGCCTGTCTTGCTTGTTGAGCTTCAGTCCGGCAAAGAGCACGGAATTGTGCTTCATGTCGAAGAGTTCATCATATTCCGTCTGGAGGACACAAGACAGGATCTTTGCCGAGGCCATCGTACGAGACTCGATCTTTCGCCCAAGTAGGGCTTCGGCAAGGGCATATGGATTGATGGCTCCCACTCTGACATCCTTGGGGGGAGGATCAGCGTGCATGATCCGTCCTCCGGCGGGGAGCGTTGATGCTGGCTTCACGTCGCCGAGCTCATCGTAGTCTGACTGGAAACTGTCAGAGCCAGGAGACATTTGCTTGTAGGCGTTGTGGCCAAGGATGGCCGAAACGAGGGCGGATGGGTCGACGACGAGGAGATTGGAATTCTTGGACGAAGCATCAGAAGACGGGAATCGGATATCATCCATGTTGTCGGTAATTGCACGAATGTGATGAAGGGGAGATTGTGGATCGAACTTGGCAAGTGATTAGGCAGTTGGATGATACAAGACGTCCTGTCTGAGGTGGAGAAGCAAAGGAAAAGATCTTGAAGCTGGGTTGCTTCTGGGGACTTTATGCTTCTTCGCGGCTCGTTTTCCACTGTTATTTTCCGGGAAGTATCGCATTATTACCTCAAATGAAGCTTCAACCGTACAGATTTCCTCGTATCCATGACACATATTAACTCAAACTTCTCTGGCAATGGCGAGTAAGCGTTGCAGGAAACGAGCTGTGAAGTTTCGCCGAACCTCCTTACCGGATGATACTGGTACTGACATGTCAAATGAACCTATGGCCCAAGCGTTGTAACCGGCCAACAATTGCGTGGGTCTGGGAGACCCATCAGATGCAACATGAAGTACTTGATGTCAAGGGAGCAACCGTCGATAGCCGCTGTATAGTCGTGGGCGCGAAGTACTCAACTGCTTTACGCTAGAGGGATGGCTACTGGTGCCACAGATGAACGGGACACACTTCACACCTCACAACTTACATCGGAGCACTGAGCTAGGTATTCACCCGCTTTCTTTTACCGGGGCACATCATTCGACATCATGGTACAACCCAGCCTGATGACGCAGCACGGCTCCTGCGACAAACTTACATCTCGGTATGCCCCAACAATTCCACAATACCCCAACCGTTGACCTTTCCCCGCACTGGGAGGAAAACAATGTGCCATCCTTTCCAAAACTCATACCTCAGCATGTGAAAGCTGGGTCTTCGGTAAGTTAGAGTTGTGTAGCCTCGCTGCGATGTAGGACCTTGTGGTCAGATAGCTGACAGCCTGCAGACAGCACCCGTCAACGCAGGGCTTTCCGGGTTTATGATTGGACACGAGCGTATGTGGACGAGCTAGTAAAAGCTAGAATGGATCCACAATGGTGCCGAATCGCTGTGAAACCTGGGGAATGCCGATCACCCCGGATGACAACGCATCCCCCGGCCTCACCCCTGCCCATGATGGAAGGGGAACATAAAGCAAGGATCCCCACACATCTTCCCCGATTCGTTTGAGGTTGATGAACCCATGCAGCTCCGAAATTGATCTTCTCGGAGTGGCTCTCATCAAGGCCAGTTATCATTGTGACTGGAGATCTGGGTGCCAGCCCAGAGGAGCTAGGGACTGGCGAGGTTTCCCAGGAGAGGACCACAAAGATCTCGGTCTCCTGTTGATCAAAGCCTGTGTTTTAATTACGTACGCAATTTAGGATGTAAGTTTGGTCAACCCGGACGTACACACACGCACGCATACACACATTGAACCATGTCCGGTGGCTGCCAGCCAATAGCGCCACTCTTGGCTGTCCAGTTCTAAATGCCCGCTCACAGTCTGCAGCCATCATAGGAATACCCAGGATGTAGAACCAGTTTGCTGATCAGCAGATGCGTGGCTCGGTTCTCCGACTCGAGCTCCGCCGGTCCCCGAGGAGGCAGAAGTTGACATAGCAACCATGTTTCGGCGGCCTCGAAGCAGATTTCGGCTGGGGGGTCATGCATCGGAAGCTGCTGGCTTGGGACTACCGAGCACTTCCTGAGGAGTCTGGAAAGTGCAATTCTCTTGTATAACGGGTTTCGGTGTCGTATTCTCTCCGGAGAGCTGCTCTGTACAATTCTGTTTCCGAAGCTTTGGCATGATCTGCCAGAAGCCCGCACAGCGTCCGTTTCCTGCTTTTGCCTCTTCCATCTACAGTCACTCTACGGTAACTTGTGTACAAGGATATCGACCCAGATCTTATCTCCCACCCCTCTAGGGACCTTTGGATCCTATTTTGGGCTCTCATCAGAACTGCCGATTACAGAGATCCTCGCGGAAGCGTGAAACCTATTGACGTTGTAGAATCTGTCGATGAAAGCGGAGACCATAGGAAAGTTGCAGCCGACGAGGGCATTTTCCCCGAGGTCATTACCGCTCGACCCGTTACATCTCTGTTGGAACAAATATTGGCTTGCATAATGGGCAATCGACATGGCGGTTTTTGAGCCAAAAGTCGATGCAAGTCGTGTGAAGCAGATGTGCGCATTTCAATCGTCGGACGCTGTCCACATCCGCCAGGACTTCGAGGCAGATTGCACCACAGCAATGTCAGTGTTATTAGGAAAACTGTACCACTTGGAACATACCAGACTTCAACTGCGCTGGACTTGGTTGAAGCCACAGCAGCTTCCCTCTTAAATCCCCGAATCTGCTCGTATCTTTTCGAGGGGATTGCTTTGTTTAAAATTCGCAGGTCGATTGCCTCCTTCAATTTCCTTTTTACTCTCTCAATGTCTCTCTGAGGCTGATTGTTCCGGAATTTCATCAGACAGCTTTTTTTCATGAGCATGCATATGGGTGGTTGGAACTTGAGAGGGATTACGTACATAGGGAGCACGAGGGCTATGACGACGACGCCAACTGTCACCAAAACCGATATACGCGGATCTGGACATGAGGCGTCGTAATCGTTCGGCGTCATCGGGTTGCCTGCGTGAATGCTCATGAGCTGTTAGTTTTCGTTAATATCCTCGTGGCCAAGTTATGCCCTCGTTGGATGGATACAGTACACTGAGCATAAATCGAGGGGTGCCTGATCAAATATAATAACAGATCGTAGCTCAGCCACGCCCGCCAATCACACGATGCCCCTCGAGAATGCGCAAGAGCCTGCTATAGTAGAGATTGCCACCAGGCTTCCGAAGCTTTGCAACCTAAAACACCCTGTGCTTTCATGAGCAGTTATTTCAATATGGAGATCGCCGCCCTTTATCAGGGCCAACGGGTTAGTTCATTGGTGGCTTGATCGGGCCATAGCCGCGGAACAGTACGCGGTGTGCTAGCACGGCGAATCAGTCACAGCCGGAATACCTAGGTTGTCCACTACGACGCTAGCTCTCGTAGGTTGGGTGGTATGGTAGTCATTTCTTCCCCTTCGTTCGGCAGACCCCCGCCCTCACGCTAACTATCGTCACATATTCTGGCGATGGAGGCATCTCGACGTCCAAGGCAGAGGCGGCGTGGTCAAACGAGAAAGGTTAACTGAGAAGACGCGCGTCATGCAACCGACGCACTCTTCTATGATACTTCCGGTAGATCCGGGCCTGGCATCCAGCAAATCCTATGCAGCTCGTCATCTTGGAACCAGAGCAATAACACGAGGCACTCGTCTGGGCCACTGGCATTTCCACCCCCTGCAAGTACTTGGAGTGCTAGACCTCAAGCGAACCCGGACCATCCTCAATGCCAGGCCGATGAAACTTGAGCTTGTGCCAAACAGGACGAATGCCGCCGTAGCCTCAGGTCCAATTTGGCCCAGCGAATTAAACACGCCACAACACGCACGCCACTCAGACTCAAAGTTCACATCACTCTGTGAGCAAAACCGCCCCACCCAACTCCGTGGCTCAGCATCAAGCCCTCCAAGTTTGGCTGCAAGCAGTCAACGAACAGGCTTGTGAAAGTGCCCTACACTGTCTGCCAGAGAAAAGTTATCGCTGGACCGGGGCGTCCACACTATGCGCCCCGTTGGGTTTCGTTGCCCCGTACTATATCTCCCTCCGCCTGGAAACTCCTGGTCAAGTTATGCCACTGGGAAGTTACGCCCTGAAAGGATGTTGGCATAAACGGGGTCGTTGACGAGCATATTCTCTAGGAGACGCCATGCCGAAGAGCGGCAGCCGCGTTCGAGCTGGGTTTGTGTGGAAGGCAGAAACGGCTGGGCACCACGTTCGGGGAGCCAAATCGTCCCAAAGGGGATTGGGGCCAAAGGAGATTGGGAGTCAGTCCCGACCAGCCAATTGGTCCGCTGTGGCACAGCCTACGACTTCGCCGAGGATTTGCAGAACGAGCAACCGTGTACCGTTCAATGCCCTTGCCAGTTTCAACAAGGATTACTCGATGACAAGGGCCGCACAATATCCATCTGGTTACTCTCCTCAAGCGGGGAAAAGGGTTACTTCACTGGCCCAAGCCAAGGGTTGGTACTCCGGTCGGGGCATCCCTCCAGCTCTCCCAGGGGCGCGAGCCGATTTGCCCACTGCAGAGGCCAACGACGGCGGACTCGATCCCGTGGACTTGGCCACAGCCGCCCACAGAGCCGATTTAGTCGGGACCAACGCGACGGTTACAGGCCATGCTCTCTGCAAGGCACCACCTCTCATAAAAAACGAATGCAGGCCGAAAAGAAGTTGACCGCGAATAGTTGAAGACCAGGTAGGCCGAGAACATGCCCTGCTCAATAATGTTGTTGGAAACCAAAGCTGACGGCCATATTGGGGCGATGTTGTTACGGATATTGTAGGATTAGGCCCTGATGTGTGAATATGGATGAAGCGCTCGGGCTCCTTTTCCGTCTCGACGGGCATCTGAAGGCACCAAGTTCACCAAAGACGTTGCCCTGGAGCGACTCTTGATGCATGTGCAGGTTACCCCGCCAGAGGTAGTGCCATGATCATCCACAGATCACTTCCCCGGAGGTTTTGAGCCCGGCAATGAAGGTTGGTTCGCAATGTGGCTGGCTGGCCCATGAAACTTCCCGTGTACATGCGGCCCAGTTTGACCCACATCGGGGAGGACAATCCAGTCCATGGGACCGAGCGCCGGCACTAGGCGAAACTCCAAGCCCTAAGACCAAAGTGAATTAGCGACAGGAGGGCTGAACATGCCAGCTGGGCCGGGCCGGGCTCGATCGTGCCGACCGCTTGGGGCGGCAGGATTGGCGGGGACATTGATGCGATGCATCAGTCGGGTAGGAGTCAAACGGTAGGGCGACAATGGATACGCTAAGGTAGTCAAATGGGTGGTTCTGCAGCAGTGGAGAGAACGCCATGTCACAAACTCGTAGTTGAAAACACGCCCGCCAAGCCTCCCAACGTGGTGAGCATGCCGCTCTAGGCAGGTTTCCTTTGCCCTCAACGTTTACGGTGCTCCTTAAGAGGGCGCAGTTGCTACCCGCCCCGTGTCAACAGCGTGGTGGGTTTCTCGGACCAAGACAACTTATACAGTCGACGGTTAGATTCGACTGTCTGCCGATCCCTTGCATGACGCTAAGTCGAAGCTCACACGATAACTCACTCCCGGCTGAGGTTGGAGCAAGGTCGCACTTTTGGCACTGTGGGTCACACTTCTCGTTTTGCCGTCGTTTCCCTCTTCGTGAGCGACGGCTTGTGTACGTAACGGCCATCTGGATATTCTTCGAATGGACCCCACCCGCGACAAACACACCACAACCACTGGTATCGAGATGTTGTGTGGCCATTATCATATCATGCATATGCCAGGCTTGTAGCAGAAACGTAGGACAAGCAGTATTCGGCGAGACTGGACTTCTTGGAGTTTGTTGATCATGGCGGAGACGATCGCATAATTCTAGACCGTACCTAAGATGCTTCCGAGAACAAGGGATAGTCGTTGTAACCCTTCTCAGGAGGACTGGCGCCGTAAAATGTGGTGCGGTCGTACTTGTTCAAGGGCCAGCCATTTCCCAACCTTGCTACAAGGTCCGGGTTCGCAATGAAGTGCCTCCCAAACACAATGGCATCTGCCGCACCGACAACTTCACCATCGCTACCATCTCCGCTGTTACTGGTGCCGGTCCCCCGCGCGCCCTCCTCAAGCTTAGCCACAGCGTTCTCTCTTGAGAAATTGCCTGCTGCGAGGAAAGAGATACCCGCAGCTTTCAAGATATTGCGGAATGGGGTAAGCCCAATGGTCTTGGTCGTTGCGCCCAGAGAGGCAAGCTTTTGCTCTTCGCTTAGTGAATCGTCCACGCGCGGCTCAACCCTATTGCATAGGTACAATTAGAGACCACTCATATGCAAGTTTACAAAGAAGGATGTGCGGAACATACATGTGAACGTAAGCTGGTCGGTTTCTTGCAGGCAGGCCCGCGATCTTCTCGCATAGGAAAGCCCAGTGCGTGCTTGGATCGCTATCCCGGGTATCCTGGTAGTAGTTATACGGTGAAAGGCGTATGCCCACTCGGTCTGCGCCAATAGCTTCGGTCACGGCTTGTATAACCTCAAGCGGGAACCGGCAGCGGTTCTCAATGCTCCCGCCGTAAGCGTCGGATCGCTGATTGATATTGTCGTGAAGAAACTGCTCGAGCAAATAGCCATTCGCAGCTGAGGCGAAAAGACAACGTCAGCCATGAAACCACATGCAGTACAAAGCAAGGGCTTTGCCGGCGCACGAACCATGAATCTCCACTCCATCAAAACCGGCCTCTTCGACAGCTCGTTTCGCAGCTGCGGCCCACTCGGCCGTGAGATCATGGATCCCGTCGACTGTCAAAGGACGGGGAGGATCGGACTCGCATGGAGTACCGTCGAGGTAGTTGCCGCTCATGGGCAGCTCCCCCGAAGAAACGGTCTTGTTGCCGCCGCGCATAGCTGTGCCCGAGGCACGGCCTGTGTGCCAGAGCTGGGAGACTATTACACCCCCCTTTGCATGCACGGCGTCTGTGACTTGGCGCCAGCCACGCAACTGTGAAGGCGTGAAGACGCCCGGAACACCAGGGTATGCGCTTGCATCAAGACAGATGTCAGTGGCCTCGGTGATCTGCAGCCCACCAGCACTGGCCCTATCAGAGTAGTACTTTGCGACACGCACCCCGGGCACGTAGACACCTCTGGATTCCAGGTCGCTGCGCATGCGAGTGCATGGTCCCTGATGTTTGCATAGTAGCGGTTAGCGGGGGGGCTGTTTCTCTTGCCACGGAGACTGCTGGCACTTTGCATCTTACCTGGACAATTCGATGCTTGAGCTGGAATGCGCCAATCTTGAGGGGACTGAAAAGTAGTCTCTGATTCAGAGGCTCAAATGGCCCATGAAGCGTTGCGGACGGCATGATTTACGATGAAAGATTTAGAGGAGATGAAAAGCGACGGACGAATCGCGGTTTCTTTGGGCCGTAGCTCTACCTGGATGGTCTCTACTGAAACCGGTGACAGCGCAGGTACTTATGTTTATAACTCAACCAAAGAAACAGTGAGTCTTCCCTCCTTCAACCTTTCTAGTACGAGGTCTTCCAAGCCATCTTCGTCTCCCGTAGAAGCAGATAATGATCTCTACGTGGCCGTATCCACGAATATGTCAGCAGTATGCTGCTGACCCACAAACACTGTCACCTCAACCTTTGTCAGCAGAGTGAAGGGGGTGACTGGGCGCGCCTTTTTCATGACGGAAGTGGGGGCGATCGAGGCAAGAGCATGGGATGTAGTGGACTCGTGGTACGAAGGTGTGTCAGAAAAGTCTTGGTCCGCAACGATTTGGCCATGTGGCCGACCCTGGTCTGTCAACTGGCCATATTGATCCTGTGTAGCTCGTAAGGTAGCTGCTGGCGACAAAAGGAGCGAGAATTTCGACGTGGAAGAGCTGTCAGCATTGTTAAACCCCCAGGAACTGTGCCTGTGGGGTCGCCCTCAGGGTAGAGATCATGATATGAACCCGGGTTTGTCGCAGGGCTGAAATCTTGCGCCGGAGGCCGAGAAGAGTGGCGTCAATACAGCGAATAGCCCCAGCTGATGGAGGTGTCCAGCCTGGTCCCACAGATCCTATACCCGCGTCTGCTGGGCGATGGTTGGCAGCATGCCGCTGTGTTCAATACATACGCCGAAAATGAACCGCACGATGGTACGGAAGTATCTGCGCCACAGTCTGCGCATCACCGCCAGCTGTGATGTCGGCTTATGCATCGTCGAAGTTGACGAGATCAAATGCAATATTCTCCCGGTCGCTCAGCAGAACTTCTGGGCGTGCCAAGCCACGTGTTGCAAGATCACGTTTTTAAGCCAACTTTCAAAAGTCGTGGAAGCTCGTGTTTATGCCTCCCAGTCTTGGGACTAAGTGCGTGGCTAGCGTCTCCAGCGATAAGACCAGTTCGCTGCGATCTGAAAGCTTAACTACGACAAGCTGCACGGCATGATAGTTGCCGAACCAGTCCACCGAAGTGCACTGCCGTCGATAAGAAGCCAGTATAAACCGTGACTGCCCCATGATCTGCTGTTACAGGAGCCTTCGAGAAGTGCCCCGTTATTTCTATCCCAAGGTAGAACCTTGTCGAGTTGCGTTCACGAGGAATCATAAGAATGGCGGCGTGCTCGGACAATTGGACGATAGTCTTGATTTAGATGTCCGGAAAGCCCGAGTCAAATTTCTCGTCAGGAACTGCCGGAGCTGAAACGGATGGGTATGCCTTGTGCAAATGTTTCAGGAATGGTGTTTCCGAATTTTGACCGCGCCCATTACAATCGACAAGTTAAGACGAAGATGATCGTGAAAGTGATGCATGGTGGTGACCCGTGTCGCCGCGGGCAGCAACGGCCTTGATGGACAACAGCGTGTCGTTGGGTTCTAGTGACTTAGAACGATGACTCTGGGGAAGCTCCGCACCGCTGTTCCGGATGTGTTCTAGGAGTAGTTCTTCAATTATGCCTTGGTGGTAAAGAAGGGTGAAGCAAGGAGCTTTGGCGGGTGTCGAATGTCCCTGGTGACGCGATGGAAGAGCCCATTCTTGGGAGAGAGACTCCCCAGATGCATACGTCATGTACTGTCACGCCATTATGGAGCAAGCCATCGCCCGGCCTAGCATTCGAAATTCTTCATTGTCTCGGGCTGGCAGCCGTTGGCTCCATTTGCCGGCTCCGGCCGGCGCTGGCCGATTCTCCAAAGTTTGGATCTCGAAGCCGAATCACGCCTACAAGGTTCTGCGTCAGCCGTGTGAATATAGAGGTCCTTGCCAGCCCACAGGCCGCGGGCAGAAATGCTTTACACACATAATCAAGTATTGAAAGCCAAACAGCCCAGCCTCAATTACCCACACGTCGCTGTTGGCAGGAGGCGTGTGGTCGGCACCATTGCCGTCTGCGAACGACAATGTCACGGCTCAAGCTTGGTCGCCTGGTTCTCAGCTCGAATGCACATTTTGAAGAGGACCGGCGTGGGATAGTTCGAGCAATCGTAGCAGAAAATATCTCCATTTGACGATGCGCCGTTGTCCTGGCGGGGCACCAAAACAAAAGAGGTGAAGCCAACATTATGCGACTTGCAGGGGCCATATGACTCTCGCAACTTGCGAGACTGGTGCTGTGGCTTCTCTCAACATTTCAGACGCATGCACACTAGTCATTGCTGGACCTTACTATGTACCACAAGAGCTGTCCAGAAACACTTACCGATATGCACCAGGGTTCCATCGGCCCGACGTCCCCATTCTGAGGACTAACGACTGATATGGTACGGCTCCGATTGCCTGTCGCAACGAAAACACCTACAGGCGGCGCCGGCTTATGGGGACAACTCGCACGCCACATAACATCCTCCCTCTGGGATTTACCGCTGAAGTTACTGATAATGGCGCCCCGCCACCCAAATCTTGCGCACTCCGCCCCACCACAATCATCCACGCGGGCTTTCTTGAACCCTGGACTTCTCCAAGACAGCAGTTGGGCGCCGATGTCGCTCGGGCGGGGCGCACTCGGCCAGGACGAAGGGGATCACCACCCCCTTAAATTGATGGGACACAGGAGGGTTGCATCAATCGCTGCTCAAGCCAGACACGGATTTTGCTTCGACAGCGAGGATGACAATTTCAGCTGGTGTCCCAGGTAGCGAGTGTTCCGTCGCTGCTGTAGGTTGGCAAGAAATCGCGTCAAAGAAGCGAGCGTTGCGCGACGTGGCGGTCAGGACCTTCAAGAATGCCGACGACGTGGATACCGCGATTACAGCCATCGATGATGCCTCTGCTCTCGTTGAGGCACTAGCAAGTGGCCAGCTCACAGCGGAAGCAGTAACAAGAGCCTACATTCAGCAGTAAGTGATGCCAGCCATGCTGATCGAGTAGAAACTAATTGTGTCTACCTCACCTAGGGCCATCGAAGCACATGAGAACGTGAGTCAATACCGCCTCCTGCGACGGACCTGGCGGAGAGACCTTCGTCCGAGTATTATGCTGACTCTGGCGTTCCAAAAACAGACCAACTGGTAAGAACAGGATGGCCATCACCGTCGGACGTTGAAAAGAACGAGCGCATGCCCTGAAACCATGGCCAACACACTGTACGCGACATTAATGAAATCAACGATCTTTTAGCCTCACAGAAGTTTGCTTCGCAGAAGCCATCGACCGAGCTATCACCCTCGACAAGCATTTAGCGACTACGGGTTCCCCATACGGCCCCTTGCATGGCATGCCCATATCACTGAAGGACCAGTTCGACGTTAAAGGACTCGACACAACTCTAGGCTATGTAGGACGTTCTTTTGCGCCAGCAGAGGCTGACTGTGTTCTCGTGCAAATGTTCAAGTCCATGGGCGCTATCGTGATCTGCAAGACCAACATACCGCAAAGCATCATGGTACGAACCCTGGCTTTGACATTTCTGGAATGGCTTCATTAGGAGGGCACTGACTGGCATCTAGTGGTGCGAAACCGACAACCCGCTATTCGGGCTCACGACCAACCCGACAGACAAGCGATACACCCCAGGTGGCTCTACTGGAGGTGAAGCAGCTTTGCTCTCTTGTCGGGGGAGCGTGCTGGGCCTCGGCACAGACATTGGTGGTAGCATCCGCATTCCATCTCACATGATGGGATTGTATGGATTTAAGCCAAGTGTGAGACAATCGACCATATCTGAAGGGGCATAGCGAGTTGAGCTGACTTGTCGGACAACACAGAGCGCTAGACTGCCCTATCGGGGTGTCCAGGTGTCAACTGATGGGCAAGAGCACGTACCATCTTCTGTTGGACCCATGGCTCGCAGCCTCAAGTCCATCGAGCTTACCATGAGAAGCCTGTCCAATGCAAGGCCGTGGACTCGTGACCCAAAGTGTGCCCCAATACCTTGGCGGCAAGATGCCTACGATGAGATTATCCAACGCCCGTTAGTACTAGCAGTGCTCATCAATGATGGAGTCGTCCAGCCTCATGCACCAGTTGCCCGGACTTTGCAGCACGCCGTCGAGATACTACGAAGTGCGGGACATCAAGTCTTTGAGTGGGATGCTTCGCTACATCAAGATGCTATCGAGGTTATGGTGAGTCGCAATCTCAATCATGGAGAAGCTCATATAACTGTGCTAGAATGGTCGCTAATGCTTCAACGTCGCAGGATGCATACTACACTGCCGATGGCGGCGAGGATATCGTTTGTGCCGTTTCGGCTGGCGGCGAGCCCTATATTCCGCACGTCGAGAAGCTTCTCAAGAGAGGTGACGCAATTTCCGTATTCGAGTATTGGCAGCTCAACCGGCGGAAGCGAAGTATTCAGCATGCCTATCTCGACAAGTGGCAGAACTTCACTTTGCCAAGTGGCGAGAAAGTAGTTGCAGACGCGCTCATAATGCCCCCTATGCCGCATTCTGCAGTTCCTCACGGCTCATGCCGTTGGGTTGGATACACCAAAGTCTGGAACCTAATGGACTATCCTGCTTTGGTCATTCCAGGGGGCCGCGTTGGTGACTTCAGTAAAGATTGTCCCGTTCCAGTCGATCGAAAGGCTGAAGCAGTGAACAGTCATGGAGGAGAGCTGGATGCCCTCAACAGAGCGTTGTGGGAAGAGAAAGGCGACGAGATGGCAACCCTTAATCTTCCTATTGGCATCCAAATCATTGGGCAAAAGCTGGAGGAAGAACGAGTTTTAGGGGTTGGAAAAGTACTAGACGATCTCCTCCGCAAGTCCAAAACCACATAGACCCGTACGAATGCGGCTCTTTCGTTCAGAAATTGGTTCTGGTATTACTCGTTCGCTACTGCCAGTGCCAGTTAAGTCTATCATGCGCTATACTTAAACCTGTCAGGAACGTTCTTGAGCTGCGAGGGTACGGCTTATGCACGCTCAAACTAATCTTAATTATGTAAGGCGCCAGGTTGTCTGTAAAGCGCGAAGGTACTCTAGCTTAGTGGACGAGCTCGGCTAAGGGGGTCAGCAAGGCGAGTGATCGGGCTCGAGTTATAGATTGCCCCCGAAAATTGTCAAACGATAGGAAACGCCGAGACTACGACCCATGTGTGACATCCTTTCTGCCAAGAAGTCTGACGTAACTGGAAGGTCGCATCGAGCGAAGTTACGGGACCACACCAAATGGTCAGGTGAGAAGGGAAGATTCCCGGCCCTTATCGTAGGGTGAAGCCTAGTTGCATTTGCGCGATGAGGGGTTCCCTGCGTACTGTAACCAGAGAACCTCTTTCTACACTACGGACTATTCAAGAGTAGGGTCATGACTGATGCTGAACGTAGAATTTGGCAGAGGAAGAAGAAATGGTCGCATTCTGCCAGTGAATGATGGCAACGACTCGTGCGCTATTATGCTACCCTGCTAGACCAGGATGTGGGGACCATGGGATATTGATTGGGTGGCCTTTCCGTGAAAGAGGGGGCTATCTGATTGTTGTCTGCTTATCTCATTGCTGCAGGCTTGGCTTGCCTGTTCTTCCTTGCGCAAGGCTCAGACAAAGCTTTTGGAGATGGCGTCTCCGCGGTATAGGTACCAACCCGTCCTTCCGAATCAGATCCGAGTGCTACACCTGCTGCCCGGAATTGGCCGGGAGCCTCTAGCAGGGCAGCTGGAGCCTTTGACCCTGCCCGAACCGGACGCGGCCGAACCACTTCCCTTCGAAGCACTCTCGTACGTGTGGGGCGGCGAGACCAAGAGCCACGCGCTTGACGTAGCTGGCCAGAGCATACCTGTTACTGTGTCTCTGCAAACCGCTCTTGTTCGGCTCCGCCATGCAGATCGCCGGCGAGTCATCTGGGCCGACGCGATCTGTATCAACCAGGATGACGTCTCGGAGAAGGAAGCCCAGGTCTCACTCATGGGACGGATCTTCAGCAGTGCCACGCAGGTCATTGCGGACCTCGGAGACGCCTCGAACACGAGCGATGCAGCACTTGATCTGATCGACAGGCACTGGCGTACGGTGCTGTGCAGTGGCGCTCTCACTGTCTTGTATGGATCTAGAACACCAGTCGAAACGGCCGCGATCATGAATCTGCCACCAGAAGCCGTGGACATGGCCTGGACAGACCATGAGCTGCCGGGCCAGGAGTCACACGAGTGGGAATCAATCTGCGAGATCATACAGCGGCCTTGGTTTTCAAGAATCTGGATCGTGCAAGAATTTGTGCTGGCACGTGAGGTCACCTTTCACTGCGGCACACGCGTGGCAGACTGGAGGCACCTGCTCGCTCTGTTCTTCGATTTCAACAGTCCCTCAGCTTTCGATGCCCTCGTTACGAGGTGGCAGATTACGGCATCGCATACCGCCTTTATCCAGAGGCACGAAATGGTTTCGCGCATATTTCACAACAGATGTATCCGCCTGCTGCAAGCGAAACCCGCTGGACGCGCCTTTCTCAGCACCTTGCCACAATTTTCTTCGGTGTGGACTCGGAGTAGCTGGGTTGACCTGCTCTATTCGTATCGTTACTTCAACTGCACCATTGAACGAGACCGCTACTACGCATTAGTGAGCATGGCATCAGATCGAGACGTTGCCTTGCGACCAGAATTGAGACCCGACTATGTGACCGAGGACAACGACCTGCGGCTGGCCATGGGAAAGCTCATCCTCCAGTTGCCGGGTGGCGCCGAGGCGTTCATGCACAGCGGGCTTCAAACCCAAACCAATCCGCAAGTGCAAAGCTGGATGCAGACCTTTGGTCGCATGGGGAATGCCACGACCTTTAGCCACAGCGACTTCGACCAGGCGAGCAAGGCAGCTGGAAACGACAGTAGTTTCTCCTTGTCAACGCTTCCAGGGAACCCCGGGACCATCGCACTGAGGGGCTACCGGATTGGCAACATTGTCAAGAAAGCCGGGCAAGCACTGTTGGCCAAAGAAGATGAAGCTCAGTCGGCGGATGAGTTCAGGAAGGCGCGTCTATCACATTATCTTGGCAGTGCACTGGACCTCTTCTCCGAGGAACTTCTCGATCAAGCACCGTATGTCTCGCCATCCAAGCTTGACTGGTGGTCATTAGAGGCCATGGCCAAGGCATTTGCCCTCAACCCTGAGCCCTCCGTTCCAACTGCTATCGCTGTCGGTTTCGCAGTTGACACAAAATTACTGACCCTGGGGCTATTATCTATTGTTCACAGAGGAGCTGCCATTGTCTGACCATGCGTCGTATTGGCACGACGTTGTAATTGGGATGCTTGAATCCGAGCAAGGCGTCACAGAAGTGTCCCTTAGCGAGGATCAACCGCCGCGCGACAGTAACGAGCAGCATCCTAATGACAAAGAGGGATCTGCTCCCATGCAGGAGTTGTCTGCTCAAAATCTTGCAGAAGCGGATGACAGCAACAGCCATATGAACAGAAAGGTGAAGGACATCGTTCCTGGACACCTCCAAACTAGAGGCCTTGAGTCTGCTAGAGCCTATACCAGTGTAGCTCTGGCGTTGCAAATGGTCCCGGCTCTGACAGATGGAAGACAGTTCTCGTTTGTTCCAGAAGGCACAGAGATTGGAGATGAGGCTTGGATCATCTCGGGTGTTCGTTTGCCGGTCATCTTGCGCAAGTACGCCGACTGCCCAGGGCAATACCGGCTTGTGAGTACATGCTTTGTGAATGGGGCCATGCTCGGCGAGGTTCTCTCGCTAGACGGATTTGCTTGGGAAGATGTACACCTTTATTAGATGCGATGCAAATCTCACCAGCGATCGATAGACAGCTTCGTCCTTCGAGACTCAAAAGTGGCAGTTATGTTGCAGCTAGCGTTTGCATCCAGGCGATCCAAGTGGACTCTAAACGAGCTACGCCAGGGCGGCAGTAGTGAAGCTGTGGCGTCAAGGGCTCTCGCTTTGAAGGCAGAACCCGTTGAGTCTGAGGTATCCCCGGGCGGGCGACTGACTGGGTTAAATGATAGCGAAGCCGAGCTATATGTCGTGATTGGGCGATAGTGATTCGAAGAACAAGGGAAGTCAGATGTGGAGGCTCCAGACCGCCCGTTGATTAAGGAATGAAGACAGCACCAACTTAGTCGCTCCAACACGTGGGCGACTCCGGCAGCCACCCGATCCTTGCTCTGATCCGTTCAGATTTCTTGCTGGAGGCCGAGCGGAAACCACTGCAGCTTGCGGTGTTACGCTGGCCGTATTCCTGATTGGATGTCTTGCACTCGGCCTGAGCCGTGCCGCCAAATCGGACCTTGCACCGGTCTCGGCCGATTGGGCCGCTTGTCTGGGGACGGGCTGCATACAGCTCTGTCGAGCTTAACACGCTTGTTAAGAAGAAGCCCCGCGCGGGTACCTGCCAAGCCATGCACGAGTAAGCCATGCGCGAGTCACGCGACGGTTGAGGCCGTTACGGGTTCCTCGGCGTGTAACATTGCGGACATATAATCACATGCTTATCTCGTTACCTACTCTTGCTGCTGGGTAATCAGGTAGACCCGTGCTGCGGAGAAGCGTGTTATGCTTGAGCCCATTCGAGCCTCCTCCAACATGCCTCTCATTACCCGTCGATCCTATAGTGGACCCCTACTATGGCATGGCGTGTGGATCATTGCAAGCATGCGCGCGTGGCGACCTTTTTGTGACGCCGACCTGTCCTTTAGCAGGAAGTCGACCCAATCCAGAGCCCTGCATCGAACAACCTTAGATATGATGTTGTATCCCATGGGTGATGCAGCGGCCGTAGAGCGCAATATTGTAGATGGGATGACGGTCGATTGAGATGTATGAGTGGTTCATCTTGTCGGGCTAGTACTGACTCGGCTCCATTCATGCGCTCACCATTAGAATTCAGGGGTCTGCCTCCCTTGCTTCTTGCGCGACAGTGGCCTCACCTGTAGGGGTCCAGCCTCAACTGCCGCGACGAGTTAACAACCCTTATCAGCGTACTGCGTGCTGTGGACCCCTGTCACCTAAGCCACCGCTGTCCAGGATCAACAGCAGGTTCACCATGCATAAGACAGCTATTAGCTCATGGTGCCCTGACAGCGGCGCAACTTAATGGCGGTGATATAACCCATTCGGTGACAGAACGGCCACACGTGGTTCGTAGTGGTATTGACTCTTGGCCCTGGTCATAAATATGGCATGCCCTCACAAGCACAATGATTTCTCCCAGCGCGTTGTTGCCCGCCGAGCACCACTCCAGAGTCCTGCCACTCACCGGCATACCAGTCACTCCTTTCACATTCGCTCATTTTACAGTCACTCTTTTCACATTCGCTCTTTTCAAACTTCGCCATGCACGTACTCCGCAGCGGCCTTCTGGCCCTTCTGGCCAGCACGGCCCTCGCGAAAAGCCTGAAGGAGACCACCACCCTCAAGCCCATTTCCAAGGCCAAGGGATTGCAGCGTCGTGCCGATGACCCGGCATGCGCGCCCAAGACGTCTATCGGTTTCGACTATGGTATTGACGCTGATCCTATGGTCCACGTTGACCTTGACATGCAGAACCCCGCCGTTGTGCTGGAGGACGTTGCTGCTATCAAGAACGTGTCCTGCTCTGCCACCTCCATTTCCATTGCCTTTGCCACACCAGATGGTTTCCAGGCTGCTGTCGCATCTTGGGAGGACAAGGGTGACCTCGTCTTTTTCACCAACCATTTGGGTGGCTGCGACGTCGAGGATGAGCGCGGTGTCTTCCTTGTCAATAGCATCTCCAGCTGCCCAGAGACCCTGACAATTGTCGCCAAGGCCGAGAAGAAGGACGTGGCTAGCACGGCTAGTAAGTTTGCTCCCAAACTCAGCTATGCAGGACCTTCTGAACCAGATGCTGACCTCGCGAAGCAAACACCGCCATCACCTTCCAGGGTGTGCCCGTCGGAAAGAAGCGCAAGAGTGTTGCGAGGCAGCCGCTCAACGAGCGTGGCATCACCCTCAACGAGAAGGGTCTCAACATCGCAGGCACTATTGGCCTTCCCCGCAGCACTCCGCTCTACTCCTTCCCCCCTTATCTGGAGGTGACGGCCGACTCAGCCGAGATCAGCGCCAGCGTCACTTTCTCCGGATACCTGGACTTCAATGTTTTCGGAGGCAAGATCAAGCAACTCTATGTTGATATCGACTCCAGCATCGATGCCGAAGTTGGAATCTCCATCGCGGCTAGCGCGGGATACCGTGACAGCTTCACCTACAGCCCCGGGGAGGTCTCTTTCATGATTGTCAACGTTCCTGGCATCATCAGCCTCGGCCCTGAGCTTCTCTTCGCCATTGGCCTTGATCTTGACGTCGAGGCCGGAATCTCTGTGACTGGCTCTGCCGGCGCCGGCATGCAGAATGGCCGCATTCACCTGGACTTCCTCGACACTTCCAAGACCAGCGTTACCCCCTGGAAGCCCGTCTACAACGCCAAGCTGGACCTCTCCCAGCGCGCGCTTGTCAAGGCCGACACCTGGATCGACGTCACCTTCCAGCTAGGCATTGAGATTCTGGGCGGTGTCGTGGACGTGAGCGCTGGTCTCACGGCCAGGCCCCGGTTCAACAACGAGTTCGCCTTGACAGCCAGCCAGGGTATCACCCCGGGCGGCGTTACTCAGCCTAACGAGCTTGCCTGCGCACAGGGCTTGAGCATCAAGAGTGACTTCAGCTTTACCCTCATCGCTTTCGTCACTAAGATGTGGTCGCGGACAGTTTACAACACTTACATTCCCATTGCCAACAAGTGCTACTCCTGGGTTTGAAGTTCGTGACTGGTTTCAGTTAGTCGCTTGGCCTAGCCAAAGGAGTTGTGAATTGGGGCAGTAATGGGAGAAAGGGCCAGCCTGTCTTGATAGCTCGTTTAGAGTCCATAATACTTTCTTGCTCATCCTGTCACCAAGTCCAAGTCATTTGACGATGCCCATCCTGCAAGTGATCTTCAAATGTGTCACCACGGGAATTTGCTCCAATCCTCAGCTGAACGGGCCACTCTTTCATACAGCCTCTCTGGTTCGGTCACACTAGCCCAATGTCATACCTTGATTCATATTCCACCCTGCACGCTTGCCGTGGCAGCCATTCAAAGCCAACGACGTACATACATACATAGTCACCACCAAAGCTTCATCTTCATACTCTTGGCCTGGTATCACATTTCACAAAACATTTCCAAGCCGCAACTGTTGCTGGAACACGAATGAAGACTGCCTCGCAGCTCCTGGTAATCATACCACCCACTAAGACGGTCCTTAACACTGAAAGCAGCCAGGGCGGCCTCGGGGCCAGCCTGGACCTCGACATCCACCGCAGCGACCACCACATCTATGCCACTGTGCGCAACGCCGAGGGGGTGGGCCTCCCTCCGAGGCGCGGGCGTCGCGTGCTTCGCGCCAGACATGACATTCCCAGACTCCATCGCACCGCCGTCACGGAGATTGCCAAGCAGAAGGGCACATTGGCTGAGAATCACATCTGTGGTGTAGTTGCGAGGAGACAATCCTGGCGATAACATCTCGGGCTGGCTACTAATGAGAACAAAAAGCAATCCTTCCTCCGCTTCGATCGCCTATCGTAAACCACATGACCTCACTCCCGGTGGTTGCCGCTACCGGAGAGAATTCCGACCTGAAACCTATCCACCTTCAGGTTGCAGGAAATTGATGATGGAGGGCGTGGCGGCGGTGGTAGCGGCTATGGCACCAGTAACGATAGTACTGTGGGCCACGTCACCGTACATCTGCCACCAGAGCCCAGGGATGTCTATGGCAGGAGGCGAGCTGGCCCATTCCGCAACGCCGAGGCAATAAGTCACGGCATTGTATACGTAGGCATAGGCCACGGGATTCGCCGGGTCGGGCTGGGTGTCATCCCCATCGGAGTTGCCCTGGATGCCAAAGTGGTCAACAAGTTCCAAGCCACCCACGTCGAAGAACTGCTCGTTGAACTATGGGAAATGGCCTCGCGCACGCAGGCGCCGCGAGTTCGTCAGGGTCTCAAGGCCAGGACTGCGGCCAGTCCGGACATTAACATGGCCCGTGTTTTGATCCTAGCGAACAGTGAAGTGCATGCCATACCCGTCCCGGCTCACGGGGAGTACCGCTGTCCTTGCAGCTTGCTCTTGGCGCTTCGTGGCATGGCCGGGTGTAGGGCCATCCCAGAGACCAATGTGGTGAACAGAGGCTCTAAGATGAGCAGAGAGTTTTATTTCTGCGCGTCGCAGAACACCCCGCTTGCGAAGACCAAGGAAGGGCCCAAGCGACGGCAGGACGCGACCAATGCTTCGTGCGATATAGTTGACGGCCTTGTCGACAATGGCCCATTTGATGTCTTCGGCAAAGCTGCCGACCCACTCCGCGATCGAGTTGGCATATAAACCAGCAAGACTGGGATTGTGACGGCGCCAAAGACACACGATGGCCGGACTTCGTCTGCGTTGCCTTCGCCGCTCGAATAGTCTCTACAGCTCGTGTAGATTCCCCGGGGATAGCCTCCATTCCCTACGAGTCAGGTAGTCCTGCTCACTGTCTTGAGTGCAATTCGCGTGAAGATCTTCCCAATCACCGCTAGGCTTGATACACAGCAGGGAGTGGTCTTCTACAACAATATGATCATCTCCATTGTGCCATATGAGAAGAGCCCTGCGGGTAACCGAAGACCACTAATTACCGGCACTGGCTGTCATGCCAGTGTACCATATCAGTGGTGGCGAGGTAATTATCGTCGATGTGGGGTTGCCATTATCAGTACCAACTCGGCGCACATTTTCAGGAAAATGACCCCCATGAGCGGGTGTCAAGAAGCCGGAGGGTGCCTTCTCCGCAAGAGCTGCGACAGAGTGGTGGAGAGGGACATAAGGAACATGATATCGAGTGTCAAAAGTACAACAGGGACAAGATACGTGGAGGTTAGATGATTTTGGAGGGCCGACTCCTCATTCTTGCATATCTTAGTCGCTGGTTGTGACGATTCAGGCCTCTGAAAGAACCCTTGGACTAGCGAGAAGTTATTATCCCGGCCGGACGGGGAACCGAGATAATTGGCTGGAATTAGGCGCCCAGCTGGGGATGTGAGCCCTGCATGTGGCTCGGCTCCCAACAGCACAGCCCCTATGCTTCCGTCTATGTGCTAGGGTTAGCGGCTAGAAGTTGTTGGCCCCAAATGCTGCTTGGCCTGCAGGAGACCTGCAAACTTGCTTCAAATTTTTTTTTTTTTGCAAGTTCAGTAAATTTCTTTGGCAGCACGAAATTGGATAGTAGACGACTAAAACGTAAGGTGACTACATAATTGACGACGACAACGACAATAACAACGTTAGCTATTTCCGGCGCATAATAGCGTCCACCAAGTACTGCGCAGCACCCACTTAGCCCCATGGATCAGCCGCCACGAACGAGATACGTCGAGGATGAGGACAACCCTGGGAGGAGAAATTGTGAGAGAACACGTCAGGCTTGCCGATTGAGACAACGCTGACCCTTCTCTTTCTAAGGCGCTTCGTCTGGGGGACGGCCTCGAGGCGATCTAGCGTCGAGGGCGGGTGCGGTAAAAGTCGGACCCTGCACTCATGCTTCACGACTTGGTCGAGACCCCCCATCACCACTCCGTTGCCCCTTATTGATGGGCTGGATCAGTTTTGTGAATATTTGGTGTGCCTCTACTGCGTATAGGCGGTCAGAGTCCTGGGAGAGTTCGTCGACAAGTAACAAGATCCTGATGGCGGTGGGTATGATTGGCGTCTTCAACATGGCATGGTTGATCGTCGCTCTCGTGCACCGTTCAGTGCAGCAACCGAAAGGCGCGTAGGATGGTTGGGCCAACAGGTATTGCTACGTATCCATGTATGAATACGCAGTTGGTTCAACAGTATGTACACAAGGTTACTTTACAATAGTTATTCGGTCAATACGCTAGCAGAGTACGATTCAGTTCTGCACCCAGGCATAGCCATAATAGCAATTAGGCGCGAAGGTGTTTCGGATCATGGTCAAATAGTCGGTCGTGAGGCAGACTCATCACCAACACCTGCCGCTTGGACTGGTGTTGCTATCTTGAGACCAACAAAATCCTGCGATAGGGCCAACACTGCGTCCATGCACTAGATGCAACTTGATCACTCTAGCATTAATACATGAACCAACATGCTATTTTTGGCATCCAGATGTTCTCAAGTTGGTATCTCGGTACTATCTCTCATATTAATACGCGGACTCACGATCCTGCTTAGACGTGCTAACTAGTCCTTGGTCTTCTTGTCTAGGCTATCACCGACAAGTCCTTGATGCGAAACATGTAATCCTCGGATGATTTGATGCTCCAGACCTTCTTCAAGGTAAAACATGGGCTGAGGAGGAGGGCCTAGAGTCCGACATAGAGATGATAACCAAAGCTGACCTTGACTCTGCCCGCGTAGCCATCCTCATCATGCGTTGCAGCTGTGGGGGGATCCCGGTCGAAGTCGTATAACCAGGCGGTGACATCGAGAGCGGTGCCTGTACCGTTCAAGATGTCGGCTACGGAAGGCAGGCTGGCAGTATCGAGGACAACAAAGTACTGCTCGTCGAGCCAGTGTGACTTCAACTTCCATTCTTCGTCCTCCTCGAGGGCTCCTCCATATCGCGCCATTCGATGGAGATATCGAATTCTGGCGCCGTCGTCCTGTGGCAGAGGGGCGTGCGAGATGATGTAGTTCCTTTGGGACTTGAGACGTCGGGCAATCCAGACGTCCCTAGGATTCGAGCAGTCCTGCATAGCTATACGGGTGAAGTTGCCGTAGCCGTACTTGCCGGAAACCTGGCTCTCGAGGTATGATGCAACGAAGACTGTGGGTGATTTATAGAGGCCACCGTTCTCACCGTCGCCAAATAGTGCGGCCGTGCGCCAGCTTTTGATCGAGGGCTGCGTGCAGCTCGGCAGTTAAGTAGGCTGGAAATCCATATTGGAGCCTCCACTGAAGAATGTGCTTGATCCAGAGGGGCTGGTCCCGCAGGTCTTGCTTCTGACTATGATTACGCTCCCAGTCTGCCTCGATTTCCTCGTTCGGGGCACTTGGGTCGAGGATGAAGCCTGGCCTGCGGAGTAGCTGGCCTCGGAGCTGGGAGTTGCGGTAAGCGTTACGCTCTTCTGCAGAAGCGAGCAGATGACCTGTGTGATAGCAGTCAAAGTGAGCCATGCGGTATCACGTCCGGCGCTGTCCTGGCTCCAAGTAGTTGAAGCGCTGGTCGACAAGGTCTGTCTGTGCTAGGGCCATCCAATCCCGCCCCCAAAGCCGCCTTGGCGAGGAGAGCCTCATGCGTAAGCCCTGGCGTAACTTTGGCAACGTTAGCAGCCATGACATCCTCGGAAGGCCATCATTTGGCGCTTCGACGCTCGAGTGGGGTCAGAGAGGCTGGCTGGCCGAGAGCGCGGCCCTAGAATGTGCCGCATACGTCCAAGAGCCGCTGGCGGTCGGCATCACTGAGCGAGACAGAGTCAGGGCCAGAGTCGCCGTTACAACCGCGCCTTTTCGATCAAGTCTCAATCGGCCAGCGTAGTCAGCGCCAAGTCTGCCATCAACATGACCGGTGTAGCGATGCGTCAGAGCTCTCAAAGGCCCTTGTGCCGCCGTAAGCAAGCTTCATGCCACCAGATGCGAAGTCGCCGCCGGCAGTATAAGCCTTGTATGGTGGGAACACGCTGGTCGAGACCTAGTACAAACTCGATCATGCTCCGTAGCTAGGGCCTACCGACGCAAATTTTCTAGTATAGCACCATGGCTGCGGGACTGCGCGTCGTGGGCTCGTCCGGGGTCCACGTCGTCGGCGCGGGCTGTGTCGGCGACCTGTAGGAGACACTGCTCGTCCTTGAGCAGCAGACGCCCGACGATGCGGTCTGGATCCCGGGCTTGGGCATTACTGGCGCCAAGCAGAGCCCGCTGTCCGGGCTCGCCCGCCGCGCTGACGGCGACACCGTTGCCTTTGTAGGCTACAAGCTGTATACTGAGGACGAGGTGGCGTCCCTGGCCATGCCGGCCGGGTGTAAGCGATCGCTGGCGGCGACTGTCTTCTGCTACGACCGTACTACCGAGTTCGTTAAGGTGGCGTATCGCAGCAGCCCTGGTAATAAGACGGTGACGGACGCTGTGTATGCGCCGCTGTACCTTGAGGCGGTGTAGACGTGGGTGCGTAACGTTGAGCGCTTCTGCCTGCGGCTGGAGTGGCTGAGTGGCCTTCCCGGCGCGGTAAAGTGCCGCTACGTCTGGACCGGCCTTAACGAGACGTGCGCTGTTGACGCTGCAACCGGCCGCTATTGTAACGACGTTATCGCCGCCTTTACCGTTAAGGGTAACTATGACTAGATGCCTCGTAACGAGCTGTGCTAGCCCTGTTATACCGGCCGCTATGCGCCGTATGTAATCCAGCCCCTACTCGGCCTTTGGCACGACGCCCTGGTACGTATAGGCAGCCGCCTACGTTAATAAGCAGTATGCCTAGCGCATCCTGACAACGGCCCAGCCCGCCCTCGTAACTCCTATGCTACAGCCCGCGCCGTTCTATACGTCCGGCGTCTGGGTTACCTCGGCTGCCGGGGACACTTACGACTCGCTCGCTATCGCCTATAACGTCTTATCCGCTAGCCTCTTTTCGGGCAACCTTAACATTACTACCTACGACGAGATACCTACCGGGATACGCTTCTATATACCGCTAAAGTGTAACGTTTATACCGTTAAGGATAGCGAGTTATGTCTGCTTATCGAGGCCCTTAACCTTCTTAGGCTCGACTCCCTAATCGCCTATAATCCCTAGATCGATCGCTTCTATAGTAATCTATAGAGCACTCGCCGCACCCTCGGTAGCGTCATCTGCCTCTCGTCGCCTGGCGGGTCCTTCATACCCGGCATACTATCGAACACGTCTACCGGCATGCCGGGAAGTGGTACAGGCAATGGGGACGCCGGTGTATACGGCAAAGTCGCCCCGGTGCCTGCCGGCATTACAGGGGTCGCGCCAGGCATATTGGCCAGCTCCTGTAGCGTATGGGCGGTTGCGCTCCGGCTAACGATACGTGCGCCACTATCTACCGAAGGTCCGGTATCACGGTCGACCTGCTACGGACATTAAACCCAGCTATACCCTAAGACAAGGACTGCACCGCGTCGCTACGACCGAATGTGGCGTACTGTGTCGTGGAGTACCGCCGTCCAGTAGAGATAACGCTAGGCGCCCTGCATTTCACCGACTCCGACTGCTGGCGGGTGCCAGCGACGGCAGTGTCGGCCTCGCCGCTCGCCGTTTCGACGGCCGTGAGTGTCGCCAGAAATGCCACCCTCTAACCGCCAGTTGCGTCACGTACTGTGCTGCGCATGGCTTTGGCCCGAATCTCGGAAACATGGCTGCACTCCTCGGGGGCAACACGTGCATCTGCGCGAGTCGTCTCGAGCCTGATGCGGACCGTGTGTTGGACGCCAGCTTCTGCGCCACCCCGTGCTCCGGATACGCTCAGGAGTACCCACAGTGCGGCGGCAGTGCCGGAGCCGGTGCGGCTGTCAAGGTCTATTCGTACGGTGCCAAGGAAGGGTTCCGGCCCTACCTGAACCGCACGGGTGCTACCTGAATGGCAATGGCCACAATCTGCGCGACGTCGAGTGGTTCACGCTCCCCGGCATGACGCTCGACGGGTGTCACCGGAGTTGCCTGCCGCTGTACCGCTACTTTGGCGTCGCCAACGGCACGAACTGCTATTGCGGCAATGGCCTCGGCGACGTCACGCGCCGCGCCGACGACCAGACGCGGTGCGACGTGCCGTGTCCCGGGAACTCGAGCCAGATCTGTGGCAGCCTCGGTAGGCTCAGCGTTTACGGGCTGTCCAACACACCCCCGAAACCACTGCTCGTGGCATGATCACGCAAATGGACACGGCCTAGTACTGCTTTAAGGGTTGGTAGATGGCGTGAGCCGCGCGGCAGTTCTGAGTGAGGCAGGGCTCGACCTTCCCGGGGCTGTCGAAACTGTTTCCAAGGAGAACGACTGCCAGATATCAAAGGTTGAATGGCACGGCCAGCGAGTTGACCGCGAAAAGTGCGGCCTAATGACGGTATATCTCAATGACGGACAGCATGCCCATCATTTCCTTTAGAAAGCTATGTCATACTACGAGGAGAATCTGGGAAAGTTCAGGTATTCGAACGACGGGCCCGTCCCAAGTACTGCTATAACTGCTAAGAATTACCAACCATAATAAGGCTTAACAGTGCAACAAACCGCAGATGTGCTGCAAATGCTCTTAGGGAAGGGTACCACCATAGCACATGTAACCGACTTTCAATGAAGTGCATTCTTTGTGACGGACCCCATGAGTCCTTCAGCAAGAACTGCCGGACCCTAATACCACGGTAGAACAGGCTCCTCCGCATTCTCTAACTCAATGTCCGGAAACACTAGTAGACACAATGATGGGAGACGAATTGCTCCAGGAGCATAGTGAAAGAATTGTCTGTTTACAGGCCTGGGATAAGTCCAGCAAGCGAAGCATGAAATGTAAGAGCAGAAACAAAGACATGGGAGTATGGCCACAGGAACAACAACTACCAAGCATTACCAGATCTCCCCATCCTGAATACCTTGGCTCCAATCTCCACGCGTCTCTACGACGCTGCCGCTTTCACAAGTAGCAGTCTCTCTCTTCCCATTCGATGTTCCAGCGGCTGGTAACAATTCAACAGTAGTATGGTTGAGAGCTCGTCAGCACTCAGCACCGCTTGCTCGCCTCCCACTTATAGCGGAAGTGGCCGCGGCGGTTCCTCCAGTCCATGTACCACTCTGTCATATCATTGACAGGCTTGCTATTGCAGTCGAAGTTGACCGGCTTTGAAGCGTCGTTGTAGTATGTTCCAATGTTGGTACAATCATAAACATTGCAGTTGCGGTGAATACGGAGGCAGTCTGCCCCGCACGACGAGAGGCTAATAATACTTACACAGCCTCTTACAAGGGTGAGTACCCTGGGCTTGCTGCCAAGCACAAGCGACGGGGGCGTCTCGTAAACTTGGCCAACAACGAGAATTGTCGAACTCTAGTGCTATGCCTAGAAACCCCGACCTAGTTCCTAGTTTATCCTGTTCCTCCTTCCGCTCTTGTACTTCATCTAATCTCCACGATGGCGTTGTTATATCGCCAACTCAACCCCTGACCTGCTTCTCTCTACGACCTGTCGTTCCCCAAGCTTGGCGCATAAGAAAGCTTATCAGCAAGCGATGAAACTGATTCGGACACAAAGCCACTTGGGCAAACATAGGGTCGCCTGTTACCGCCTCCTGAACTTCCACATCGAACAATAGGTTATCCAAGCACGCTCAGTATGATGCGTGGAAATCATACGCTATAACTGCTTGAGAGAAACGACGTGTAGTGCACATATTCCAGTAAATCATGCGTCTCAAGTCGTGGGTACAGCCAGGCACTCTCTACCACCGCCTCTACTACCAGAGCCTGTAAGACATCTCGTAATACTCCCCGTACACCGCCCGAACAAGACCCCCGTCTGCCGCCCGGTGCAAGCCGAAGCGAAGACAGATAGGGCCAAGCCAATTACTTGACATTGAATCCTTGTAGTCATCGCTTTTCCGGGTTCGTGGGTAATTACACAGCCATCCACAGCATGCTGCAGCCAGCTCCATTGTTTTCGCTCTGGTTAATGAACAGCGAAAACTCTAGATTAACGATTGATCGTATAGAGCGTTTGCCTTGATGGGTCCGCTTTAGAGTTACCGCATCGTACTTACAGCCAATCGAGCCTTGCACCGCCCCGCATGTGGTTCTTGGCGATCCTCAAGTGTGAAATTGGATAAGCGCTCTTGGCTTCTCTTGGTCATATATCCTGGTAAACCAAGGCCTCTACTGCTATCATACCCTAGCCTTAAGTGTTTCCAAAGTCGTCCAGTCCCCTATGCTTCGTAACTTGTCCAATTAGCTTACCTTGTCGATCAGGTCAGAGTCTTCTGGGCATCTGGACTACTCTGTCCGCTAGTAGTTCTGACCATTAACTGGTGGCTACTCGCGAGTCAGAAGAAGTAAGGTTCCAGGGCTAGTGCACCTTGCAAACGGCATTTCCGAAGCAAACGCCAACCTCGTGCCTCCATGGTTAGCTCATAAGTCGTCGGTTGAAGAAGGAAACCTCAAGTTATAAAAGCCAGGCTTCGACCTCCTCATGTCGTAAAGAAGTTGCTCACCCTTCACCGCATCACATTAGTTCTCTACTGGTCCCACGTCCATCCATCACTATGTATTGGTCTCGCCTCACCATACTCTTCCCCTTCGCCCTCCATGCCCTGCATGTGGCCGCTGTCGCCGTCAACACTTCTCTCGTAGCTGATTCCGATATTCCTGCCGGCTTCGAGTTGTGTATTCAGGCCGAAAACTGCGAGCTTTACAAGCTCGAGGACGGGACCTGGTCCTTCCGCTTCGTCGAAGGCAAAGAGCCCGGCACCGAGTGGTATAACACCTACGCCAACACGACGGGGGACATTGGTCCCGAAAGAGAGGCTCAACAACTCACCGACGTCAGAGTTGACAAACGCCAGCCTTGTTCCAGCACTAATGGCCAGACTTGCACCCATATCTGGGTTCGTCCACACATGGAGAACTACGGGAACATTCTTCCGCGTACTGCCATTGACAGGTAATTAACGAATCTCTTTTGGCGATGCCTCTCTGCAGCGGTTAGAATATTCGGCTAATGAATTTCACAGCCTGTGGTCTAAGTGCTACGACTTCGGCTGCAACGTTGGCGATTATGGAATCGGTGTCCGTAATGGCCACAACGGTGATCTGTTCTCGTTCGATCAAACTCTCAAGATCTCCCCTGGAGGTGTATACGACCCCGCCTTCCGTCATGCCCTCATTTTCGCCATGACAGAAATCGCCGGTCAGTTCCAGGAGAGCTTCAAGGTCAGCGGCGGGGTCAGCCGTCACGGAACTACCTGGCACTTAACCCTTTGGCGCGCCCCTCATCGGATGCATGTTGCCCGCTTCCATAACGGCTACTTGCAGGGAGAAATCCACGCGTTCGTCTACCTGGAAGGGAGTGACACCTGGGGATGTGATCGTATCATGGGCATCCTCGGCTCGACTATCGGCGCACTACATCCTGTGGTCGGCGCTACTCTCGGTGCCTTGTCCGCCGCCTGCGGTTAAGCATAGCTGTAGCTAAGGTCACCAGTACCTTCCACCGTCTCTGCCGTCATATATAGCTATCTCGTCGCTCTCGGGCGTTCCTTCCCGGCCCGGAGGTGGATCCTTGCTTGGTAGGCTGTAGATAATCGGACGGCTATTCAATTCATTTCGAGATTGTTCTGTGTCTTATAGCTGATCGTCTACTAGAGCCTATATAGTCTTGTAGTAGTGGGGTTTAATAGTAGATAGAAACAGGTAGTCCTGAGAAATCTAAGAATGCTTGAACTGCCGTCACTGCTGCATCCTATCTTGCTACTGCCGCGCTTCCGTGCATTGCAAAGAAAAGGGAGATCGGGTTCTAAGTCAACTTTATTATCGTTACCCCGAGTCTTCCAAGACCTGACCACAGGTTTACCTAGCCTGGGGCTGTCGGTCCCGTTACATGGGTAGCCTCGACGAATCGCTGAACTACGAGTAGTAGGCAATCTTGCCACCTCTTACGATACGCGCGCCTTTAGCCTTGACCTCCCTTATCCACTCATCTAGTCACAAGGCTGAGTCGGTATGGATACACTGGTTCGCGCGTCGTGTCTGTGTGTCAAAGCCATTGCCCGATCTTGCAGCTTCGTCTCTGCATATTCTCAGTAAGCGGCTGCGAGGAAATTCGGGCTGAAACATTGATTGGGTAAAGAACCCGGTTTCAGACAGATACACGCCCGGCCTGAATCGCGGACTATTACGAGATAGTAGCTGGAGCGACAGCAGCGCCCAAGTCGGCGTTGTCAAAGACGATGGAATAACGCGTTGCCCGCCCAATTCCGACGAGAGCTTCTTTAATATAAATGCGCTTTGTTTCCGTGAGCAGTTTCCCTACACGCACTGAGCCTGTAAATGTTACCTTCTTGATATGATGATAACATATGGGTCTGACATCTGTGTGTCATGCAATCCACATGCTTAGCATCAAGTAGCAGTGCACCGAGAGCATTGGTAATGTCCCCAAATTCAAGTCAGTTTCTCCACATCTTCCTGGTCACAGGCTCAGCTACCTCAATCGGTCGGGTTCCGGAGGAGGCGGGGAACCCTGACAGAGACCTTCCTGGATTGGGCTAGGGCCGGAGGAACAGCGCCGAAGCCAGAGGCCATTTGTCTGGGGGAACTGCAACTAACATGGGTCTTACGTCCTTTTGACGATCCGGGCCGGCCCCGGCCCGAGGCCATCAAAGCTTGACCCCGCAGTACGATCCTACAAGTACCAAGCCGAGGGATGCGGGCATCTTCTGGTGCTGTTTCTCGGCCTTGACTTGACTTGGTGGTAACAACAACTAATCCCGTTCGGTAAATATGTCTAACACATCCAAAAGTCCAGAACCAGCCCCGATCAATGTCAGGGACATAAAGGACATCGCGAAATCGAAGCTAAGCTCTGCGGTGTGGCAGTACTACACGACGGGCGCAGAGGAAGAATGCACCTTGGAACGGAACTCGTCGATATAACGCAAGTACGTAACATCTCATTCTCCCCGTTGTCTTTCATTGTTCTTTCCCTCTTTTTCCCGATCAAGCACTTACGAACAAGAACTTGACGCAGGCTTGTTATCCGTCCACGTGTTTTGCGAGACGTTAGTAAGATCAACACGAGGACTACAATCTTCGGCAAAACTTATGACATACCCATCGCCATCGCCCCAACTGCCTACCAGAAGCTCGTGGGCAACGATGGCGAGGTAGGCTTGACCAGAGCAAGTCACGCGCTGGGAAGCAACTTTATCCTGTCGTCGAACGCAACGACATCTCTCGAAGACGTCATGAGCGCTCTGCCCCAGAGGGCCAATCATTACCCGCGTCCATGGTTCCAGCTTTATTTCCTCCGCTCACGTGAAGTCACCGCCCGTGTCATACGCCGAGCAGAGACTGCCGGGTACGAGGCTCTAGTCTTGACCGTCGACACGGTAGTGCTTGGCAACAGGTACCTCGAACGTAAGCAGCCTCTCACGCTCCCCGCAGGTCTGCGCATGGCGAATCGGGAGGGCGCCAACGCTGGGGGAGTCACGAAAGGGAGACTCATGCTGAATGCGCGAACGGCAAAGGAGCACGAAAAGGTCATGCGGGAGCATGGCGACTTGATTGTTGATCCAGGCCTGACCTGGGACGAGACAATACCATGGCTTCGCTCGCAGACTCGCATGAAGATAGTCGTCAAGGGGATTATGACGGGAGAAGATGGCGCGAAGGCAGTCGAGGCAGGCGTCGACGGCATCATCGTCTCCAACCATGGAGGGCGGCAGCTCGACGGAGTCCCTTCGACACTGGAGGTGCTGCCAGAACTCGTCGTGGCAGTCAAGGGTCGGATACCTGTAATGTTCGACGGAGGAGTCAGCCGCGGAAGTGATGTGTTCAAGGCCATCGCTCTCGGCGCCGACCTGTGCTTCATTGGGAGAGCGTCACTCTGGGGCCTCGCCTACAAGGGACAAGAAGGCGTGGAGACAGTCCTGCATATACTGGAGAGGGAGTTGTCGCGCACAATGGCCTTGGCAGGTGCAATGTCTCTTGATCATATCTCCAAGGACATGCTTGGGGTTGCCAGAAGGGATGGCTTTGGGATCTCGAGGCTATAACGTTATATTTCGCTCCAGCACACTTGTCGACATCAAGCCCAGCAACACTTTGCACCCTGGCCTGACCCTTCTCGCCTCAGATTGTCCACGCACGGCAGCAGCAGTCCTTTCCAAGAAGGGTAATCGTGGGTGTTATCCCGTGCGCATAAACGTGGGCTGCGCATTGCAGTGACTGGCCAGGCGGGACTAAACGATACTGAAGCTATGGCGAACAAGGCAAATAAATCGCTTGGTATCGCAGAGACCACCCTGTTCATGTCTACACAAACGGCGTCGTTCGGCAGAAAAAGACAATTGATCTTAGGACTTTATGCGGTCAACCACTACTGATGTCTGCTAGTTCATGCAAAGACCAAACGCTCCCAATATACTGGCCATTGTTAAATGAACGATGAAGGTCACCAAGGTACGCATAGACAACCTAGTGTATAATTTGATAGCACAGGCCGATGTCAAATAGCAAGGCATCTCTTGGTTCTAGGTCGTCTCACGTGGCTGTGTCAAACAGAAGGGAGGGTCGGCCCAGTTTTATATCTTCATTGCGCCGACTGGCCCGAAAATCAAGTCCTTCAGGCTCGTGCCCATGCCCTCTTGTTCTCATGTGCAATGTAAAAGCTACTAGTGATGATAGGTGAACCAACTCAGATACTTTGGACCGTCCAGAAAGGACGCCGACCACCACCCCATCGTCTTTCCAACCTCTATCATGTGCTTCATCACGACGCATATCCAATAACACGTCTCTACAAAAGCCATCATGGCTCGTCCCTTGGCAGAAGATGGATAAGTGCCTGCGTTGGTGGAACAGCCTCCATCCGGTGCAGAGTTGCGATCCGCTAAAGTCAATGTGCAGGTCCCTTGTCTGTCCAGTCCCGACACGCCGCAGCAGGTTGTGACACCCAAGCATTATCTCTTGCATAGTATTCTGCTGGGCTTGTTTTACCTTGGTCCCTGGAACACCCTGATCCGGATGTCCTTAGCATGAGCGTACGCAAGGGACGATAGTGTTCCCTGCCGGTTCTTACACATTCTCGCACCATGTGGCTCCGGAGCACTACCACAAGCATAAACTTCTACACTGACACTGGAAGACATTATCTTGAATTTAAGCGCTCCCGCGCTCGAGATGGTCGTGCTTTCTGTTCGGGAGATACCGCCACCGAGAGACACGCACGAGTTACACGGCGAGGAATTTGAGAGCTCGTGACAACAGCCATAGCCATCGACTGTATCGACCTCGCATGAACAAGGATGAGCCCAGCTCAAAGGTAGCATTCTCATCAATTCCAGCTGCAACTCAGCCCTACGTCAAGGTCGTCCCCACCGATGGCAGAGAGCCCGGCCACCCGCGCCTGCCATAGTCTGGCCGTTTCCGCGCAGCCGGTCAAGGCAGCCTCGCAAGGAGATGGCGTCATCACCGTGCATTCTTGCCGGCTGCTCCCCGTAGACTCACCCACTCAGCTATGCAGCAGATTGTGCTGCTGTACCAGAACGACGGGCCGGGCCGCGTACCGACACCTCCCAGCACGGATAGCTGCCGGCAGTCGGGCAGTTGCTGCAGGGATTCCCCCCTTTCTCAGTGCAGCTGGATGCTAACCAAGTCTAGACCTTCTCCTTGTTCTGAGCTGTACATCTCGACACGCAGACTGGTAGAGGCGAAGCGAAGCTCAGACCGCGTTTGATTGACTGCTAGACTGATTGGTGCGATTACACCTGCTCATCCGCCGAAGAACGACGTAAGCCAGCCATTCAACCGACCTCTCTCAATTCTTTCGGCTGACCTGCCGAGGACCCTCAGCCTAGCTTCTTCCCCGTGGCGTTCGTCATGTGACTCATTCATTCCTGTGGCTTAGTCACACGGAGTGGTCGTAAACTTCATGCAGTGACTCGCAGGCGCGACGGCGCCAGCGCCTAGCGATAGTCTTAGGTAGCTAGTCTCCTGCATCATCCACGATGGGCTATGTGTAAACCAGTTGCCTTGGCATGTGCTGCAGACTATGCATTGCCCTGCCCAAACTCAGCAGCCCCCCCCGAATAAGCAGAGTCGAGCGTGATATCACATTTGGAAGGGCGTGTGTTCTTGCGGACAGGTCGTGTTCGCCGGCGGCAAAACGCCTGCGAAATAGTCCTGGACGTGATGGAAGTAACACAGCGATCCTAGCATGCCAATTACGGTGTGCTGCGTGGCGGAGGGTCTAATGTTAGCATCTAGTGGCTTGTGACGGATGCTAGCAATGGCCTGACATGCGGCCCAACGCGAATTTTGGACGAGCACGACAACGTTTATGAAAGGGTAGGGGGAGAGGGAACTCACGCCGACACCCTCTTGCTGTAGAAGAACCGAGTGCTTGAACTTGGCAGTGGCTTTCTTGGCACTGATGCGTTCAGGCAATGTCAGCTTCATTGACAGTTGGGCGGAGAGAAATGATAGAGCCTTTTCGAAGGAGACTTACGCAGTCAGGCTGCTTATGGGATCAATGGTGTTGCTTGTGAACATAATCGGGAATGCGGTTGGGCTTTCTATAGCCCCAATCGATGCTGTGCTCAACCATCATCAGCCTGTGGGCAAGTTCATGTGTTCCTGTTGACAAAAAGGAAAGCACGAGGAGGCGTGCTCACCCTGCATCAACATGCTATCCGGCAGCTCTGGTTTCAATGCGCTACACAGCACACCGTCCAGTTCAATGGGCCACACATCGCCCACATATCTGCTGCGCGCGACACTGGCCTCGACGAACTCGGCGTACTGCTCGACCGTAGTTATCCTATTGCGCCGTGTCACATCTGCACAGATGATCTGCCTACCGGGGTCGGTCCTCCTGGCTGCCTTGGACGCGAAGGTGCCTGTGAGGGCGGTCGCGTTGCCCGCTTCCAGCTGGTGCAGGACGTCCGCCATGACTGGAAATGAGGTGAGGGGGTCGTACATGGCTTCGAAGATATGCATCTTGATATCTGCTTGTGTCACCATGGCCATGTGCTCGCTGCTGCTGCCCGCTCTATCGACACCGCTGATCGGGACGGGATGGTTCTTGAGCTGCTCGATGAGTCTGCCTAGCCTGCTTAGAATTTCGGCAGATGACGAGCCCCAGAAGCTGCACTTGTCCGCGCCAGCAGCGTGGCAGGTTTCTGCAAAGGACTCGACCCCAGCATCGGTTTGATCCATGTTGTCCAACCAGACGTTATCGTAGTACTGCTCGGCGTCGACAATGCCGTCAAGCACCATCCGCCCTACACGGTTGGGAAAGAGTGTTGCAAACGTCACCCCTGTTACGGTGCCGTAGCTGACGCCGTACGTCCACAGCTTGGCGTCCTCAGGCCTCGTGGTGCCACCAAGTCTAGCTTCGGCCTCGATGTATGAGAGCAGGTCGTGCGCGACGACTGGGGTAGTGACATAGTACGCGTATGGAGAGCTCGTCTTTCGCATAGCATTCTCACACCACTCGGCGAAGATGGCGCTCGAGTAGAACTGCTCCTGCAGCGAGTCGGTCGAGGTGTTGGTAATGCCTGTTTTATGCAGATCGTTGAATTCTGCACGGGCATCCGCGTTGCCGGAAAAGCAATCAAGCGTGAGGCCACTGTTGTTGACGCCTCTGGGGTCGAAGAAGACTAAATTGTATTGCTCGCCGAACATGGCGCCGAGCTGATCGTGAGGCCCGGTCAGAAGCAATTCCACGCCGGAGCCGCCGGGCCCGCCGTAAGTAAAGACAATATTAGGAGCCTCGAATGTTGCGTTCTTGCCTGGGCGCTTGATGAAGGCAATGTCCGTGGTTCCCAAGCTGGGATTTGCATAGTCTAGCGGGACTTGCAGTTTGGTGCATTTGAAGTCATTGAAGCAAGGCGTCCATGTGAGGCTGGAAGAGGAGGTGATCTGGTTAAATGTTAGCGTTGCGAGCTACGGAGTATGGAGTGTGCCACGGTGAATACGTACATCGTCAAAACCGTACAACATGCCTGGCACCGCCTGGCTGCTGCCCACATAACCCATGGCTGCCAGACAGGGCAGTGCAAAATTCCGGAGACGCATTGTGGCGCAACGTAACGACGAGTTGGAGGTTTGATGAGGGGAGATGCGGCTTGACTGGATAATATCTTGATCGCCGTGCTTTCTGCTTGGATCTGGTGGTTGTCATCTCGAGCTGACGGGCCATTTATACTTGTAGTGTGAGCATGGAGAAAGCTTTTGTCAAGTCATTAATGACGACTGCCGTTGACTAACACAAGGACATTGCCATATTTGAGCTCCGCCCCACCGAATGGTCGTCCAGGGCACAGTCCGCATGTGGAATGAAATCAATGTACACCCCTCAGGGGCTCAGCTCGCTGGAAGTGGAACTCATGCTACTTTTGTTGTCCCGCCCACAAACGTGGTAGCCTGCTGTGCGAAGCAGCCAATGACGTTCGCCAAAGCGTCGTCATCTTTACGAGCTATCCACTAAGGGCCTTTGATCTGCCCGCGCCGGCTTACATGTGGATACAGGTTTCCCCGTTCCCGGTAATGTCATGCGACGTGGCTGAAGCACCTTTTACACACAGGCTCAAGCATAACTCTTGACGCCGCAAGTCTCTTTCCTACCCGACTTGCAGCATGGAAAGCAGCGACAACAGCAAATACACGGCCGGAGCAACCCAAGCGTGGCGAAAGCTGCCTCGCAAATATGCGCCCAAGTCGCGACTTGGCTGCAGGACATGCAAGTACGTGCCCAGCATTGGAATGCGGGGTGAAGAAAACAACCAGGAGGCTGGCACTAACACGTTCATTCATCGATAATCCTAGAATACGCAGAGTCAAGTGCGACCTGGTCCGGCCGGCTTGTGGCAAGTGCTCATCCACCGGCCGCAGTTGTGACGGCTATGGCGATCAACCTGACACCAGGAGGTTAGATCAGATACTCTCACATACCGTCAGCGAGACGTCCAAAGATGAGACACGCCGAATCGCTCCATGTCGCAAAGTCAACCATATCGCGTTTCCATACCAACTAAAACCTCTGATGGTTCTTCCGCTCGAAAGCCGCCACCAGGGAGATTCGCTGCACTTCTACGAGTCCATTTCAATCGCACACCTCGATGAGCACATACCTTCGGACGACTGGCGGAACACTCTCAAAACTTTGCGCGCACTGCGGCAGCAGTACGTGCAGCCTCAGTCGCACTGTCCATCGTCCATCGGCAGTACTTGAGTGAACGTACCAGTTGCGCATGGCAGTGCTCCGAGGCAGCGGCCTTGCTGCACTATAACAGGGCGATCCGGCTGCTCCTCGATCAGGACAGCCGCGGGGACTAAACGGCGATGGCCGTCACAATTCTCGTGTCGTATCTGCTCAACTGCATCGACAGTCTGCTCGGTCACTACCCACAAGCACTCCTGCACTTGAAAGGAGGTATCGAGCTCGCGCGTCAAATCACACCAGCGGTAAGCTCTCAGTGTGAAGCGTCAAAGCCCGCCCTGAGGGACACCGATGCTATGCTCAGTCAGATCACGAGACAGCTGCGTCGCCTGGACTTGCAGGCAACTCTGTACATGGGCGAGTGGACTCCTAGAGACTTGCTCACAACTTGGCATTTGCCAGACACTGAACTTTCCTCCTCCCTGAATACCGGCTTCACCTCGCTGGAACAGGCCAGCGACGTGCTTGAGATTCTCATTGCCCAGGTCATGCACCTTCGCAACTCACCACGTCAGGGCACAGTGTTCCCAGCCACGGAGCCCGGCTTCTCCATCGTCAGCTCCGCCAGGAGTACGATTCTCGCAGATTTAGAATCCTGGGCCGCAAACTTCCAGGCACTAGTCTTCTCTGACACGCATCTATCACGGGCTAAGTACCGGACGATTTCCCTCCTCCGTCTCCGACATCGCACCGCGACCATGTTTCTCGCCACATATGGCCCCGTGCGCGAGGCCGAGTATGATGCTTACTTGCCTTCCTTCAGGCAGTGCCTGGCACTTGCCGTGCAAGTCGCGGCCATGCACGTGGAGTATGCAGATAACACCTCTACAGCAACTGCCGGCCGAGCCACCTTCGCGCCCACAGTTGGGCTCATACCAGTTCTGTACATCATCGGTGTGAAGTGCAGGCACCTCGATGTGCGCAGCGAGGCGTTGGAGATCCTGCAGCGGTTGTCAATCAAGGAAGCAGTCTGGGACAATCGTGCTGCTGCAAGGGTTGTCAAACGAGTCATTGAGATTGAGGAAAATAGCCGGATTGTCGAAAGTGGCGCTGGACCTTTCCCCAGACCCCTGTGCGGTACAGGCGAGGCATCAAAGAGCATGGAGCGGATCCCAGTGAGCTCTAGAATCGAGATCGTTAGCTGGGCGCAGTTCGTCTCCAAGCAAGGGTCCTCCGACAGGCTGGAACTATATTACACTCTCTGCGGATCGGATATATGGCATACAGAGCATCTACTTGTATTATAGTTACAGGTACCATGGGTATCAATGAAACGACGTTGTTCTACCCTGCCATATGTTAGTGCTATGCTCGAACATCCGCTAGGTAGTTGTCACGATCCGATCTCCGGGGTTAACCCTCTGACCGGGCGCTATGGGGTTTATGTTCGGAAGGAGGTAGGTAGCACCTCTTATAATACTAACTCCGTGCTATCGTGCTCTCGAATAGTTATCGTTCGTATTTCTATACGTAGAAACCTTGGTACCCTCTCTGGGTACCAAGCCTTTTTATAAGGTGGGTATTGAGTTGCTGCTGATTATGATGCCGCAGGGGTTTTTTCAGACCTGCCTTTGCGGTCAGAGTTGAAAGGTACACCAGTCGTCTTGGTGAGAGGCTCCGGAGCTTCTTCGAACTTCAGCCAGCACCAGCGTCAGCAGGTATGTGGCTCAGGACGAGACAAGGGCTTCGCCAACGGCTGCATCCAATTGGTTGGAGCCGAGACCGTCTTTGAACCGACTTTTCCCACATCGATGAGGACGGCCCAGGCCAGAAGAGTGTCCTGGTCAAGACATGGCTCATGTCTCAGACCCAAGTGCTTGTGGAGCTGCAGCGTTGGTAAGGCATTTATTGGCCAGGACTTTGGAGGTTTGATATTTCGTAAAGTTTATGTCCGGGGTGACTCAGATTGTCTCAAATGTGTGCCGCACAGAGGAGTCCTTAGCTGAGAGGGGCAGACTCCAAGAAGCGGAGTGTCTTGCGTGGAGCTTGACGTTCGTTCGCGTGATGCTGCGCGTGGCTGACACTGAGACCTGCAGATCAGCCGCTGCAATGTACCCTTGCTTTAGGTCTTGCAAACTTCAGCTCACTGAGGCGGACCGTGTCTGTCTTTCCAAGCGCTAGCGCCGGATAGTCCTACGCCACCGCGGAAGTGAAGCGACCCGTTGTTAATTAGACTTGATCTATGTCTTCCAACTGCCATTTGATATCCTACCCCTGTTAGGCTGCTTGGTTCTGGCAGTGAGGACAGCTATGGGATCGCAAGGGAAGACTTGTGGACATGAAGGCAGATTTCAGCCCCCACCTCAGCTTGATGACAATGAATATATATGTCGCGGCTTTGGCCTGTTTATGTTGGCATGGTCAGACCACTGGGAACCACATTCAAGCATTTGTCTCCTACTTTCACCTTTCCGTCTCAGACTGCACTGTCAATGCGGCCTCGTTTCGTGCTCGCTGCACTTGCAGCAGCGATATCCCCCCAGGTCAATGTCGGCACCAACCCAGTCCCGGACGCTTTGGACGTTGAATACCTCGTCAGTCTGCCTGATCTCCAGGTTGATATCATACCCGGGCTGTCGGAACAAACCGTCTCTTACGATGCCGAGGCTGCCGTAGCCACGGCTGCCTCTGATGTCGAAGGGACTCCCTTGAGCGTTTTCCCGGCCGCCACGAGCGAGGCAATCAACTCCGCCGGTGAGACACCAGGAGTAGAGCCCTCCACGTCTGGCCGTCAACAAGTCGCACGCGAGTATCTTGAGCCACGCGCCGCGTGTGCTGCAGAACCCAACATTACGAACTTCTACAATGTCGACGTTTACGAACATTACAGGTTCAAGTTTGACTCCAAGATTGCGTCACTCGCGAATGATGCACCGATCCCTGCAGGGTATTTCCAGAACTACAAGAATCTATGGGCAGCTAGTATCGCCAGCGCCTACCTGGGTTACACCGTCCTGAAAACCGGCTATGATGTCGAGGCCTGCGCGAGGAAATGCTCAGCCAAACCCGGCTGTTTAGCGTTCAACATCATCTTCGAACGCGACCCTTTGGTGACGCCTGGACCCGGCTGTGAAGAACCCCTCGCTTTTGCCAACATCAAATGCAGTTTCTGGGGGGTGCCGCTGACGGCGGCTACCGCGACCAACAAAGGGGAAATGCGAGCGAAATTCCGGGTCGGCATCGCCGGCTCCAACGCCTACACCTCGTATAGGGTTGGTGGCCCAGTCGACAGCTTTGATACTCCCCTCAGCCTGGGAAATGCTGCGCTCAACGCCCCTCTGACAGACTGCGCCGGCACCTGGACCTATCTGGGTTACAAGCTCTACAGAAACCAGCCTTTTGACTCCCGTCTTTGTGCGGCGGCCTGCGACGCGCAGACTGCTTATAACATCGAGCATCCTCCCTCTAGTGGCAAGCCCGCTCTGTGTGGCGGCTTTGGGACCTATCTGCTCCACAAGACGAACTCTGCTGGATCGTCAATTGTGGGACAGATGTGCACCCTGTACACCTCTGCTCACGACGCAGAACACGCCACGAACACTGCTGAACACAGCGGCGACACTAAGTTCACGTACTCGAACAGCTTCTTCTATGCCCGCCCGGATTGCCAGCCTCTTTGCTCATCTACGCTGGAGTATCTGAAGAGTGAAGGGCAGGAATTCTGCTCTTCCGTTTTTGATTATCTCCCACCCTCGACGACAGTCTACACTACCGCCCCTCCTCTTGCTGCGGTCTTTGTCACCAAGACCGTGTTGACAACGGCCGTAACTACAGTTGGAGGATCTCCGGACGCGCATTGGAAGAGACGCGGCCGGTTTGCCCGCCAAGAAGAACTCTCACTCACTTCCACGGAGGCGTCCCCTGCTGCACTACCGGACATCCGGTCTCTGTATGACTGGGCGAATTCTGTGGCCGCCAACGTTGAGACTGTTGACAACCTCGGACCCTACACCATTGCCATTCTCACGCAAACCGTAGTCGAGGCTGCGCCAACCAATGGCACTGCAGCCCTCACCCGCCGAGCCGTCGCTACACCCACGCCCATCACCGGTTGGCCGTCCTCGAGAATTTCGGAAGCATGTTTGGCCATTGCGACGAACGTCATGACCGTAGTTGGCACTACGACGCCTGCTGCCTTGACCAGGACAGCCACTACTTTGCAAACGACCACGGCAACATCCTTCACCAACACGGAAACCTGTGCCGTGCTCACCATGCTAGCAGAGTACCGAGACCTCATTCCCGTGTTCGGCACGTGGGACAAGGATCAGTTAGCCCCCGGGCCTAATCCGTACCCTGTAGATTTCGTATTCAGCACCATCCTGCTCCCCTTCCCTCTGTGCTTCTGGGATATCTGCACAAAGATCATCTCTCCATCCCCCCACGGCTTGATCTACTTGCCGAAGTCTGAAGCAAATGGTGTCAGTGTTCTCTTGAACGTTTATGCCGGCGTGCGGCAATACTTGTATCCGGGCTGGAACCTGGGCGTCTTCACGCGCGTCACGGGCCCACTGGGCAACAGACAGTTCACCATGAGCTGGTACACGTCCACGTGGGACTTTGGCCATGCCAAGGCCCACTACTCGGTGACGTGGTACGAGAACATGCCCCAAGTCGTGTACTACAAGTACTACGATGCCGTGCAGGTGTATGCCAACACCCACAGCGTTGAGAAAGGTGAGCAACTGCATTATCTTTGCCCTGCAGGGAGCCTATTTACGTTCGTTTTTCAAAATTCTCTTTTCCTCCGCTAGGCTATTCTTCTTTTCGGTCAGACCTATGGACGGGCGAGCTTACGGAAATTAATCATTGGTTCCCAGATTACGGAGGTCCGGTAACACATGTCTGGCCGGTGGGGCAGTTCATGAAGGCCGGCACGCAAATCAGGATTGAGGCCTCCCCGGACGGCAACGTGACGTACGAGGCGACCCAGCGTAACCGGGTTGACTGCTGCACAGACGTGGCCGGCTGGCACAGCTGCACCGAGTGGCAGCCCCAGATCCTGTGAGCAACTTACGCTCCCAGACATGATTGCGATAGCGCTTTGGTGGGAAGCGACGAACGTCCACTGGATGGGCGCTATAGTGACGGGGCTTGTGGACATGTGCGTCCCAGAGTTAACGGGCTTTCTGATAGATATGGAAAAAAGAACGACGGGCTGGGTGTCGGGAATACCGTGCTGCAAGGCAGGTAAAGCTGTCACAATACTGACTCTCTGCCGTCGTTCTCTTTCTGAGGTTCCCGTATCTCTGGAAAGGGAAATACACTGATACTCAGAGATGATACTAGTACTAGTACTATATAGACTGAAAGCTGAAGTATATAAGTAAGAGCCATGGCGCCGTGGGACTATAGGAACCATTAGTCGTGGGGATACGATACTGCCCGGTAAATCATGGGCTAGTAATTAAATAGGTATTTGAAACTTCTCTTGGAAAAACACTTTCCATTAGATAATTCGCCCACGACGTGCTCTTTCATCGATCCGTTATTATAGCGAGATTCTCCAGGTCCGAAATAACAGAGAGGCGCCCCCGTATCGTCCGCAAAACAGACTAATCATCGAGTCATCTTATATCCCTTCCGGCTCGCCCTTATACTTTTTACCTAAAATCCAACCGAAGGGTAGCGACGTACTGTAACTTAGAGCGCTGAAACTGAGACCGTCGCGAATTCACCGCATAACTTGCCTGAATAGTAACGACAACTAACCCGCACCGTAAGGCCTACTGGAAAAGCCCGAGAAACGTTGCTCCCGATAGTATAGCTACTTTAGGAGAAGGACAAGGCAGCTCTGTTCAAAAGATGTTGGGGGTGGTTGGGGAGACGCATTAAGACGTGGAAGGGTTGACGGAAGCTATTAAGCCGCTGACCGGAGCGGCGTATTACCACATGTAAGTCCAAGTCCAAACGGTAGATTTAGGTTTAGAAACCTTATTGTGCTTTCTCTTGATTGGTGCAAAAGAAAGAAGGAGGGGAAGGTTTGAGTTGGGATACGAGATATCGGCGAATGAAGCCGTTCCGAGAGATGATGATAATAATGAATGTTAATTTAAAGTCCGTCCCAAGCCCGATTACGGATTTATGCAGACTGTAGTAACTAAGAGCGTAGGGGAAAGGTTACCGTGTGTAAGATGGGAGATGGAAGGCGGTAATAGAAATCAGTTCATTGGCCGCGCCGAGTCCTACACTTGGTGGGAAAGTTTGAGTTACTGCTAAGCAGGATACGGTGAAATCTTTTGTGAATCACCAAGACAGACGGTACAACACTTACATCCAATCATATTTGCCTTGACTGACGTCTGTCGCAGCCATAACGCTTACCACCTGTCACACCGGATTGCCTTAATAAAGCTAATATCGTACGAGACGACTCACCTGATCTGCTGTGAAACGGGAATGTTTATTAGCTAATCCCCATTCCTTACAATCGGTCAAGCTAACAGCAGCGTACAGCACCATCTTACGTTTCTGTCCTGGCCGCCAATGCGCTTTACGGTCATTTCAGGAGCCGGCCCAAACCTCAATCTCCTGCCGAAAGGCTGAAAAGATGCATGTGGCAGGCAGACCTCAGGCGGGGATTTCGCATGCTCCATATCAGCGATACTTTCCGGCTCTAGTTTCCATACGCGTCAGAACATGATTGCTTTGACTTATTCGAATGCATAGAGAATGCTACAATGCATGTGATGCCGAGCACCTCAAAGACATAGAACCGTCGCGTAGTGAATGGTACGTTGTCTATTTGGATATAAATATGTAGTTCTCCCCAAGTCTATCACCTCCGCAATCAAAAATATCTATTACCGCCGTACACTGATTTTCTCGGCAATCTGGATCTCAACATAAAAGACTGGTGCGGAACCACCGCACAACCTGACACCATGTCTACCCAATACCCGATCGGTCAAGATACCTCGCAAAAGAGGCAGTTGATAAATTCCTTACGTGCGAGGATTGGGAAGGAACGATTAGAGACCGTCGGCACTCTGGACGAGCTCAAAAAAGCATTCGACCACCTCAAACTAAGCGATGACATGTCGGTCTCTGACTCAAAGTACGACTGCACAACGCAGGTGTCGATGCCCGAGCCCCAGATCAGACCTAAACATGAGAAGCCAGACCCCGATGAACTCTGGATCGGCCTATGGGGTGAAATACCGCGTTGGAAGAAGGGGTCGACTGTCAATTACACTGCATATAAGCATGGCTACTTGGCACCTAGCCACGCCTATTACGCCGCGTATAGGCTCTATCAAGCAGCTGAGGAATGGAACCGCCTGAACATCGGCGTGAAGTTTCGGTACGTGAGCAAGCTTGAAGATGCCGCATTCGTTCTGGCCTACGGCGGCGACGGAGGCTCCACAATGGGAAAAGGGTTCTTTCCGAATTCGAAGGACCTCAACACACTGTTCGTATATCAGAGGGCCTTTCAGGCAGGCATTGTCAATAACATGACCAATGTCTTTCTGCACGAACTTGGGCACATCTTGGGTCTCAGGCACGAGTTTGCGGACCTAGAAGGTGGCGCTATCCAGTGGGGAAGCAGGAATCCGGACTCGGTCATGAGCTACAATTTCCCCCCACAGATTCAACCGTCTGACGAAAAAGACACAAGATCGTTCTACGATTCCACAGAGCAAAGAATCGGAGGCTACCAGGTTCTGAACATAACCCCAGACAATTAATCTCTTGCAATTTACGTTGTGTGTACGGAGGTTCTTATGGGGCTAGCGGCGACAAAAATTTACCCACAAGGTTGACTCTACACTAGTTGACTCGATACTAACCCCATCACGGAAGTCCAAATAGGGAGATCAGACAGTCTCTTCAGGATGAGCATAAATAGCTCCAACTTCACTCCTTTCATGTATCTAGCAAGTAATCAATAACTTGTCCGCTGCGTATGCTGTCACACTGGCGCTCTCTCCAAACTGGACTTTATTCTTGGAGACCAAGACAGAGCGTATAAGCTGCACCTTGGTCCACAGAGCCGGGGTAGCTGGGGAATCCATCCTTCCAGCAGACAGTCTCAAGTCCGCAGGTGACGGTCAAGAACAGACATTCGCTTGGGCGTTCGACCTTACACAGAAATACGTTGCGAAGCGCTTCCGCCTGCTGGACCTTTACTAGCTCATCGGTGGTCGGGAATTCAACGAGGCGTGTCGGAAGGTCCACGCTTTCGCGGACACTATCATTGATCAACATCTCCAGAACACCTCATCCGAGGATGGCCGGAATGATGGGAGATACGTATTCCTAAGACCGTCGCCAATGCTTGCCCAGACAAGGCAACGCTGATAGGCCAGATTGTTAACATCTTGGCAACTGGTCGGGATACGACAGCGTGCCCCCTATCTTGGGCGTTGTGAGTTGTCTTGGATTCTGTGACTGGTCTAGCCTAACCATTGATGCCAGCTTCCTACTTGTGAGACACCCGAAAGCAATGGAGAAGCTCCGCGCCGAGATATCCCAGATTCAGGTGAGGGAGGATAAGCTTAACAGAACGCATTGGCACCCACAACGTGTCGCGTGATGACGGCTCGGCCGCCACCCTCAGCGCCCGTGGAGTGGCCACACACATGGGCAAGACCCACGAAAGCGTTACGACACATGCTCACTACCTTGCGGAGGACGCTACTAAGCTTGAGAGGGCTGATACCAGTCTCCCCAAGGGCCCGACGTGACCATGGACGTTCTGGACTGCTGCAAGGCGCCAGGGGAGACACAAGGTCAGCACACCGTCAGCCCGACCATCGAGGCGGCCTTTCCCCCTACCAAGGTCGGCGTAAGCTACTCGTGGCAGAACAAGGACACGCTCACCCTCGAAGACAGCGCCAAAATCCAAGGCGAAAAGCGCAGCCTAATATAAAGAACAAGTAACTTCAATCAGGTGGTAACGTAATCCACAAGCAAGCGGGTCACACAAGCGACCGGGTCATATTCCTGCAATTCTCAATTACTCCTCTTCTTTCCTTAATTTCTCCACGAACAAGTATGCCACGACAATCAATTGAATCAGAGATCATTCTCGCGCTAAATGCGCTTCAATCAGACCCTAAATTAAGCGTACGAAAGGCTGCATCGATATATAAGGTATCACGTACAACACTACAACAACGATACCACGGCCGCTCTGCGAAAGGCGATACCCGACCACGTAACCAGAAATTGACCTCGTACGAAGAGGACAGTATCGTACAATACGTAATCGACCTAGATTCGCGATCGTTTCCGCCGCGGCTTAGTGGTGTTCGAGAAATGGCGGATCGACTCCTCCGCGTACGCGACGCGCCACGCGTCGGAACGAACTGGGCCTCAAACTTCGTACGACGACGACCTGAGCTCCGTACGCGTTTAAATCGAAGAATCGACTACCAGAGGGTCCTCTGCGAGGATCCGGACGCGTATCGCGCGTGGTTTAAGCTCGTACAAAACATAATCGCGAAATACGGGATCCACGATGATGACATCTATAACTTCGACGAAACGGGCTTCGCGATGGGTAAAATCTCCGCCGAAACCGTCGTTACGACCTCCGATCGACGCGGGAGGCCAAGAGCCGTACAACAAGGGAATCAGGAATGGGTTACAGTAATCCAGGGCATCGCGTCGTACGGCTATTCAATCCCGCCGTATATCATCTTCGCCGGGAAGGTCCACCTCGACTCCTGGACCGCGAATAGCCCCCTACCGCCCGACTGGGTAATCGCGCTTTCAGAAAACGGTTGGACGACGAACGAGAGGCGCCTAGAATGGGTAAAACACTTCGATTTCCATACGAAGAGTCGTACGAAGGGTACCCACCGCCTCCTTATCCTCGACGGCCACGAGAGCCACCATTCGGTCGATTTCGAGCTCTACTGCAAGGAACAGAATATCGTAACGCTCTGTATGCCTGCTCACTCGTCGCATAAGCTCAAGCCTCTCGATGTTGGGTGCTTTGGACCTCTGAAACGGGCGTACGGTAAAGAAATCGAAGGTCTAATACGGGCGCACATAACCCACGTTTCAAAGGAGGACTTCCTCCCAGCCTTTTATAAGGCGTACGACGCTGCAATGACCAAATCAAACATCCAGGCAGGCTTTAGAGCGACAGGCCTAGTACCGTACGACCCGAATTATGTGATTTCGCAGCTAGATGTGAAGTTTCATACGCCGACACCGCCAGGTTCCTCTGCTGGACTACCACCCCCATGGGTTTCAAAGACGCCGAACAACCCAATTGAGACCGAATCGCAGACGAAGTACATTGAAAATCGCATCGTACGACACCAGAATAGCTCACCGTCGTCCATTGTTGAGAGCGTACAGCAGCTGAGAAAAGGAGTCATAATGATGGTACATGAGCAGGACCTTATGCGCCAAGAGCTCGCCGAACTTCGAGATGCAAACGACCGCCTCAGCCGCCGTCGTCGTACGAAAAGAAAGCAGCTACAGAAAGGAGGGTCCCTCACGATTGATCAGGCAAAGGATTTGAAGGCTCAAATCGATGCGACGCAGCAGTTGATAGCGGAAACAAGTCAGAATAGTGGTCGTACGAGGAGGCCCGAAACGCGCGCGCGACGCTGTGGCGTCTGCGGGGAGCCCGGCCATAATGCGCGTACCTGTCAGAAAGTTGAGTCTACCTCTGAAGAAGAGGATTCTGAGTAGTTTGAATTGATTTGAGGCGTTGTGGTTGAATTGACTTATATATTGTCGTACGAGTACTGGGAGGGTGACCCGGTCGCTTGTGTGACCCGCTTGCTTGTGGATTACGTTATATTAACTGTCGAATAAGGCCGCAAGATGGTTTAGAAGGCCCAGGAGGACGAGGAGGCAGTAGCACGTCGTCGACTTGAGGCCGTCGTGAAAAAAACGGCTTTCCCTTATAAAAAAGGCTTACAAGGAGGTCGCTAGAATCTGCAGGAAACGGCGCCTTACTAACGCGACATTTAGGTAGGAGTCCTATAGCGGTATCGGTAAGTGTGAAATACTAATCACTATGTACGAAGACATTGTTTATAGCACCTGCCCGTGGCGTGGTTGGCTGTAGGTCAAAACACATCGTCACATGCGTCATTTTGCTGTGTGTGTCATTTTGCTGTACAGCACCACCTTTAGGTGGTGCAGCATTTCAATGCGAAATCATATAAAGTGGGGCGTGGCACGGGTAGTCCGACTCGGCGCGTCTCTTAGCAAACGGCGAGGCATCCTCGACTGGACCTGCAAGGCTTTCTCCTCTAACCCCCCTCCCGATGTCTCGCATGCACAGTAGACAGGCCGTTGCTGATCAGTGCCCCGTGGAACCTGGCAGGGGCCGTGGTACTGTGTAGACCTGACTGAGAAGTCAGAGACCGGGACCAATATCTATAAGAGAACCTGCCTTCGTCTCTGATCACTGTTCCGTCTCCTCGTGTAAATACTGAATACTTCTTTAGATTCATATCAACCCCGAGTAAAACTATCAAGTCCCACTCAGTGATATACCAGAGGCTTCATTGGATCTATCCAGTCCTCGGTACACGATCAACACTTACACGACTCCATCTTTGATATTAACAATCACAATGCGCTCCCAGTTTCAGGCTGTAGGCCTTCTCCTGGCACCTGCTCTTGTAGCTGCCACTACCGGCCCCAGAGTCCGCCCCAACGGATTCCTGCCCAGCAGCGGCAAGATCAATGTTCTGGCTACCTGCGGTGTTGGCGAGGAGACTTGCGAATGGGGCTGCATGGACGCCGGCGCTGTTTGCTGTAACGACAACACGGCCGAGTACTGCAACCCTGGTTACTTCTGTATTCCCGACGGCTGCTGCCCGGAAGGCAACACCTGTGATGGATATTCCCCAGCGCCGTCCACTGACGACGATGGCCAGCTGCCAGTTGGCGCCATCGTGGGCGGCGTGGTGGGCGGCGTTGCAATCCTGGCCCTTATTGGATTTGGCATCTGGTTTATCATCCGAAGGAACAAATCAGGGCGACAGAATGGAGGGCAAGGCCCATCATCTCAGATGGCGCAAGGTCCCGCCCCAACGTACATACCAGGGGGCTATGGCATGCGCAACTCTCAATACGTAGACTACGGGCCGGCAGGAGCGGCCGCCGGTGGCGTACCTAAGAGCCCAGCGGAACCTCCTGCCTCCTCCGCGAACGACACCCATCGCGCTACTCGAGATTCGAAGGGGCCTACTCGGCTTGCTACGACGGAGAACAGCCTACGCTCGGAACATAACCCGCTTGAGCTGGCCTGAAAGAACTGCATACTATCATATGTGCCTATTGCCTTACAAGATCATTTTCTAATCTCTACTCACAAATAGACCTCCAATTACGTATTATCAGGATCCGCGGGCGCGCGGGGGGCATGGGGTACTAAGGCGATTCGAGAAGATATGACGGTGGATGATTGGGCTCGTGACGAGTCCATTAGTAAACCAGCCCGAACCCTGCATGAACATGCATGAACACGCCCCTGGAAGATACTACGGAGTACAGCCCCAATATAGACCAGACAAAAACAAGTCGGCTGGTATGCGGGTCATCCGTTCAGCTCACCGTGGCCATCCCTGTCGATCATACGAAATGGGGATGGCCAATACGACCTCGTCATTTCGTCCCCACATGCGCTATCGGACCATGCCGGGGGAACACCGGAGGGAGCTGAAGCATTGTGGAGGTAGGGATAAATACGTCCGCAAATCCCTCATTTTGTCGACATCGAAGCGGTTGCATCTGCTTGTCTCCTCAGCCGACAGAATGCGTTTCCACTTGCATGCAGCTCTAGGATTGGCGGTCCTCGCCAGCTCGGCATCCTGCCAGCCCACGACTTCCACGGCACCCACGGCCAAGGTGCGTAATGGGACGTATGCGGGTGTCAGCCTGTCGGGCTTCAAACAGGACGCGTTCCTGGGCATGCCCTATGCCCAGGACACTGGCGGTCAGAACCGGTTCCGCGTGCCGCAAGCACTCAACACGAGCTGGAGTGGTGTCCGCACCGCTCAGAACTACGGCAATGCTTGTCCCGACCCCGATCCCACCGACGCCCTGTACGGGATGAGCGAGAACTGCCTAAGCATCAATGTCGTGAGGCCGACCAAGAAGGCCTCCGACAAGGCGCCGCTGCCGGTGGTGGTCTGGATTCACGGCGGCAGCTACCACTACGGCACCACCGGCCTGCCGTCCTACAACCTGTCGTACATCGTGCAGCAGTCCGTGGCGATGGGCAAGCCCATCCTGGCCACCAGCATCAACTACCGCAAGGGCGGATGGGGCAACATGTACAGCATCGAGGTGCAGGGCAGTGGGCAGACCAACCTGGCGCTGCGCGACATGCGGCAGGCGCTGGCGTGGATCCAGGAGAACATTGCGGCCTTTGGCGGCGACCCTAAGCGCGTGACTATCTGGGGCGAGTCGTCCGGGTCCTTTGCCGTCGGCCAGCTGCTGCTCAGCTACGGCGGACGCACTGATGGGCTGTTCCACCGCTCGATCCAGGAGAGCGGCGGCGCTACCACGGCCTGGTACAACGGGACCGACTGGTACCAGCCGACCTATAACACGATCGTGGACGCCGTTAACTGCACCGATGCTGTTGACACCCTGGATTGCCTACGCACTGTGCCCTACGACAAGCTCGCCCCGCTCATCGATCCTAACCTATATCCGGGACCAGGTTGGTACCCGACCGTCGATGGCGACATTATGCCCCAGTTCCCTACAGAACTCTACGCCCAAGGCAAGTTCGCGCATGTGCCACACATCTACGGCACCAACTCGGATGAAGGCACCGACAATGCGCAGCCCGGCATCAACACTGACGACGAGCTGCGCGAGTGGCTCCAGAGGGAAGTGGGCTTCGGCTACCCAGCGTCTGTCGTAGAACGCATCATGCAGCTCTACCCAGACGACCCTGCCCAGGGAGTCCCAATCAACACGGGGCTTCAGACATTCGAAGACATGGGCCGCGGCAAGCAGTACAAGCGTGTGGCGGCCATCGCCGGCGACATCTTCTACCACGGGCCACGACTGGCTGAGGCGCGCAGCTATGCGCAATACAACCCCAGCAACACCTTTGTGTACCGCTTCAACACCCGCGGATACCTCCCCGCCACGACGGACGCTAACGGCACCGTGACGCCCGCGGGACTCAACTTTGACTATCTGGGTGTGGAGCACGCAACCGAAGTCCCGTTCGTGTTCAACAACCCCGATGGCGTGGGGCCGTGGCCGGAATACCGCGCGCTGAGCACTGCCATGAGCGGCATGTGGATCAACTTCGTGAATAGCGGCAATCCGAATGGGAAGGGCGTGCCCGCGTGGCCGCGGTATGCCGATGGTCCAAAGGGCAAGAACTTGGTGTTGCAGACTCGGAGCCAGGGAGGATTCTATGTCGAGGATGATACATACCGTCTGCAGGGGCGGGAGTATCTGAGTCTATGGGCTAAGCGACGACATGTCTAGTCAACCCCGTTGAGAGAAACCTCAAGACTCTGGGGCCTAATATCAAGATAGCTAGATATGACAGTAACATCGGACAAGGCTGTGGGTTCTTGCCGGCTGAATCGACTAGTGTCGTGAATACAAACGTTGCAGGCCAAACATAAGTGGAAAGTCCAATGGAGTTAATGGCATGGCCCCCCAAATTATCCAATCAGGTCAATTAGCTCCAGCGGCCGGATCGCCCTTACATCATGGCGCACTCGTTTCGTGTCGGGCCGTCGCGGTCCACTCATAGCCGCCGCTAGATTTCGAGTAGAGCTTGTTGTTGCGTCATGATAGAAATCTAGCGGGCAAGAGTCTCCACTTTGATCATGACACAACATGACAAACATTAACCCGGAAGTCGCCGGTCTGAAGACGCAACAGCGCAGTGGTCCCACTTTGATCATGACATAGCATGATAAACATTAACCCGGGAGTCGCCGGTCTACAGTCGCGACGGCGCGGTGGTTCAAGTTGCATAAGCGTGGATCAAGTCGTCGTCATTGATCACAGCCAGTGTTGAAGTAGTTGCCATACATAAATAGGGCCGTTTTCGCCTGAGCCAGCGACCTGAGGCATAACAATTATCCACATCCACACCGAGCACAGTCAAACTTAACCACCATGCCGGCCCTTCCCAGCCCAGATGCTGCCCCTTTCGAGCAGGACATCAAGAATCGTCACTTGATCTATGACTACGACGTGCCTGGAGCACAGACGGACAGCGGCAAGGACGAGAAATGGCGGTACGAGATGTGGTTCCACAGCGAAGACCGCATCGTTTACGCCATTCACGGCGGGCCTATGGCCGGTCGCTACAACTACCAGACGGCTTACTACCAGTGTGTACGTCCGGGCGAGATCTGGCAGTGCAATTGGCTCGAGGAGACCGGCACCATCTGCTCGCTCGTCTATGATATTCCGAATCGCAAAGTGACGACACTCTTAGGGTTCTCCAAAGGCCACTGGACGCAGGCTGAAGCTGCGCACGGGGATAAACGGAACAAGGAGGACTTTGAGCGGTGGCGGCAACTGGCCAAGGTCGGCATTCAGACAGAAAGACACATGTTGGCGGAGCAAGCCAGCATCGTCGAGGACTTCCATGGCGCTGGCGAGTTGAAGGATATCGATGTATCGTGGCCGACCATTTAGGCAGGCGGGGACGACTGCATGTACCAAAGCGCCCAACTATCTCCATCGCGGCTCACATCAATGCTTATTGGCATTACGTTTGGATGACATATAAAGCAGGCGAGAGTTTTTTCGCAGATGGCCGTTTCAGGATAGCACCACCAGGAATTAATAGAATAACTAGAGACGGAGAAGGTTGCGAGCATGTGCTTAGATTTACTGCTTGTACGAAAAAGGGCAATCCGTATGGCTTTATCCGAACTGAGGTCTCTACACCGCTTTTTTGCTTGGACGCAGCTCGTATCCCAGGCTGCCATATTGCGCTTACCGCCACTTGTTAGAAAGGAATGGGCGCTGAGATCTCTACGGTATGGTTCAACTTGCGGAAGTTTTCCCAATGCGCGATCCCCGTTTACGTAGCCGGGAATTTTCAAGCCGCCAAGTGTACGTTGTAAGCAGGGGTCTTTAGGCAACGAGATCCGTCCCCAGCCCCGTTGTCAGATTGGGAGAAATCGACGCTTTGGTATAGTGCTTATTTTGGACACTTGAAATTTCCATGGGGCGGCTGTGGAGGCCCGGACGGATACTACCGTCATCCCTCACAAAGCTGCTGCATATGGTGAGGGAGGCAGATCTCGACGCTTGATCGCAGCTTCTCAGTACCTTACGGCTTGTTGCACCGTCTTTGAACTTGGCCGTCATTATTACTGTCAGTTACAAGAGAATTGGCAGTCATATATGACCTGGGGAAGGAAGCTCTTGATTATCAAAGATATCCTTTCCGAGGTTAAACCATGTTCGTATCCAGTCATGGATCAATCAACACTGGGATCGTGCACATAGTGTGGGGTGTAGATCGTTGCACTTTCGATTCTTTAGCCGGGACCCTTGCATTGTAACAGCACTTCTGAGCCAAGACAATAAGCATCGTGACCTGAACTTGACAGAAACGCGTATAAATATCGTGACGTTCCCAGCATCTTTCCGGGCTCTCATTCTCCATCAGCCAGATCCGCCAGCTTCTTCTCCCTCATCCAGCCCATTAAACAAATTCCCGCTCCTCCCAGCTCTAACTCAACCTTCCTCCCTCAACATGCGGTCCTCTCAGCTCATCGCTCTGTCCGGACTTGTCCTCTCCGGCGCCAATGCCCAGCAGTACGAGGCCAATATTGCCTTTGCCCTTGACTCCGACAGCTGCGGCGACGGCTTCTACGTCGGCTGCTCGGTCAACGCGGGCGATTGCTGCACCCTGGCCTCGGGCTTCGGAGAGGCCAAGTCCGTCTGGTTCATCCTCGGTGACCAATCCCCCAATGTCACCGGCAAGGTCTACACCGGCGGCGATTGCCTCGAGGAGAACTTCATTGGCGAGCAGGCTAGCGGCGAGCTCAACAACTTTTGCTATGCCAAGCCGGCCGCGGTTCCTGGAAGCGCCCACTACTTCCCCAACGGCGTTACCCGTGTGGCTCAGCCAGGTGTCGTTGGTGGTGGCAGTGTCGTCAGGAAGAGCGCCAAGGAGTGCCGCTCCCCCGACCACCTCGTCTTCCCCGGCGGCGCTCGCGCCAACATCGAGGGTCTCGCCGAGAGAGACTATAAGGAAATGGTAAGTTTGGAAGTGAAGAATCTTTAAAGGAAAGCTTTGGTCTGGAATCAAGCGCTAACTCTCATGTGTGCTGTAGTGAGCCAGATCCCCACAAGGATGCCATGAGCTGCCCTTTACCTATGGACGGGCAGCCTTGAGCTCCAGCAATAAGGCTGCTATATCGACAAGATCTCATTCTTTTGGGGCCAGAGCTTTGGAATGTCTCGGAAAGTACCTTTGCTAACTCCTGCTGCTGTATATAGCCTCGACATGGTCGTCGCCCGCCGTGGTGCCGCCGACATCGACGCCGCTCTCGCCGCTTTCCGCAAGTAGGGGGGCCCCTCGGTTCATTGCCCCTTTGGGCCAAGTCCTCGAACCAGAGGCCAGTGTCCCTAGAGAAACGACGTTTGGCGTGGGCGGAATGGAGATGGAGTGTATAGGGGACCTTGAGTTGGGCTATCTAGGGTTAGCCATGAGTTCGAATACCGTATAACGTAATCCACGGGCGAGTGGCCCACCCCAACCAAGTCTTGCAGGTATCACCCTCGATAACACAGCCCCAACGCCTTAAATCAATTAAGCTCAATCGCTATCTTCTAGTTCAGACCCAAGAGTAACTATGTAACAAGTTCTTGCGTTATGACCGGGTTTCCCGCAGACGCTACAGCACCGCTGCTTTGGTGCAGATCGACTTTCACCCCTAGAGTTTTCCTGCATTTCCTGTACTACCTGAGCATTTACCTCTCTCTGGGTTACGAGATCTTGTCCCTCGCCTAGAGTCATGCTTTGGCCTTTCCTGAGACGTGTTTTTTTCGCCCTACGACGCTTGCTAAGTATTGCATTCTCGTCTTCAAGGGCTTTCATCCTTGCCTCCATTAAGGTAAACTTATGCATAATCCCCTTTGCCCCCTTCGTGAACTGCTCAACTGCTTCAATAATTGACGTTGGAGAGCTTCCCTGGTGACGAGAGATTCGACCTTTAATAAAATCAGACTGTGAACGGGCTTCTATAGCTGTAGTAGGCGTTCGGGAAGTCCATAGCTCGGGTGACCTCCGAGGCGTCCCTAGGGGCGTTGGCGTCTTGAACTTTACATCGAGCTTAGATAAGACTGCTTCTGGGTCATAGGGTACAAGTCCTGCCCCTCTGAAGCCTCCCTGGATGTTTTTTTCCGTCATTGTCTGTTGGAATGCTGCTAAAAACGAGGGGAGGAAGTCCTCCTTGCTGATATGCGTTATACCCGCCTTCATCTTGAGCTCGATTTGCCGACCGTATGCTTTCTTCAGCGGACCAAAACACCCAACATCGAGAGGCTGGAGTATATGAGACGAGTGAGGAGGCATACAGAGCGTAATAATCTTGCTGTCCTTGCAGTAGAGCTCGAATTCGACCGAGTGGTGACTTTCGTGGCCGTCGAGGACGAGGAGGCGATAATCGCCTTTTGTTCGCAACTTTGTATGCTGATCGAAATGCCGAATCCAATCTAGACCAATTTCATTTGTAGTCCAGCCGTTTAGGGACGTTATAATTCTCCAGTCGCGAGGAATCGCGTCGTCTTGGTACCAGGTCGAGAGGTGATATTTGCCGGCAAATACTACGAACGGCGGGACGTAAAATCCGGTCGCGCCGACGCCCTGGATGACCGTAACCCATTCCCGATTACCCGGTTGCTTCATCTTAACGTTCGAACGTCTTTGCGCGTTTGTAACGACCATCCCGGTCGCGATAACGCCCATCTGAAAGCCTGTCTCGTCGAAGTTGTAAATATCGGAGTCCGCGACACCGTATTTCGCAACTACGTTCCGCACAAGCCGAAACCACGCGTTTATCGCGTCAGGATCCTCGCACTGGGCTCTCTTGTAGTCGTACTTGCGAAAGAAACGCGTCTGGAGCTCTGGTCGTCGTTTAACAAAGGTTGAGGCCCAGTTGATTCCGACACCTGGCCTGTCGCGCTTCGCGAGTAGTTGATTCGCCATTTCTCTAACCTCACTTAGCCGAGGAGGATATGCTCGCGCATCCAAGTCGAGAATGTATTCGACAATCTTCTCCTCTTCCAGCTTGGTTAATTTTGTAGAATTCGGAGGGCTTTCGCGTCGGGCAGGTACTCCCTTCTCTCGGCGTCGTAGGGTTGTTCGGGGGACGTTAAACATCTCGGCAGCGCGTCGGGTGCTTAAGTTTGGGTCGTTTTCCATTGCTTGGATAGCAAGGAACAATTGACTCTCTTTAGAAGGCGTCTCCATCTTTCGTAGTGGAATAAACGCGTGAAGAAGAGTTGGATTCGGTATAGTGAATGAAAGTGGGCCACTCGCCCGTATGGGCCACTCGCCCGTGGATTACGTTAACCGAAGTCGGGCTGTCTGTTGTTGCCCATAGTTAGGGACTTACAGATTTGCTATGAGAAACAGATGACTCCAGTCCACTGAGAGTGGGTGGTCAGCCAAACATCGTGCCTGTTAAGGCGCAACATTTCAAAAATGCAGAAGCCGTGACTGGCCTGGAAGAAAGCAGGCGGGCCTGAGTGAAACTGAGCTGTCTCTTCTGCCATGGCTTCCGGAGTTCCAGCCGCCGCTCACTGATAATCGGATCATTCACCATTGAGCCACGTGCCCTGTGCACTGCCCATTTGTGATGATAGTGGCCAAGCACTGCAAAGTACAGGAATCATTTGACCGTTAGTCCAGTCCAGTGTGGCGGCCTCGGCCACGGCCTCATCCTCCATTGACAATTTTTGGGTTATTTGATGCTCTTCTGCTACACGCAGCCAGTGGTGACTTGATGCCGAACATCTCCGCGAACATGAGAACATTCCTGGAACGTCTCAGCTGGGCGGAGACGGAGTTCAGATTGGAGGGTACGCGGCTTGTTGCCACGATTTCTACAAGCCAGGTTCTGTGGTAGGACTATCGCATCTCAGTCCCAGCTTGCTGACATCACTTTGCCTCTCTACGCTCGAGAGGCGCAGTTCGTGTCTCAAGCGAAAGAGGGTAAATGGAGTCTGAAATTTACGATGAGCCGTATAGTATTCTAGGGATTTGCGTTGCGTATTGGAACTCGACAGAGCGTCGGGCTGATTCGCAGGGCACGACCCTACAGCTACCTACCATTAGCGAATGGAAACATCAATCTGTCAAACGTCATGTTGCTTGAGTGATGCTCCACGATGCCGGCTGACGATCACGCTGCAGACGATAGTATCAACACTACGGTACTTGTACTACTTTTATGTGTATGAACGTGTTAGCGTGACATCTCTCTTCTAGATGATGGCCGGCTGATCCAAAGGACACTCAGGCACTTCAAGTTGTATGCTCATTCAGCAGCTCGAAGCGAGAGTTTAGCAGAGCGAGAACATGTGCTTCTGGCGATGCAATCCTCTCCGTGCACAAACGACTCATGGGTGTTCCCAGGACAGCCATTCACTTGGGGAGGTCCATCATTGCCATTGATCAGCTCCGTGCTCAATGCACCAAACACGCCTACCGGTTGAAGATGCGTGCGTGTGCTCAGTGCTCACAAGAACGACGAAAAGAATATGGCGAGTCGCGCAGGTACAGAAGGGGGTGAGCCTTCTTTGCTGGTCGCGGCTGGTCTGCCATTTCGGGGTGTATTTGTCATTGTGAAATCACTGCTGCACACAAGTTGAGTTTGTGGCTGGTCCGATGCCGTTGAGGCTGACAAGCACCCCACACCCGCCCAGTGCATGCAAGGCTCTGACATGACGGCATCCCACGTCGACACATTTCCGCCACCCGCCACAGTCGTCCCGCCTCTGTCGCGATATCTTGGCCAACGTTATGGAGCATCTCGACGCTTCCACAGCCGCCGGCGTGGCCCTTGCGGCGGTCATCGCCATTACGACTAGTTCTGTCCTCTACTACTACTCGAAGAAACCTGACGCAACCACGCCGCTGGCCACTCACGACATTGTCGATCTGCGGATATACCCTATCAAGTCATGCCGTGGCATCCAGGTCCAGTCGGCCGTGCTGCTCAAAACAGGGCTCGACCTCGACCGCAACTGGATGTTCGTCTCTGCCGCGAAACGTGAGTTCCTCACAATCAGAGACGAGCCCCGCCTGACGCTTATCCGGACCCGCGTCGGCTTTGCCCGAGACAACGCTTGTTATTACTATCGACGGTAATAAGGGATGGGAGCTCTCGATACCCGCACACCCTACAGCGGACTGGCTCGAGACCAACACTACGCTGCGCAGCGGGATCATCTGGGGCCAGGAGACAGACGGCTGGGAGTACCCTGCGACCATGACTCGAGCCATCTCGGACTTTATCGGCGTCGAGGCGCGGTTGCTGTACAAAGGCCCCACGCCAAGGGTCCTTCGCGGTTGTGGTGCCCCTGATCGGCTCGGCCGCGCGGAGGCGACAAATTTCGCCGATATGATGCCGGTCCTGGTCGCGTCGCTGGCCAGTCTCGCCGAGCTCAACGGGCAGCTGCGAGATGGAGGCGACCCGGCCATTGACATTGAGAGGTTCCCGCCAAACATCATCATCCGCGGTCACGATGCCTGGGCCGAGTACCTTCTCGTGTCCTGATGACTCAGCCTTGCCCCTAGCATGGCTCCCAATAGGCGCACGGGTACCCGTGCGTATAATATTGCACGGGTACCCGTGCAGATTCTGCTTACAGCTTAGCGTGTCTTAATTCCCGCCGACATCGCAATTGGATCCATATCCGGGGTGCACCCATATCAGCAGAAAAGGTCTGTCTTAACCGTCGCTGGTGATCTCAGGTGCTATCAGCATACAATACTTTACGCGATACAAAGCGCGCTGAGGTGCTTTCGTGTATTTCTTTTATTACCATTACTAGCCTCAGATTTGTCTCCCGATGGCAGCTACTACTAGTACCCACCATTCATTTCCCGATAACAGTCTCCCTCCGGAAGGCACCTACGAGTCCCGAGATACCTTATTTAAAGCTATCAACGAGTGGGCGTACACAAGGGGCTACGCCTTTGTTACGAAAAGGTCAACAAAGGAAAAGACAGGCAGGCTCTCAGTCGTATATGAATGTGATCGATCATGTCGCGACTACACCTCTAGAAGACCGCGCCAGCGAAAAACATCTACGCGAAGTACCAACTGTCCGTTCTCTATACTGTGTCAGGGCAGTGCGGGATAGACTGATCAGGGGCATATTTGTACAGTACTACTTAAGGCTTGAAGCTATCGTGACGTTTTTCATAGCATGGAGCCTCACATCCATCACTCAGCTTCACCAATCCGACTTGATTTTTCCACCCCATTGAATTCCTACGCTTCTGCACCCGTTCTTGTACGCAATTGACTGACAATGCCATGATCAGAGATTCCCTCACAAGTGTCGCATCAACAGGGCGTTGTTGATGTGGCTGGCTCCCCCGTCGAAAATCTGCTTTGGCCCCTTATCTGGGAATGCCCTCACTCTGGCCCAGGGCCAGAGTGAACCTCGCCGGAAACACCGCCGAAACTGGCAAGCGGTGAACTCCCTTCGGTCGTGGTGGTTGTTTTGTCCCCGATCAGGAGAACCCTCATCCGCCCCAGGACAGCAGTAGAGCTCGAAATCGACGGAATGGTAGCTCTCGTAGCCGTCGAGGATAAGGAGGCGGTAGGTACCCTTCGTACGACTCTTTATATGGAAATCGAAGTGTTTTACCTATTCTAGGCCTCTCTCGTTCGTCGTCTAACCGTTTTCTAAAAGCGCGATTACCTAGTTAGCCGGTAGAGGGCTATTCGCGGTCTAGGAGTTAAGGTGGACCTTCCCGGCGAAGATAATATACGGCGGGATTAAATAGCCGTACGACACGATACCTTAGATTACTGTAACCCATTCCTGATTACCTTGTTATACGGCTCTTAGCCTCCCGCGTTGATCGGAGGTCGTAACAACAGTTTCAGCGGAGATTTTACCTATCGCGAAGCCCGTTTCGTCGAAGTTGTAGATGTTGCTATCGTGGATCCCGTATTTCGCGATTATATTTCGTACGAGCTCAAACCACGCGCGATACGCGTCCGGATCCTCGCAAAGGACCCTCTGGTAATCGATTCTTCGATTAAAACGCGTACGGAGCTCAGGTCGTCGTCGTACGAAGGTTGAGGCCCAGTTCGTTCCAACGCGTGGCGCGTCGCGTACGCGGAGGAGTCGATCCGCCATTTCTCGAACACCACTTAACCGCGGTGGAAACGAACGCGAATCTAGGTCGAGTACGTATCGTACGATACTCTCCTCTTCGTATGAGGTTAATTTCTGGCAGGGTGGTCGGGTGTCGTGTTTCGCAGCTCGGCCGTGGTATCGTTGCTGGAGTGTCGTACGAGATACATTATAGATCTGCGCAGCCTTTCGTACGCTTAATTTTGGGTCGGATTGGAGCGCATTTAACGCTAGAACCAAATCACTTTCAATTGATTGTCGTCCCATGATTGGAGGTGGAGAAAAAGGAGAAGGAAGTGAACCTCAATTAAATTGCAGTAAAGTGACCCGTTCACCCGTGTGACCCGCTCACCCGTGGATTACGTTATATTTATAAGTATTTAGAAGGTTCTAGACTCTATTTATCGACTATATAAGGTTGCTTCGCTCCCTTATTCCTATAAGCTAGAACTTAGTTTAGATAGAGCACTCCAATAGTAACTCTCACACTCCTTTACTTACTTATCCCTTATTATCAACCCTGCACCTTATATAAGGATAAATATCCTTATATCGGACATACCTTCCAACATTTTTGAAAACTTAGTACCTGTCACGATCCTGCCTCCGGGGTCAATCGTCTGGCAGGGCGCTGGGGTTGCTGTTCTGCAGATAGGTAAAGCCTGCGCAAGATCAACTAACACTCTGCTGTCGTTCTCTCTCTGGGTTGTCGTTCGTGTCTCTTGGAAGAGATACCAGTCTCGGCAATTGAGTGACTAGTTCAAGTGCGGGTGAAACTGATACTTAGATTGATCGCTGAAGTACAAAGGTAATGACTGTCTACAAGGAGATCCTTCTGGCTCTATATACCCCTTTGTCCTTCATCGTGCCTGTCGTCCTGCGACACCGTTGGGTCGCATGCCGACAGTTCGTTGTCGCAAGGCCGATGGGTGACGGTCGCTGTGCGACTGTTCATCGTCGGCTGCTGACGTAAGGTGGGTGCTTACATAATGTGTTCCCCGCCAGCCTTCGCTGGTCCGCCCTTGTCCCTGGCCTGATCCTGCGGCCTTGTTTGTGCTGGGCCTGTTTGTTACCTCAGCCCCAAGCAGTTCCCCTGTTGGTCGGGTCGTCACAGTACCCTCCTTATAAAAAAACTTGGTACTCTAGGAGGGTACCAAGTTTTCTACGTATAGAATTTTCAGATAGTAGTCTCATATAAGAAATCGAGGGTACTATAACGGTTTTTGAAAACTTAGTACCCTCCTTATAAAAAAACTTAGTACTCTAGGAGGGTACCAAGTTTTCTACGTATAGGTAGGGGGTGGTCGCGAGGGGGTCTGGTCGCGAGGCGGAGGGTAAACTTATTACGTTCTTAATTCTATCCGTATGCTGTGTTCTCACCCTAATTTTCATATTCCTGGCAAAATTAAGACTCGACTAGAGTAACCTAAACTTATAGGCATCGGGGATATTTAGTATCCGCCTATGCCGTTGTAGCTCGGATATGCGTTCGGGGAGTAAGTTACTGAGACGGTATGATGTGTAGCCGTGTCGGGCTGCTTGAGGAACTGCTAAGGAGGAGCATGCGCATGGGCAGGAACACCCGCCCCCGCCCCCGCAGGTGCGTATGCCGGTGGTGCCACGTGATAGCTCGCTGCACTTAGGCTGGGACTTGGCGACGGGATCGGGACAGCGTTTTGCTAAACAAACGGCTGCTGAGGGACAGGCTGCGCGATGCCCGGCGGCGTGTTGGTGTAGCCCTGCTGTTGAGGAGCAGGAGCAGGCTGCTGGTAGGTGCCCGCGGCTCCAGAGTATCCCATAGGTTCAAACTTGCCGACGGAGGCAGGGGCCGGCTGTCCGTACATACCACCCTGAGCGTACGCCGTGTTGGCAGCAGATGCGCCTCCGTACCGGCCGCCGTGGGGAGCCGGCGCCTGGCCACCTTCGACATTTGTGTAGCTGCTGCGGTCGGCGCCGCAGCAGCCGCACTTCTTGAAGACCCAGATCCAGAACCAGAGACCGGTAGCAACGCAGAATGCCTTCCATACAGCGTGCCCGGCGCGGAACTGCTCTCCTCTGTGCTTGCGGCGGTTCTCTGTACAACAGTCGTCGTGAGTAATCGAATATGCAGAACTCACTGGGGGGTAGATGGATGAGGTGGATGGGGAATTGTAGGATGGTGTGCTAGGTTTGTCCAGATAAAAGAAGAACTACTTACCCTTGACACAGAAAACGATGAGCGAGATGAAGAAGATGAGAAAGACAATCGAGAGAGAAGCGACTATAGCAATAATCCACCAAGCCGATACTACAAGTGACACGTACGAAATGTCAGTTCGAAAGTTACTACTTGCCAACTTTCACTTTTCCCTTCCATGTTTTCCGGGAGATATTCTTGACGTACCATAGGCGCCGGTTTCGTAGTCGTTGTAGTCATAGTAGGTGTAATTATCATCGTCATCACTAAAGAAGTCGTCATCATCATCACCACTGGTAAGGCTGGGCAAGCCTCCCTTCTTTGGGGAGCGAGTGGCAAGAGCCAGGAGGTTCATTGCCAAGGCAGTCATTGTCGTCGTCTTGGTTCGTCTCTCACGTGAACTTCTCAGTAATTCGTGGTAATTCGTCGAATAGAAAGGGGGATACGAGGACAGCGGGTAGAAGTATGTACCGTCACGTTGTCGAGAGAGGGTGAAAATGCTCTCAATGGATGGAGGCAAGGTGTTTGGAAGAAAGGAAAAACGAAATAATTAAATCAACATCCCACAACATCCATCATAAAAGCAAAGGGCGCGGCTGATTTCTGAACCAACACTAAGGGAAGGGGGGGGACAATCCTTATTCCGGCGTGTGTAACGTTACCGTATAGCACCATTCATCCCGGGTCGCCGTATTTACAATATCGCTGGCCGTTACGCACCCATGCGCACCAAGCTCCACCCTTCTTAACCTCTTCCCACTACCCTCAGACGTGGGTGGGTATGAAAGCCGGGATTGGCGTGGTTCTCGTAAGGCTGACTTTGGGATAAACCTAAATACGACGGAGCGAAGTTCAGCCTTTATTAAGGTAGGCAATACTGTATCTATTTGGGGCTCCACACACCAAAAACTCAAACTTGGGTGGGTTCATTATTTTCCGCAACCCCAAGCGCGGCACGGCGCATATTACCGGGCCTTGACAGCTATTAGACTATGAAAGCTGAATGGCCGGCCCACCCGCATTTGCCATGTACTTTTGCATCGAGGCTATGGCTGCAGAGGGGATGGCGTCTTACCTTGTCCTGAATGTGCATTCTACTCACTCTCGCCCTACGTGCTTGCAACCAACCGGTTTTGAACCTAAACTTCATCGGAATCTAGCGATTATTAGAGCCTTGCCATGCGTGTAATTATTGTTGGCGCCGGGCCTGCGAGCCTAATACTCGCCCACACCCTCAAGCATGCTGGAATCACGGACTTTATTATATTAGAGAAGCAACGGGAAGTCATGCAGAACTTACAGTAATTTTGTAGCAAATTGTGGACTTGAAACCTTCCTCCGGTGTAAGCAGAAGGGCGACAACAACGTTACGTATGGAAACCTCAAATTCCTTAGCATTGCAGGTTTGTTTCATTATTAGCTCTGATAGAGGTAACCTTTCCTCAGACTAACTAGTCCACAACGGTGGAAGCTATTCAGCCAATATCGCTAGTAAAAACGGTTCCTTCCCCTCCATACATGAACCTAGATTGCAACATAACGTGCCAGGTGAAGCCGCGCATCATACTCAGCAGTGTAGCTCCAATGAGAAAGCTTGGTACAAAATTAGAGAAGCAAGAACCCAAAAATGTCGATATTGCGGATGGAGCCCTTCCAGGCTTCCCCTGGGGCCATAACAGTAAAAGATTACATAAGTGGTCAGTCTCACAGCCCGTTTCCTTTATGATACTTACTGATACTTATTGCAGCCGTTCATCCCTGGCTTATGGGTATGCTCGACGACATTATGAAAGCAAAGCAAGTTGAACCAGACGTAGGTGAGGCAGAGCCAAGATCTATGCAGTGGTTGGTCGTACTTGGACCGTCTCAAGAGGTTACGAGAAGACGGCACTGGGTGAGGGCTAAACCTTCTAAAGCGGATCCTGCGTTTCGGGAACGTGTGCGTAAATTTCAAGAGTCTATGATTTTGTAAGATAATAACTACAAAGATCACTCCAATAGCGAGCTGGTTCAAGCAACAGAAATCGTCCAACTCTAATCTAGACAATGGTCTCATCACCGCAGTTCGCCCTATTCCTAACTGTATTATTTCTAACTGAACACTGGTGACCACGTCCACTCAAGGTGCTCTTGTGGCAACAGTGCAATACGAACTCCGAAGGCAGTTACAGAAGAAGCCACAACAGTGCCGCAAGCCCCATCAGCGCAGGGTCGGAGTCCGTAACCAAAATTGGCGTTTATGAGATAGACATACAGGGTTGGGTTGCGCACAGCCTAGGGCAGAGCACTTCGCCTCCATGTTAACAAAGCAGGACTGCCCACACGAGGGGAGGGCTGCGAGACCGGTGGCTGTAGGTTCATGCGTAGCGAATGCAGTGGCGCAATATGAGCTGCCAAAGCTGCGCTACGCGTCGGTCCACGATGGGCGTCAAACTTCGTTAAGCGACAACCACAGCTCCAGACGCGTTTCTTTCGCAAGTACGACTATAAGAGAGCCTAGTGCGAGGATCCTGACGCGATAAACGCGTGGTTTCGGCTTGTGCGGAACGTAGTCGCGAAAAACGGCGTAGCGGACTCCGATATCTATAACTTCGACGAGATAGACTTTTAGATAGGCGTTATCGCGACCGGGATGGTTGTTATAAACGCGTAAATACGGTCGAACGTTAAGATGAAGTAACTAGGTAATCGGGAATAGGTTACGGTAATCTAGGGCGTTAGCGCGACTGTATTCTACGTCCCGCCGTTTGTAGTATTTGCCGGCAAATATCACCTCTCGACCTGGTACCAAGATAACGCGATTCCTCGTGACTGGAGAATCGTAATATCCGCAAACAGCTGGACTACAAACGAAATTGGTCTAGATTGGATTCGACATTTCGATCAGTATATAAAGTCGCGAACAAAAGGCGTGTGACGACCCGACCAACAGGGGAACTGCTTGGGGCTGAGGTAACAAACAAGCCCAGCACAAACAAGGCCGCAGGATCAGGCCAGGGACAAGGGCGGACCAGCGAAGGCTGGCGGGGAACACATTATGTAAGCACCCACCTTACGTCAGCAGCCGACGATGAACGGTCGCACGGCGACCACCATCCGTCGGTCTTGCGACAACAAACTGTCGGCATGCGACCCAACGGTGTCGCAGGACGACGGGTACGATGAAGGACAAAGAGATATATAGAGCCAGAAGGATCTCCTAGATAGACAGTCATTACCTTTGTACTTCAGCGATCAATCTAAGTATCAGTTTCACCCACACTTGAACTAGTCACTCAATTGCCGAGACTGGTATCTCTTCCAAGAGACACGAACGACAACCCAGAGAGAGAACGATAGCAGAGTGTTAGTTGATATCGCGCAGGCTTTACCTATCTGCAGAACAGCAACCCCAGCGCCCTACCAGACGGTTGACCCCGGAGGTAGGATCGTGACAAGGCGGTTATCGCCTCCTCGTCCTCGACGGCTACGAAAGTTACTATTCGGTCGAATTCGAGCTCTACTATAAGGACAACAACATTATTACGCTCTATATGCCTCCTTACTCGTCTTATATACTCCAGCCTCTCGATGTTGGCTGTTTTGGTCCGCTGAAGAAAGCATACGGTCGGCAAATTGAGCTTAAGATAAAGGCGGGTATAACGTATATTAGTAAGGAGGACTTCCTCCCCTCGTTTTTAGCGGCATTCCAGTAGACAATAACGGAAAAAAACATCCAGGGAGGCTTCAGAGGGGCGGGACTTGTACCTTATGACCCTAAAGCCGTTTGTCACGATCCGATCTCCGGGGTCAACCGTCTGATCGGCGCTGTGGGGTTTATGTCCTGAATAAGGTAGGTAGCGACCTCATGCAATACTGACTCCGTGCTTGTCGTGTTCTCGAGGGGTTGTCGTTCGTGTCTCTTGCGAGATATCACACTCGGGTCAATTGAGTGACTAGGTCAAGTGAAGGGTGAGAATGATACTTAGATTGATCGCTGAAGTACAAAGGTAATGGCTGTCTATCTAGGAAATCCTTCGCATTATATCCTTTGCCCTTCATCGTGGTTCCAAGGAGGTGTGTCTCTGGATCGCTGGATATGTTCCGATCCACATATCCTGGATCGCTGGATATGTTCCGATCCACATATCCTGCTGACATAATGAAATGCTTACGTAACCTGGGGTGTGCCGTCCCGCGTGCATGACCTGCCCTTGTCCCTGGCCCGATCTTGCGACCTGTTGGTCGGGTCGTCACACCGTTTTATCCAAGCTCGATATGAAGTTCAAGACGCTAATACCCTCGAGGACGCCTCGGACGTTACCGGAGCTATAGACTTCCCGAACGCCTACTACCGCTATAGAAGCCCGTTCATAGTCTAATTTCATTAAACGTCGGATCTCTCGTCACTAGGGAAGCTCTCCAACGTTAATTATTGAAGCAGTTAAGCAGTTTACGAAGGGAGCAAAGGGGATTATACACCGGTTCGCCCTAATGGAGGCAAGGATGAAGATGCTTGAAGACGAGAATGCAGTACTTAGTAAGCGCCGGAGAGCTAAGAAAACACGTCTCCGGAAAGGCCAGAGCATGACTCTAGGCGAGGGACAGGACCTTATAGCCCAGAGAGAGGTGAACACTCAAATAACACAGGAAACGCAAGAAAATCGAGGTCATGCAGGCGGCACTACGCTAACGCAGCGCCGCTGTGGTACCTGCGGGATGACTGGCCATAATGCGAGAACTTGCCAAATAGTTACTCTAGGGTCTGAACTCGAAGATAGCGATTAGTTTATATCAATTCAAGACGTTTTGGTTTTGCTGACGAGGTTTTGATTCTCGAGATGTGGTGGGGGTGGCCCACTCGCTATGCTGGCCCACTCGCTATATATTTACGTTATAACGTAGATCCCGGTCAAGCGGGCCACCCGGTCGAGCGGGCCACCCTTAAGGTATTCGGACGACAATGTATAGAAAAAATCAACCAGAACGCCTTAAATCAATTCAAACTAGATGAAATCCTCTTCTTCAGAGGTAGGCTCAACTATCTGACACGTACGAGCATTATGGCCGGGCTCGCCGCAAACGCTACAGCGTCGCGCGCGCGTCTCTGTCCTCCTCGCGCGACTACTATTTTAACTTGTTTCTGCCCGTAACTGCTCCGTCACGTCGATCTGAGACTTCAAATCCTTTGCCTAGCTAATCGCTAGTGACCCTCCTTTCTGTAGCTGCTTTCTTTTAGTACGTTAACGGCGGCTTATGTTACGGGCTCGGGCTCTGGCCCGAGCCTGGGTGGGTCAAAAAGGGGGAGACAGGGGGGGGGTAACAAAACCGTAACGCGCTCACGGAGAGTGCGAACTACCTGCTTTTATTTCCCAAGCTCGTAGTAAATCT